TGTTTGCTGCTCTAGAGTGTGGCTGGCAATTCTCAAACGTTCCGCAGAGAGAATAGGAAGTTAAGGCTCTTTAACTTTCACAATTTCACATTCGTGTCAGAAATTCCGTTATTAGAATTTTTAAAAATGGTGCTTCGGGTAATTCAAAGCTTGAAGATCAACACACTTTCGAAACATCATACGGAAAAAATGATGATATTTCCGGCCTTGAAAGGCGGCATGGACAGATTGACAAGGGTGATTTTCTGCGAACGCGATGCGACTTTTGGCGGGAAAGGCGAGGTCAAACGCGAGCCAACTTATTTAAAAATTTTTTTCCTCTTTTTTTGATATTTTTTTAGTTTTTTTATTGTTTCCGGACCTAATTGAGGAATGGAAATGTAAAAAAAGAAACTTCTGTTTCGAAAATTTTTCCCACAATAACGTTTGACCTCGATATCACGCAACAAGTTACCCTTGCCAATCTGTTCACATCGCTTTTTCAAGCCGAGAAAAAAATTGACTATATAATTTATAATACTTGTTTTTGGAAACGCCAAGGGTTAGGTTCTAACGTTTGGCGTCTTTTGAGGCTCAACGAGCGCTTTCGAAAAGTTTTCTCGGAACTTGAAACTTTACAGGAAGACTTATTCGAAGAAACTCTGCACAACCTTCACGCTTTTTTCTGATTCACTTTCTTTTAAAATATGAATTTCACAGCTTGAGTAAGGATGATAAGTGACGATTGCTAGACTGAGACTCACTAAGAAGATTTATAAAAAAGCCTAGAAAAGATTTGTTCGGCAACAGTGGCATTGGTCAAAACATGCGACGTTTGAATCATCTGAAGGCTTCAAAAATTTGGTTTGACTCAAATAGCATCGAATTCCTTGAAGTTTCTGAAAGAAATTCCACAAAAACTTTGCTGCTAACAGGAGTTAAGGGATAAACGAAGAAATCTTGATGCATTTCGATGAAACTATACTGTTCACAGTATCCCATATCTTCGAGAAGACATCTCGGCTGATTGCAGATCTGCGAATACAGGAAAATCATATATATTTTTATGGAATGGGCTTCCACCGGCTTTTTTTACTTCTTTACGTAGTAATTTAGATTTATCAAAAAAATGTATTGAAGTTTCCGTTCAACTCATGATTTTTTTGAACTAAAAAAAAAAAGAGAACTAATACTATCTTTTTTTACTAAGTCTTCATTGGCCCTCAAAGCCTATCAAAAGTTTTTTCGCTTTTCTTTCGACTCCAAACTTCAAGAAAGATTAAGAGATCCAAAAAGAAACCGAAATTTGGAGACAAAATAAACTTAAGGAAGGCTAATCGTGAGTCAAGTTAGCCACGTAACAAGAAAAAATTTCTGTGCACTTGTCCGGATATTGCGTCGCCTGAGCAAATCCTACAAGGCGACGTCTAAATCGCGTCGACCCCGCTCTGAAAAACAAGCATCATCTCATCAAATCTTCTTCCAACAGCCGATTTTTTTTTCTCTTCTTATGCTGCCAAATCAAGTCACGTTCTTTGGGTGCTTTTTGCAGATTTTTTGAACCTTCGCACGGAAAGAAATGGCTTGGAAGCTTTTTTTGTCTCACAGTCACGCGCCGGCGACATTTTTGGAGTTTCGTGGGCGAAAAAAAATTGTCTTCTGCGAGAACACGAACGTGTGACTGAAAAAGTTAGTGACCTTTCATGGAAAATTTTTTCCCGAGAAGCAAAGAAAAGAAAAAAGTCTGCCGTTTTGTAGTCGCGGAGTTTTGTCACAAAACAACGTTTTCCCTCAGTTTATTTAGCAAGAAAGGGAAGCTTTGTTAACGAAGGCAAACTCGAGAAAAGCATTTTCAGTCTCATCTTTAGTTGAACTATAAGATTCTAGACTCTTGTCAAGAAAAAAAAAACACTTTCTTTGAATATAACCAAAACAGATGTAAAATTTGAGTTGTACACACTTAAATTCTCATGAAGCTCAACTTTGCAGTTTTCAAAACTGACGGACCAACACAATATTGAGGAAGCTAATTAATTCTAAAATAAGAAATTTGTGCATTTTGAGACATACTAGTCCATTGAAAAGATCTTCGAGCAAATATCAAAGCATGGGGAAGAAAGACCCGCCATTTAACATTTTTTGCTGTTTGTCTGAACGTCGTTATGAATCCGCAACTTCTTTTAGTTATTTCTCTAGTCGGATGGCAGAAAGCGAACGTTCGAGATTTTCACATGTTTGCGGGGAATACAGCGCGTTGATGTTGTTGTTTTTTATCGCGGCATTAGGCCAAAGAAGTGTAAATTATTGCAAGAGGTTAAGGATGACGGCCTGAACTACAGGTTACGAACAGAGGGAGATTTCAATTTTTCAATAAAAGAAATAAGATTTACGTTCGATGTTTATTGGCTGGAGATCACGACCTTCTCGATGACATTGGGTAAATAAAAAAAAAGCGAAAAGCAAGAGAATTCCGGTTTGATGGCGGCACACAAGGCATCTGGCACCGTGCCATTCGCAGTTCCTTTTTTTTCGCCAATTTCGAATTCATTGCTTTTTTTTGAAAAACTTCAATTTAGAAAAAATTTTTTCTTTTCAACCCTACTTTAACCTATAAAAAGTAGACTTTGTCTGCAATAAGTTTACATTCAAAAATAGTCTTTTTTTCAACAGAATTCATAAAAAAAGAGTTTCTCCTTCAGATAATTCATCATGAACACTTATTCTTCTGTTATACATATTTGAATACCAAATTAAAAACTTTTTAAAAATTTAAAAATGTTCTAATATTTTAACTAGGTAATACTTTGATTTGAAAAACGATAAAATATTTGTTTAAAAAGCAGAATTCTACGAATATGTACAATAAGTCGTAGATTTAGCTAAATCAATCCAGTAACGAACAAACTACAGAAAATAAGACTCCGGTGATATTTTGAGACCAAATCGAACAAAAAAAGTGATCAAAACAAAATTCTGAAAATGTTTCACAACAGTCGATCAGCCACCGTTCCGTACGGCAAGAACCTTTCTCGAGATCGAAACAATGGAAAGAACTAGTTGTTGGGCGGCTGATTTGTTTGGCGGTTTACAATTCCTGGCCCGCTTTCTTGCCACTCTGCCATTCTCCTCGCTTCCTCTCGATTTCTCTTGAGTTTTTTTTTTCTTTTTGAGACTTTCTGATCAATTTGTTACCAGCCAAACCTTATAATCTTATTATTGATTTTGATATCTTGTTAATCGTTGTGAAAAAATTATCCAACTGATGTACTAGGCAAAGTTTTGTCAAAAGATCCTACTAGAATAATTTTTTTTTGTAACTCGGCTGTTAGAAGATGCAACTCTTCAGAGTTCCTTAAATTTCTAAGAAATATTTCGCATTTTTTTATTTAAAAAAATTTCTGAAGTTCGCGAAGATTTTCAGTAAAATAAGAAACTTTCTCATCGGTTGCTAATTCGTCAACCCATCTTTCCTATTATCTGCATTTTCAAACCCTTTTACCTCTTGGAAAAAGTGATTCTTGGTTTTTATGAGTATTTTTCTTGTCAATTCATTTTCTATATAGTTTAATAAACTATCATTTTCGTACAGGTAGTAATTGCTGAGTGCAGGAAGGAGCACAGAAAAGAATAAAGGCGGAAGCTGTTCTCAATTTCTTCCTTCAGAGTGAATATTCAAATAAAATCATCTTTTAAATTTTCAAGGAAATTGCCTATGAAAAACCGTAACAAAATATTTTTTTAGACATCATAGATTTTTTTAAATCAGGTTGTAATTTCACGAATAAAAAAATCATCTTTTGTGAAACATTAAATGTATTCAATTTTTTTCCTTCGTTCTTTCCTAATCCAAAAAATATAGGAATTAGGAATTTTGACATCTTCGGTCACTAAAGGGGGAGTCCTGGATAAGAAAAAAATGTATAATGGGAAATTTATACGCCGCTCTTTTCTCCACAAAAACTTTATAAAGCTTTATTTTTTTCGAAAAAACTCTCAACAGATTCTGTTGCTTTCTTCCTTCACACATTCCCCAGAAAATGTAAACAGCCGGGTTTTTATTCTGAGATCATGACTGTGAAAGAAAGCAAAGCGCAAGGAACGATTAATAGCTATGGACGAACCTCGAAGCGCCTGTTCTGATATCCTGGTTTTTTTTTTTCAGTTGAGAGTTAGGCTCTCGACAGAGTTTCTTCGTCTAATCAGAATTCTACATTTTCTCAGTAAAAATAAATTAAAGCTCTTTTCAGTGACAAGCCATCATTACATTTTGGAAGAAACCTAAGTTTTCGAAAAAATCGGTTAAAACTAAAAAATTGTTGAAACTTCTTTTACTAAATGAAAAGAAAAGCGCTAACGATTAAAAAAAACTTTCGAAATCGGCAAAATTACAATTATCATCTGCGAATAGACTTACTGATCGCACCTCTGATGATTAATCAATCGATTGGTATCGTCAAAATTTACAGTCTTTTTTCATCCGAATGAAATCAATCAGTAAGAAGGTTTCCACAAACTTAAGCACATTTCTATTTTCATTCTGAAATTCTCACGAACCTCTTTTCTTACGAACGATGTCGCGAGTCTTGCAGATGAACATCTTGCTGCGGATTTTGTGCGACCTGCAGTCGGCGGCTGGCCTCGTGCCGATCGTCGTCCTTTTCGTCATCCGCCACTTCGTCTACACGACGTCCTCTGCTGTCGCCCAGCCTCCTGAGCCGTCTTCTTGACGTCATCTACAAGAAACTCAGCATCTACGGGACAAATTTATCATGACGTGCCATGTACTGTAAAAAAAACTAGATAATGTAAATAAATTGTTGTGTTTGCTACAGTTCTTTGAAAAATTTGTGAATTTTCTTTCAAAAACATTATTATTTTTTAAAAGTGTTGAAAAAAAGTTTTGTGCACTTTTTTGCGAATGGACAATGGATTACACAAGGCGAAACTAACGAGAGACGAAAGGTGGTCACACAGCTGTCTTCGCTCTCCGTCCGGGTGGCTCCTTCGTACAATTTTCGTACATGGGTGATTCTAACGCTTGGGACCTCGTCGACAGGACCGAGCGAAAAAAGAGTCGCTCCCCTAGTCATATCAGTCGCGTCGACTCCGAGGTTCTTCATTTTTTTTTCATTTCCAATGATTGATATGAAATAAAAAGCATACTGATCGAAAAAAAGGTAATTTCATTTTTTTAATAAAAATCGCTGGTTATTTTTTTGAATTCAATTTTCATAAAACTTAGAGCGATCAAAAAAACTTCAAAACTTTTCGAAAAAAATATTTCACGCTTCTGTCGTATTCAATAATATATATTCAAAAAAATTTTTATATTCCGTGTTCAAAATGACTCCGCGAATATCAAAAAAATTCTCGATCGAATTCCGTCAGAGAATGAAAAAGATAAGTAAATTTTTGAGAGTCAGAGATCCTTTTGCATTTCCGGATTTTACTTTGAACGCGGCAATAGACTATTAAAAAGTACGAGTTGATGAAAATACATGTACAGGTAAAGCGAAAAAAAAATTTTTTTTCAAAATTTATCGTCTCTGGAGCAAAAGTGCAATTATTGAAACATGCGCGAACTCAGGCTTGTGCGAGGGCCGGGCCGTTACCCTCCGACCATTTTGTAAGCCCGGCCCTGCCTTAGCGGGACCTCAAGAAAAAATGGCCCGCCTGGCCCGAAGCGCGCAGTTATTTTCTAGTCGGATATCAAGTTTTTTTACGACAAAAATTACGTTTTTGCTCATTTTTTCACTTAAAGCTTAACAAAACTATGATTTCAGAAGTAAAAGTCACATTTCGGTGAAAATTTTTTAAATGAAATTTTAAATTTTTTTAAAGCTCGGCCCGGCCCGAGCCCACGCGGGTTTTTTCCTAAAAATGAGGCCCGGGCCGCCCGGCATGACGCACAAGCCTGCGCGCACTTCATCTTAATTTCTTGCGCAAGATCTTGCGGAATCGTTCCGCAAGACAGTTTTTTTTTACGTTCGGTTTTGATCATTTCACATTAATCATGAAATTTTTTTTTGTGAATGAGGAGCTCGATAAAATGGTGTTTACATCTTGTTTGACTGTGTACTTATAGTCTGTACAGATTTTGAATGTCAAGTAGAATGACGTCATTCAAAAACGCTCTGTGGATGGCTCGCTCTCTGATTGGTTTATCGCGCCATTAGGGGGCGGAGCTTCAGCGAGGACTTGACATTTGAAATCTGAACAGACTACTCAGGCACTGACGGCGCGTGTTTGTTGCCAAAAGTGCGCGAGCGCGCCGCCTGCTGTGCGCACGCGCGGGGTGTCTCTTTTATTTTTTAGCTTTTTAACTGGTTAAAAAGTTATGAATTTCATATTTTTCATGTTTGTTCATTTCTTACAATTGCTCTGCTCCAGTTTATAACAATTAGAACGCACAAAAATTTGAAATGCCAAAATTTCATTTGGCAATGTTTTTTCATAAATTTGTTCGAAAGTGCTCGGAACAACTTTTGAACGTGAGCAGGGGCACTGGGTAGTACTACGAAAAATATAAAAAAATTATATTTCGAAACTGTATTTCAATGGAAAAAGACGAAAAAAAGAATCAGTACCCCCTGCGCGTGCGCGCACCAGTGCCTGAGTATAACTCGTTTTGAATGAAGATCAATTCGTTTTCATTAGCAAATATATTTTTTTATAATTTATGCCGTGTTCAAAGTAATTTCCGCGAAATGCAAAATGGTCTCTGACCCTCCAAAATTTAGTTATCTTTCTCTTTCTCTGACAGCTATTTTGAATTTCGCGGAATCACTTTGAACACGGCATTAAAGCTCATTTTCCATAAAAAATTGTTTTCAAATTTAACAAAACAGCTTGAGCGGACAATGGCCACGACAGTGTAGATTGTTCATTTTTGTTTTTAATTCAACATGTTTTTATTTTATTTTATTTTTTTTGATAATAAATTTAATCAAAACATTGAGTTAAAAGTAGAACGAAAATCAATTTGAGAATGTCCATACTGAACTATATTTCCAAGATTACTTTCAAAAATACCTTCGTGCAAAATTATATCCATCTATTTTTTGTTTCAAGGTGAATCTCGACAATGCTGAGCTCGAAGCCTTGGGTCTTGGCAAAGTTCAGCTGCAAGAAGCAGCACGAGAGCAGAGAGAACACAAAAAGCGCAGCAAGTCTGGCACATTGGTTTTTTAGAAATTAGATAACACATTTAAAGATCGCCGGCGTTGGAAAATATCCGGAAGGCATCACTGCACGTTCTCCAAAAGTTCGGTGCCGTTCCCAAAAAAAAGGACGACAGTGTGGCTACGTGGAAAGTCACAGAGCTGCCTCAGCTCCCCTTGGACTCTTTCTGTTTGAGGTTCATTGAAGCAATCACATCTTTGTCAGTATCGTTCCCTGTGGTTTGAGACCGAAAGAGTTTTTCGAAGAACCGAAGGCGTTTTCGTTTCGAGACCTTGGACTTCAACAACAGAAACTTGACTCAAAATTGGAAAAATGGTAAAATTTTGTTAGAAGCTGTTTTGAAATCAGTTTGCAGTTCTTATCTTTTTCGTGGAACCTCCTTGGAAGCGAAAATGATGGAATCAGTCACCGAGGTGAGACTCAATTTTTTTCCATATATGAGAATCCCATTCAAAAACCAGACGGAGCGAATCGCAGAGTACGATCATTTTTGTCCAGTGCACGGCTCCAGACGACGTCTCCATCACCGCAATCAACTTCTAGCCATGAACACTCTGATGAACAGCGTCGACGACGACAATCTCGAGCATCTTTACAAGTGAATTCCTTCTATTCTTGCAACCTGATTTCTGTCTAGTCATGAGTTCGTTGCGAAACTCATAAGGAAGAAAAAGCGGGAGATGCTGAGCGGCGAAGAGAAGCTGCGCGTCAATAAAGTCATGCGCAAAATTAGGGTTGGTTTGTTTAAAACCGTTCTTTTCATGAAAAGAAAAGAAAATTTTCAGTCGAATTTGTGGATCATCTCTGTTGCTTTCTTGTTCCTTTTCACTGGTTTCAATGGTCTGCAAAACCTTCAGACGTCGGTCAATCACCACCTTGGCTCCGACAGTTTGGCGTTCGTTTCTTTTTGACGCATTTATGTCATTGAAAAAAATAAAATAAGTGTCTATTCCAAGATGAAAATTTTAATATTCTACGAGAAAAATAAATTTGAAAGCAAATTTATATCGAAAGTTTGCCAAAAGAGCGGATTCATCCAATCATAAGCCTAAGATAGTTGCGCAAATTATCCTTGTCATACTTTTTGAACTAATTCAAGGAGGAAAGTGCTGATGAGAATCACTTCTTACGCCGTCCTTTTTTGAGACTCGAAACGACTGCGCGTTATATTATAATTCCACTCGACTCCACTCATGCCTTCATTTGTTTTGTTTAAAGTGGTTATAATGATTGCTTAAATAAACTTTTATAATATAACCGAGACTTGTTAAACATAAATAATGCGGGAATATGCACTGTTTCGGCTGGAGTCGTGAAAAACTGTTAGGTTGCGCAAGTCGAATTAGCTTGGAAAACAGAAAATTCAAAAGACGTGAGAATCCAATTTATAATTCAAATAAAAACTGTCTATTTTGATTCACTTCTTACTAAAGTCTTTTTCACCTTAAATTTTTCTCAGTTGTGAGGTCCTAATAACCCATTTCAGATAAAAGGCGAATTAATCATTTTTCCTCTGTAACTTAATGTTTAGGGTCCTGTATATCTCTCTGGCGATCTCTTCACTGTTTGTACCAACTTTCATGATCGGTCGACTCGGCTGTAAACTTACGTTTGTCGTCGCAATCTTCATCTACATCCTGTACTTGTTGATCAACCTCCGACCAACGTCGGTTTCATCCATTTGAAAGAACTGCAACTTTTTTTTTTCAGGTACTACTCGTTGATTCCTGGCTCGGTTCTTTGCGGAGTCGCCGCGTCGTGCGTTTGGGGCGCCAAGTGTGCCTACATCACTGAGATGGGCATCCGCTACGCCACGCTCAACTTTGAGAGCCAAAACACGGTCATAGTCAGGTATACTCGACTTCGACCCTAAAGCCGTATCTCTATGCTGGGAGGCGACTAAGCGCCCAAAACCGCGCGAACGCGCGCTTTAAAGCGCTTTGGTGCCGGTTTGGTAGGCGCTTAGTGGCGCGACAGTCCTATAGGGCACACTTCCTTCTCTTTTCCCATTTGCTTTTTTGCTTGTATTTTGAGCTGGAAAGCCTAAAGGTCGTCGGTATTTTTGTCTAACCAATGCTTTTCTTTTCTGATTCCATACGATCAGAGTGCAAAAATAGCAATAGTTAGACAAAAATAAAGACAACCTTTGCGCTTTCAGCTCGCAGGAATATCATCATACATCAAGTAATTATATTAATTTATTTTCTTTAAAATGCATGTAGGACTTAAATAAACTATCGAGATAAGGTACACATAATAATGAAGTCAAACATAAGAAAACAAAAAATATACTTTAACCAAACTAGAAATGGAAGAAAAGTGAACTGACATATAAATAAATATAATTTCGAATTTCAAACGGATAAAAAAATACAAAAACTAATTTAATAAATGAGAAAAAAATCTGTTATAACAACGAAAGTAAAACGAAGTTTTATCTCAATAATTTCAAAAAAACTTAGCTGAAATGCTTGTTAGAGTACGCTCATCGCAACAAAATTAAAAATTAATCGACTTGCGTCTTTGAACCGAGTACGGCGCTTTGAATATATAATAAGTTTTGTTTGAGTGATAGAACTCATGTCAAAGGTAGGCCATAACTAGGCTAAAAACAAAGTTCGATTTTTTTTTGTTACGATCAGATTGCTTTGGAAGCATTTTAGCAAATTAAAAAAATTTCGTTCTCAAATTACTTTTAAAATGAAGGAGGTTAGAAGAGTCAAATCAGTCACTGCGAGATTATTTAAAAGAGTCGCTGCGAGATTCTTTTGGTAAATGAAGACATGAGGCGTTGTATGAAGACTTGAAGCTTTCCCTTTCGATGCGCGTCTTTCATAATCTGCAACAGAAAATTTGAAGTTCGAAGGTTGGATCAAAAGCGAACCTCAAGAAATAACCTTCGAAAAACTATTTTCTCTTCTAGTTTTTTCGGCACGTTTGGAAACCTTTTGGCATTTATCTGGAAAAAGACATCACGATAAAGTAGGAAAATAAATACAAATCTTACCACATCAATTGATTCTGATCATGCTGACTTGTTTAGCGGTTTATCGAGCCCGAAAAACTGAAAAAATGTTCTACTTTAGGACACTTAAAAAAATTAAACATGCTAACCTTTCATTCTGCTCATGAGCAAGATTTGGCAGTGCCGACCACCTTACCCAAATAACATCAACCGCGATCTCCATTTTGAATATTGTAGATATCTTCTTGGAGCGATCTCAAAAAACTCTTATCTCTCATATGAGTGGGGTGAACCCGCTGTGCTAAATCGGGTGAAACTCGGATAAACCTGTAGTGAATTCAGGACGGCGCGTTAAACCGCTTCTTCAGAACCCTTCACCCGCTGGACTTTTTTGCACCGCCGTTCACCCGATGAAGCCGCGCCGTTCAACGGGTGCTTCTATTTTTTATTTGTTTTGATTTTCGGGTGAACGGCGCGGCAAAAGCGGTTTAACGCACCAAGCTGAATCAGGTGAATTACAGGTTTATCCGAGTTTCCCCCGATTTAGCACAGCGGGATCACCCCACCAATAATGAAAATGGTAATTTTAGAACAGAAGGAGACACTTACTGACAAGGAGTCATAAATTTGAGGTTGGCAAGATGTATACTGCACATTCACGATAGTTTAAATATTATTATAAAAAAATAATAAGAATTCAAAAAAACAAAAAGCAAAATCGAAATGAAAAACAAAAAAATGAAAAATAAATAAAAAGTCCCAAAAAAATTTTTCGAAAATGAAGAATTTACGGTGGGAGGGCAAGTTCGCTATTTCGCGCAATTCTCACAAACCGCTTTCAAGGCGCCTGAAATTTTAGAGGGCGCTTAGTGGCGACACAGCCGATAGTGGGCGCTTAGTCGCCTCCCAGCATAGAGATGCTATAAAGTGGAAAATGTTTTTCTGCCATTTTCCTGAAGACAGAGAAGGCGTGAAGTTTACTAGGAATTCATTGATTTCGGACTTAACGGATGTAATAAGGTTTTATGAGAAGATTCGGATAGAGAAGAAAAAATTTCAGCGTAAAAAGAATTGAAGTTATTTTCGAGTTGCAGAAAACGGCGTAAAATTATTTTGCACTTCATTGCATACGCCTCTGGAATAAATATTCTTTTTGAGATTTTTCGGATATTTCTTCATGATTGTGCACTGCGGCCAGTTCGTCGGCAACATGATTTCCTCTTTCATTTTGAAAATCACCATTGAAACGTCACAAGTCGAAGACCGTATATATCCGACGTAGGTCCACTCATTCGTTAGAAAAGGCTCCATTATTCAAGGTGCGGCTATTTGTTTCCAATGAACGCTTCCGAACTGACAGAACTCGCTGCGGCTAATTTGGCAAGACCTCCGCAGACGGCATACATCGCAGGTTCGATATTTTTTTATTCAGCAAGTCTATTTTCAATTTTCTCAGTCTGTTTGGCGTACTTGGCCTGTGCAATTGTCAGCGTCATGATCGTCTGCTTGTTCCTGAACGCTCTTCACAGCGACGTCGTTAAAAGGTGTTTTCGAAACGGAATAAGTTTTAATTTCTCTTCAAGAAGCAAAAAACCTTCTTTCAACGCTGAAATCATCCGTCTATTCTGGCAGAATCTGGTCAACGTCCGTGCCATGCTCCTAGTTCCTCTCACCATTTTTAATGGAATCGAACAGGCATTTATTGCTGGAGTTTTTACCAAAGTCTGTTCAAAAGAAGATCTTCATTGAGCTCTCCGGACTTCAGGCTTTTGTTGGCTGCGGCTTGGGCATTGCTCAGATTGGGTTCATTTTGGCGAGTTTCGGTATATCCGATGCGATTTGCTCGTTTGTTTTCGGACCGTTGGTAAGGCTTTTGTCTTTTTAGCTCGAAGACGACATTTTTCAGATAAAACTTTTCGGTCGAATGCCTTTGTTCGTCTTTGGGGCAGTTGTCAACCTCCTCATGATAGTGACCTTAATGGTAAATTTTCGTCTTAAAAATGATATTAAGCCTGAAAGTTGTCAGATTTGGCCCCTCAACGCAGCTGATACGCAAATCTTCTACGTTGTTGCTGCCATGTGGGGGATGGCCGACGGTGTTTGGAATACCCAAATCAACGGTTTTCTGGCTGTGAAAACAATAACGAGATTTTTGTTAGGATTTTGGGTAGCTCTAGTTGGACGTCAGTCTCTTCAATTTGCTTTCACCAAGTATCGATTCTGGGAGTCTTTCGGTATTGCGATTGGCTTCCTTTTGTTAAGGTAAGATATTTATCTGTTTTTATGAAACAGCATCTCTCTTATTTTTTATTTCAACTAGAGTTTCGAAATGTTTTCAATAATTTTCACCGCATTAAAAATGTCACTCAATTCAGCATTGAAGACTTTCAAAAGAAGCGTTTTTGACAAAATTAACAAGAAAAAATGTTAATTCGCTCACCAAATTCTTTCCAGGTTTCTGAACGTCGAACTTTTTTTGCTCATGTTGTTTTTTACACTGCTAATCGGAATGTGTGGCTACGTCGCAATCGAAATGTTCGACGTGATTGTGGCGAGTTCTAACATTTTCCCTTCCCCTTTGAAGCTGGATTTCAGCTCTACACAAAGAGCGTGTTGCCGACTCACAGCCGAGGGTCGAGAGAGCCGGAAAAGTCAATGGAACAATCGCTCATCACCAACACCACAACTATTTGATTTTCATATCAACACCATTACGGGAATTGAACCAAATATTACATATCGATAAAGTTTCCAATGTTTCTAACGTTTAATGAAAAAAAAAACATGTATGCTTTCGCATCGAAATTATTTTATATCTCAATGTAAGTTGAATTCGCGTCGTCGTTCTCATCGGCGATAGAATCTTCTTCTTCCAACACCCACAAGGTCTCGTCAACTGCTGAAAAACATTCGGAAATTTAGGTTGAAGATGTTGAGCGCACATGAAGGAGTTTTGGTTGACGTGGGAGGAGGATTCCGACAAGTACAACGGACGCTGGATATTCTGGACTCGAAAGCATGACGCTCCAGCTTGAAAACCTTGTAGCCGTCAAGACCGAAGGCCCTCTTCGGACCTTCAAGTTTGCATATTCAACTTTCCCTCACTTTTTCAATAGCAATTTATCTTAATACTTCTCGCACAATGTTTGCTTATTTTTCAATAGTGCTAAATCCGCGATAAGTTATGCCAAATACGAATCATCATGGATTTTTAGAAGAAATAACTCAAAAGACTTTTTGCGTGGGGCTCTATTTCAGATGTAGAGCTTAGATAAATCTCCAAGAAGGATTTCGATTTCAAATTATGTTATTCGTTTCTGAAAGACTGGAACTTAGCATAAAAATGGCTAAGGAGATAAATATCTTGCAATTTGAATGTGAACCCAACCCACCAGTTTGATTTTTCCAATCCCACGTTTCGAGCAAGCATCCGTTTCTGACGATCACTGCTTTTGGTGCGTCGTCCCACTGAAAAACAAGATGTATAGATGAAGAACATTTTATTTGTTCAACAGAAAAAAAAACGAACGATAGCTCCAAGGACTCCGCTTCCGTTCTCCCTGATCTTGAGGACGTCGTTGACCTCATCAAGACGGCACATCGTCGAAGAGAACAGCATGGCGCAACACTGAGGACACGACGTCTCCAGAAGCGACGACGAACACGACCTTCTTGAAAGCGTCGCCTCCACCAGCGTCAGCAGTAGGTAGAGGCCGATCTTTAGAAAAAAAGCGAGTTTTAATCAATTTTTCTTTAAGACTGAGGTGAATCATTTTCCAAACAAGATCGCGTTTCATTACTATTAACATCGAATTGAAACATAAAACAAGAAAAAAGTCATAAATTGGATGCGTATGCGCTCTATTCACTACGGACGGCTTCAAGAATTTTTAAAGCAACAGTAATCGATTGAATAGAAGAAAAAAAGTCTTTTTTTGAAATGTATAAAAAAATGTTTCGCTCACAGATATTTATTTTGATTATTCTTATTCTGCTGCGATAAATTAAATCTGAACTAATTCAAAAAATGGGTAATGGACTGCTCTTCGAAAAATATTCAGATTAAGTCTACTTTGGAAAGGCGAATTTATGGGAGGTCAAAAATTTATTTATTTTTATTTTTATTTCCGTCTTCAAAATAGTTTTTATAATAGATTGAATAGAAATTTATTTAAAACATGCCTTCAAAAATCCGATAGTCCAAGATTTGCATAAAAAAAGAGACGGTCGACAATAAGAAAATTTCGCTGCCGCATGTTTTTTGTGGCCCCAAATGTTGTAAGAAAACGGGGGAGGCAGACACAAATAACGAGAGACGCAGACAGGCTGTTCTCACGGTCCTGAAGTGACCTCTCAGGGTTCGATTTCAATGTGATTGGCATGACTCACAGCTAATAAACTGAGTTTTCTAGGCTTTTGGCGGAAGATTCCGTTCAACGCAAGCAGAAATTATTGCTCCTCGCAATTTTTAATTGAAATTTTTACTTGATTCACAAAAAACTGACTGAGAGAAAAAAACGATAAGCTTCAAAAATATCACATTTTGAGTGTTCATTTTCCTATGAAGACTGTAAGACTAAATTTTTTTCTTTTCAACAGAAGTTTTATTATGAAGCTCCTCTAGTTTTTGAAGGAACATTCCTAGTTTTTGAAATAAATTTTATTTCATATCTCGCAACGTGTAGGATGTAAACGCCCCATTTTACGAAATTTCTAGTGGCGAGCTTTTTTTCTATCAATTTCGAAACATGGTGAAAAATGCTCTTGTATATGATAGAAGGAAAAAAATATCATATTTCTTTAAAAATCAAACGGTGTAATGAAAATAGAAAGTATGATCTTGTATTTATCATGCCAGTTCCGGATGTGCATTTTCGCATGAACGTACAATTTAGACTTTCCATCATCACTGTCAAGCTCAGATTATCCTGACTTTTCTTTTATGAATTCGCTTCCTTGTTTGAAAGGCCTACATCGGCGAGAACATTTCCTGATTTATTTCTTATCTCTTCCTCATCCGGAAAATTTGAAAGAAATTCGTTACTGGGTATCCTTAGTTTCAATATGCGAGGGAGGGGAACTTGTTTAGTTGAGAAGTGGATGATCCTCGAAAAAGTTGGGCTTATCATAGATAAGCCTGCACCCACGACCCCCAAACCTCTGCTCATTCACAGATTTCTTAGCTTATGCGCTTTAGCGGATTCTGAACACTAATCTAGAGATATTCTTAGGGGTGGAGCCGATTAAAAGGTTTTAGAGGTATCCATATATAAATAATGTACTCCGTTAACGATACATTCTCTTATTTCGCAAAAAGTGCGTTGGCGGATGTTCTACGAGGCTCCACCGTACGGCTCATACTGTGAACTTTTCCAGCAGCATCCCATGTTTGTCAATCCTTCTCATTTCAGGTTCGTTTCCGTTCGCTGAACTGTAATCTGAGTAAAAAAAAAATTTTAACTTTGAAAATTTTCATTTCTCTTTTCCAAAATACGTTCTGTATAGTCTGTGTACCACGATTTGGAATTTTACCGAACGACATTCCGCTGTTCCACCGGGCGCCTTTGCGAATCTCGGTCGCGCTTTCAATTTTTTCTTTCTAGACATTTAGAAATTTGTTGAGTCCGTCCTCCATGCGAAGCTTAGTGCGAGTGAAAATTATCACAATTATTCCAAAATCTTTTTCAATGAAGTTTGTATACAAATTTTTGAAGTTTTAAGTTCAGGAGAAAATCCCTAAAAATTTTGCTTTTGTCGCGAATCGATTCTTTGTGTTTGAGTATTACAATTTCAAAAAAGTCTGTGAAAAATTTTTTTTTGACGTTCAAACGTTTTTTCCTCTCCCTGAAAGCATGAGCAGGTCTTTAAAAATTTTCTCCGCACCTAACATGAATTTTCGAAAAAACCACATATGTTCTACAAAATCACTGGTAACTTTAAAATATTTAAATTAAAAAGTGCGAATTTCGCAAAACGACGACGATGGCATCTAAATTGATATCCGACAATCCTCGGATCTGCTATAAGCCGGGAGAGGCGGAACCACTGCGGAAGTCTCTATGAATACCGTTGCTGTCGGATCTTGGCGCCAGGCCATAGCGAAAGATTCTCAGAATAATCATATGCTGCAAATGACTTTCCTTAGCTCCGCCTCTTTTCCCATCGTTGCCTCTTCTTCTTTTTCTTCATCTTCTTCGATTGAGTTCTATCCACTGAAAAGTACTCTTTCTCTTGGTCGTCGATTGGCGCCGCCGGGCGTGTTTAGGTGAATCTTTTCTTATTAAGTGAATATCGGCGATTTTGCCTTTTCAGGACATGCATGTTTACATAAAACGACGATTTTCTAAATTCTAGGCTCCGAGGCATAATATAGTTTTCCACATGAAATTTTTCGAAAGTCCCAACTCGAGTCAGCGAAGAGCAAGTCTACGACTAATCATTTGATTTTGATATCATATCACTATCAATCATCTTTATACTCTGACGTTTGACTTCAGAGGAATGGTGGAGCTGCAGACGGAATTGGTCTGCGTCGTCTGCACCGACAAGGCCGAGGGATATCACTTCGGCGCTGTCAGTTGCGCCGCCTGTGGAGCTTTTTTCCGGTTCGGTTATGCCAAAAAAAAAATCTTCTAATTCCGTTTAAAAAAAATGATTGTGTCTTCTCATGGGAAAAATTTTTGTCGAGCCTAAATAAAACGAGCACTTTTTATCGATAGCGAAGCCCTCCCAGTTGCGAAACAAAAAGCCGTGATAAGTCGGATGAGCCAAATTTGATGCCTCCAGAATTATGACGCGAATTGCAGGAGAAGCGTGTCGGACCAAAAAGTTTATTCGTGTTCGGCTCGTGATTGTACCGTCTTTTTCGGTGAGAACACTATGATCAATAATTAAATATTTGATTTGATTTCAGATCCGGCGAAAAGAGGCGGTTGTTGTCGTTTCTGTAGATTTTCCAAATGCATCGCATCTGGGATGATGCCCCATGGTCAGAATCTTGGAAAAAGTACTGCCAAAATCAAAGTCAGACACTTTATAGAAGTGAGAGCGAAAAGATCGAGCACACTGGCATCAGGGAAGACATTGGAACGCTCTCGTTCAGTTTCCACACCTTCCTCTTCTTCGTCTTCTCTATCGCCCTCCATCGTCGTCGTCGAAACATTGGTGAACGCCCGACGTCAGATGTACGCCAGTCGTGAGCCTTTTGCCAAGCAGGTTCAAATCTAATTATTAATTTTAGTTTCACCCTCAATGTTTTCAGCCGTGCTACGAAGGAAGCTTGGAATCGTTGCGGTTGAGCATGAACGAAGAGTTCCGCATGTTCCGATGTCTTATCGCGGAGAACCAAGTCATCCGAGAACTTTTGTTCGGCGACACATGCGCGGAGATCTTCACCGACGACTGGACCCAACTTCCTGTCGGATACGTCGTCCGAGAGGTCTTTCTCATGTTCTACGTCTTCGAGTTGTGCCAGTCGACCTGTGCCGGCGGCGGTGTTCAGCTCGACCGTCTTGTCCTGCCAAATAAGGTTTGGACAGCAAGAATGGGCGTGAAAGCTCTCAGTTCATAGTGTATATAAAGTCTTTTCTTCTGAAGCAATGTTCTTCCCCAAAATGAAATGCGAAATATTCATAACGGAGTCTGATATTGCAGTCCTACGTCGACCTGAACGAGGACGCTTTCCGAAGATTTTTCAATCAACATTATGACCCGGAAACTCTAGCCAGGCAAGTTTCAAACGTCCTTGTAATAAGGAAGTCGCACACAGTTCCTGCTGTGGGGATTATTCGCCGTTCCTCGGAATCATCGCGGAAGTCGCACCCAGACAGCCTGGTTCCATTTATCGCGTGATAAGCGGCTTTGGAATTGTGCTTGTGTGGTTCCGCGTCCACTGGGAGCTTAGCGAAAGAAATAAAAGACGTCATGTTAAATCAATAATAATGGAAAAGTATTGAAATTCGTCTTAGCATTCGATTGAGAAGCTCTTTTCCAATCGAGTTCATTCATTTTCTAAAGAGGAAGAAGATTTAATATTACACATTCAGGCTTTGCGCTGGACCAATGTCTTCGATTGTCCAAATGACGTCACGATCCATCCAATCAGCTCACCTAGATGAAACAGACTCCGCCTTCCTCTTCTACATGGCTCTCAGCCAAAGCGGTTCGCTTATTTTTTGAATAACTTGCTCTAAGAAAACTCAAAATCGAAAAAACTGAAAAAATAAGAACAAAGATTTCTGCACTACTTCTAGTGGCAAGTCTACTCGATTTCTAGATATTCGAATTCGCAATGAAGCACTGGATGTGTTATATTTCAACGAAACACACTGAAGCTTGTTTCGAAATCGAATATAAATTAATTGATTCAAATTCGAATATTTAGTTTTATAAAAAAACATAAATACTCCAAAAGTGCTACGAAAATCCTGTGAAATATTACCGCTGGAAAAAATTGCGGGAGGATAAAAATAAACATAACACAGAGTTTTACAGTACCTCACGAGCAGCGTTGGCCGAAATGCGACGCGACAAGAACTTCTCTGATGTATGAAGTGGCGAGGTCCCACGAAGCCATAGGTCTTGACTTCTGGGTCGAACTCAGCCAATGGAGCATTTCAGGCGCCGACTACGCGATGAAGACCGGCAACACTTTGCTTCTGGTGGGTCCACTTCTGAACGGCGTCTCCTCGCTCCAGGAGATCTTCTCCTTGCTCTACGTCTCCGGAATGAGTCGCGCCGACTCCCATCTTTACTTGCCGCAGTGAGATTTTCTTTCATGACCCACATGATTTAGGTAGCAACGGAAAGATTATTCACCGTTATTTCCAAATTTTCTCGATTTTCCAATTTTCAAAACTAAAAAACTTCTCATACTAAACTAGACACAAAAAATAACTGATACTTTTGCGCAATTCTTTCCTTCAGTATCTACAAAAAATCTGTTAGAGCTATTTTCTTTTTTCTATATCATTCAACTTTCTACCAATTGTTATCAGCCCACGTGTCTGTCAGAACTCCTCGATCTCGAAATGGCTCATTTTTTTTCTCTGAAATCACGCTTTACCGCTGTGATGAATAAATATCGAGTTTGATTGAAACCTCGCAGGAAAATTGGGACCTATTTTTTCTTTACCTGGATGACCTCACTCTTATTGGTAGCATGAAAGTTCCTATACAAACTGAGCACCGTTTATTTTTAGGTACCGTTGCAATAAAAAAGTAAACATAATCAACAAATAAAAGCTACCCGAAAAGATTTTCACAAAAAGAGCTATACGCCGACGGGATCGTCGCCATTAAAAAAAGCAAAATTCTTAATGTATCTATGTGACTGCAAGTTTTCTTTCTGCACGAGCCGTCGCTCTTCATCATCAACGCATTTGACGTCTCCCTGAAGCTCTATTTGGTGATCCAAGAACAAGAAGAGGGGAAACCTTCGAAGTTTCTGAGCAAGCTCGACATAATTAAAACCGAATTTTACCTAATTCGAATATATCTTTGGTTCTAAAAACTCTAACAAATAATTTATGAAGAATTCAGTGAGTGTGCCAAGAGCCCGAAAACTTGGAGTTTGGTCAAGGGGGAACTTTAGTAAAAAATTCATTGAGATTTTAGTTTGATTTACGAAATTATGGTAGGATTGAGTTATATAAAACACCATTAAACAAAAAAGAAGGTTCGAGTTCAATTAAAGTTTAACAAAAAGTTCAAAAATGCGATTTTAATTTCGGTCCAGTTGAATATACCTAAAATATATATCTAGATTGATGAATAATCTTTTTGAAGAGAAAGCCAATCTAGTTGAAAAAGAAAAAGAAAATGATAATAAGGAAGTATTTGAACCTGAAAAGCGATCCGAGGAAGCTGGCCATCATCGCAGGATGAGACCACAGAGTTTTCTTCTTCTTCTTCTTCTTCTTCTTCCTCGATTTGTCGCTGAACTTCGCGCTTTCTGAAAGAATGATTATGATTTCTGAACCGGGTCTTTCTTCTCGAAGAGATCTCTCCCACTCAAACAAAAAAAAAAATTTACACATTTGTTTAGTGTAAAATCTTCATTCAAAGTGGTCGCTCTCATACCGAGGCTTGCACCTAGAGCACGGCCTCCAGGATCCAGCACCAAATCCACTACATGCTGAGCTCGTCAAGGCGCAACTGGATGAACTACGCGAGGAAGAACGAGGCGCAGGACCGTAAGACCATGCTTTCAACTTAATCAACTACACGTTTCGACTTTTAATTTGTCAATAGCGGTTGTTCGTTATAGCTTTAATATTTTTTGTTCACCGCCTAGTCGATTCCATCTATGAGCAAACCAAAAAATTGATTATTTGATTGATCGTTCAAACTCCAGAAAAGTTTCTCTGCTAAATCATTCGAAAATTGATAAGGTATTTGTCGGTTCGAAAACTGTCGTGGACCATGGAGAAGTGATGATCGTCGGAACGCTTGAAAATGGTTTTCTAGTATCACAAGAAGAGTGAGATGCTCTACACGCCGTTCTTTGCCAAACCAGAACTATTGGAAAGGATTCCCACCTGTGGGCGACGACGCAGGCGTAGTCGTAAGCGTCGATTCCGCGCCACTCGTACCCCGCAATACATTCGTTCTGGCCGAAATTTTTTCTAAATCAGAAACAAAATTTTTTGAACTTGGTTAAACTTTACCGCAGCTGAAAGAAGGCGTCCCTGGCATATTGGACGTCTATGTGATTCTGCGTTACAGTTCCTTCATCCCCTTCCACGCAAACTTTCTGTCAAAATGTTCTTTGAAATTATTTCACATCCTGCAATTTTCAAAAAGAAGACCACCAAACAATTTGTGCTCCATCAACAAAAAGCGATTATCACTCACCTGGACGCCGCGGCTGTTGAGGCCTTGATCGGATGGCACGTCGAAGCTTGTATCGGTATTTAGACATCGCTCCTAAACATCAACCCTTCTATAAACTAATCTTTTAAAATACAAAAACGAAAACTCACGGGCCGGAAGTTAGTCACGATTCTCAAGTCGACACTGTGAGTCTTCGGATGAACCCTTTCAACCTGTGAAATCAGCCTAAAACGAGTAACAATTTCAAAATACCTTAACGCGTATTGACTGAAACTCTCCGTTCTCGTCCAAATTCAGGAACTTGATCCATTCTGGAAATGAGGCACAAAATAAAAGACGCTCTTGATCTCACCGGTTCCCACAGTCAATTCGTCGAACTCGTGTTGAACATGTGTGATGAGCTTGGAATAAAAAGACATCCCCCGCTTCTTCACTTGATGAATCACCACGGCGCTCTGGAAAAGTAGTTTTTGGCATCAGCTCCACAGAAGAGCCCGACTTGTCTGATGGCAGCGTCGTTGCCAGAAGGAGTTCGGTACTCGACGGTGTAGACATTCGACGGCTCGTCTCTGTCGTATGGAATCATGACAAGAAGCCAGCCGCTGGTCGACCTGTGAGGCACGGACAAAGCCGACAGCCGCAGGGTGTAGTTCTGTCGGTCGTCGCTGAACTTCTCGATCTTGAAAATACTTTCGAAATAGTACCGTCCAAAGTAGAGCATTCGGTTAGACGGCAGCCAACCGAGATAGTCCAAATGAGCTCCGTTGAGTCCGGGACCGCTCAGTCCATATGTCGAAGGACGCATGTGCGCGTTCGCGGTCGACATCAAGTCATACTTGTCATCGTATTCGCCGAAGCTCGAGTAAGTGAACACCTTGAAAGAGAAATCAAAAGCAAATGGCGAATGATCAGCTTTAAGTAGCTAATTTATGAAAAATCTCACAAAATCCTCTCAATTCTGTTCTTCTCAGATCGTTTTCTTTAATCGACTTTTTTTCATCTAGAAGGAGGTGATCAAATAATTAAGAAATAGATTTACGTCAATTTTTGTTACGAAACTGATTTGAAGTTGACAAAAAAAAAAGATATCCTCACGTGCGAACCTTTTCTCCTTTTATACAGTTGAATCACTGACCTTTCTTTTCCGATCACTGTAGGAATGACCAATGTTCATGCTGTGGATCATCTCATGAGCCAGAACTGAAGTGAAGATGAGCTTCGGGGTGAGCAGCACTCCTGCACACGCGGTCGGGCTCTGCATGCTCTCTCAGCGTACCTGTGTCTTTCCCGTAGACGGCCGTTTGCTCCGTGTTGATTACCGTAATCTTCTGCCTATGCAAAGTGTAGCCGCTCTGTTCGGCGTACGATATACACAGCTGCTTCGCCTTGTCAAACAACTCAACCAGAAGTTAGTAGGGATTCTCTACATTTCAAGCTTACCGCAAAAGGTTTCTCCTTGGCCGACTGAAGACGTGGATCGGTGAGAGCCATTCTAGCAATGTCCTCCCTGCTCCACGGAAGGCGTAGCCAGGAAGTCACATTCGAACCTCTGACTGTGTAAATTCCATTAGAAACGGAGGAGAAGTAGCTCTCGAGGGTGTCTGCATCATAGGGGTCGTTATACGGATTCTGAATGCAAACCACCTGGGTTGTTACCGTCAGTGAGCCATTCGCGGAACCACTCGACGGTGCGAGGCTCATACTCGATGCCGCGCAGTTTGCAGAGGACGATGGACCATGGCTCGTTGCCTCTGCGAGGGATCGCGGCGACGTGCGGGAGCAGCGCCAGCAAGGTCGCCCACCACACTCTCATGTCATGGCTGACGACACTCCGGCTCCGGCTGAATCCAAAACTTACGCTTCTCTCAGAGCAAATGCCCTTGGCTTACAAAGGAAAGAAAGAAAAGCATTTGACAATTTAGCTGTGCTCGCATCAATCAGATAAACTAGTCAGGATCAAATTTCGACCAAATTTATGTAAAATTTCTGTATTAAATTTTTACCACAGCTTGAAAAAAAACCGTATTCACATTTATAAGTCTAAATTTTAGTCTAGACCAGTTTTTGCTATGATAATCTGCACACTTTACAAAGATGAAGCTGATGGAGGAAGACTAGAAACTGATTTGAAAATCTATTTATTTTTCTTTGATAGAATGAAGAAGCTTGGAAGTGAGTCAAGAAGTCACAAAAATAGAAAAAAAAACCGAAATCCAATCAAGTTTTAAATTTGCCGACAGCCGCACTTTTTTTAATCCGTGACAGGGTTAAGAGGGGAAAAAAAAGAAGTTTCCTCGGAACACCGAAGAAAGGGTTAGGAACATTTTTCCTTCTCCCAGAAGGAGCAGAAAAAGGAATGACAGAACTTATTCGTCTTTGTGACTTTTCAAAGAGAGGGCTCACGAGAAGTGAAGAAAGTATGGAAAAGGAACAACCTGACTAGGGAACTACTCGGACTCGGGTACGCGGATCGAGTTCAAACTTTAGTGGTTTATAGACTTAAGTAAGAATACTTGAAAACAAGTGAGAATATCTGCTAAACCCAATAGACAACCGAGAAAAAATTAGTAGAAAATGTGAAAATTAGGCTTGAAAATTTTCAGATTACTGCTTTTCAGTTTATTTCATATTTTAATACAATCGCCTTGAATGATCCGGCTATGATAATCTCCAAAAAACTTTTTTCCAGTCAAAAGAACGAGGAAAGCAAATATTTGATAATTTTCAAGCCTAAATTGTTCCTTTTCAAAAATCTTTTTCTCAGAAGCCTATGGGGTTCAGCAGATAATCTCTTTTGTTTTCAAGTACTCTTACCCGGGTCTATGAGCCACCAAAGTTTCAACTCGAAACGGGTACCCGAGTCCGAGTAGTTCCCTAGTGAGTCCAACAAAACTTTAGAAATTTTCAAATCTCATCGAAATTTTTTTTAAATTGAACACTATCATCAAGTCTAGACATAGAAGCGACCGAATTGTGTTAAAAGTAGTTTTTGTGAAATGCGAAGTTATCTCTGACTCTCTGAATATAAGTTATTTCTTTCACTCTCTGACGGTTATTTATGCCGTGTTCAAAGTGATTCCGCGAAATTCAAAATAGCCGTCAGAGAAAGAGAAAGATAACTGAATTTTGGAGGGTCAGAGACCATTTCGCATTTCGCGGAAATTACTTTGAACACGGCATTAATATTTCGCGGAATCCTTTTGAATGCGGCGCTAGAGACAATATGTAGAAAAAAACTGGCAAACTTTTTCTTTATGGAACTGAAAAAAATTTGTATCACTATCAAAAATTTGTGAAAAAAACCAAAGAAAAAAAGAAACTTGTGCCCGTTTTTTTATGAGAAAGAATTTTTTTGAGAAAAAAAGGAGTTGGATTTGAGCTGATTTATGTTTTTTTCTCAATCGTTTTATCCTCTACGAGCTCATGAGAAGTCATCAAAAAAAAATCTCATCAAAGAAACTGAAACCATGGTAAAGATTGAAAACGGATTTATTGAGAAGTTTTCAAAAAAAAGAAACTTAATCTTCAAAAAGAAGAAAAAAAAAGATGCGATTTGGGACAACCTATTGAGAAAGGGATCAAGGAGAGGATAGATAATCCATGAAGCTGCGTAACCTGTTGAGAGGAATGCGGCGGCTGATCGACACATCTTTTCAAAGATACGAGTCAGAAGGGAAAAGAAGCCGTCTAGAGGCCACCGAGAAGCAGTAAGCAATTCTCAGGTGAGAAGCCATCGGCGAATGGAACGGACTGATGAATATCTCATCGTGTTTCACCTTTCCGCGCCGTGTACCGATTCGATGGGGTCTAAGCAGCCGACGAATCCATATAAAACGCTTAATCGAAGAGATGCGCACTTTTCTGCAACAAGCCTTGATGAACACGATCTTTCGAGACCGCCGCGCTGTTCATGGTGATAAGCCTGTCGTGTTCCTTTTTTCTCGCCACTGTTTTGCACCGCCTCTTATCACGTTTACCGGATTTATGACTTCTCATCTTCTCGCCGATATTTTTGGCAACTTCTGATGGAACACACCGCTGGGTTGAAATCTTCTGAGGCGTCAAAGGGGACTTGCGACCCAGCGTCAACGTACAGGTGCTGCTACATTTAGGTTTGCCTTAGGACGTATTAGAGCTTCTCCAATTTTCTTTTCACAGTTGCGAGCACCTTAGGTAGGAATTTAGTTTCTTAGAGCTATAATTAGGACCAAACCCACGGTAAAATCATTTTCAAGGGCAAGAGGTTGCAATTTAGAAGTTTTTTTTTTGACAGTAAAGCAGAGTTTTCTTTTTTATTCTCTTAAGTGTGTCTACTTTAACTCCGATTTACAAATAATTTCTTTAAAATTTTTCTATCGACGCCGATGGACAATAAATTAGAGAACCGACTCAGATATTAGGGAGTTTCACCAAAGTTTCTGACTTTTTAACATCACTAGTTGAAAGGTCTTGAGACCCCTGACTTATCGAAGGACTAAAAACTCCTCATATTATGCGTGGACACCGGACGCATTCCCTCTTTTTCTCTCTTTCAATGAGCTCATGCAACTGACGCGCGGTTTTTTGGCAAGCGTGTATCGTACATTCACTGAATATTCAAAACTTTTTTTTCAGATTGAGATTTTTTGATTTTTAGATAATCTTTATGGCTCTCGGTAGTTCTCTCTTTTGGAATCGACAACTTATAATCTGATCTTGTTTAGATGGCAAAAACTGACGAAACCGAAGAATCAGGTTCTTCATCCACCGGACAGTTCAAGAAACCTTTACTTCCTGGTCAAAACGATTCTTCTTCTGATCAACCACCCGTCAAAAAAGCAAAAGGTTATTGATTGTTGTTCTTTTTTACAATGAATTTCAGCTGAGGAGCCGAAACTCAAAACGTTAAAGTATGAGGCTGAATATTTGAAGTCAATCCCAAGCTCATCACAATATGAAAAGTCATTCATGCACAGAGATGTAATTTCTCATGTTTTAGCAACTCAGTAAGTGATGTAATCAACTCCTCGGGTTTCATTGAATATTTAGAACTGATTTCATCATCACAGCAAGCGTTGACGGTCACCTGAAGTTCTGGAAGAAAAAGTACGCTGAAGGAATCGAATTTGTCAAACACTTCCGATGTCACTTGAGTGAGAGCTTCGGGGTATTAGATCTCTGGACAGAATACTTTCAGGCGAATTCTCTCATTTGTGCACCAACTTTAACGGAACTCTCCTCGCTACAGTTTGCGAGGGGGACAAATCCGTTAAAGTTTTTGACGTTGAGAACTTTGACATGATCAACATGATCAAGCTGGATTTTCCTCCTCGCACGGCAGCTTGGATACATCAAGGTTCGGTTTTAAAGCAGTCTATCACTCTATTCCGTTTATAAATGGCTATTTTATCAGCATACATAGAAAGTGAGTGAAGATTTGCGTTGTAGGCAGCGAGATGATATCTTATCTGGCTATTGCGGCAGCAGATTCGGGTAACATAATCGTGGTGGATGGGAAAGCGACGGCGACGCCCTTACACGTTAAAGACAAGTTGCATTCCAGGCCTGTCAGAGTCATCGAGGTTGGATATTTTTCAGAGAAGCAAGGAAATATTCCTTTACAGTATTGTCATGCTCTGGATATTGTTGTATCCATTGACGATGCCGGCATGATCGAGTGCTGGTCGGGCGAAAAAGGCGAATTTGACTTTCCGCAAGAGCGGCTCAAGTGGGAGTACAAGGTCGAGACTGACCTGTACGATTTTGTCAAGGTTTGTCGGAATTTCCAAAAAAATCCAAAAATCATAATTTACACGAAATCGATTAAAAATTAGATTTTCTTTTTTTGAGATGGAAACATATTTCAAAGAAAAATTGCGCTGCGCATGAAGTTGTTAAAATTCATATTGATTTTTTTCAGAGAAACTTATTGAAAAATTTTTGATTACTATGAATTTTCACCGTGAAAGTATCTTTTTTTGAGTGTAATTTTCATAAAATTTGTCATCGAAAAATAAAATTTATTTATCAGCATTTTAAAGATCGGATGCGATATGAAGCATTCAATTTTATCATTTGCTACTAAAAAGTTGGGAGTTTATTTCAGGCGAAAACTTTTCCACAATGCGCGGCTTTTGCACCTAACGGCATGAAATTAGCCACCTATGGCGACGATCGAAGGATACGAATTTTCAACATTGTCACAGGAAAACTAGTCAAAGTTCTCGACGAATCTGTCGCAAAATACACATCGGAGGCTAAAGAGAAGAAGTCAGTTCTTTCTGCTTTCAAAAGTTGCAGAAGAGTTTTCTTAAATGAAAGATATAAAATTCAAGAAACGAAACCTTCACGAGGTTGAGGAACGACTTCACTCGATGTTTGTGACTGGTTTCCAGACGTTAATAATCTATAATAGAGAAATCAACTTTTCCTTGTCTTCTGGAATTATTACAGATAGTTATTTTTAGGAACTACGGACTACAAAACATGGAATGGAGCAGGCGCGTAGCTGTCGAAAAAGAAATTGAGAAGGTTTTGTCTTTTTTCCTTTTTTTTAATCATCATTCATGAGTTTCAGGATCGTGCAATTTCTTTGAGGTTTTTGCGCATTTGTTGGGATTTCTCTGGCAATTTTCTGTTGTTCCCCACTCCGATTGGAATCAAGGTTGCAAGAATAGATTCGAAACGATTTCTGAAATATTTCCTTTGAGGTTTACAATGTTGTGACGGACAGTGTTACGCGCGAGATCGGGCGCGACGAAACCGCAAGATTCACTGGCGTTTCCCTTTGTCGGTATGTACAATCCTAAACATTTTTTTAAAAATATTAAGACTACAAAAAAACGGGAAATGTGAGGAATCATCAAAAGTTGACACTTATTTCAATTGTAGAATCTTTTTTTATTACTGTCAATTAATTAATGCGATATCGTGAACCGATAATGTATAATTTTTTGAGTTCAAGTATCCCTAGAAGCCTTTTTTTTGCAGTGCTGTGCCAGACATCAGACAACGACTCCAAGGGGCTGCCGTGACCATGGAAGCGGCGGCGGCAGACAATCCGAACCTCAACCGCAAAACGGATCCTGACCCTCTTCTTGTGAGAATTTCTGATCGAGTTCCAATGTAATCCTGGAGAGTTTAGGCCTGTTGTGCTTTGAAGAAGAACCGCTTCTATCTCTTCACGAATACGGAGCCTTACGCCGTCGAGGACGACGAGGGAAATGCGTCACTTGCAGGTCGCGACGTCTTCAATGAGCGGCCGAAAAAGGAGGATCTTCTCACAGCGTTGGAGGTTATTTCTTGGTTTCTTTCCGAAGGATTTATAAATAGTCGATTCATTTGATTGACGTTAAAACTTGTAAGATGGTTCAGTTTTTTAACGCATCTTTTGATCTTATTATTAGGAGTTTTGAAAAGGAGTACTCGAACTTTTTTGCGAAAAATTGCCAAAATTTAGTTTTGTCATTGTTTTATATTCTGTTTAGGCATAGTGTTATTGAAAGTCGGCTGATGAACTCAGTTTTTTGCACCTCTTCACAGCAGAACCATCATAAATATCCGATGAAGAATTCTAAATTCTCAAAAAATTAATCTCCGAAAGTTTTGTTCCAACGAGAATTCACAGGGCGACAATTCGGACCGAGTCCTGAACTCTGAGGCGACGCTGCACACAACATTTGGAGACATCGGCATCAAGTTGTTCGGAGACGAATGCCCAAAAACTGTCGAGAACTTCTGCACACATGCTCGGCGCGGATACTACAATGGCTTGACTTTCCACAGAGTTATCAAGTCTTTCATGATTCAGGTTTCTAAATTCGAGTCGATAGAAATGATCTCTCGCATTAAATCTTATTAAGAACATAATTTTTGCTTTTACTTCGATTGCCGGCCGGAGTAGTTTGAAAGTTAACAAAGTTCAAGAAGTAATTATCCGATAGAATCCCTGTCACCTCGAGCAAATGTTCCATTTCAGACTGGTGACCCAACTGGAAAGGGGACTGGCGGAGAATCGATCTGGGGCAGCGACTTCGAGGACGAGTTCCATCCACGCTTGAGGCACGATAAGCCCTTCAAAGTTTGTTTTTTTAACCTTGTAATTTTCGAGAAGATGATCCTTTCTGTTCAAGTTGTTTTCATCTAAACTTCCGATTCAGGTCTCGATGGCCAATGCTGGCGGCGGTAACACCAACGGATCGCAATTTTTCATCACAGTTTGTCCGGCCGACTGGCTTGATGGCAAAAACACTTTGTTCGGCGAGGTTCCATTTTTTTAGCGTTTCTTTTCTATAACTCTCTGCTCATTTTGAAGGTTTCGTTGGGAATGAACGTGGTTCAGCGAATAAACCAAGTGCCGACCTATGAGAGAAGTGGAAGACCTCGAGAGGAAATTCAAATTGTCTCGATCAGTCTCAAATAAAATTGATATTTTTGTGTTTTCCCTTTCTCTGTACTTTCTTGTTAAGTTATTTGTCGCCGTTCAGAAATGAAATTTTCAATTTTTTTTTATTAAAGCTCAGTTTTCACCTATTGCTCATTTGAGGTATAAGCTCCGGTACATCGATAATGACAAATATGAACAGACATTAATTAAAAGTTCAGAATGCGGTTCTAGCCTCTGTATGGAGTTTGATATGCCGTCGGATAGGCGTCCGGTATTATGTAGGGCTCTTTTTCCGGATGTGGCTGACTTGGAGATGCATAGGCGATGATGAACCTTAAACTCAAGAGATTCACCCTATTTCCCAGTCGGCACTAACTTTTCGCCTCTCTCGATTTTGCAGATGTAGTCTTTGTAGAAGTGAACCTTCGTTGCGAAGTCACCATATCCTACTATAGTTTCAAAATTCAAATCGAAGGCTTCGTGTGCGTTTTCCTGAACATTTTTGTTTCAGAGGCTATCCAATTAGATGTTCGGGATATTTACTTCTTTTGTTCCATCAAACTCTGATTTTTCGAACGAACCCAAATAGTCATAATGTACACAAAGTTTCAGAGTTGGAGATGTAAATTTTTATTTCAAAGATATGAGTTTTCAACAGAACAAAACTCTCAAACGTAAATTTTCTTGAACTAGGAGTAGGCCCAGAAAGCAACTACATATGCTCGATTTATAATAAAAAGCAAAAAGTTTGAGCAATCTAATAGACCTATTGATTGACCTCACTTGTTGAGAAGCCAGTGAGTGTTTTCTAAGACCGTGTGATAAAAGGAATACCTGGATCTTCTCGACCAACTTTTCTATGTTGCAGGATTGCCACTTGGGATCCATGTCCAAGTCGTCGTAGGTTTCTTTCATGAGCCATTCCAATCGCGGATTGCAACACATGAAGCCTGAGAAATTAGGAAATCTCGCGAAAGTCTCATGAACCACTGTCGTTGGTATAGCACTGTGGAAGCGGGTACTTGGGCCGCGGAAAGTCGTGATCCCAGTCGTTGAAAAATGGAGGAAGACTGAAGTCGTTGCGGAACTTTCTTTTCGAAAATAAGTCGGGCGAAGATATCTGCAGGATAGATTAGTGTCTGATTAATTTTGTATTAGGAAACTAGTCGCTTCAGCTCATGCTTTAAGATCTTCTCCTCGGCTATCGCGGGTCGTCTGGGCTTCTCTGAACGTTAAGATGGCACTCCAAACGGTTAAATCAGTACCTAAAAAGTCTCTTTGAGGGATGACAAACGGCTGGCGAACGTAAATTGGTCGGCCGTAAATGTAGACCCGGGCAACGGGTGTGTTGTTTGGCGCGAAGCTGAAGACTTCCTGAAGCCGCAATCAGATTTAGAAATTGAAGGTTTTTTTTTCTAATGCCTGTCTTGATGAATTGTTCTTCGGACTGGAGGGTTTCAAATCTGTCGGAGTGATCAACGCCGCCGTGAATGCCGCCAGAAACCACATTTTCCGCAGGTTTTTCTATTTACGTCTTAACAGTTCAAATATCAAAGGTAACTGAGCGTCAAATCAATCGCTATCCTTTTTTTTATGAGAATAGAAGCTCTCCACTTTTATGTATATCGAAATTTGCGACAAATTTATTAATTGAAAATTTCAAAATTTAGAGGATATAGTTTATTTCATGTGTTTGGAATAAGTTTTCTTCAAATAGATATAAATCTTAACTCTTCAAAAACAAAAACACGGTGTTTGGAAAACCATATACTCATTTTTTTAAAGTTCGATTGGCGAAAAGCCTTCTTTAAAAATCCAAGAAAAGTGTTTTGAAAAGACTATTATGAGTTCTTTTGTGCTGACTATTTCTTCTCGCAGGCTGAAATAAGTATATTTCCGACTGAAAAAGTTCAGGGTTTCGCCTTTACTGATGAAGAGCAGGACTACGCTTCTTCAACCTTCGAAGAGACTTTTTATTTGACATCAGTGCTAAAACAACAGAAGGAACACCTTTCGTCTCATATTTTTGATCAATGAATGGCTAGAGCCTAGCCATATTTAGCACATCACAACTAATTTTTAACGAAGCCCGAAATAATTGTGTGGAAGGAACGAGGAGAATGGAATCGAGTTGAGGCGTGGCAACAAGACTCTAGGCGGCCTCGCTGGTTTCAACAGGGCCCAAAATAGACATGGAGACGAACTTCGATTAATTTGGATTATTGTTATGATCCTTGTGATAGTTGAAACAGCCATCGTCGAAACTCTAAATTGAGTTTTCTTCAAAAAACCCATTAAGAGATCACTTTTATCTTTGAAACATTCATTGTAATTGTTCACTTCGGGGAATTTTTCGAAGACGTACTATAGTCAACTTTTCTGTCCAGAATCGAAAAAAGCGTTCTCAAGCGTTTGCCTGAATGTCTGTCTGTTCGGTTCTTCGGCACTTCATATTTACTCTCAATCCTAACCGTTTTTCTATTTACAGTTTTCCAAAAATAAACTGTTTCTTTGAAAAGGCGCTGCAGTCTTCTCAGCGACCGTACGACCTTTATTGGACTCGACATTTTCATCATTTTTTGCAATCGAATGATTAAAGAACCAATGATAAGAGGAATAGATAAGCAAATGAAAAACGTGATGTCACACTTTCTTATTGAGGAAAATTCTTGAAATTCTATGTGCTGTCAAAAAATTCTCAGTATTTTCTTTTGAATCTCATCAGTTTTCGTTCAGTTATCTGTCGGAGGCTGAAGCCGCAAATTAGCTATTTTTAAAATCATAAAAAATTGCACGGCTCTTACGAAGATAAAATTGGATAAATGAATATTAGAAAAATATGGAAACCCTTTTTTTAAAACGAATAATTAGAAATTAAAAAAATTTTGATGATAAAAAGAAATAATGTCAAAAATAGATCTAGAAAATTGAATCCAAATTTCCAATTGTTTCATAAAAATGTTGAATGACATGCATGCAATTTGAAATATCTCAGATTATACAATAAGAAGTGTCATAAAGCCCAAGTTAAGCCGAAAAAGAACTTTTAAGTAACTATTTTGGAATGAAAGGACAATAAGGAAGGTGAGAGGAGTTCTGCAGAAAGATGGTTACTATATAAAGACGCTCGAAGAAGGGCGAATGACTCGGCGTGCTGCGGATCGGCACCAGATAATCCCGCGCCAAGAACAGGTCTGACTTCGTCTTGAAACCTCAGTAGCTTCGGGGCAGGAGGAGAAACGGGAATGAGCCGTTCCGCTGTTGATTTGCATCGGTTACGCCTTGGCATTGATACTTCGTTGTTCTTCAGAAGAATTGTTAATTGATTCCGCTGGTCTGTCCAGTGAAAGTTGTATATTCAAATTTGGGCAGCCGAAGTACAAATGAGAGAACTGGTCGTTGGGCTTTGGAGGAGTATTTTGAGAGTATTTATTCGCATTGAGTGATTCTCGGGTTAGTACTTTTCCGATCAGATTATCAAAATCTTCAAACTTCAGCATTTCTGAACACTATTTTTCAAAGAGAATAGTGCAGTCAGTGGCGTTTTGAAATGGGAAATCGGCGCGAAGGATTAATTTCTGGGCTAAAATAATTTTATAATTTCAGAAGTTCAGGTGGCATTTTTTTTGTACGATTTCCAAAAACCCTAAATACTCATTCAGGTTGAGCCCATTCTAGCAGAGGTGAATGGAGAATTGAGTGTTATTTTGAATTACCTTAGATACCTTTTTCTAAAACTGGAAATTTTTTAAACCTCGTATTGACTGCGTTTATCTAAAATTTTTTGAATTCAGACTTCGACCTTTAACATTCACAGAAACGATTACGAACGAACCATAATTTCTTTAAAATTCTGTTTCCTTGTCCAATGAGCTGATAAAAGTAAGCGGTTTAAAAAGTAAGTAACGGATCATTATGAAAAATTACTCGAATTCCAATTTTTTCCTCGAGACGCATAAAAAAGTTTTAGGAGGCGAATCTTCGTCGATTTTCTCTGTTGCAGAATACCATATACCTGTGTTGCAGGTGACCTGATTGATCTCACTCGAAAACTTTTCGTTGACATAAATAGAAACCGTTTCTTTGCAGTCATTAACAGTTCAACGGCACCCGAAGGCAGCAACGAAATCTCTCGCCGGAGAATGTCGACGAAATTGACGGAGGAAGAGGAAGAGTGCGCCCTCTGTGAACATTGGTCTCGATACGTACTGTAGAAAGCCGAAACTAAACTGAAGTCTTGAGGTTTCCCGGGGCCGATAACAGGTGCTCTTCTTTCGTGATCGCTCCATCCACGGTTGCAGAGAGATGATGCGAAGTAAAGCTCCGCCCATTTGGCTAGAGTCTCCTTTGACCATTGGCTGGCCTCTTTGGCGGTGATTGCTTTTTTTGCAGCTCTGAGAAGGTATTCAGACTGAAAATGTCGAAATATGCGTCAGAAACGAAGATTTATAAAAAATCGAAGAAGACATTTTATTTCTATTTTTCTACTTCTTATCAGAAAAACCATTTTGGTTTTTATTTTCAAGCCTTTAAAAGTTTTCCCATAAGTTTTCTGATGAATTATATGAATGTCGTCTTCTTGCGCTCTTTTACGGTTTGAGCGGCGTCGGCAGCCCAAGTCGATGAGGCGAGGTTCTACATTAATATCAGTGGGCTGGCTCGATTCAAAAAAAAGTCAAAAAAAAAGTCCACGAGAAGATGTTTTCTGTTACCGAGACGATATCGGGACGAGATGGCAGCTCGTCTCAATAGACCGAGACAGAGACGAGATCGAATTCTCGGTCCTCCCTCGTCTGAGGATTTTGATGTCGTGGTTTCCCATTACCAACATTTACTCTTGGTTATGTCGCGGTGGGATCGAGCTTATGACCCTTTGGACCGTAGACAGGCACACAACCTGTTGCGCTACGGCGCGCCGCAAAAGGATGAATTTCTTGGGATTCGCAAACTGCATCTTGTTACCGAGAACATTCTTGTTACCGAGAACAAAAAAAGTCCGATGATATATTCGTTTAGCGAAACAAAAAACTTCTGGGCAACTTTAAAAAAAAAAGGTATACTTCATTAGCTGCGTCTTGAGACACTCTGACTTGTCTCCGCTCTCTTCTTTTACTCAGCGAGGTTAGGGAAACGTAAAATTGCACGTGAACGCGAGAGCTTCGTTGAGAGAAAAGAGTGCGCAAAAAAGTCTCACTTTTTTCAAAATGTGGTGAATGACTATCGATTGAGCTCTTTATCGTTGGAATGCGTTTTTAAACGGAAAATTTTTTTTAGTATTGTTTAAAATAACTCACGAGAAGAACCACGTCAGTCTCAAGTCAAGAAGTTTCGAAAGTAATCATTCATGAGCTTCTTTCATACATCAAACCTCTAAAAGTTTCCTAAAAGGTCGTTCAAAATTGGTTTTTCTAATGTTTGTGATGTTGGCTGAGACTTTCGGGTATTCTAGAGAAGGAGTTGCTGAAGGTTGATGCATGGAAGGCCTTCATCGAGCACATCAGGAAGTGTTTTGCCTTGCAGAAAACTTCCAAATCCAGAGTTGAACGATCTTCTTTATGAGCAAATCAGTCAAAGCCAGAGCCAGGTCTTCTTTCTTCGCTGCACTGAAAAGCACTGTCTAGCCGTAGTTGGAAAAAGATTGTTCCGAGTTCTGTCAACAAAACTTTTGCAGAAAGTCAACATGGTACTTTGGTGCGACTATGTTTTGTGGTTCGATCGGAATGACCGGAGCGACGGTGGGCGTCCCCCAGCTGACAAGACTCTAGGCGGTGGCGGTTATTTTCGGCGCCGCCTTGTCAACCTCTACTGTTTTCGGGTGCCTCGAGGCATTGCGACCTGATAAGCCAGTCCACAGAATCTCGTCCGGGGAGCGACGGACGGTTGCTTCTTCTCCGCCATGGAAGTTCTGGTCAACCTGCATCCAAACAATCTCCGCTACCTGTTCTACCTGGTCACTCCCAATGAGACGACCTTCGCCGATACTGCCGCCATCCCCAACTACACGGATCTGGTCAGCTTTTGAGAGTTTAGAACTTTCAGAGGGACTTCAGAGAGAATTTTGGAGTTCTGACATCAACGAAAAATGAAAAGCCATTTTTCATCTCATTGAGGTCGTCCTCTGAAACGTCTCTAATAGTTTATGTTTGATAGATGCCCGATGGATTGTTCAGAACCCTTTAGTGACCGCTTTGCAACTTCAATCAAATATTACCTCACGGCAATTATCGTTATCAGAGTGAATGAAAAGTGTCGTTTTTTACTTTTATCGCAGTGCTACAACGCTACCGTAGCCGATCACGAATGAGCACGAGCTGAGACCAAGTTCTGCGGCAAATGGGGGCGGAATTCTCTGTGGATTCAACGCACATTACCGTAATGATTAGGAAAAGGCTTAGCCAAAGTCTTGACTTAAAGATTAGTTCGATCAAAGATCTATGTCAGCATAATTAGTTTAATAATAATAATAATTTATATAGACTATTTTTAATTCAAAAGACACATTAATAATGAGAAAAAAAAACTTTAAAATATTGATTCAATGTCGAATTGCCTGAAAAACTGACCAAAGACCTTGCATTGGGTTAAATAAACGTTGAATGTATATTAATCCAAATAGGATATGATTTAGCGAAAAGATCGAAAAAAAAAACGAAAAAATTGGCCTTGAGCCAAACGCCTGTTTAAGGTGACCGGTCGTAATACGGTAGTTTGGATAGGTTTTTCAATAATAAAATGAAATCTTGTGTACTTTTTGTGACGTAACTTACCTTGTAACCTCGAAAAATAGGTCCTTAACGAATTGCAAAAAAGAAAGAAAATTAAAAAAGTTTCCTGGCTCCGAAACTGACTGCGCAATATTGGCCGGCCACCGGCTGCCGTAGTACTGTCTTAAACATGCGTGGCCAAAAGTGAGTTTTGTCATCAAATGAACATAATGACACATATTTAAAAAAAAAAGGACGAATCTAGTTTTTTTTTATTTGCAGACGATGCCGTGGTTGATCGTCTTGGTGGTTCTGGAGTACTTTCTCAGCGACGACAACAAATTTGCCTTCAACGATACGGTAACCTCAATCAACGCCGGAATATTGTCTATCATGTTCAAGTTCGTTAGACTTCGTCGAAAGTGCAGAGAGAGAAAGAAGGATTCAGGTTTGGCGGAAAGTACCTGTCGGCCTTGGTGTACTCCTACTTCTACACCCACTTCAGGGTCTTGGATCTCGATCCAATGGCCGCCTCAACTTGGGTTTTGTGCTTTTTCACGCAAGACCTCGCCTACTACTTGGGCCATCGAGCCATTCACGGTGAGATATTTTTGGGAGATTTATCTGAGGCTTTGGATGATGTCGAAAGTTTTTAGCGGTGTAAAGAAAAAAACCTTTTTGAGAAAAAAGGTAGATTTTCTCTCAATTTTTGCAAGGTTTTTTGAAAAGCTGAAAATAATACATTTTTTGTGTTTTGTATAGATCAATTTTTTTGAAGCTAATCTGAGTTGTCGACAGGAAAAGTGAGACCTTTTGAAAAATAAGTTAGCTGCGCCTATAAAATACACAAGCTCATTGTATTTTCGCGAAGTGGGGAAAGATACTTTCTTTTCTATGAAGAAATTTCATTTCAATGATAATATTCTCCGCAGTAGCAATGAAGAACAGCTTACAGAAGCCGGCGTTTTTTGGTCTTTCCACCAGATGCACCACTCCTCCGAGTACTACAACCTGAGCACGGCCCTGCGACAGGGCGCCATCCAAGACGTCGGAATGTGTTTCTTCGACCTTCTTCAGAGCTCCGTCATCCCGCCCAACATTTTCTTCGTCCACCGCCACCTCAACGTTCTCTTCCAGTTTTGGCTGCACACGGAGGTTTTCACTTCAAATCGATTTGCTAGAACTTTGCGAAAGTCCACAAAGGGAATTCGGCGAACTCTTCCGCTTTTAAATCTTTTTTTTCCGATTTGTGCTTTAGTTTCTAAACGTCGTCTTGAAATTCAAAGAAAGTCGAATGAGTGATGTTTGAACTAAGGCGGGACTGACCACTATCTCCCAGCGATGACAAAAAAGGGTGATGTGTGGTTTATGATCGAAATGAACCCTGGTTCCGCGTCTAAACATCTTTTTTTATTTCTGGCGCCGCGTTCGACATTGATCTTTTGCACTGAAAACTACACTGTGTTCGCTATAAACAGTGTAGTTTGCCAATAGTTTGAGACAGTCTCGAAGTCTTGATAAACCAAGATGACTTTTGCAGATTGTTCCTCCGTTGGGACCCCTCGAATACTTCCTGAACACGCCGTCGAGTCATCGTGTTCACCACGGACGAAATCCCTACTGCATCGACAAGAACTACGGAGGCACACTTATCATTTGGGACAGGTTGATCATCTCCAGATCACCTCGACAAACCACCTTTTCAGACTTTTCGGAACTTATGAGAAAGAGCGCAAAAATGAAAAAATCGCTTACGGGCTAGTCTCCAATGTTCACACGTTTGATCAGCTATATTGCCAGGTTTTTCGGAGTCCGAGTCTTTCATGAGATACTTGTTTTTTTTTCAGTTCTTCGAGTTCAAGCAGCTGGGTTATGACAAACCAAACCTTGTGGACGAGAATGGCAAGCCGATTTTTCCTACTTTCTGGGATAAAGTAAGCTGGAGTCGTTCTTTCCTACCGTCATGAAACTGCTTTGCAGATATTTAATTTTCTTTGAATTAATATTTTTTAGTTGACACATTTTCAGTTTAAAGCCGTTTTCGGACCTCCTGGCTACTTCCCAGGCGTACGAACTAAGCAGTTCTTCTGGTGGCGCTGCATGGTGGACAGCAAAGAAGGCATTCCTGAGGTCAGACACCAGCTTCAACCTCAAGCAACAGAGTTTTCAGATCGAGAAACGCGTCGAGGTCTATAACCCACCACTGACGCTCGCCTTACGCGTTTTCCTCGGAATCCACTTCGTCGTGCTCATCTTCGCCTCTCTGCACTTCAACCACGTTCGCGCCAGCCTCGACTACCCACAGTTCCTATTTGGACTCGCCTTCATTGTCTCCACGACGCAGATCTTCGGCTACTACTTCGACAACAGGTTCAGTTGTCCTTCCCCACTTCAAGATTGTTTCTGCTCCTCCAGATACGCGGCGTTGCCCTGTGACATTCTGCGACACATCGTCGTGTTTCTGGTCGGCCTGCACTTCGGCAACCGCGACTGGACTTCCTGTGCCCTCGCTTCTCTCGTCGCCATCACTTGCCTCGCCCAGTCCCGCCAGATTTATGTTGCCATCGAGCAGAAAAAGCTTGAATGATCATCTTCTGAACTTGCGTAGCACTTTGCTTTCCCGTGAAACGTGTTTTTTTTCACTGGTTGTCATATACGGGTAATGCAATTCTTCAATTTTTCATGGTTTGCCTACTTTTAATGATTATTTTTACAACCCTTCAACAAACTATCCTATCATTTGTTTTTAAACCATGCAAAGATAATTTTTTTTTTCTTTTTTGGTGCACTACAAAGGACAATAATGCCAAAAATAAATAAGTTGAAAAAAATGAGTTTATTCCTCCTATTTTACACTTCAAAACCCTCTTCTGGAAATTAATCTAGGAAAAAAATTATATGGAAAAAAACTTATTAAGTGAACACTTGGCAATCAAAATCAAATCTAACAACCCTCCATATATTCTCGACCGAGAACGTTCTTTTCGAACGCGGGAGAAAACCCGCATTTTTTTGAATATTTGTGTACGGTACTCTCCTGCCGTGTGGTCAGTCGTGTGCGTGTCATATGCTCGCTTCAAAATTCGAATTTTTTGTTATGAAATTTGTTTGGTTGTATCTCTTTTCTTTTCAAACTAACCTTACATAGCAATTTTTTTTCTTGGCTTGTTTAATGTTTGATAACCGTGTGAAAATTCGTAGCCACAATGCAAAGCTGTTAAAAAAAATGATCCTTTCCACGCAATGAGCACATTTTTTGTTTTAGACAAATTTTTCGTTTCTTTTTATAGAACATGTATTTCTCAAATAAAAATAAATTGATTTTTTGTTCAAAAAAAATCTTATGTATATAGTTCCTTATTTCATATCATCCGGTCCGAAATATGAATTATACAAGATTTATTATTTATTCGCATCATGGGAATCTTTTGCAATATAGTCTGTACAGATTTTGAATGTCAAGTAGAATGACGTCATTCAAAAACGCTCTGTGGATGGCACGCTCTCTGATTGGTTTATCGCGCCATTAGGGGGCGGAGCTTCAGCGAAGACTTGACATTTGAAATCTGAACAGACTATACCTGCGTTAAACGCTCCTATTCATATGGTTTTTTGCTACTGAGCTTTCGAAATAAAATGCCTATCGACTTATAGAAATGTCGGCCCAACAGCAACCAGTCAACCCTAAGCCTTTCCTCAACAGCCTCACCGGAAAGAATGTTGTTTGCAAATTAAAGTGGGGAATGGAGTACAAAGGTGAATTACAAAATTTTTACAAAATCAAAATTTTTTCTTTTTACAAAATCAAAATTTTTTCTACTTTCCCGTTTAAGGTGTTCTTGTTGCGGTCGATTCTTATATGAATCTTCAACTAGCTAATGCTGATGAATACATCGATGGGAACAACACCGGTAATCTTGGCGAAATTCTCATCAGGTACATCAACATATTGATTTCAACTTTAAAATGTTTTTGAAGATGCAATAACGTGTTATACATCGGCGGTCTCGACGCCGAAGCGGAATCTTCTGCCTAATTAAATTATCTCTCAACGCTTTTCTTATTTTTTTTTCACACTTTCACTATGTTTTGTTGATAATGTTTTTTCAAATAAATTTGATTTCCTATTCATGCGTTATCGATCTAGAGGATATCAAATCCACAAGTAAACTTCTTGTTGTATTTGAGAATTATGGATCTTTCAAATATACTTTTTTTATCATAAAAAGTGTGATGAAAAGAACGACGCGAGAACTTACTGATGAAGAAAAGCGAAAGCTAGGAGTTCCAGATGAACCGCTGAAAAATACAGGACAATCTACTGGAATGAAAAGTTCAATGCCTTCTCAGGTTCTCATAGAAGAAAATATTTTTATTGTTAAATTTCAGTCAACTACTTTGAGGGAGCTTACGACTGAAGAAAAACTTGCATTTGGTATTTGCGATGAACTCCTTTTTCCACCAACAGGTTTTGGTGTTTACAGTATGGTCAGATGAGATAAAATAGCTGATTTTGAGGGAGATATATTTTAATCGCTACTTGCGCACGGCTCTTCTTCAAAATAGGCATTGAGTAATATGACGTAAAAAGTTTGGAAGACTCAGGTCTTTTAAGCGATAAGTTATTCAGCTCCAAATAAAGAAATTATCTATCAAAAACAATGAAAAAAAATATATCTACGCATAATGTTTTGGTTAAACGAGAATAAATTTCTGAATGTCCTAGTGAGTCCTTGGCAATGAATATATAAAAAATTGTATTGAGATCTGCAGATTCACCGGACTTTCGTCATGTATTGGGGGAAGGAAAAAGGATTTTCCGCACTTCCAGGGTCAGTTTTCCTCCAATGAGTTATGGAAAAAGCTCAATAAAATCATATTTTTCATAAGCTATGGTCTCAGGGAAAAAATAATGAAACCCGATTTGAAAAAAAATTGTACAGAAAAATACGAGAGTGGAAGAAGCGGAGCTGACAGAAAAGGACGTCGAAATGTATCACCAAAACTTTAAACTTTTCAAAAGCTTGGAAGAAAAGGTTTTTTGTTTTATTTATTAAAAAATTTTCTACATTTTTTTACGTGTTAGCGTGATGAAAACGACCGATACTGTGCAACGCAAGATTTTCACGGCCACCGAACCGAAACAACGGTCCTACACAAAAATATCAGGTTTTTCGTTGTCGTTTTTTTTTTAGTAATATTACTATTATTTTTTTAGTATTATACGAATCGGTATTTTTTTGTTCATAGTCTGTTACAAAAAAACTTGCGGAAGTACACATAAGTCTTGAAAAATTCAGAAAACTTTGTAAAATTTCTGTAGAAAGAAGTTCGCTAGCTAGAAGTCCACTAGTCACATTTCCAAAACCTTTCCAGTTCTTTTGAGATTCCCTTTTTTTTTACAGATATATCATGGTGAAAGATCAAAACGTCCGTTCCGGTGAGTACGGTAAGCTATTCTCTTTTTGGGCAATTTCTCAAACAAAAATAGTAAATGTTTAGATTTTTTAATTTTTTCTGTTTTCGGTAGCCTCCGGTCCCTCATGTAGCTTCGACGATCCAAACAGTTGTTTCAGATTTGGAGAAACGAGTGAATAATGACGTGGAACTGGCTAGATCCGTCTATGATGTTTCAGCTTTTGTCCATGATGTAAATTTGTTTCCAATTTGATCCGGAAAGTACCTTTTTCGAAACATTGTTGAGTCTACGAGTACTTATAACGGATGAGAAAATTTTTTTTAAAGTCCGGTCAGATAAAGATTTCCAGAAAGTTTCCAAAACAAAAGTTACGATTGAAATTTTCTTTGCAGCTGTTTCCTTACAAATCTGCTTCTGCCGCGCAAAAAGACGCCATACACCAAACGGATAATTTTCTTGCGGAGAGTCCTACTAATATTTACGGTCCAGGTGTCAGTATTTCGTGATTTCCAGTACACATATACCTTTTTTGCAGGAAACTTTTCCCTCGTCGTCGACTTCTCCAACTATCATTTTCCTCCTCTCGTGTTCACTCGAAAAACGGATCACCGTTTCCTTAGACCAGTTTTTATAGGTGAGATTTGTCAAAAAATGCTTTTTTTGGAGACCTTTTCCTAGAAAGACGAGAGAATTCGGATTTGTGAATATTTGTCCTTTTTTGATGAGGAGAACATTTTCTAAAAAAGTTTTTCTGTCACCCTTTTCCCATCATTTTCCCCGAAAAAAGCGTTGCTAAAAGAAATGAATTGCAGACGCGTGTTTGGTTTCTTACATATCGAGCGACGAAGCTTTCCAACTTCCGACTTCTGCTTTCAAAGGTTCTTACGTTCCTTACAACCCTCGACAGGTTATTTTCATCCTTTGAAAGGACACTTCTCATCATATTAATTTTTTCAGATAATCGAAATGAAGCCAATCGTTTCGCTTCTTATCAGTTTCATTGCTCGAGGCCACAAGGTTTGATTTTGAAGCCGTCGGTCTTTGCAAAGTCATCAAGTGTTTTTAGAACCATTTGTTGTTTGAGCCATAGGAACTTTTGAAGTTTTACAACCGCCTTCGGCGAATTAGGAGTCCAAACGTGTAGTTGATCAAGTTGAAAGAATGGTCTTACGGCCTTTCGTTTCAACACACTGTAGTTGCGAAGCAACTTTTTTCATGTTACACACTCTCTTTTTCTGTCAAAACGCTGCTCAACCTGTTTTTGACACGTCTTGGAAAATGGGGTTTAAAGTCTTTAAAGTCTAAAAAAAAATTAAAAATTTCAAATTTTTTTCATCGAGAAGAAGTGTTGATTTCAGACGACCGTATTGTTTCCAACGCAGTACAAAGAAGGAAAGAATAAAGCTGGTTTATGTCTGGTACTTGTATTTGATTTGCATCGAGTTGCTGGACGCCCAGTTTCAGGTGGACGATCTCGACGTCTTCTACTATTTGACCGAAAATGGATTCGTCGAGTTCATCAAACCGATAATCAACGATAGAAAGTGGTTTACGGCCATTTGCAAAAAAACTGACGAGGCAGGACATGTGGAAATGAAATATTTCAAATATAATGTCTTGCAGATTCATGCTGTAATAGTTTCTTCGCCCAAGTATGACATAACCAATATTTGCAACTCTCAAACCTTCACCATGTCATCGAAAAGAATTCTGACACCCTACCTTCTAGAGGGTCTCGGCGCGGAGAACTCGGAAATAGTGAGAAAAACGAAAACAGTACAAAGTAGTATTCACTCCATCCATTTAAAAATAAACGTCGAACTTTTTGAATTTGACGGAACGAGAAAAGTAACCCGCTCTATCAAGCTCATTTGTCGGTATCAAGCTAGCACTCAAAATCCAAGGTGGAACAACTAACAACCTTATTTTTAATTTAAAAAAGAGTCCCTTAATGGTTTTATACATATGAGATTTCACAGCTTCTGAACGATCATCTCCAATACAAGGACGAGGATGGGAAATTTATCCAACTAGATAAACAGATGGTTTGTCTCATTATGACCCTCAGTTTTTCCATCAAAATTCTCTCAGATTTACACTTATCCACTGAGCGACGCGGAAATCGAAGAACCCATGAAACTGGCTCAACAACTCTACATCGAGAATCAGATTAAACAGGTAGACTCTTCCTGGAGAAAGAATATTAACTGGGTAGTACTGATTTCATAGAATGAATCTCATTGAAAAGAAACGATGTTCAGCTCTGCGAACTCGGCACATTTTACCCGCTTTCTGTGCGTGAATCCTGGGCGATCAAGGTCTTTTTGCGAATCATTCGCAAGGCTGCGCCAGGCTTCGATCTCGGCATTTTCGACTCCAATAGGCTTCTCAAGCTCGCAAAAGTCGTCAACTTTTCCGAAGGTTTCTTATTTTTATTTCCTTGAGTCAATCTTTTTTTTCCAGAAGGACTCGAAGACTGACACGTGAAGTGGTTCAGATAAAATTTATCATTTTTCCGTTGTATATACATTTTTTTCCACTTTGATATATTACATTCACTCAATGACGAAAATCTCTAGTCACTCTTCATTTTCCCGATGTTGTCACAAATATTGTCTATTTGCTCGTATTGAATAAATTAATCAAGCTTTTTTCATCGGAACTTTCAAATTGTTAATATCGATTTTTATTATTTTTAAAGTTTTCATTTTAACTCAACTTTTATTATTTTCAGTTTCAGAATGAACAGTGAAAGTCCGTCGAACTGCAATTATTGCTATTCTCTGGAGTGCAGCGTCCGCGTCGAGCCGAGCACTCTGGAAGCCAAGAAAATGACTGTTTCCGCCAAGACGGCCATTGTTTCGATAGGGCGAAACTCGAACAGGTTCATCTTGAATTTTGAGAAAATAAGATACTAATTGAACTATTTTGCATCTGATGCCGTTATTTTGGGATTTTTGGATATTAGCACAAGCCAATCTTTTATATGCGATTTGCACAAAAAAAAGGTTGTCTGTTCTAGGCAAATCCTGCTGCAGGTGGAGTTGATCAACTGCAGGAGCGTGGGGCAGCCAGTTATGGCTAGCTACCTGCTCGCAGACGCTGTTCTGCACCAGCAACTCGTGACCCAGGGCAAGGCTTCCGTAGAGATCCCCTCAAGGTCTTTTTTTTTCTAACCAAGAAAAACTATTTTCTAGGATTTTAAAAAGTTTTTAGTTGTTTTTCCTATGAAATTCAAAAAGAATTTCTACAGATATCTTGATTTTGACCAGAATTAGTAACAGGATAAAAAAAAACCTTGCGGTTGAGATCGTTTCAAGCTCAAATATACATCTATAGTGAGCAACAGAACAAGTTTTTTTATTTATTTTTTTCCTTATAATTCACATCAAAAGCATCATTTACGCCAAAAAACTCAAAAGAACTATAAAAACCAGTTTTTCATGAAATCTTGCTGAATTAAAACATCATGTCCTTTCAAATTTTTTTTTTATTTCTGCTTCTAATGAACCGTTTTGAGGCATTTGGTCATAAGAATGTCGAACTGTCCTCCGCGGAAACTCAACGTCTTTATCAAGTCTTTGCAAGCCAAACTTGATATTTTGAGAGCCGAAAATGGAGGTCCACTGAAAACGCCTGTTTCTAGGTTCGATACTAGTTACAGATTTTATCAGTCAATCAACTTCATAGATTTTGCTGTCAATTTTTTTTGAGAAAGTAAACCGAATTTCGTATATATATTGTTAGCTGTGACTATCAATATTTGATTCTTTCCAATGTTAAAACATGTTAAAAATCTAGGAAATTAACAAAAACTAGTACGTTGACTTGAAAAAAAAACATTACGGGAGGATTGGCACGTGATAGCATGAAGGCGTTTTGGAAAGGCTTCAAAATTGAACGAATTGAGATTTTTTGGAGAAGTCTTCAGATTATTAGCTACATTATGTTTATGAAAGGAGTGTGAAACTGAAAATTCGAATCATATTTTGGGCGGAAAAAATAGATTTTCAATCTGCGTATGTTGATTTTTCTGGAGCAATTTTTTTCTTAGAAACTACTTGATTGAATTTAAAAAAACCTTGCGCTTAAAAAAACTGAAAAATGTTTTTTTCGATACGGTTTTTTTCTAATCTATTCTCTCTTGTTCAGAGCCAATTTGCTTTCGGGACTTCCAAAAAGTTTTTCCTCGCTCTGAGCCCTCTCACTATCACGGAAATCCGCAAAGTTCGACGGTATGTATTTTTTCTCTGTTAATAAACATAGGAATTAATGTTTTTCAAGATAGCTTCCTCATTATAGTGCAATTTCCGAAAACGATTTTTTTCAGATTACGCGGAGTGGCGACTGGCAAATCACCAATGGCCTCCGGAAGTTACAGCAAGAAGGACGTCGGGCCGAGAACGTCTTCTGGAACGTCTTCTGCCCCTTCGCCCGTCCGAAGGCCGTTGACCTCGACGAACGGCGGCCTCAAGAGACTGCACAGCTTTCCGCTCCTCAAGACTGCGGTCCGTTAAAGGAACAAAAATTTGGTGTATCTAAATAGAAAAGTAGGAAAAATTCTCATAGCAAATTTCAAAAATCTATTAAAAAGGAATTTTTTCATGAATGGCTACATATTGAGAGTGATAAAAGTTTTTTCTTCTGATTTACCCTTCAAGACCAACTTCTAACATGGTTAAACAAATCTTTATAGACGAGCCTAACGCCTCTGACGTCGATCGCAGAAGAGCCAAATGTCTCGTCTGATAGATTCGAACTTTCTCCTGAACAGAAAAACGTCGTCAGATTGGTTGTTCAGGTTGACCAAAAAACGACATGGCGTTGAAAATTTCCCTTTTGAGTTGAAGCAGAATGTATTCTTCACGGGCTCGGCAGGCACCGGAAAGTCGCTGATTCTGCGGCGAATCATCGAGATGCTGCCGGCGCAGACGACGTTCATCACGGCGGCGACCGGCGTCGCGGCCTGTCAGTTGGGCGGAGTCACGCTGCACAGCTTTGCCGGGATCGGCGTCGCCCGCGGCAGTCCCGACGACTGCCTCAGGATGGCCCTCGCTCAGAAACACGTCGTGCGTTTCTCAAGAAACTTTCGTTACTTTCTATGCGTTGAATCAAATACTCCGGTTTGAGCATCCAAAAAAAAGTTTTTACTGTTGCTTTTAGCCAATTTTAAGCTTTTCATTACAAATTTTTTTTCTGTATTCTTTCTTGCAGCTTTTCGTCATATGATAAATTAAGAATCCAGCTCCTTCTCGCATATTTTTTAAGAAATGAACAAAATAAATAATTCAACACATAAATTATCAGCCTCATTTCACTGTTCAGGTGCAACAGTGGAAGAAGTGCTGCCACCTGATCATCGACGAAATTTCAATGATCGACGAAGATTATTTCAGCAAACTTGACTATGTAAGTCATCCAGTAGCCGTTCTTTTTTACTCGCAAACTCACATTTCAAACTTTTAAGGTGGCACGAGAGATTCGCAACAAAACCGACTTGCCTTTTGGCGGAATTCAGTTGATTATAACTGGCGACTTCCTCCAACTCCCTCCTGTTTCTAAAGGCGAACCTAGTTTTTGCTTTGAAGTTTCTTTGTTTTCCGTAGCTTGGTGAATTTCTACTGTTTGAGAGTCCGGCTTGGCGGAATTGTATTCAAAAAACTGTACTTCTGAAGCAGGTTCGACGACAAGACGACGTCCAGTTCATCAAGATCCTCCAGAAAATCCGTCTCGGCGAGTAGGCGGCTCTTCAAATTCTTCTCGCTCAACAGAGTGGCGATTCAGATGTGACACGGCGTCAGAATCCATTCTGAAGGCGACCTCGTCTAACGTCTTCTCCGAAGTTCTTCCCACGAGACTTTGCACACACACCAACGACTCTCAGGCCATCAACATCTCAAATTTGAACAAGCTCGAAGGTTTTACTTCAAAAATTTTTTTATAATGTTTCTAATTAAAAATATTTCATCTATTGGCTTCACGGAAAAAAATAATAGTTCAACAATTAAGTATGCTGTAGAAAAAAATATATAAAAACTTTCTATCCCGCATTTCAAGTCATCTTCATTTTTCAGCGCTCGTTCATTTTTAGAAGACTTTTTGAACAGGAAATGTGTCTTTGAAGCTTTTTTTAGAAGTTGTTTTTTCTCTGCAAAGCTAACTTTGAATCTTTTGCCCAACAAAATTTATTTTCTATTTCAGGTAACGAGAAAAATTTCTTGGCGATCGACGACGGCCAAATCCCTGAAAGTCTACAGTCGATAGCTCCCAAACATTTGGTGCTGAAAGTTGGAGCTCAGGTTCTGAGTTTCAGTCTCAATTGGTCTGAAGGCTGTGCTCAGGTGATGCTCACCAAGAACATCGACCTGTTCCGAGGGCTGTCCAACGGTTCCCGCGGCTCTTTGGTGCGTTTTTCGGAAGAAGAAGGTAACCCGGTGATTCACTTCGCCGCGACTTCGGAAGAGGTCGAGATACGGAGAGTGAAGTTCCAAGTGCGAGTGCCAGGCAGCGAGGTGAAATCGAAAATGAGGGTCGAAGATAACTGGAAAATATGCAGATCTCTTTGACTCGCAGACAGTTGCCCTTGCAGTTGGCCTGGGCCATATCTATCCACAAATCCCAAGGGCTTACTCTGGACGCCGTCGAAATGTCCTTGTCAAGGTTGCTTCCAGACTTTGTAGTAATATTATTACTAAAAACAGGAAAAAGTTGTTTTGCGTTTTAGGCGTTTCAGTTCTATTCACTTCTATTTCTATTCGTTCTGTTCACATTTCTTCAAGCAGCCAAGTTCCTGTTCAATTTTTTTTTAGCATACTCGAAAGCCTATCACGCCACGAGATTTTAGATTTCATTATGAAAAAAATAGCCATGAACGAAAAATCTACAAGTATTGGAAATTTTTGATCCGGAAAAAAATAGTATACAAATGAGAGCATTTCAAAATCAGAAATTTCTGATTTCTGAGATCTGCCGCTTGACCGGCTACAAATCAAATTTAAGCCCTCTTTGTTTATTTTTGATGGTAGCTTAGCAGATAAGAACTTTGTTTTGCTCTTCAGTAAATTGGAAAGTTTTCTGACCAATTCTCAAACGATTCTGATACATTAGGCGATATGATTTCAGAATCTTCGCCCCAGGACAAGCCTACGTGGCCTTGTCGCGTGCTCGGTCGCTCTCGGCCATCAAAGTCCTGGACTTTGACGCCTCCTGTGTTAGAGCCAATGCCAAGGTCGTCGACTTCTACAGCTCCTTGATCGACGAGACTACTCAAAACGAAAACTCCCCTCGCGAGGACTTCATTGTCCGAAAACGTTCTCGAATGAGCTTGTAAATGTTCATGTTGTTTCATCATGTATATTTTTACCAACCTATCAACTTTCCATATTATTGCTCTTCATGTCCAATATTCGTGATTCACGTAGAATATAAGTAAAATGTTGAAAACTAACTCCTTTCACAGTTTATTCTTCAAAAAGCCTTAAAGCTGGTTATGTTTTTGCTCACTTTCAGGTTCTTTCAATCTTTCCGACATTTTCAGATAAATGGAACTCAATTCAGAAGGGTCTTATGTGTGTGTTAACTGCCTGTGTGAGTCGGAAACCCTATATCAAAAATACTCGGCAGATGGGATCAAACTAACTGAGTGTGTACGTTTCTCCTTCTTTCTGGAGATCCGAAATTTCATGTCTTTCAGAAGAAATGCGGACAGACAGTCGACAAATACATCGAGTTTGATTCAGTTCTGGTCGTCGTCCATCTGATTTTGCAGTACATCGAAGCCTACCGCCATTTATTATGCAATGTCAGGTTGAAGGTAGGCTCTCGCAGACATTCCTCCTGAGGAATATGGTTATAGATTTTAAAACAAAGCCGAATACTTTGAGAAGCGTCATTCTAAGGAAGGTGATTTTTATTTGTTAGGAGTTTAAAATGAATTTTCGAACGTCTGTGTAGTTCCTTATCAGACCACTTCGGGCAGCCTAGACGTATCCGGAGTCATATAGTTGATGCATCAAGAGATACTAGAACTTCTAGTAGTCTTTGCAAAAAAACATTTTTTAATTCAGGCTGTTTTCATAATTTGCCAATTTCAGAATTAGAGAAATTTTGTTTTTTTTTTTCTGAAGCGCGAAGATATTTTCGATAACTTTCTTAGTTTTAAACATATCGCTCAGTTCGTTGTCGTTAGGGCAAAAAAAAAAAGGAAACTTTGACAGAAACCATTCCGGCTGGGTGTCCTGTTCCTGTTCTGCCACTCCTACGACAAATGGATCCGCGAGCGGACCATCAGCGGCGACAAGCAGATCTACGAGTTGGAAATGATGTATGTCCTGCTACCTGACCGCCTCTCCAAAAAACTAGCCCTTGAGTTTCTACGAGAGCGTCCTTTCTTCGATCCTCGAGCTTGGCGCTTTTGTCGGCGTCGTCCTTCTTTTCGACGTCTTCATAGCATGTCTTCAACAACGTTCGATTCAGATTGGCAACGTCATTTATTCGACACTTTTCGGATTCTATGGTCTCTTAAAGATTGCAAAACACCTTTTTCATGAAAAATTTAAGGAAATGTCGCCGTCGTTTTATCCATTGTCTTTAGACTCTCAAATCAGTCGTCTTATCGAATGGTCGTCCAGATTTTTCTGTTTGTATCCCACGTTCAAGTTCAAAGAGGTATGTTCGATTAGTATCGTTTGCAGGACTACCTTTATTATTTTTTACTTGATCTTTATTCCAGAGGTACTGGAGTAGTTCAATGAAAATCTTCTTTTGGATTGTTTCCCATAGAAAAAACGGAAACTTGCAGTTTTGTTCCCGAGAGTGCCAATATTCGTCAACGCCTTGGTGATCAGTGCTGCGCATTACATTTCTTCGGTTGTATCACAATTTGTGCCACGGATGTTATAATGAACGGGTAATACTAAATTAAGGTACTCGTATTTATCATCACTAATAAATTTGATATAACTTCGATTTAATCGACATAAGATGGGTTTGGAAATCAGGTTTCACATGTTAAACAGCGGAGGAACTTATTTGAATATCAATGTTGGGAAATTAAATTAGTAGATCTTTGAGAATTGCTCTAGCTCTTCGATGTTGTCGCTTTTCTGTTTCGAGGTTTTCGCGGCGCCGGTCGTTCCTCGGTCGCTTTCTTGGGTGTTCGACGACGAGCTGTGATGACCTCGGCGTCCTGAAATGAGAACACTTATTGTGGAGAATTTAGCTAAAATATTTTGAAAGGCTTACAGTCCCACATGTATAGCGACTGTTTTTTTTTCGACATAATATCCACCTTCTGTGGTCTAGATGGAACGACAGTAACCGGAACTTTGGACGGCGGCTCAACATATCCTTCTGGACGCCAAGCAACGCCTTCATCTATGACTTCCATTTCGTCGTCGGGCGATACGATTGTGAGGTTGAAGATCGACTTGCGGTTTTTCAGAATACTTATGCGACTCTCGAGGTTGCGTCGTTTGCGGTCATGCACTGGACACGACGAACGAAGCACCGCCGGAGGCGTTTTGTTTGGAGTCGGCGACGTCTTCTGATCGTCCAGATTGCGCGACGGAAGCGCCGCATTTGCTGCGATTTGTTGAAGCATATGAGCAAAGTAGTAGGGATTATTTATCATGCAAACTCCTGCAAGTGGCCGAGTTACTCGTGAAATGTGCTCAGTGGTGTTGTTTTTCGAAAAATTGGAGTAAAAGACATTCACATTGGAAAAAAACAATGTTCAGAAAATTCGAAAAACTAGAAGCGATAAGGAGTTCAAACAAGGAAAACATTTATCTTTTTTTTTCTTAACTAGATGCAGAAATTTTCTGCGTGATTTCGGTTCAAGATGATTAGAAAAAACGACGCAAAGTTTTTTCATTTCGAAAATGTTGTTAAACTTTTCGCCAAACAGAATCATTTTTTCTATTCAGGTAGCTTTCTGAGTGATAACTTTGACGTATTTCGTTTGAATAAAGTTAGGAGAAAAAAATTTATCAAAATAACAGCTAAAAAATAAAGTAAGAAAATTTCATAAATGAGAAAGCAAAATCGGAATTTTGGAAAGCCTTTTCAGAAAGTAGTTCTAATGGAGTATGATTTATATATTATTTCCATTTCCTTAAATTTCCAATTTTTTGAGTCGCAAAGAGCTGGCTTTTAGATTGAAGTTGAATGAAAGTAGAAACCCTCAAAAGAACATGAAAAAAGAAAAATAAAGAACGCGATGATTGAAGCGACGGAGGAGAGTCCAAAAGAAGAGTGATAAAAAAAAGGCCGAGGCAGCTGGCGGGATGCAGGCCGATTGAAATGCCACAATGTTACCATGGAGAGCTCACGGCAATCATTGGAACATTTCCTTAGTTTCCTGGAATTGGTCTTCCAGCGCGAAGATAATGAGAAGACGTCAGAGGAATGTGCTTGATTAAGAGCTTTTTAATGAAGACTGGGTGAGGTTGCACTATGGAAATCTCTCCCGCAAAGCTCGAAATAGAATATTACTTCGAGACTGTTGAAGATGTGGAGGGTTTATTCAGAAAACTGACCTCCACGTCTGGTTGAGCTGTCGGCATTCTGTGCCGAGACTTGATGTGGAAAGTGAGGAGATGAGCTTGAACGTTGTGTCTCAGGGTGAATGCCGCCTCGCAAATGTCACAGACATACTGTAAGTGGTGTTAAGTGGTTGTTGGGGTTCCGAATAAAAAGTACCTTTTGCTCACGGAAGCCTTTCTTTTTGCTTTTCCTGGGTCCACAATAAGGTTTAACTTTTTGGCTCTGAAAAAAAATCATAATTAAAGTGCCTTGAGACTGTGCAAGTTTACACTATTTTTCGTGATTGTAAATCATTTTCCTAGCTTTTAAAAGTATATGATGAACCTCAACATTTTTTCGCTTCTCTTCCTGGCGAATGGACGTTGTGAAAGGCCTTTTTTCGCTTTTCTTCTCATTTTCTTGTGCACAGCTCGAGTGAAGTTTTGTGCCCGAATTTCGTTCTTCTTAAGAAAAAGCATAACAAGGTCAAGTCTTCAGGTTGGGAACGAAAAAGTTATCACACCCTCGGTCTTGTCAGGAGCCTCAATCGAGTTGTGAACAGTGCACAAATTGATGACGTGGTGAGGGTCGACCAGAAGAAAGGCGTCGTCGGAGAAACTTCGGATGTTCGTTGGCCATGAAATTGTGTGGCCGAAGAAAGGACCTGTAGCACCTCTCATTCAAAAAAAACCTAAATTTCGCACCTTCGCTTCACCTTTCAAATAAATACTAACTTATTTTGGCGCACAAACGAAAACGTCCAAATTTTGATGATTATAGTTTGCTCGGGAGTTCTAGAGGTGCAAAAATCGGTACCACTTCAGAAAAGTTATCTTTTTTTGAACCTTTTCTGATCCTGAGCCTTACTTATGTGCCTTCATAAAGCTCGGCAAGCGTTTCGAGCAAATTATAAGAAAAATAAACAAAAGAAAAATAACCTTTAAAAAACGTCGTTTCCATCGGTGACCTCTTTCAACAAGAAATGCCACTCTTCCATTTCAAATTTCCACGTGCAAATGTGTCCCATATTCGACGTTTATTCTTACACGTATACCCATTTTACAATCAAATCGAAAAAATATTTTAAAAAATCGCGCAATACATGAATTATACATGAACCGAATGAAAATAAAAGATGAAATCCCCGTGGTTAGTTGATTTTTTGCGAATTAGAAGTAAGTTTGAAGTCAAATTATTTTGTTGTTTTCCCTTCCAACTTCACTATCGAAATTTTCCCCGAAAATGAACGGAATCTTGAGAAGAATATCAAGACTTTCAAGAAAAAAGAAATGGCTCATTTTTTTCCACTCCCAAAATATAAATCATATTGAAAAAAGTTGAATTATCTCTGTGTGCTTTTAAAAGTAATCTACTTCATTCAACGCTAGTTCTCAGAAAAAGGCTAGAATAACCTCTAAATCTCTCAATTGCATACACTGTTTCGATAATGTCTTTAATAAACCTCTTTCCATATTGCCTTAACGCCAAAATCAATAATACTCACTCCAGCTTTAGAAACTTTCTGCACTTGTGTATCCGTATATTAGGGATCTTCATAAATAAATAACGAAGAATATCATGATTAAACCTCTCTGTGTATCACATAAATATCCATACAAATTAGAATAAAAATCATTTTCCAATTTTCAGCGAGACTGAAAACTTTTGTGCTACGGAAAGAAAGGCGAAAGAAAAAAGTTCGGGTGAAGAATAAGGCGGAAGTTCGGCGGCCCACGAAGCTTTCTCAGTCAGCTCAAGCTGAAAAAAAAAAGAAATATTATGATAAAACATTTCTATGTATTGCAATTATTCCGAAAAATGATGGATCTTAATTTCTATTTTACCGACCTCTCTGATGACTTCGACTATTCCTCCTTCTCGTTTTCCCTTTAAATTATCAATATCCCTTATTTCAATTTCTATCGAACCTTAAGCTTCTCACAGATTTCTTTCGATATTTCGAGCGGCTGTCCGACGGCAGTGAAAATATGTTCACCGTTTCTAAGCACGACCAAAGTCGCCAAATGCTGCCTAAAAGTTTTCTGAGAACTGCAAATATATTTGTAGACCCACGGCTTTCCAATTTGTAGTACAAATGGCTGGAAGGCTACGACAGGAGAGGAGCCAGAGGCCAAATTCGTTTCGAAAACCCGAGAAATTCTTTTGAGACAAGTTTCCTCCGCTTTTTCAATAGAGTGGACGACCGTTCTTGCGCATTCTGAACAGAAAGAGAGGCTTGTCAGTTTGAAAATTAGCCTCGACTTCTTAGACGCAAAAAATGTGTTCTTTGAACGTAGCTCTATTGGAATTTCAAGGAATGTTTTATTCTTAATAAGTTTCTCACCGTCCGAAAGACTGACGTTCTTCATCAGAGCCAATCCGAGAACGCGGCAGAACCTTTCTCGAGCCAAGCCTGTCAGTTCAGGATCCGCGTTCACCAACGTTACTTCCAGCTTCAAATTCAACTCAGTTAGATCACGGAGGCTAAACCAACGGTGCCAGTTCCGGCCAGGTACGGCTTCATTCCAGGGTCCAGGGTCGTCAAAACCGTCTCCATCCCCGCCTGCAAATCTTCGAAAACTCTGTGACTATATTGAAAGTATCACCTTGGCTTTCCCGGCGACGTCGGTCAACAGTTTGCTGTCACTGACCGCCTTGGCGAACCAGCTGACCAGTCCTCCAGACATGTCTACCTGAAGTCAGAAAATCCCAGAACTGCCTCAACCGGAAGGCATACCCTGTCATTGGCCGCCAAGGTTTCTGACTTGGGCTCTTCGTTTTTGACTTCCTTCGGTGCTGTTGATTCCGGCTTGGTGGCTGCGACTGGAGCTGGAGCTGGAGCTTCCGGTTGAACAGACTTTTCCCGTGTATCTTTTAGGATCGGCGGTTGTTGCTTCAGCTCCGATGAGGCAAGGACGGCAGGAGAACCAACGGCTGGACTGGTATCTCTTTGAACATTTCCAGCGCTTGGAATAGGCGACGGCGACTTTTTCTCAGGCTGCGGAGCCGTAGGAAGGGACTTGTTTCCCGGACTAACGGCTGCTTGGACCTAAGGAGTCCCACTTTGAATCGAGTCGTTCCAAAACCAGATTTGCTTGAAACTTCACGCAGCCGAAGGCGTAAATTTTCCAATTTTTTTCTATTTAAACTCTTATTTAATATTTCCTGTCTAGAAAGGGTGCATATGCGGCGTAAAAGTTCATGCATATGGGGACAGTTCTGCCAAAAAAGCGTACCACAGAAGTGCTGGGCTGTCGGGGCGCAAAAGGATTTACAGGCGGCGGAGGTAGCGTCGACGTCGAAGTTGGCTTCTGCTTCAGAAGATGCTCAATGTTGGGCTGAAGGACGGGAGGGCGAGGAGGGACGAAAGTCGGCTTCGGAGGCGTAACCTCGTCGGAAATTTCTGCGGTAAATTGAAAATCAACGATTGTTTCCAGTAGTTTCTAATAAAACAATTAGAAATTCCGTCTGAGTTATTATTGGTGAAAGATCAACCGAAAATATTGGAACAAGAGGAGAAAAATTTAAAAAAACCTACTTTTGTCTGCAGAATCCGACATGCCTCGTTTCTCCACCAAACCTATTGAAAAACATGAATCACCAAATTAGCCTCGGCAAAAAATTCAATCGATTTCAACGAATTCATTGCAGAATCAACAAACAGTAGAAACATTTAGTATTTTTTATTAAAGGCAAGTATATTCAGAAATAAAATAAAAACACGAGTAAATTCTCTAAAATAGCATCTGGGATTAGATTCACAATACTGATTCAAAAACATATAGCAGCAAAAAGACTCTGTGACCTGGCACTATGAGGAAAAAAAAAAACAAGTATTACGCGCATGGTAGATCAAATTATCACATGAAGCACTAAGATTCGTTTGATGTTTCTAAATATTAGGGAAATGACAAAAATCAAGGTGGAAAGGATACTGTCAAGCATTCAAAGCCCGTGAAATCAAAACTTTGTAAACTGTTATAATTTTAGTATAGATGTTTTCAAATACTTTTTTTGAATGAAACTTTAAAGTATCTTCGACACATTCATTTTGTCATGGTGTTTTTGTTTCTCAAAAAAATGAGCAGAAGATTTAAATATTTTTTTCTAGTAATTATTTTTTTATCAAGTCATAGGGATGTAGTTTAGATTGGTCCATCCAAATGGAATACTTGGAAATAGAAGAAAGAAATCACGATTGTACACCGAAGAATCGAAAGCTCAATCAGAATGATTGGAGCATCAGAAGTAGCAAGGACACGCATGCAAGTTACTGGAGGAGAGGAGAAGTCGGAAAAACGTACAAGAAACTCATGTAAGCAGCAATTGTTTTTTTCACAGAAGATGTTAGTTCGCAAAAGTAGAAAAACGAAGCACTCAAGAATAAGCAAGCTGAGAAAAGCGAGTAGAAAGGTAGAAACAGAAAATAAAAAGGATTTGAAATCAGGTGAACATCTTCTGGCGCCACTTACACAAGTTTGTCAGTCATGTGAAGACGGCGCTTGGGACGAAACCTTCCTTGGAGGTCATGCCCGGGGTGAGGACTGCCTTGCTCAGGAAGTTGAGCGGGAAATGGACGAGGTGACCTGAACTTGTAACACTTCGATTGGTTCATCTACCGTTCGGAACGTGCCTTTAAGTTCACGAACTCGTTCCTCGGCCTGTTGGGGCGCGTATTCCGACAACGGCATCTGACTTGTCCACTTCTGGTACTCCTCGAAAGTCTCCACTTGGTCGGTCGGATAGGCGCGGAATACCTACAACGCGTAATCAACATTTTCATGACTTTTCATTAAAGTTTGAAACTCCAAAAAAAAAAGTCTCTGAGGCTGTTAACACTAATAGACGATCATTTTGGTAGTCTGTCATTTTTCTGGCTGCCGGAAAAAAACTATACCTCTTCATAGATTCTGGCGTTATTCTTCGCCGTTCTTTGCCAGACGTCGACGAAAAATGAATCGGCGACGGGGTCGTCGCAGGAGACGTCGTACTCGAACACTGACTTCCGCCGCGAGTCCGACAGCAGGCCCAAGTGCTCCTGATGAAAATCAGCTAGACTAGGAAGGAAAGACATTTGATAACTTCTTTCTGAGAAAACTCATACTTGATTAGTTTTCTATAAGAATAACGATGAAAAAAATCACCGTTTTTATTAATCTAAGGACATTTTGAGACTCCAGCGTTTCAAATACTCGAGAAGAACTTTCAAAGTCATAGACTTTTTAGTGCCTCCATTCAGAAAACAGCGCGAAATATTTTTTATTGTTGTTTATTATAAAATCACTTCTTTCTAAAAAATTTTCAGACCTTCATGCACTGAAGTCGGAGGCTCTTGGCGAACTTTCCAGCTTCGAAAGGCTTGCCGTCCATGACCGAAGGCTCCTTTACGACGTCAGAATACACGCAACACACTTCAGAATCGCGATTACCGCACTGAAAACGCCGTGATTCTACAGAGAGCCCTACCTTCTCACCTGAGATCTGTCGTTGATGTTGGCCGAGCCAATGATGACGTGTTCGTCGTCGACAATCATCAATTTGCAGTGGATGTAGATCAACTCAGAAACCTGAGAAAAGTCATTTGAGGACGGAAAAATGGTTTCCAAACGCACAAGTTTTTTGCCGAGTTGATCGTAGGTCCTCAGAGAGGCCACATGTATGTATTTGAACGGATCCGGCATCACCGCCTTCAGACGCTCGATCAGAGAATTCGGCCCTTGACTCAGAGATTGGAAGGTCCAATGGAGTACCGCCTTAGAATGGGAAAATCAGAATTCTTTCTTTTTCCAGTCGAAAATGCCTGCAAAGAAGATCCCCCGGGAGCGCCGACGTCGCCCTCGAAGCCCGGCATCAACGGAATGAGAATGTACACACGGTAATTTTCTTTCTCTCTGAGAAAATTCAATAAGTCGAGAAGACCAGGATGAAGGTGACAAACTTGTAAGCCCTGACTATCCGGTTGTAAATGACTTTGCAGACCTCGTTGGTGACGTCGTTGGAGTCGATCATCGAGACAAAGAACTGGTTCTCAATGTAGAGATAGTGCTAGAACTGGGAGCTCAGTTGAGTTTTGAAAAGTTTTCGTGAACCTTGGAATTGGCGATGAGCGAAAGGTAAGCCATTTGGATTGAATCTTCCGTCTGATTGATCAAACCGGACCAATTCGACAAAGAACGCAGAACCTGCAGAGAAGCGAGTATGAAATGAAGCTAGCGGGAAAAAGCTGGGGAGGGATTTTGATAATCTCTTAAAACTTACAACTAAATTTCAAACTTTTAAGAGGTCTAGTGGCCCTTACACGTGTTGGAAAAACATCATTTCTTGCTAAATGAACGAACTGATGATGATGAACTAGCACGACAGGGCATCAAAATTCAAATTGAAAACTTTTAAAAAGATATCAGTAGTTGGAAAACAAGGAAGGGAGTTTTATTTCGGTTCTCAAGCCCCTTCACGAGTGTTTATACCAACAAAAAACAATCGAGCAAAGAATTGTACTCTGAATCATCCAAGACAACGAATCATCATACATATTGGGGAAATTTCAAATTCAGAAACTTTCCAGATCAAAAATGTTTTTTTAAATATATTAGAAATGTTTTCTTTTCTCGTATCTTGCTTTCCAAAAAGCTCTCATTTGAAAAAAAAAAAGTTGCAGACCTGCACGTTGACCTGGTGGCTGACGTTGGCGCTTTTGAAAACTCTTGGGACCCGGACGTTCTCGTAGCTTTTGGGCAACAAGAAAGGATAGTTGGAGTCATCCTTCAAAAAAGTTAAAATTCTGACTTTATTCATGTCCAGAAAATACCTTGAGCTTCTCAGTCTTGGTGGCGTTCCAACGCTGGATGAAATGTCGGGCAAGATCCCTGGCCGGCGCGCCAAAAGTCACTGAATGGATGTCGTGCCACGGCATCCGCGGCATCGTCCCGCGATCGATGAAGTCTGAAGGACAAGACCATAAAAAAGACTAGAACAGTCAGGTGAGGACCATGGAACGGCATGTCGACCTCGACGAAGTCTTTGTGGATGTAGTTCACGTAGTCCTTGCCGTACCACAGCTTTCCACCTCCATTCAGCTGAAATCGGAAGATGATTCGAGACATTCTTCTGTTCCAACTTCGTCGTCCTTGTTGTCCATCTCGCGGAGCCTGAGCCAGTCGAGTTCGTAGCCGAGCGTCGCCTCGTCGTTGTCGATGATCTGCCGCCATTTGCGCTTGGCCCGGTTGTGCTTCCAGTTGCCGACGACTCGCGAGATTCGCGAATCCTTCTTCCGCTTGCTCGGAGGCGTCTGCGCCCGGTGTTTCTCCTACGGGCCGGATATTTCCAATAGAAATAGGAAAATTGGAGAAGGTGAGCAAAGATACGGGTGGAATATTATATATCGAAATCAATATGGAAGGTTACTCTGGTCAAATTTCACATGCGAAATGATGCTTTGACGCTCAGAATTATCATTATAACTTCTATGAAAACATCCTGAAGGGTAAAAAAAATTTGCCTTAATCGCTAAAAACAGCTTTAGCACATTTATTTTGAAAGTATATTTCGTAGGTATCAAATTCAATTTTCCATTTTCACAAAAAGGTAGAAAAATATGATGTGGAAAAAACGGTCAGGTGAAGGTGACAGAAAACTTGCGGAAAATTTATGGGAATGGAAGATTTGGGAAGGGGAAGCGAGAGAAGAGCTGGCAGAAAAAAAAGAAGGAAGATTCACCATTTGGACGGCGCCGCTGTTGACGTACTCTTTGTACTTCTCGGCCGCTTCCGACAGGTCCATTCCGCTTCGCGCCGCCTTTTCAAACATAATAGAAGCCGGCCCCGCCTAGATAGAGTGCAATTGGGTTGGAGAAACCATTGTGAAAGTTAGGAGGGTAAGAAGTATTTTGAAAAAAAAACCCCTGTAAAGGTCAATTCATTCCATGCTTATTTTTGGTCTTTATTCTCCTGGAATTGGGTAAAAAACATAAAATGGGACCGCGAAAATCGAGCCATATGAAAAAATTGCCGAGATTAACTGAGAGTAGAAAAACGGACTGAAAAATTCTTCCGTAATTGGCAAAATATGGGTTAAATGAGTGTTCTACCGAAAAATTTTAGACTATTTTGACGTTGACTTTTTTTTTCAACTGTTGGAAATTTGAAACATCATCTGTATAAAAATGTTCAGTGAAAGGCATGTCACGTAGAGTGCGCTTCCAACCAAATTTCTAAACACCGAACGGCTTTTTTTCGGCTATATCATCATACATCCCTAAAAACTGTAATCCGAAAAAAAGCAACTTTAGTAGAAACAAAATTGAATTTTACCTTGTCCAGTAGTTCTCGCGGGACATGCTTCCGGTCCAAGCTGGAGATGGCTCGCCGAACTTCCTACACAAGGGCTAATAATTAATTTTCCCTTCAAGAGGAAACCTTCTTTCCCTTGGAGTCTTGGACAAGCTTGATAGCCGTGGGACTTTTTTGAGCCGCATCCAGAGGCGAGGCTCGTGGCTGGCTGACGTTGTCTTCCTCTCGCAAGGCGCCAGGAGGACTCGAGTGTCGGACTTGCGCGTCTGACGTTTGGGGCTCTGTAACTATTTTGAAAGGTTTCTTTTTTGGCCAAAGATTTCTTTTCTGGCTTTCTTTTTTGGCGGTTCGAAATCTTAACGGATCACTTTCCCTTTTTCTTAGAACTCTCAAACAGGACCGAGTCGGCTCCAAAATGGCTCTGTTATTTGGAAAAATAAAGAAAATTTCACCAACTTTTCTTGATGACTCGGACCATGACGCCACCAGTTTCTTTGTCGGTGAAAACAACCTGAGTATAGCATTTGTTTTTTTGAAGAAAGCGAAGAAAAACCTCGTCTTCATTTTCGGGAATGTCTTTTAAAGCGGATGGACGGCTCACAGCAAAATCCGTGGTTGTTTCATCCCTTGTATCATCTTCAAAGAATTATCATAGAAGAAAGTATATATTAACAAACTTCTGGCTTTTTCTGAACGAGGCGACACTTCTTCGTTTTCTTCGAGTCCCAGAGGCGACAAAGTTAACGGAGCACTGACCAGAGCTCGAAGTCCAGATGCCTTCAAAGAATATAGGACTCAAGAAGAAACTATTTTCAGTTCACAACACTTTCCGCTCTTGAACAAAAAAACTCTAGAATATTAATCCCAAAAATCACTATGAGCCGCGTTTATCTTCTTATATTGAAAATCTTATGAAATAGTTCACTTAAATTGTTATAAAACTTTTATCATTAATTTTTTTTTTCAAAACCTCTCTCAAACAATCCAAAAAGTGAACCTACCATATCCGGACTGACAGTGACAGCATGAGAATCGGCAAACTGGACCGAGCCGAGGTCAGTGAGAAAATGATGGTGAGAGTCCCATCTGAAATCTCCTTTCCCAGTTTCGGATGGAAAATTCGATTTGGAACCTTCCGAAGCAAAGATCGACACCGCCGACAAAAGAGATGAGCTGATCGATGATGAGAAGTTTCTCGTGATGAGCCCAGAAGAAAGTTCCTGTCGAAGGGTAGTGATCTGGGTGGCGCATAACCTGTAGAGAAAACAAGGATAGTTCAAAAATAGGAAATCAGAAAAGGCTCACATTTTCTGTTCTATATGGTCTATAAAAAAAAGTGAGCTTTGGATCGAAGCTGATTGCCTTTCAAATAATAATATGCATACATCGCTGAATAAGTCAAAAGCAATAGAAATCAGTAAATTAAAACTTTTCTCGTTTTAGAAAGATCTTGAGGGGAAAGACATCGAAAAAATTTTTCCTGTTTTCTATAAACTACCTTGATGTTTTCGTGAAGTCCCTGGAGGGTTTTCTTCGAATAAATGCTATTCAGTCCCAAGGCCATCTCCATTTCCTTGTACAAGAGAACGAAGACCTGGACAAAGCTTTCGAATCTCAGAGGAAGAAAAGGCTAAGAACCTTGACGCCCTGCTCAGCTTTCCGCTTTAAGATCTCATCCAGTCGCCAGTAATTTCCCTCAAGAGCAGGTCGTTTCATGAAGATCTGAAATTGAAAGGGGTTGAGTGCTCAGAGAAGTCGGACTTCGGTAAAGCGAACCGGAAGCCTTCCGGAAGTAATCCCTTTAGCGAAGTCAGAACGCTTAATGAAACACTAGAAATGCTCGAAAATGTCCAATTCGCGTCCGGTTTGCGTTACCGAGGTCCCAGGACCTCCGAACCTCGGGACTGAGCCACCAGTCAGTGATGTAAATCTCCTCCCGAGCCAGCTCCATCATGTCTGCCGCGTACTCCATGTAGTCTTTCGCGTCGACGAACCTGCCGATCATCCTCATCATTTTATATTTTTCCTCATGTAAATTAATTTGGGAATGACACTAAAAGGTTGAATTTCCCTGTTGAACGTGAAAAAAGTCTTTTAAAAAAGCTTTGCGGTGATGTTTGAAAAAATAGAAGTTTTGCATGATCTAAATTTAAAAAAAAAATCTCTTTTTCTATACCACCTGTTTGATTTTAAAAAAAAAAACGAGCAAGGGTTTCAAAACTATCGAGATGAATTACTACCGCCGGGGGTCTTTATGAATACATAAAATGATAAAATAAGTGAATATTTTCTTTCCCTGACTTATTTTTACTGTGCAAGAAAAAATCAGCATATTATTTCATTGAGAAGCTGACTAGTGAGAAGTATTGAAAATCTTAAAATAATTTCAAGAAGTTCTTCAGTGATGGATATTGCATAGAATAACGAGATCCAACCCTAATCTATTCCCTTTACTTCTAGCAAGTGAACTTTTAATTTTAAATATTCTGAACAGCTTTTATTTTCCCAGAAAAATTCCGAGTTAGATACCCATAAAGTAATGTAAAAAATCAGTAAAACAAAAATGAACCATTTGGCGTAGCTGTTCTCGCGGATGGGAAACGAGGAACTGAAGCGTTGAGGTTGCAGCCAGACATTTCCGATGCCATTCATCGACCTCTCTATTATCGCCTAAGAAATCGCAAATCACAAAGCTTCGACTTCGAATGTATTCATGATAGTTTCCGGTTGGGAAAAAAGCAGGACGAACCTTCCAAGTGGACGTATCTTGAAGACGTCGGCACTTGAGGTGCAACTCACTGAGAAAAGATAGATTCAGAAGAGAAGTTAGGAAGAACCGACTGTTGGGTGTTGGTGATGATGAGACCCGTGGGAATCCCGTTGGCCTCCTTGCCGCCCGCGGCCACCTTGAAGTCCTTGTCCATGAGCAGCACCATCCGAATCACCTCCGTTCGGTGGTCCATGTAGGCCACAAAGGAATCTCGCACCATCAGCCATCTGAAAATTCCTTTTTCAATTTCTTATAACACTCATTGAAAGAAACTCAAACCAGTGATTTGAGGCTAGTTTTCTTCATTTCATTACGACGAAAAAGTATATCTTTTCCTCGTGATAAACTTTAAAATGGTACTTTGACGAATTAAAAAAAAAATGCAGCTCTGGAAATATAAAGCTGATTCACGGCTGGCTTGAGCTAACGAAAAATAGGTCCTGACAAGATAAGAAAAAAGGAGACAGTGTCTGGTTGGCGGAGAGCACAGACAGGCCACGCCCCTGACCGTCCCAAGCTATCCGTAAACGGGCTATAGCAGTACACTTCATCCCCCGTTATCTTGAGACGAAAGTACTATAGAAGTGCCTGTATCTCTTATTTTAGCACATCGATCTGCGAATAGTCCGAAAATCTCCGTCGGAAACTTTTTCAAGCCAGCTTTAAAGGAATTTCAGTGAGAGAAAAATTCCAGATTTTATAAATGACAGATTGAAAGCATAGAAAAAGATCAAAAGCGCATTACTAATCCATATCATTCTCTGTTTAAAAAAGTATGAAAGCTTGGAATAAGTTTCAAACCTAGGCCAAAAACTTCAAAATTATTGTTAAGAGCAAACAAAGCGAAAAAAATTGAAAGAAGAACTATTGAGGCTGTGAATCAGGGATGCACGAGACACGATCTCGTCTCGAGATGAAAAAACCTCGTCTCGTGCATCTCTGCTGTGAATGATTTTTTAAAAAAAGATGAATTTCATTGAAGTCTAAAATGATACCTTTTGCTCCAAGGCACCAAATACTTGACGCAACAGTGGGTCCAGCCCAGAAAAACTCTCGAACCTGAACTTTTCGCAATTAAATTTTTTCTGAAAATTGATTAATCAACCTCCAGGCCGCTTCTTCACAAATCCTTCAGTGTGCTTTCCGCCAAGCTCATTAACAAATGAAAACCGCGAAACTTCCAAAAACTCGGCCTTAAGTAATTTTTTGAAAGGGGAACAGGGAAGATTCGAGACCGTTTCGTGATGATTCCTGTTGACTGGAATGTGCAGAACCATCTGAAGCCAGTTCTCCAATTGTTCCTGAAAAAATGAAGGCCAATTATGAAGAACTATAGAAAATCTAAATAAGATCTATTTTTTTCGGTCAACTCGTTTTCATATTAGTTGATTAATTTGAGCTAAAAGAGAAAACGTTAAAAAAATATATATTCAGGATCATGGCTTGTCTGGAAAAAATGATTTTTGACTTTTTAAAAGAAGGAAAGTACTAATTAAAAAAAGCACAATCATATGTCCTTCTGTCTAACTTTTTCTTTCAATTCTCCATTAAACTATGATTGAACTATATAATAAAAAGAATGAATAAATAAAACTGTACCTTTCGCTGTTCGATGTTGCTGACCATCGAGTCAGGCATCATGGGGAAACTCGGCAGAACGTGTTTTTGGCGCGTTCTTTTTCTTTTCGCAGATCCTTCGCCGTTCTGTTGGTTGTCGTCCACACCCGTGTTAAGGATACCAGCTGAAAGATGAAACAAAACGATTTCGAACAAAAAAATTATTTTTTTCAGAGTTTTCCAAAAATATCATAAGTAAAACGAACTTATCTACAATCATTAATTTCTTAATAAAAATGAAAAAATTTCTCAAAAAAATTTTTCACCAAAAAAATTTATTTTTTTACGAAAAACAGTCCTAAACTATGAGTTTCGGACAGTTCTAGTCTTCGAAAAACATTTCTAGAGTGTTCAAAGACACGCTTATTAAATATAATCCGTGAAAGACGAACACTGAACGGCCTGCTGCATCTGCACGTTGCGAGACTCTATTTTGGGTTCTGGGCCTTCGGGCGTCGCGTCCAAGGATCCATCTACCGTCGCCACAGGAGCCCGATCGAAAACGTCGGCCTCTCGTTTCAGAATGTGCATCTACGGAAGGTCCATCATTTCAGAGGCAATTTCAAACGTCTTTCGAGAGCATTCACTATTTTATACATATGAAAGTCTTTGACGCCGCTTTTCATAGACTCTCACCCGCACTCTTGAAAATATCGAAAAATAGTTTAATAATAGTTTGTAAAGAAAGAAAATTCTTCACATCTAACAAAACATTTAAATTCGATTCAAGTATCTAAAAAAAATTGGAAACTTACCCTGGAATTTCTTTTTCTCTTTCCGCTGACATGTGAATATGGACATTCGGGCTTATGGTCGGGGATAATGTCGATTCCGATATTCTCGAGATAGGAGTCGAGGCGTTCCTGAGTCCTGAAAGATGTATCGATAAACGAGGAAAACAGAAGCCATACAGAAAAGTCAAGCCGAGAAATCATGCCCTTCAAAAAAGAGAAAATAGAAAAAGAGAGCCGAGATAAGCAAACAACTACACGTACCAAGTGCGCGGCGAGAAATCGGCACAGAAATAACAACACAACGAAAAAATACAAAACGACAAAGAAAATGACGATATTGGCTTACCCTTCAACTTTACCACGCATTCTGAACATTAGAAAATTTGAATTAACAAGTTTCAAGAGAATTTTCAGTTGAACCACAATATAGTGAGATAGTGAGCTCCAAAAAAAATTTTAAAAAAAGTTGGTAGCATGTCTCTATAAGCATCGCGACCAAATTTTGTATTAATACATTTTTCCAGTTTTTTTTTTTAATAGATGTTCTCTTGACGTTCGTCTTGGCTGAAGTATACCAACGTGGTATTAAAGCTCATCTAATAACGAAAAAAAAGACTAATCGGAGAAAAAAAAATGGTAGAGTTGTTATACCAGAAAAATTTTGAAAAATTACGAATTTTGATGCAAACATGTTAGAAAAATCAACTCAAAAACGGTTAAAATCAGTTATATAGGAAGACCTCTTGATGGGCGCTTTTATGTGTTGCCCGGCGCGGTGAGCAATCAGTCGGTTGTTGAGCAGAGTGAAGTCTTTGTAATTTCGAACGACGCTCCATCGGAACTGGCCGTGCTCTAACTCGATCGTATACCTACAGAATTCTTGGAAATTAGGCCAGACCTTGACCGAAACCCACAACAAAGAGTTGATGAAGTGAATCCCTCGGTCAGTGTTTCGCTCGACCTCAAGTAAAAGCAAATTTTCAAATGAGAAGTTCAAAACCAGTTATTTAAATTGAATTCCGTCGGAAAATTCGAGATTTTCACCAAAAAAAAAGAAAAAAAAACTCTCTTGTATCTTCAAAAAGGTAACAGCTAAATGAAGTTTAAAAGAACACGCATTATAACGAGAATTTAGCATAACATAAAGCATTTCAAAACGAAGATATGCCAAATTAAAATGACCTTTAAGGGATCATCAATTTAAGAAGCAGCCTTTTACCATTATCAGGAATAGACAAATTCAAGAAAGCCTACTGGATACTTAAATATTGACCAAAAGGGAGCTACTTTTTTCCATATGTAGAACACTTTTTGCATCCTCGACCAATTTCTGATTTATTTTTTTCTCGAATCACCTTGACAATTTTCGCGTTGACCGGGACGCCAGGAATCCAATACCCACGTCGTCGGGCTTGTGCTTGAGTGTCATAAATCGACATGTACGGAATTATTCCTGAAATAGCTGGTAGGGGAGCGTTTCCCGGAGTTGGAAACCTTTCTTTCCGGGGGTTCCAGGAAGACTTTGCTGGAGAGCGACGGCGATGCAATCGCAGTACTGAATCTCGTCAGCGTCCTCATCGTCGGAATCGTCTCCGTACTCGCCGTAATCGATCGACGTCGGTGATTGCATCTAAAAATGTAAGAGTTACAAAAAATCTCTTGAATCGACAGCAAACGAGCCAAAAATTCCCGAACCTCTTCGATCTTGACGGATGGGCCCTGGTTTGGTTCGGGACTTCGACCATCTCGAGCTCGAAAACGAATGATTGGCTCCCTGCCAGAATCCCTCGTCGGAGGGACAAGACCAGGCACTCCACTGTCGTTTAGCGGATTCCCGATGCCTGTAAATACATCCTTAAACTCAAACTACTCTGAACCCTTCACTAATGGATTTGACGTTGTTATCAGGTTCCGGCTTCCCACTCGTTGTTTTGTCATGTTTCTCGCTCATGTCCTTCCCACAGATCGAGCCTGGCGGCTGAAAATTAACAATACAATAGTTGTCAAAAAATGAAATTACGCGATGAATAGCGAATACAACGATTCGATAAATGAAAGTGTTCATGCAAAAGGTTGAAATATCCTACAAACTGATGCAATTAAGAATCAATATTTAGAGGAAAAAAACCTTCAATGATGTCTAAAGACCATAGCAACAAACAAGGCAAACAATCAAAAAATGGCTTTTTTTCAAGCTCAAAAACTACAAGTCAAAAATAACTCATTCGTTAAAACGGTTCATAATGAGAGCGGTATGTAAGATGAGCAATACCAAGAAAATAATTCAAAAGTTTCAAATGTTGTTTTATCATTTGAAAACAGATTTTTTTTTTTGAAAGGAAATTAGAAGTGTTAATCGCATCTGCTCTCGTAAAATGTTCAAAGCAAAGTGCGCCCCAGAGCCAAAAAAAACCAGATACCTGGATTTTAATGTGGACGTATTGATCGGATGTATGTCTCTCAAATTAAATATATGTTCCAGAAAATGAACCGAAAGAAGGTATCCATAACCATTCAATAGTCGTTTGAAATGACTCATTCCATTTATCAAATTTCTGAAAAAGACGAAAATTTCAATAATACTTTAAATTACTTGAAACCATTACAAAAAATGTATAAGTTATATATTCGATTATGGAAAAGAAAACCTAATTAAGGGAATGTAGAATTTAATTTTAAGAATTTTTCCATTGAATCGATTGGTTAGTGGTTGTCGGCAGCTTCAAACATTGTGGGAAGGAAAGTGTAAAACAAGAAACAGCAGCAATGTTTTCTGGCTGGTTTTTGCAGAGAAAACTCCGTTCGAAAATATAAGAAGGTAATATTTACCTGTGCTTCGCGAGCTTTGAGCATGAATCAAATTTCCTTCAAACCCTTCATGATAAAGTTGTAACCAATCAAAATACAAAAGAGGAAAAGTGTTTTTAAAACGAAAATTACGGTTTTTGCTGCTTTTAAAAAATCGTTTCACCGTGAGAAAAGTTCGAAACTCAATGCACCCAATAAGGAAGAAATAATTGGAAATACGAGAGTTAAAGAGCAAAGAACGGCGACAAAAAACGAGCAACAGCGGAGTGTTTACCGCACTCCAGCAGGCTTGTAATCAATGCTTTGCGGCTCCGAATAGCAAAAAAAAGAAAAATTGCACGGTTTCCAAACGTTACAATTTGTGTAGCTTTTTGCCAAATCATAGAAATTCCAGTCACAAAATTCTGTGTTTGCGCAGTGAGTCAGCTGACGACCTGAATAACGCTAGAGCCACAAATTACGAAGAAAAAAAAAGTCGTTTCTAAACTTGCAACAACAACAGAACGAGTTTTCAAGATTATAAAATAGTTAAAAGCAAATTCAATTGAGAATGGCGTGGCCGAATAACTTTTCTACCTTGTCAGGTAAGAAGAACAAGGTCGTTTTCTCAAAACCGCATGCCAATGACGAATGGAAGAGAATTGTTGATGGCAAGTTCGAAGACCACCCTGTCGCTATGGAGTTCCTCATAGAAACTCTTCGAAATTTTCGGCGTCAATATTTACCGATAGGCTCCAAAAGTTCAGAAAAAGGTAGACACAAGTCAAAAAATCAAAAAAAAAAAATTCATTGTTAATTTTTTCAATGCAAACTACTTCCAGAATTTGCCTTTTTCGGAAAAAAAAATATAAGAAAAGGACAAAATCAACTCTAAACTAGCTTTTCACTTCCAATAAGTTCACCGCTTTTGGAGCGCCTTGGGTACTGGTTGAAATCGGGGTTATAAATATATCGCATGGTTTTCTGAAGAATAGTTGCCCTGCCGAAGAAAATTATTCCTCTAATGATAAAAAGGGTCATTGAACGAAAATTTTTGTTGGAGATTCTTTTATTTCAGAGAACCATGAAAAAGGGCATCAGAACCATTTGGGCACCATGTGGAAGAGATCTCCTTTGGTCATAATGAGCAACGTGAAGAAGAAGACCAGTGTGACGAGAAGGCCGACCACCGCAACAACTGCAAATGGTCACTTTCCAAGGTCAAAGGGGCTAGACCAACTGATGGCTGCGCAGAACAAGGAGCCCTCGATTCGCATCAGGAAGTTCTGCGACTCGAAGCGGTCCGCTTTTCTCACCTTCTTTGTCTTTCCTTTCTTTCCCTTTTTTCCGCCGCCGCTGCTGCTCTTGTCTCCCTTCTTCTTCTTCAACTCGTTCGATTTGAGAAGAAGCCTCGAGATTTCATCCAAACCTTGGCAGCTTTGCTGTCGGCACTAGCGGCGTTCTTGTTCAGCGTTCCAATGAGGTCCATCATCGCCGAGTTGCTGGGCTTGGCGCCGGCGCCTCCACCGCCATCGGCAGCCGTGTCCCTGAAAGCAGGACAGTACTCAAGGGTCCGGCAAAGGCCCACTTACGTGAACGAAACGTTGTCGTCAGCCATTTTCTCGTTCTGAAAAGGACAGCTAGAGTAGGTAGAGCTGGAGAAGCTTACCGCAAATCAGGCCAACGAGCACTTCGAAGAATGACCGAGAACCGACTCTCCCCTGTTCGTCGTCACGTTTCTTCCACATTTTGATTTTCTTGTGAAGACGCGTCAAGTTAAATTGCTAAATTCAAAATGATCTTCGAGCATATTTGTTATATTCAACTTCATTTCTGTTTTGTCGAAATTATTCTGGACGTGGCATGAAGGCTTTTCATTCAGAACAAGACGTCTCTCTTTTTTCAAAGTCTTTTATTCTTTTATGTAAAAACCCAGAACAAACCCGGCAAAATTTTTATCTCAGGTGTCGCAATTGATATTAAAATAAATTAAACAGATAATTGAATAATTAGTTGAGGATGGCTTTTTAATCTCTATCGGTAGACTCCTCAGCCTGTTCGCCAACACGTGGAAGGATCTCAACAGGCTCTGCGGTCACAAAAGTGGCTTCTTGAGTTTCCGACGGAACCTCTTCCGAAAAGTTATTCTGTTGCTTGTCGGCGTGAGCGATGCGCAGCTTCTGGAGACTGCGTCGCTTGCGTCCTCCACCACCGCAGCCGCAGCATCCTGAGACGGTTTTTTGGACGAAATACTCGGCGAGAGACTAACCGCATCCGCATCCACATCCACATCCACAGCAACAAGGACGGCAACAGGTACAGCAACGAGTGCAGCAGCAAGTTCTACAGCAAGTGCAGCACCGCCGACAGCAGCAACAGCATCTGGAATTTAGACTTCAAGTCTGAGAAAAGTTTTGGGTTTTTATCTCTCACCACGGAAGATTTCCAGGCACTTAAATCTGAATCTTCAGAAAAAAAAATAACTCTGAACACTGAGCTCGAAACTTTCACCCCGATGTTTCTAGATCACTGAGCTTTGAGCTGAACTGCCAGAGACCCAAAAAGAGACTTACCGAGGTCTGCAGCAGCAGCATCCGCCGCCGCCTCCTCCACAGCAACAGCCGCAGCAGCCACATCCGCTCCTTTTCACTCGAGAAGAAGACGAGCCGAGTGTGTCGATCGCCGTCGTCTCAGATGTCGTCGCCAGCTCCGTGGACGCCACTGGCAGCGGACCTGCTTGGACCTGAAATCCGACAGTCTGGCACGACTACCTTTGTGGAAAATGTGGAAGTTTGAGAGAATAGGTGGAATTGAGAATAATATAATCAAGAAAAAAAAAACTGGAATAATTTATAACTCTTCTGTTTTTTGTAAATTACAAATTTTGCTCTCACCAAAGCAGATATCTAGCTTTATTGAAGAAAGAAAAGTTCGGAAATGTTCGCTGAACTACTTTTCATTTAGTTAATCTTCTTTTTTTAAATAACAAAAAAGGATAAACTCCGCAGACGGTATGATCAAACTGCAATGATTGCAACCTCTACGATGATTCAGGAAATATTTCTTATCGAAATCTACCTGTCCCCAGAAGGCGGCGACGACGATGGCCGAGGCCAGACAGAGTACAAAACGGTGCATTTGAGCGAGCGAAACTGTGCCAATGTCTCATATCCGTCGTCTTTTATATTTTGGTCTTGGCCGAACAATTTGGCGGTTCTGCCGGTCAGCGGCCCCTCGATTTGTGTGCTCAACTTGGAGCCGCCGAGAGGAACGTCATTACGACGTCGTTTCGAAACAATTTTGGTTGTTCGCTTCGAAATGGAAATGTGCTTCAAATTGGTTGAGAAAAAAGCGAGTTCCCTAGAGGCGAACGGCGCTTCGAATGCAAAGATATGGATGGTGTTTTTTTTCCGAAAAGGAAGAACGGCGCTAATGAAAAAAGTTAAGTTTGCAAGTGGGAAACTATAAGTGGATTACTAAAGAGGGACCCAGACGTCAAAAATGACAACTTTTTTTTATCACATTGGGAACTTTTCTCTGCCTATGGTAGTCATTTAACTTCAGAACTTTCTGAAAAACCTACCAGAAAAATATTCTTATTGCTATATAAAAATCTTATGAGTCTCAACCTGGACAACGTTCTCTTTCTACAGGACGAGAAGCTGCAACTTTCCATTACAGCATGGGCGATAACCAAGGGATCTGTTAAGACCTTTTGGGACCTTAAAAGGAAAAAAGCCCTTCTTAATTACTTAAAAAAAGTTATTAAGCTAAAAAAGTTGCAGGTACGTTTCTTTTATACTCCTCTTTTTCCCTTTTTTTCAAGAAAAAAAGCCTTTTTCAATAAGGAATTTTTTTATCATCTTTTTTTGTCCCTTTTTTTCTAGCTCATTATGACCTTCTCTTTTTTTCAACTGCTTTTTATCTCTTTAAAAATGACCGTTCCGTTATAAAGTCAAAAAAGAAGTTTCTTAGAAACAAGGCGTAAAACCTTTTCTAATCCAAAGAAAATCTCTATAGACTAAAATCCGAAAATTTTATTGTACTCTTTCAACTTGTGCTTGTACTGCTGTAGCTGATCTGCACACTTTTTTAAACATAGTTTTTATTCGGACTTTTCGCGATGTGGTCAATTTTCAAGTCCCAAAACCGAGCGAACCAGATATTTTCACGGGACCACGGAGTTTGCCATTGCCGGACCGTTTTTCTGACAGCGATTTGACATTTCTGCGCGGCTTTCCGTGGACAACGAGGACCGGCAAATGACGTCACCAGGCTTGGATATAAATGCAAAGATTTCCTTTATTCAACACGACTAGGAATTTTTTTGATCATTGCGACTCCTTATAAAAAACGAAAATGCATCGTTTTTTACTCTGTCTGGCTTCGGCTTTGACTATCTCTGCGTTCTGGGGACAGGTAAATGTCTAATTTAAGAAATTTTCATCTATTTGATTTTTTTAAATTCATTCTTACCATTTCCATTCCTTGTATGATTATCTCACTTGTATTTTTGACATGCCTTTCAAAACTAAGAACTCTCCACAAGAGCAAGTCTTTCATGTCACTTTGACACAGTTAATACTACGAAATATCGGTTTTTCTAGCAATTGCTACTTACCTCAACTTGAAGGTGCAAGCTGTTTCCCTACCGTCGGCAGATCTGGAAGCCGCGGAAGGCGCAATTCTACGCATCGCTCACGCCGACAAGCTCCAGAAGAACTTTTCGGAAGAGGTCCCGTCGGAAACCCAAGAAGCCACTTTCGTGACCGCCGAGCCTGTTGAGATCCTTCCACGTATTGGCGAACAGGCTGAGGAGTCTACCGATAGAGATTTAAAGACAATCTTCCACTAATTATTCAATTGCGGGTCAATATTTATTATATTAATCATATTTAAACTTCGAAAATAGTTTTTGCAATGAAAACTCCCGAGAAAAGTGTCCAGAAAGGAAGCAAACGTGGGAAACTTTTCGTTAATCCTCAGTGCATACAAGGTTCTCAGAAACCCTTATTAAGAACACGACCTCTCGAAGCCGTGAGTAAATATATTGATTTCGAATTTTCAACTTGTGAAGCAAAAACTGTTTTTTCGTTGCAAGAGGTTTTTTGAACATGAAATTGTGAGAGAGCAACCAATTGTTATTGAATGTAAAATAACGTCGTTTTCACAATCTGAAAATCAACTCAAAAGTCCCGAAAAGCGGCAAAATGCGGCCAAAACCCGAAACCGCAGCTCTTCGGATAGTGTTTCTTTGCCACGAGTTGTTGTCTCGCGCACTTTTGCGCCCACCACTTGGAACGTTGCCAATCAGCTTGTGTAACATGTCCTTTCAGTTCACCGCCATGACAGCACAAAGATTAATCGAGGCTTTGCTCGGTTCGAAAATCTGCAAAAGACGAGATTTTGGGTGGAGATATTTGATCTCACAAGCCCGAGTCCCATTGCTCATTCTACCTGAAATATCAAATTTTCTAGCGCCAACGTTAGACACGATTCATATTATTTGAAAAATAATTTGGTTTGAAGCAAAAATTCTAATTCTAAAAATTGGAACGAAAATCTTTAAAATTCGACTCAATCAGGTCTCTGAGAAAATTATTGACCGATTCATTCCAAATACAGTTATTCCTAGGGTCCGCAAGCCATTTCTTCAAAACGATCCAAAAAATATGTTTTTTCACTTTGTTCGATAGAGGAGACTGTCCATTTTCATAATCCGTTCAGTTTTAGAAAAAAGCTCCACTAAGAAAAAAGTTATGGCCAAAAAACTAGCGCGCGCGGCGTTCAACTGGAGGCAAAATCTCACGGTTTACCCGCTGCCGCACGCTTTCTTTTTAAATGTTTTTGCGCATTTCTGAACCGTTTTCGAATCGGTTTTCTGTTCTGAGAGGTTGTCCGAACTGAGCTTAACGTTTTGGCATAAATCTTTTTGTACAATCCTCGAATTTTTCAGCTTATTTTTTTCTTTTTTTCTAATCAGAAAAAAATTATTATCATTTAGTTTGGAAAAAAAGAAAAAAATGAAAAAAATAATGTTATTTCGAAATAAAACAGGAAAATGTGCAATTTGACTCCAAAAAACGGCTCCTGCAACATTTAAAAGTGCGCATCGGTGTGTTTGACGCAAACACAGCTACGAACGCTTGCACGAATTCTTCCAAAATTTTGCCATTTTTTCGAGGTTTTCAAAGCCGTTATTTTTTTCGCGTCGTTTGATTTTTTCATAATTTTTCCATTGATAGAGTTTTGAACGCTTAATAACATAATCAAAAATATAGACGCGATCCTATTCTCTCATGCGTCAACGAGGCAGGCGAAAAAAGGAGGTTTTGGTAAAATTCAAATATAATTTGATTCGCTGTCCCAATAATTATTTTCATTTTGAATTTTTGTTTGTGAGCACATTGTGAGTTTTTAAATCAAATAAAAAGTATACCATGTCGCTGAAATTTTTTCGCATTTCAGCTTCAAAGTTTGGTGTCACTTTACAAGCTTCGATTTTTTTTTCGCGTCGTTAGATTTTTTTAAATTTTTATTCAAAAAATAAAGAAAGTGTTAATGTATAACATACTCAAAATTCGGAAGCGTTCCTCACTTGCTTTTCAGAAACGCGACGATTTTGTGAAACTTGTCAGTTTTTTTCGTGTTAAATCTTACTTTTTCGCTGATTTTTGAAAAATACATAGTTTAAAAGTTTTTCAGTCTTGTAGAGCGTTGTCGATTACATAGATTAACAGAAACAGTTTATTTTTGAAGTTGAACTTTAGCTAGTATAAACGCCTCAAAACCGTTTTTACAACAAAAAAATCGTCATTTTGGTGGCGTGAAGGGGCGGGGCTTTGCGCCCCCTATGCATACAGAATACTATTAAAAATGAGAATTGAAATAGTTCAAAATAAGAGAGCAGGAGAATAACCAGTAACGGGAATTAGTCCACCCTAACGAGTAGACTGTGACCCGGGGTTAGAAAGGGATATAACTTAGATGATGTTGCTTTTCTGGAAGTGATAACCGAGATTGCGGCTTTTTTGCTGTATTCAGCTTTAATTTTACTACCAAAGGGTTGAAAGACGCTCTTATTTGAAAAAAATTCTGACCATCAACATCGCGGATGTCAGAAATTAGTCTTGCCAGCCTTGGTTCGCGGTTAGGAACTTATCTAAGATTCTTACTTACTTGGATCACTGAATTTGTACATTGGCTCAATATCACAAGCCTTAGAGGCAAGTTAATTCAAACCACATTTCAAACAGAAAGCTCTTTTTGACTCTGCTTCTGCGACCTGTGACCTCACCACCGAAGGCTACTTTTTAATTTGTTGGTGCAAAGTCGAAACAAAATGAATGTGTTGATTGGGGCGCAGAATCCGCCGTCGCCCGACGATGATTGGCCGATCCGAGCCGCGGCGGGCGGTTACAACGGACGGCAGTCACAACACGACAACATGCACATCCGCCATTCCGCTGCTCCTCGTCCTTTCCAAAATTTCGGTTGATCTTTCTTTCTTCGTGCAACTTGCGATTTTCGGACTCATATTTCCCTCTGTTCATGAATCATCTTCACTCGTTTTTTCTTGACGTTTTTTCTTTGTAAGAAAAGGTACACCGAAGCACAAGGCTTCGAGTGATATTGGATCTTGGGCTGTATCGACTTTCTGTGCACTCTGAGCTTCAGAGCGATAAGCGAAAAAGTGTGGGTAAATATTTCCGTTGTACAATAATGGACTCAAACTGGAAGAATCGGCTTCATAGACAATCTCATTAATTCGTTGCCAAAAAAAATCTCTTTTTTTCCTTACTTCAGCGCATTAAAAAAAAAAACTCAGTAATGTTTTTTTCATTCGTTTGTTTAAAAGTTTTGTTTTTTTTTCTCTTTTAGAACTTTTTTTTCACTGTCTCTCCTAGTTCAGAGCCGTTATCATTGAGGAAAAAAACTTCATCAATCAAGTAAATAATGGCTTGACAAAACGGTTAGTCCATGTTATCAACTATCCAAGAAGAAAACCTCCGCGGGACCTATTTCGGTATTCCAAAGCTCATCCTGTCGACGAATCAAAGTTTCATTTCATATAAAATTTTGATATATAAGATATTTTGTTACAGCAAAGGCTTTCTGAAGTAACTATGAGCAAAGGTTTGATAGAAAACTACATTTGGCCTGAGTAAAAGGATTTCTGTGAGAATTTCCAGGTCTCTACACGCCTTAGAAGGTTCAGGCGTACTCAACAACTAAAATGCCCTTTTTGGTATTTAATGCACCTGAAAACACGCCAAACACATTTAATCCCCGTGGGCGCACGCTGGAATCATGTTTAAAGATATCCGGTTATTGCAAACGGGAATATTTTTGCATCGAAATCGTTTTGTTGATGAAGATGCCTTTTTTTCGCGCAACACATGTGCTCAATCTGCACAGACTTTCTTGCCGGAGGACAACGCTTTTTTTCACAACTTCTCTGAGTTATATGAGCAATTGAGAACAAAGCAATGAAAATTATGTTCAGAAAGCTCGTGATTACTAATTGGAATCAAGAAAGATATGATGAATGATACATCTTGTTTTAATTATACGAAAACAGCTTGCACCCGAGATTAATTTTTTTATGATGAGTAATTTCTTGTTTTCTATGGAAAACCCAGCACTTATTAAATTGGTAGAATAACAAACGTGATTCATTGTATTGGCGCATAATTTAGCAAATAAATTACTTTTTTAGTTCCTCAGGCTTTTCAAAAAAGTTTCTAAAGAGTTTTTTTGAAAAAGCTCGGATGAAATTAATAAAGATCACGGAGCGAAGTCTTTTTCTGCTTCAAATTAGGCTGTGTGAGTACTGTAAACCCTTAAAAAAAAATTTGAAAAAGGTGCACAACGAAATTTTCTTCTTTCGAGACTTTTTTATAAACGATTGGCAGGGTGGGAGTATTTTTCCGTCTTTTCAACTCGATAGTTTGATCAGTTGCCCACAATGAGTCATTTTGTTCTAAAACTGCCAAAGAAAAGCCGAAGCATGACTAGTTAGCAATTTCCCTAGAAATTCTCTGTCGAATCATTGGCGGAATTCAAAAATAGGCGTTTTGGTTTGGGAAGTGTGATCAGTCGAACAAAAAAGCCGTATTGTAATAATGATCGATGTTAAACCGAGAATGATCGTGGTAGGACGGTGTCAAATTGGAACAAACCAAGAACCCGTTCTCGAGTTTTTTTTTTTTTGAAACCTAAGGAAAGATCAATTCTCAGGGATGAGGCCATGAGAAATTGAAGGAGCTTAGACAAAAATAAAATTTAATAAAGTTTTTCCTTTCGATTAAGAATATTTACTGGAAGTTGCTCAGAAGTTTCGAAGAACAAAACAAGGAGCGTAGAACTGATCGATAGACTCTAAACATACTCTAAACATATTCGATGCTTTAAATAATGCAAAAAAAAAAACAAGAAAAACTCTCGAGAGAAAAAAAGGAAAAAAAGAAGAAGCAAAATTTCAATTAAAAAAATTAATAAATATTTTTTGTCATTGGAGCGACATTGCTTTAACTAAAATAGGGGTTTTGATATTTTACAAGCGTCTTGAATATTTCTTTTTTTAAAGTCCGGCACTTTTAATGACTGAAAAAAATCTTTTTGAATCTTAGTTGAAACTCTATGAGACGCTCTTATCACCCCCAAAATTACTGATTTTACTGGCGATATGCATTTTTTTTAAGCGTGCTTTCTCAACTGTTGACGCCAAACACAAAATTCTTACTAATATTTTTTTGTTTTTCAAAGTCCTACTGTTGGAAATAGAGTAAAATTAACTAATATCTGATCCTTTTTCGGTTGAAATTCCAATTTTTTTCTTTTTTGGGAAAAGGCCGTATCTCTCCATTCGAAACTCCAAAAACCATCGATGGAACGGCACGTGATGCCAAGTTAATAAACTTTCACGAGAAACGCTTTAAACTCGAGTATCAGCACGTCAGATTGCGTTTCGCCGGAACGCACTTGATGGCGTCGTTGTCAATTCGTGTTTCGATGGCTCAGTGTGTCGATTGTAATTTGCCTCGAGAGATTGTGCGTCTAATTTTTGTCTTTCAATGCATGTTTGCGGCGTCGCGCAAATATTTGGCAGCTTTTTTTGTTTTTTTTTTTGGAAAGCAAACCGCGCATGAAACATTTATCAAGCCGAACGTTTCTGGGTGAAAAAAGTGAGCTCAGGTGTATGTCGCCGGCGAGTAAAAAGTTTTGAACAAATTTTGAAGGTTTCGATTCTCCGAAAAGCCTGTTCTCTTCGTTTCATCAAGTACTTGGATTGTTTGTGGAAACAAAAAAACGATAAGAAGATCAGCGGTTCCCTCTCATGCTTGTTTTATTTCATTAAAAAACGGAAAGATTTGAAAACTGGAAAAATTTAATCACAGTTCTGTCTGACATTTCGTTAACATGGAGACATCTTTGAAAAGAGAAACCGTCAGTTTGTTAGAAAATTAGAAAATAAGTAAAGGCAATTCAGTAAATTCAAGATATTTCTCGGAACTTTTGAAAACTCGGAGCCTTGTTAAAACTCCAGAAACCATCAAATTTTGTTTTCAAGCGCATTTTTCATCTTCATCATAACAGGAAATACGGCTCCAACCACTACAGTAGACCAAAAAAACTTGAAGATTAGTGTTCTATTTGAATGTGAGCAAGGATTTGGTGTGTGTCGCTAATTCGTTGCCGTTTTTCCTATCGATTTCCACGGGAACAGCCTTTTTTGTTCGGATAGCGAACACATCAGCTGAAATAGTGAGTAGCAGGCAGCTCAAAAAGGGCAAAAACGGTGGGCGTGGCCAAGTTTTTTTTGTTCCGTTGTTGTACTTTAGGTTAGATACACCTGCAGCTTTTGTGCCGAGGCGGTTTTGTCAATACACCTGTATATCTGTGAGGCGTTTCCTCTCGATCCGCGGTGCTGCCTCGTTTCGTTGGCTCCTCCCGCCGACTGGTGTGAGCGTGAGCGACGTCCGTGAGTGCTGCCTGCTGCTGAAACCCCTCCTCGGTGCACTTTCCTCCAGTGAAAGCACTCTTGTCACGCCGTTCTCATCTCGAACGCCTTCAGTCCGACTCTCACTATGGCCGACCACGTCGTTACCTCTCACGAGGAGTCTCACCACGGAATCCTCGACACGGTCAAACAGGCCGTTAGTGACGCCATCGACACTGCTCAGGAGAAGGTGCAGCCGCTCGTCGACAAGCTCACTTCTGATGACCACGATCATCATAAAGAAAATGGCGTTCATGATGAATTAGGTACGCCTTTAGACCATCCTGACGTTACTCACACTGATGTTGGTCATCCTGATTTCTTGCACAGTGATGCTACTTCTTTCGAAGCAGACAACCATGCTCATTCTGATTTCGCTCATACCGTTGATGCTGCTGCAGCTCATTTCGATGACTCTGCAGACCTCCCACATACTCCTGATGTTCCCCTGGATACTGTTGCACTGGCTCACGCCGAAGCTGCTCCAGCTGTGTCTGAAGACGCCTCTCACGCCGTCTCGCCGGTTGCCGAAGAATCGTTCGTTGCCGTCTCCCACTCCGACCTCGCAGCTGCGCCGGCAGAGCATGAACATGACAAGAACATTGCTTCTGAACATCCCGACCTTTTCGGCACTGGTCATGCTGAGCCAGAGTTCCATGCGGAACACGTTCCTGTTGTAGAACTGGTCTCCGAAAATCATTTTGACCATAAAAACAAGGAACCGGAAGTCCATATCGATCACGTCTCCACTTTGGAGTCGGCTCCAGTGAATCCCGAGGCTGACCAATTCGAACACGTTTCTCACGGTGACGTTCCTCATCATCTGGACGAAGTCGTCGACCAAGTCATTGCCACGAATCTTTCTGACGCCGCCGTCGATCTTCACGACGTCGAGCCGGCTTTCGACAAGGTCGAAGTTGCTGCTGACAACGCTAAGGTATTGGTTTGGCATCGTTTTTTGCATTTATTTTAATTGGGTTTTTCAGTTTTCTGTGCAGGCTACTGTAACTATTTTGAAAAATTGAGACTTGATTATTCTTCAAAATCTACAATAAAAGAGAGAAGATAATACTCTTTAATGTTATTTTTTCTCGAAGATAAGCTTTATATTCATGAATATGGCACACGACTGAACGATTTCATTCTTTTTTTTTCTGCCGTTCCTATTTTTTTCTATCCACTCGATTGCCTGCACTGAATGGGCTCGAGAACCGGAGGAACGTCTAATTACATTGTTCTCGCGACGGAATTGGCTGAAACCGAGGCCAATTTAACTCACAAAAATTGTGTCCGAAAGAGGAAACCCAGTCTTAACAAGAATTTTTTTTTGCAAACAAGAGCAGACGTTTTCGAATCGTTTCTGCGTCAAAAAAATTAATTGAAAAATTTCAAATTATGGGAAAAATTATATGCTAATCGTATGAATTTTAGCATTGGTCCCAAAAAAACCAAAAAAAGATGTTATTTTTTTGCGAAAGATATAGGCCAAAAAAATGAACAGCAGTTTATTCTTTTTACAAGTAAAATAAAGCTTGACAGCCCCTACAGTAAGCCTTACTGATTTTCACCTAATTAGTTTCAAAGTGAACAGTTTTGAAACATTTCGCTTCTTTTTTGTGCTTCGTATGAGGAAAATAAAATCATAAAGAAAAACTGAAAAGGAATAAAATAAAATATTTAGCAACAAATGTGGATAAAAATTTTGAGTACTAATTGATTACTCAAACGAAGTAAGGAAAGTCATCGTTCCAGTAATGAAAAAGTTTTTCTGGCTTTCGTTCTCTCTCTCGGCCTCACAGCTTATGTTCTCACTCAGCGATTCATCATCCTTTAAACACGCAGCATATTTCATCCGTCTGCTCAGAAAATAAATCACCGACCGGAAACCTCAGCTCTTAAAAAAAATATCATGCGAAGCCGTCAACTCGAAAAATTACACACCGTCTCTCCGCCTGTAAACCCTTTACACTTGGAAAACGTGACAGAACGGTGTGACATGTCAATTTGTCAAATTTTTCCGGCCCCGTTTTTTACTTTGATTAACCTGGCGCGATCAATGAGTTGGAGAAAAAGAAGATCTTGGCGACGAGAGGCGAAAAACGAGGCACCGCCCAGGTTTCGCCTCGACGACGTCGTCGACAGGTGTGGCGACGTTGCCGCAAAGCATGTTGTTTTCTTTCGCGCCGCCCGTCTTTCACGTCTTCATCTTCTTCCTTTTTTCGAGTGGTGCGACCTCTCAGATAGGCAAACTAAACGTAAAAATTCCAACGTGATGAATAAAATTACCTTCTTGATCAAGGCGCATAGACTAAATTAAAAAGGTCTCATCACGCATTTCTTCAAACAAAAACCCAGCAAGCCGTTTTGAACTGACTACAATTCAAAACAGAATCGGAAAGGCTTTCTCTTCTTTTTAAACTACTAGAAAATGCAATGAAAACAATTGAAGTGCGATTTTAAACACAAAATTCAAAGTAAAATGCTTCTCACATTTGCCTTGCCTTTTTTTCTATGAATTTAAAAAGGAAACTGATTTCTTTTAGTGAGAAAGACACGCTATTTGAAAAAAGAAATTTGATTTAGTAAAAGAAAGACCCCAAAACACTTTGATTTTGAATCTATTTTGAAATTTAAGACCGCTTTTTTCCTTTCTATTTTTCCAACCGCGCGAACGGAAGTCTAAGATACTTCCTGCCGAGAACAGAAAACGTGAGAAAAACATTTTGCATCCGTCTTTTTCTCTCTTTTTCTTTGGTCGTAGTTTCTCAAGCAAAAAAAAAAACAAGCGTTTGTCGCCAGCGAAACGCAATATCTCGCCTCGATTGCTACATTTGAATCTCCTTGTCGAATGCTTGATTGTTTTGTTTCGAGTGAAGCGACCTTCTCAGTCTAAACAGAAAAAAAGCGATACACCAAAAATTCCAGTAAAAGTCAGAGCATTGTCAGAAAACTACTTGAAAATTCGAAAAAAAACCGCTTTTCCACCTTTTGTTAACGTTTTAACAAAATTTAAAAAAACTGTTTAATTCTACTCTTCTAACTACTGTATTGAAATAATCAAAAAATCTAACGTTTTAGAAGCGTAAGAAGAACGCAATGAAACATTTTTTGATAAACGGGAGTTCATTTCCTCACTTACCCGTCTCACTTCCTTCCAGCACAATCAGAGCTGCGTCTTTTCCCATTTCTTACGCCCTTTTTCAGTTTCTCGGTCCAAAGTTTCCACTTTCAAGCTATATTTCCAGATCGCCATGGCCGATTTCCCTGCCCAAGACGCTCATCTCGAGGCCTTCGAAAGCAAATACGTAAGCTTAAAAATTCATACAAACTTTGCTCTGAAAAAATATTTCAAGTGCCAAGAAATAGATTGAAACTGAAGAAAGAAGCTTCTTGATCTCTTTTTGGTTAAAATTGCGCCGAAAGAAAATTGGTTTGAAACCGCAGCGACGACTTTTTGTCTTCGAGTTCCTACGACGGCAGATAGCTGCTGGCTGTAACATTTTTTCGCACGTCTCCAAGGTCGCGTCGACACGCCTGTTTATATTGTCTTTTCCTTGCACGGTGTGGACAAGGCAAGACGATAAAAAAGGCAAAGAAGAGAACTGGAAAGCGGCAATTGAATGTTAGTGTGCGTAAAAGAGAGAGAGAGAGAGATTGTTTGAAAAAAGCTTCTCATACTTTCAAAATAACAGGAAATAATGGACGAAATTACAGCCGGTTCCGTACCGAAGCAAGCTCACCGAGCCTTTTGAGCCTGGACAGACGCTCATCGTCAAGGGAAAGACTGGAGAAGACTCTGTTCGGTTGGTTCTTCTTTTAAAAAACCTTAGAAAAACAAATTGAAGGCCAAGGCTCTTCATAGGTAATTGGGTCGAAACAAAACAATAATTCATTCCCCTTTGACAAAACTTCTGGTACACACAGATCCTTCTTCCTTCTCGAAAACTCCAGATGTAACAATCAATAAAAGTAGAATTTAGTGTGACTATCAACTTGCACAACAGCACCGCCGACTTCTCCGGAAACGACGTGCCGCTCCACATTTCGATCCGCTTCGACGAGGGCAAGGTATCCAGAAACCGTTAGCAAGTTGCGATGCTTCATGAATCCTTCTCAGATCGTTTTCAACACTTTCTCGAAAGGCGAGTGGGGCAAAGAAGAGCGCAAGAGCAACCCCTACAAGAAGGGAGACGACATCGACATCAGGGTCCGCGCCCACGACAGCAAGTTCCAGATCTTCGTCGACCAGGCACGTTCCAGGGAGCTGATTCTTAGAAGGAAGAGTTTCAGAAAGAGGTAAAGGAGTACGAGCATCGCGTCCCTCTTTCTTCCATCACACACTTCTCCATCGACGGAGACGTTCTCGTCACGCACGTCCACTGGGGTGGCAAATACTACGTTTGTTTTCCTTTTCGAAGTTCTCTTAAGTTTGAATGAATCTCTTTAGTACGAGAGACAATTGAAAGGTTTCTTTTCTGGCCGCTGTCCTAGAACTGCGACTTTGAAGCCTATTTTTTTCAAAAATTTAAAAGTTTTTGTTTTCTAAAGCTTCAAATATAATCAACTCGCGGGTACTAATGAATAGTGTGCTTCAAATTCAAATATTTTCATAAGCTGCGAAATCAAAATCCAGTTTCTAACAAAGTTTCTATTGAATTCATGTCCTGTTGCGAAACGCAGCCACCTGAGCAAACTTTTAAAAAATAAAGCTTTTGTTCTTAAAACAAGGCGAACAACATATTTACCATTGGCAACTGAGCCTTATTTCAACTCATACCCCTGAAATAGTAGGAGAATGACCAAAAACAGAAGAAAAGTAAAACAAAAAGCCGATTTTCAGCCAGTTCCCTATGAGAGCGGACTCAGCGGCGAAGGATTTAGCGTCGGAAAGTCGCTTTATATCTTCGGAACCCCAGAAAAGAAGGTTGAGCAATTCTCGTTTTTCTTTGAACTCTATAAAATTCAGGGCAAGAGATTCCACATCAACCTACTGAAAAAGAACGGCGATATCGCTCTTCATTTCAACGTTCGTTTCGACGAAAAGGTCAGACTGTTCTTGTGGCACAAAAAAGCAGAAACTTTCTTCAAAACTTGGTCAATAACGAGAGAAGATTACAGGCGGTTGTTCGCAACTCTCTCATTGCCAATGCCTGGGGCAACGAGGAGCGCGAAGGCAAGATTCCCTTCGAAAAGGCCACTGGCTTCGACCTCGAGATCAAAAACGAGGACTACGCTTTCCAGGTGACCAAACCTACTTCTCAAAATCCTCGCAATAGACATTTATTTTGAAAGCATATTAGTCTTTATTCCAAATATTCAGATCTTCGTCGACGGCGAGAGATTCGCGTCCTACGCTCACCGTCTGACGCCTCGCGAGCTCAACGGCATCCAGATCGGCGGCGACGTCGAGATCACCGGCATCCAGCTCCACTAGAGCCTAAACACTCCTTCGTTCTTTCTCCTTCTTCCCATGCTCCGCTACTCTTGGCCCAACTTTCTCTAGTTACCGACTTGAACTGAATTCTCTGAGAATCGCGCTACACGCCACTGTCCCAACTTCGCATAATAATCTCTGTACTCACGTCCTACTAATTCTTCCGCGTAGTCCTTTCAAATACGATAAATTTATATTTATGGCTGTGTTCTTTTTGATAAAATTAACCGGAAAGCCTGAGCTCCTTAAGTTTCAGCAGCTTTACAAAAAGTTCAACTTCGCACATGAAGATCACATGCACGCCCACCTATTCAGCAAACCTCTCATTTTTCAGCAGCTCTTCGAAACATCGAATTCCAACTGAAGTGCAAAAGGCGCTAAAAATAGAAAAAGTACAAAAGCTCAAATATGGATTTAAACATTTCTTTTTCTTTTTCTTTCTCGACTAAAAATTTTCACAAGCCAGGTGTATTAATAATCCGAACGCCATACGAAAACAGGAAGAGGAATCCCACCAGGAACTCGGATTTGCGTGTGCGATATTTTTGATCAAAGAGATAAGCCTATGAAGAACTATTATAAAGCTAATCATCAAATTTAGAATAAAAAAAACCGGAGAGGAAGACGAAAAATCTTAAAGACATGAGTGCAATAAAAAAAATTTTAACCTGAAAAGATGAGGATGTTATTTGAAGAAAATTTTATTCCGTGTCCGCTCTCTTGCAATTTCATCTGTGTAAGTTCAACCAAGGGGTTTAAGAAATGTTGGTGGTGGGAAACCAGGACTTCAAAATCCCCAGCCGTCACACACAAGGACGGATTAGTCACTGGAGCCAGTCCACTGATATCAGGATAGGACCTCGGCTAATCGACTTGGGGCGCCGACGCCGCTCAAGCGGTACAAAGGCGTAAGAAGAAGAAGAAGTATCGTTATTTTCGTGAAACTTCCGTCTTTCTTTCAGCTTCGTTCATTTAATATCATTCAAAAAATTTTTTCGTTTTTGTTTTTCCCATAGAACTTACGTTTTGAAAGCTTCTGAAAAGAAGGAATCGCTACTAAAAATTACACGTCGTAAAATAACTCAGATATTTCGTAAAAAATGTTATATGGTTTGAGAGATTGTTCAAAAGAAGGTTCTTAATCAGATTGGCTTCTACAAAAAAACAACAGAATTTCTCAATACTTTGGGAAAATAATATTTCTGCAAATAGAGCCATCAAAATCCTTTGCCAATATTTTTTAAATTGTTTTTGGCGCTATAGAGATTCTTTTTTCTCTCCGATTTGTAGCGTACAAATTGCAAGATAATAGCAAAAAGTAGACCTTAAAGGTCGAAAACAAATGGCGGCATGCCGCGCAAACGATCAAGATAACAAATCGATATTAATAGAGACCACAAAGGTGAAATGTCACCGGTCGTGTAATCTTTTCTCTCCGTTTTTTTTTTGGTTCTGCTTCCTTTCTGCTTTTTTCTGACGATACAACTTTCAAACCTTCCAAACTGAGAATTACGTAAATTTGTTACGCGTATATTTCAAAGAAAAGTGCTACCTTTGAAGCGATAGAATACATTGATTTGTTTTCAGAAAAGAAATAAAGCTTATTCATCCAAGAAAAAAATTTTAATGTTTAACTTTCTAATGTTTACTAGTATTACATTTTCAACTTTAACATTCTAAAAAAAATGTAAGAAAGATTTCAGAAGAAAATGGCTACAGCTCACGATCGGGCAGTTTTGAATCAGATTCTTAATCCATTGCTTCCTAATAGCGATGGTTTGGATGAAGTTAAACACGAAGAAGGTGAGCAAAATTTCCTCAAAAAAAGGTTCACCGTATTTCGAAAAAAATGAAAAATTTCAAAAAAATTAAACGTATTCAAAAAAACTATCTAAACCAAAAAAAGTTCTTAAAATGCATAACTTTCTCGAATTTAAAAAAAGCCTTTTATAAAAACAAATGATGTTTTTAAAAAAATATTTATAGATTCTGTATCTCTTTTTATAGATTCTATCACTGTGAACTCCCAGAACAGTGACTATCTATTATTTTTCTTACAGTAGTAATCGAACACGAAGGTTTCGCCAGAAGTGTGGAACTCGAACGGGAAGGCGTACGCCTGGCCGAGAGCGGCAAGTCTGCTGACGCAATCGCCGTCTTTTCCAAGTCAGACGCAAAAAAAGGAAAGAAAAAAGTCCGTGTTTTGCAGGGCTATCGAATCTTGTCCCGTTAATCCGTCAGCCTACAACAACCGAGCACAGGCTTATCGTCTTAACGAGCAAATTGAAGGTTTCCCTATCCAATGTTCATTTCATCAACTTGCATGGATAGAAGCGCTGGCTGACCTGAACGAGGCTCTGAAACTGGGCAACGAAAAAGGAAAAGCCGCCTGTCAGGCTTTCGTACAACGGGGCAGCATCTACCGTCTACAGGGAAACGACGACAAAGCTAGGGTACGGTTCCTGGATTTGCGGCTATAACTTATGCAAAGAGTGAAAGTGCCTAGCGTCTTGGAAGTTAAACATTTCCCAACCTTTTTTTCAAGATTACCACCAGTCTATGCTTTCTGAAAAAATTAAGTCCATCTAACTATGAAGGATATATTCTTCTAATTTGAATTATTAGAATTTAGAATTCTCAGTTCGAAAATCTCTACCTATTATATGCTAACGGAGTTGGAAAAAAGTTGTTATGGGGGGTTTTTTTTTAATTCAGCGTGGGAATCAACATTAATCAAGTTTCTTCGCTTCGATTTTTTCATTGGGGAAAGTTGAAAGTTTCATTTTCCTTTAAAAGTGAATTTGAAAACATTGAAAAAATTACAAAACTAGTTACATGGCATAATTCGAACAAAAAAAGTTGAATCTATTTTTGAAACCATTTAAGTTTAATGAACCTAAAATGAGCGACACGTAATACGTCTTCACTGAAGACTCTTCAGGTATATTTTATCTTCACGGCAAATATTTTTCGCCCAAAGACTGAAATTTCAGTGCTCCGAGTGCACATTTTTGAAACCCCAATTGTCCCGTTTCAATTGCCCCAGACTGAACTAATCTCCTTAATTCGCTTGCAGGAAGACTTCCAAGCCGCCGCTGAGCTCGGCTCTTCGTTCGCCAAAATGCAACTGGTCACTCTCAACCCCTACGCAGCCATGTGCAACAAAATGCTCTCCGACGTCTTCTCCAACATGAAAAACGGCAAAACTTCCTAACTCGAAGCCTTTGTAAATAACGATAAATCAACAAAATGTACAAAAAACTTGAGAAAAAAACATAAACGAACAGATAATTACGCGGCTATTGTCCTAGTCCGATTGGACACCTTCGGGGGAGACTTCAAGTGCCGCAAAATGACGACGATCGCTTCAGGAGTTATGCCAGAAATTCTGAAAGGAACCAGATTCCTTTCAACTGAACTGAGATGGGAAATAAACCTGGTGGCAGCTGCGAGGTTGGCCGGCCGAGCTCGCTCCAGCTTCTCCACGCATTCGAGACTGAGGCCCTTCATCTGAGAATAGTCGACGTCTTCTGGAATCGTCGTCGTCGCTTCGCGCTCAATCTCCGTTGTCTGCAACCTTTCTCAAGTTTTCTTTTACCTTGTCTGTGTTATCTTGATTGGGCTTTCGAATTTTCGTTTTTTGAATTCATAGTTATCAAATTGAAGAAAAAATGCCACCCCGGCGCGAAAAATATAGATTCTCAACAATATCCTTCATTGGAAAAGCTACAGTAATCAAAATGAAAAACTACATGAAAGTTTATTTAAGGACAATTAAAAAATAATTCCAAAAATTTCGAAATGGGCTTTCTTGTTTTTCTTATTTTCATAGACACTTCTTTCATCGAGTTGGTTTTCCCTAGCTCTAATATTTGTCAAAACAACAAAGTCCGAAGCTTAGATTTTTCGAACCTTCCAGAAACTCACTCTTTGCTGCATCCTCTGGTGCTCCACTTCGTACCCTCCCTCGATTTTCAACCGCCGAAAAACTTCTTCGTCCAAGTTTTGCTGGCCGAGGTCAGAGATGACGGAACTCAAATCTTGCAACGAAAGATCGTAGCGATGAAGAAGTTCAAAGGCAGAGAGAACTGGAAAATTATTTTTGAAAGCTAACATAATATTTCTCCCAATCTCTCTCCATGCTTTGCGGTTCTAGTATAAAACAATCATTCGAAACCTCCCACAAAAAAAACTGGCGCTTCATAGATGAAGATTTGGTGATATGAAAAAAAGACCAGCGAAAATTCAAACGGCGACTTTTCCGATTTTTTCGTATCGCTAGGGGAACTTTCCGACGGCCACTTTTCCGCCGAATCCCTTTCCGACTTTTTTTCTCGATAAACTCTTCGTTTTTAAATCTTCCTATATCAAGTATGTAGTTGGTTCATGATCAAAACACGAACAAATAGGAAAAAAATGTTAATAGATGTTTAATAAACGAAAAAAATATAAGAGAAAAAAGTCGGAAAGGGATTCGGCGGAAAGGTGGCCGTCGGAAAGTTCCTTAGCGATACGAAAAAAATCGGAAAAGTCGCCGTTCCAAAAGTCGCCGGCTTTTTTTTTCATACCACCGAAGATTTGACCGACCTTTTGCATCGTTTTTAGTTGAAAGATTTTGAATGAGGCGTTTCCACTTGGCGACGCTCATCGAGGTTTCTTTGGTAGCTTCCCGAAGTTGCTCCAGACGACGTTTCATATTGACAAATTTGTCCCATCTAAAAAAAACTTTATAAAAATTACCCATGTAGCAAAGACCTTTGATCTCCCACGGCGCCAAACTTTTTTCCTAGTTCAGTGAGTCGGATATCGGCGTTGTCAGGTCTAAAAGAATAGTTTCAGAATGAAAGAATCAACATTAGAAGCCTCAAGTGGAGTCGACACTCAGCTCTCGACGTCAGCATCCTATAAGGTTCGTTGGTTCCCAAACTGATGAGGTCATCGATCAGAACACCTGGAAAGAGATTTACAGACGTAGACAGATATGTAAAGACGTTAAACTTTGTCAAGTCAGAAAAATAATAGAATGAAATTTCAAAGAAACAAATATTGAAAAACCTAATTCATTTTGTGTCTCGTATTTCGTTTTCTTTCCTCATATACATTTTAGGTATGCACTTTCAGAAATGCCTGAGCATCTACTGACCGATGTAGGCTTCCGTCCGAGAAATGACGAGTCCGTCGTCGCCTCTAGAACGAGCAGCAGCGTTGATACCAGAGACCACGCCTAAACTATTCAAAGTTTGAAACTTGCAGGACATTTTCCTGGTCAAACCCTGGGCGGCCGCTTCCTCGTAGCCGGTCGTACCATTGATCTGTCCGGCTAAGAAAAGACCTCCGACTTTCCTCGTTTCCAAAGTGTGGTACAGCTGTTTGGGGTCTACAAAATCGTACTGAACTCCATAACCGGCTTGCACGAATTCTACCTGCAAGTATCTTCTTTTTGTGAAGTCTTCAGTTTAATCGTCATACTCACCTTCTTCAATCCTTTGATGGCACGCATGATTTTCAGCTGAACTTCTGGTTTGAAGGTCATCGACATTCCTTGAGGGTAAATGGCTTTTGAATCAAGGCCCTCGTGCTCGAGGAACAACTGGAAAGAGCTTTAGATAAAAGTACACGGAGAAAGAAAAATACTCGGTGCTGAAGTTTCGGGAATCGGATGATCTTCAACTCCAATGAGGGACAGTAACGAGGCGAGTGAGTCTCACTCGCCACTTGGACGTTTTCCTTCAGATTTTCGTGACCTATTCTCCGTACTTCGTCGTTAGTGTAGCCGAGGTAAGTGGGCAACTGACAAATAATAATTATTATATTTCTTTTAAATCAGCAACTTTTTTGAAAAACATCTTACCAGAGTTCACATAGGAAAAATCTGAGATACAGTAAAAACGGAAAAATATAATCAAATAATGCTGGAAACTTCGAAACTTCCGATAACTTTCTAAATTTATATAAGAAAAAAATATTTCACAAGACTTTTTCTAAAAAAATTAATAAATGTTTCTCTCTTGAAAAGGTCAGAAAATGAGCATTTTTCGCCCATTTTAAGGACATTAATGGTATCTTCAGTTCCCGTTTTCAAAATCTTACTACGAAAGGAACCTTGAAATTATTTGAAGATCTTAAAAATAAAAATAAAACAGAAGAAATCCGCGCACTTGCTCAGAAGGCGGAAGCCAAACAGAATCGTTGAGAAAGGAGAAAGGAATCGGATTTTTGTCCGGAGGCATCAGCTCGAACTGCGAAAAATCGATCGTATCCTGAAAAACGCAATTCCTTTTTTTTCAGAAAGTCTTCTGCACTTTGAGCAATCGTGGAGGAGTTCCTGTGCGCAGCCGTCCGAGCGTCAGTCCCAAGCGCAAGAAACTTTTCGAAAGGCCTGTAGAGCTCTGGAACGACATTCCCGAGTTTCCCCAACGGATTCTCCTCACCTTCTCATTGATTCTACCTGCCGGCCAAGTGTTCAGTCCCTGGTAGATCTCGCCCCTCAGGAACGTTCCCGTCGTGATAACAACGCACTTTGCTCTGAATCGCCAATTCCAAACTCTTCTTGAGAAATTTCCAACCGCAAAGTCCTCCCATCGGACAATTTGATGCCAGAGATTGCCGGTCTTTTCTCATTGCTGACTAGGAGTTCGTCCACCTCGCTTTCCAAAATTTCCAAGTTCTTCACACTGTTCATTTCCTGCCTTTTCAAGTTGTTTGACAGAATGGGGAGTATGAATTTTACCCGCTGCATGTGTTTTTTGTAGAGCGTGCGGTCAATCTGTGCCCGCAGCCCTAGTACGGCAGGTCCCTGGGCCAGATTCAAAGCTTCAGATCCTTCATTTTATATTCAATGAAACGAAAAATCCACCTTGGTAGGTTATGGCCGACTTATCGCAGACACGACCACAAAGTCCGTCCAAAGCGTCCACTTCTCGAATTAAATGTCCTCAATTCGGGCTAAATCATTCAATAGTCTCATTTTGCCTGAAAACCTTTGCCTATGCCACCGAAACTCGGGTTGCAGCTCATTTCGCCGATAGTGTCTTTGTTTTGGGTGACCAGAATGGTCCTGGCGCCACATCTGGCAGACGCTGCCGCGCTTTCACAGCCTGCATGGCCTCCTCCTGGGAAACGAGGATTTTGGGAGCCAGATTCATTGAAAACATTTCTAATTCGCACACATTTCACCTGACTGATAAAACTAATTTGCTTTTGTAGAACTTTTTATTAATTTCTAAACTCATAAAAAAAACCTATGACAATGACGTCGGCATCTTTAGAAATCGAATGCAACGAACGTTGGCATAAACTGGATCCTTTTCTTCTTAAAGGCCTCAAAATCATCTGAAACGACGATTTATACATAATTTTGGAATCAAAATTTATGTGGATATACGAACGCGTTCAACAACGTTTAAAAAGTACGAAAATATATTTTAAAGCAATATTCTTTTCCCGTTTCAACAATTGAAGCGATAAGTTAAAAATTGAAACAAACAAAATGATGAAATATTGCAAATACATTACATAAATTACACGTGAACAGGATGTGAAGGCACATGATGGACAGGCATTAAAGAATGAGAAAATCTGATTCAAGGATTCAAAAAGGAAACCATTATGTAACGAGTTCCTTTGGTCGTCGGAAGGCCTTCGTGCATGTGAGTGAGACGGCCAGGAAACATCATGGCGTATCCTGGAAACCAGACAATTTCCATCAAACGAAGTCAGAAACGAGAAAAGCTCCGGGAATTTATGTAAAATCCGCTGACCGACTTGATCCGCTTCCACCGTGCAGTTGTAGCGTATATATCTAACGCCTCCGCCTTCGTAGTCAACACCTTTTTTGTTCAGAGCAATGTCGATGCTGAAAATAAGCCTTTTATATAACTTTTTCACTTAAAAACTGACTTTGTATTTTTCCTAATGAAAAACAAGAAGCTCTCATAAACTTTAACGCTAACAGGTAGATTAAAATGTTTTACCAGAACACATTTTTTCGAAAAACATTTTGAAACTGAAGTTTAAACAATCACAAGGAAACATTTTTGTGAAGAATTTCCTGAAAATTGCTCGAAATATTCCTTGAAGTACCAGAAAAGGAATCTTAGCGATCTCAAACTGCATTAATTTTCCTTTTCAGTGAGAAGACACAAAACAGGAAACTGAAAATAGGAAAAAACCTCGAAAAATCTTTAAAAACGGGACATTTTAAAGACTTCAACCCATTATTTTCGAAAAATAGGATGTTTTGCAGTTCAAGACGTTTATAATCTCCTTCTGGTACACCTAGTCAAATTTCAAACTTCAATAAAAATCCTACAAAATATAAATTCGCGTGTATCAAAAAGTCCGAAAAAATGTGAGATCATGGAAACCTGTAGGTGCTTGCGTCGTGATGTGGTCTTAAAGAAGCTTGTTCTTCGGGCTTGTAACGAACAACAAACATCATGTTGGCTTCGACGGGCTGAATAGTCCCATTCAATCCTTCTGTCAAAATGTAATCAAAACCTGATGGTAATATCCAATAAATGTCTTCTCTTGGATAGGTCGAACATATTCGTCGACGAAGTAAAGCCATTGACGTTCAAATCCCACTTGATTCATATGAATGTCGCGTGTCGGAACGTTTTCGTAACCTCCAGAAAGACGGTTATCCTTAAAAACTCAAATGATTACAGTGACCGCAATTCATTGGAACTTCTTCTTTTATGAAGTATTCCAAACTTCGATTTCTTTTTAACGACGCAACTTCTTATTATAAAAAAGCGTTTGTGAAAGATTAAAAAAGGTCTCTGTACAGGCTTTTAAGAGGAAATAAGCATCAAAATTTACAAACTTCATCAAATTTTTCCCAGCTCAAACATGGATTTCTTCCGCTTTATATTTTATAAACTTTGAAAGTTATTAATTTCACTCTTCCTTCACTCATAAATCTTTTTCTGATCTTTTGGTTCTTTTCAATACGTCTGGGGTAAAAAGTGAAAAATAATTACTTCACGCAATTGAAAAAATATACCTTATTAGATCCGTCACTCCATTTTCCGTATGTTTCCATCTCCTCAATCAGTTCCTTGCAAAAACGCTCGGACATCAGTGGGTAGTCATAAACATCGGGACATGCTTGGTCGACAACGGCATCTTCGGCCAGGAGCTTTTGATAATCCGGATGCACATATCGAGCTTCCCATAACTGAATAACAAGCAAATATATTACAGTGCTTAAATTCATAGTACTTTTTCAAATTTATTTTTGCGAATAGTACATGATTGTCTAGAAAACACTCACACTACTACTTAGCCAAAACTTATAGGACCTTCTGCGCTTCTGAGCACGTTCAATATTTATTTATTGCAATATAAACATTTTTGAAAAAAAGAATTTTTTTTAATATAAAAATTTGAAAAAAAGAAAGAGAAAAAGATCTGAAAAACACTCTAAAAAGGAATGAAAGAAATAAATTTAAAAATAAAAAAATCTCACTAAGAATAACTGACGAGATAAACGCGAGGTCGGTGGCGGTACATTGACGAGCTCGCAAACATCTCGCTTTTTTTCTCGCATTTTTCTGAGCGCGAGCTCGCATTTCTCTCGCAATTTGAAAATTTTCTGAAATGCGAGGTCGCGCCGAGATAAATGCGAAATCGCGCCTAGAAAAAAGCGACCGACGTTGACGCCATTGACGAACGCCACCGACACCGCCATTGACGAACTCGCAAACATGTCGCTTTTTTCTAGGCGCGATTTCGCATTTATCTCGGCGCGACCTCGCATTTCAGAAAATTTTCAAATTGCGAGAGAAATGCGAGCTCGCGCTCAGAAAAATGCGAGAAAAAAAAGCGAGATGTTTGCGAGCTCGTCAATGTACCGCCAGCGTCTCGCGTTTATCTCGGCAGTTAGGCTTTAAAAATGTTAGGGACTTATTCTTAGTGGCTGGATTAAAAATATTTATTGTCGTAACCTCCGACGTTATTGGTGAATTTGTCTAGAGAATGTTACAGTAGACTTTTTAAAAATTCTTCCATTCAAACCTTTCTGTTCTCAAAAATTTGCCACATTTCTGGATGATGTTTTCCCTGTGTCACCGTTTCTGCATATTCTTCGCTGATGATAAGGTTTCCATGTACAGCTTCGTTATCCACGAACAAAAAATGTCCCTAAATAATCAGATTACGTTTGTGAAAACTTCATGAGATCAAATACACGGTGTTCCGCGCAATGAAAAAAAAAATGCGAAATTTTGAGTCCCAGCGGCATATTATCCGTGGCGCATTATTGCGCCCTTCTCATGGTTTCTGATGCAAAAAAATTGAATTTCTTCACTTTTTTTTCCTTGGTTTTTTTACTTTTTTTCTATTTCTTGCATTTATGTGATCCGCCTCTCTATGGGTACATCTTGTGGAGCTTTTAAATTGCGCACTTTTTCTAAACCGGTTTCAGATCTTTAACTTTTTTTCTCAAAAAAAGTTGAAGATTTTTTTCTAAAAAGTCCTAATTTTTTTCAAAAATTTTTGAAATCTGTTTCGCGACATGAAAAGAATCACTCTATTTCGAAAAACTATAGTTTTTTTAATTTAATCAGTTAATAATAAAAAAAGTTATTATCTAGTTCCTTTGACGTAGTTTGAAACCGGTTTCGTGTAAATTAGAGCCAAATTGAATTTGCTGATGCAGTTTAATTATTTTGATATATGCATCATCTAAATTATATTTTTCTAGTTTTTTTGATGGTTTTTTTCGGATTTAAAACAAAAAAATTTCGCCACACCAGGTTTTTTTCTAAAAATTTCTGCTTTCTAACCATTATTTGTTTTTCTGAAGCTAGGTTTTCGAGGTATATAAAATGTTTTTTTTTCATTTGCTTCTTGAATTTTCCTCATTTCAATATTTTTCGTATTTATAAATACTTATTCAATGGGAGCTGATTCACCTTTATAATATTTTTTTTGTTTTTTTATTTTGTAATCAGTAATTTAGAGTTTTCCCCTTTTCGAAATCGTTCATAAATGTTTTTTTAACGTAAGTGAATGTTTTTTTCACATCATATTCTTCAAAATGACAAATTTCGAACATTTCAGGAGCTATTATCCTGAAATCGCAAATTCTAAAATTGAAAAAAAAACATTTTGAGTATGCGATAGTGCGTCTCGGTGTGCTTACACCCTAAGCATCATAATTTACGAAAAGTCTTGACCTTGAGTAACACTAAGAATAACTGACGAGATAAATGCGAGCTCGGTGGCGGTACATTGACTAACTCGCAAAAATGTCGCTTTTTTCTAGGCGCGATCCCGCATTTCTCTCGGCGCGACCTCGCATTTTTCTCGGCGCCATCTCGCATTTATCTTGCATTTCGGAAATTTTCAAATTGCGAGAGAAATGCGAGCTCGCGCCCAAACAAATGCGAAACCGGCGCGAGAAAAAATGCGAGATGTTTGCGAGCTCGTCAATGTACCGCCAGTGTCTCGCGTTTATCTCGGCGGTGGTATGAAAAAAACACCGGCGAAAATTCAAACGGCGACTTTTCCGATTTTTTCATATCGCTAGGGAACTTTCCGACGTCCACCTTTCCGACGAAACTTTTTCCGACTTTTTTTTCTCGATAAACTCTTCGTTTTACATCTTCCTATATAAAGTAGGTAGTTTGTTCATAATTAAAAACACATAGAAATAGGAAAAAAAAAATGTTCATAGACGTTTTATAAACCGAAAAGCATAAGGGAAAAAAGTCGGAAAAAGTTTCGTCGGAAAGGTGGCCGTCGGAAAGTTCCCTAGCGATATGAAAAAATCGGAAAAGTCGCCGTTTGAATTTTCGCTGGTGTTTTTTTCATACCACCATCTCGGCAGTTATTCTTAGTGAATGAAAAAAAAAACCGTGAAATAGACAAAGTGGGAAATTTTCTTTTTTACGCTTACGTTTTCTCTCGCCCATTGACAAAAAGACATGTCAGCGTCGAGATTGGTGTTGTAGTTGAAAGGCTGTCTCATCACCTTGAGCTTGTCTTTGGTGAAAAGCACGGCAGAGGTGATGAAAGGGACCTGTTCCGTTTTTTTTCCATCGAAATAACCTTTGCCTTACATTCCAATATCCACTTCTTTTATTTTGGATGATAGCCATGTAGTCTTCGCTCCTTGCGTAGTACCCATTTGGCGCAATCGCGCCCCAGAAATTACTGAACAATTTTCCTGGCTGTGTCAGTAGAGGAGCAACAAAACCGCTAAAAATATCAAATTTTGAAGGAAAGAATTTTTTTTTCTTTGAGTTGTGAGATAAAACGGACATTCCATAATTGGAAGAGTACTCGACCAAGTCCTTCAACGTCTGTTTGTTTGTTAAAAGCACATCGGCGTCCAGGAAAAAGGTGTAGTCCACGTTGAAGTTCGAGTTGAAAGTTCTAGGCGTTAATGTTGATTCTGATATCAGGAACTTCTCACAATGCATCGTTTCTGGCTTCTCTTTCTCCCAGTTCAGTGACTCCGTTGATTACTTTCTTCGAGTAGTACTGCTTGCCGTATTTAACCAGGAAGTCCATAACCTTTGAGAAAAAAAACAGTTGGTCCAGTCACAATTAGCGAATTACAGTCTTGATGGAGCCTCTCTGGTTGTTATAAATAAATAATACGATCCTGCTTTTAGGGTAATCCAAGTTTGCAAGCGCTTCCATGGACTCTTCCACGAACGGAATCGCTTTGTGGATGAAATAATTCACGCCAATAAGTGGATAATCTTTCTCTTCCAAGCTCTGAAAGTTAGAATGAGCAGTGCGATATTTCCGAGAAAGCGAACCTTGAAATCGAGAGTCGACTTGTCTCCGCATTCGACGCATCCCAATGCGGACGACCACCGACGTCCGACATAATTGCCCAAATAGTTCAGATGACGTTTGCTCGGCCCGTTCCCATGAATAATTACTGGATGCGTATTGTACGCAGCGTTGTAAGCCTGGAAGTCTAATTGAAGATTTCTAGGGCTTTTGACTTTCACCTCGGCATTCCCGTCGTCATCAAACTGCAACTCGACGTCATCCACAACTCCATTCAAGTTTTGGAATATGCGCGCCATCGAATCCAGACCAATTTTCAAGTCTCTCTGTGAAGTTCGCGTTCTTTTGTCTTTCTTTCTTTTTTCAGATACCCGAAGTTTTTCGTCAAGATAGATCATAGTGTAGTAAAGCTGATCGTCGTCATTGTCTTTGACTTCTTTGAAAGTGAGCATCTTGTAAAACTCAGGGGCGTAGCTCAAGATGAGCCCCGAGTTCAGGAATCTAAAAACTTGAAGTCAGAACGAATGAAGAACACTTTAAGGAAAATTTCAGACACTTGAACCTGATTTTCGAATTTTTCATTTATTTCACCTCTTTCCAAACTCCACGATTGGATACTCAGGAGCCAAGTCTTGCTGAGGCCAACAGAATGGCTCGGCTCCAAAAATAACTCTTTTGTCGGAATAATGGTCGAAGAATCGGTGCAAGATGACGTCGACGCCCGAGTTGAAAACGACGTCGTATCTGTAGGTAATTATCTGAGGCGCCACTCTAGGCATTTCTTACGCGTCAACGAAAATGATGATAGTGTCCTTCTCGTCCTTGTAGTCTTCTGCCCATTTTGATAGGATCCTAATTTTCTGTCCACCGCCCTGTAATGAAGAATTCAAATCCAATCCTAGTTTGGAAGTTTCATTTTTCTCTGGAGCAAACCTGTTCGATACGAGTGTCGCCGCCACGCCACTTCTCGCCTAAACCAAGAACTTTGACCTTGAGGTCAAAAGCTTGCGCCGAATGCAGAAGCCTCTTGAGGCCGTCCGTTTCTTCGGTCGCCACAGTTACAACGAGGACCTCAAAAAGTTTGAAATGTACGGGAGGTTAATCAATGAAATTCGTTAAAGATGTTAGAAAAATTCTCACTTCTGGTTGTGCAACATCTTCCGTTGTGGCTTCTAAGACAGCTGCAAGTCCCAAAAAAAGCAAAATGCTCCAACGCATTCTTAAAGACTTTTCTATCAGAGAGCTGAGAAATGGGGTTATGGTATCAGTGTTACCGAACCTGAATGAATCTTTTAAAATTGTGAGAAAGTGTGCTTCAAGCTGTAAAATTCAATCTCTCGCAGAAAAGCTTTTTTTTGGTTGGTACAGCTCATTTTCAAATGTTTTCATGGACCTCTTCAATTGGAAATCTGCGTGAAATGATCACCGTAATTGAAAAAAATTGAATGGGTCATGAAATGATAAATCTAATGGCTATTACAGTGTTTGGTTTAACGATAAATTTTAAAAAAAAGTAGTTGTAAAAGAAAGAAATGAGATAAAACATAAAAAAGTCAGAAGAAGCGAAAAAGTTTGTGAACTTATGGAAATGCAATAAGAGTGAGAGGCGAGTCTAAAGAAAAGTATGAGGGTGGAGCGTCGCCCCGAGATTCATCGATCGTTGAGACAAAGTTCAAAGCGGGTTTGAGCCTTTGAAAACATGAAAAAATCTCAGAACGGACACTAAAGAACTCAGAAAAAATCGCTCCTTTTCTTTCTGAACGCAGGTAGTTTAGAATGTTTAAAGTTCGAGAAGTTGAAAACAATACAATTTTTAAATTTTTTCATAAAAAAAAAGTTCCATCAAAAGTTTAGAAAAGGCCTGAGTAGACAACGAGAGACAGAAAGCTTCTGGCAGTGGCTGGACGTTTTTTGAGCTAGAGTACTCGGTCAGTTTACAACGGCGCGCCGGCTGACCCGCTCCACAGATGCCCGGCAGAGAAGGCTTGGTTCTGCACGTGCCCAGCAGATGTAATATATTGCAATGACGGTTTTTCAGATCTTCATAATTACAGTCCGAGCGATGTGCTTTTGCTGAAACGTCGAAACAATGAATTTTGAAACATCATCGCAGATAAAAAAAAATTTCTGCTTCTAATTTATCCATGTTCCAATCATTTTTTGTTTTCTATATAAACCGATGAACAAAAAGATGTTTTTGAGTTGATAATCTCGGGAAAAAAGTAAATTTATCATAAGGCATTTTTAATTGAGCGTACGGTAACAACCTATGCACATAAGTTGCTTACAGTAATCTAAAATAATTTTGCAAACAACTCTTTATTTATTTTCTTTTTTATGAAAATGCTCATCATTATAAATTTGTTTTTTACAGATTATGGGTAGTTATTTTTTTCTTCTTCATCTACTACAGCCCTCGACTTACAGAAATTTCTGCGAGAAACTGAACAAATTCGGGTATTCTTTACAAATATATAAATACATTATATATTTAAAAAAATGATGTCTGAGATGAATCTAGATGTTCGATCAAATCAGAAGCAGAAGCATATTAAGATATTGGTTTTTAAAGTTTTTGCACCATTAAGTTAATTCATTGTCCTTTCTCATTTCACCTTCTAATGTTAAGATCGAACGAGAACTGGCGTTGATGCAGATTCGAGAGAGTAGACGTTTAGCTTTGAAGCTGGCAGAAGAACGAGAGAAGTTGAACTGGTCTTTGTGCGGCGGAGCTCTGGTTGTAGTTTTATCAACACTTTCCTCTTTTCATCATAAGTTTTGACTATTTAACTTTAGCATCGGACCATCAGATTTCAGAAATTTATTGCACATGCTTCCAGTGTTTCCCACTGCTACTTTTCTCGGTTACAAGGCACATTTCTGTTACGGAGACCAGCTTCAAAGAATAAAAGGTTTTATTCTTCTAGTTTTTCTTTTGAACTGAAAATAAAATTTTCAGAAAATTCGTTAAATTTGATTGAGAAAGACGACGAAAGGCTGAATCTCTTCCCAGCTTCTTTGAACGAAGTGAAGCAGCGATCAAAAACAGTTGAAGCAAATTTCTGAAGATGAAGGTTTTTAAACCTTTTTATCCAGCATTCTAGGTTTTTTTTCTTATTTAAAATTTACTGATTTTTTCCGCTGCGGGTTACTTTAGCTTTTCTAATAAATTTTTTTGTTTAAAAATTGTCATTAAACTTGGAAACCTACAACTGTGAATAAACTGTTGATTTATTTTTTCATTACTAACTACCAATTCACTTATCATTAACACAGGGAATGAAAAGCGCATTGTTTGATGAAATAAAAAGAGACGCAGATGAGAAGGTTTGATAATTTCAAAAAGCTCGCTTTATATTTCGAACTTTAGATGGAGCTGCGTTTAGCCATGCTTGACCTCAACAATAATCAGAACGAAGCCCTGGAGGTTAATTTTTGTTTTTTTTTTTGTTAATAGTAATTTTTATAGTTATCAAAAAGACGCGAACAGTTTGGCTTCGAAGTTTTGGCGGCAGCCACCACGACTGCCGTTCTTCTTGCGGCTGGCTCAATTTACAAACGCAAGGTTCTTTTTTTGATACGAAATCTTTTTTTTTACTCATTCAAATAAAATATTTTATAGGATTTAGTAGTGCCCATTGTACCTCTCATTATGGGTATCGGGTACAGATATGATGCCGCCTTCGGCACGAACCGTGAATCTATTCGAGGTACCAGTTTTTTTTTTGGCACAATAAACTAGAAATCTTGCAGAATCTGCCGAAAAGATCCTCAAAACAAATCCTGAGCTGGTGCAACCTATAGCCGGCGCTATAACACTTAGACAAATCGACGAGTACAGGAAAGCAAACTTTCAAAAATAAACGAGTTAACAATATTTATTGGCCTTTCAATGCCTTCTGTCTTCATCTTTGCTGCATTTCCGTAGTTGCTGTCGAGATTTTCGGAGTTTTGCGCGAGCAAACTTTTCCTTGTCCTCTGAAGAAGTCTCGCTCTGAATTTTTTTTTTATTAAACAGTAACAACTATCTTGATTCAAACTCTATTCAACATAGAACCTCTTTTTAAGTTGCACTTAAAAAGTTGATAAAAATTTCCTCATACAATTTTTGCTGCACTAGAGACATATCCGAAAAGTCGCAAAAAAAATCATATTTTTTCGTTTTGGAAAAAGGCGGCTTAGGCTTTTTCGAATGTTAAATTCCGTCGTAGAAAAGTTGTTCTTGACCTTTCGACATCCTTTCTTGAAAACGAAAAAGTTGTGCGAGATGCTGATTTCATGGTGTTAAGTATATCGAAGACTCTTCAAAAAGCTCCAGAGGCGAAATAAAATTATCTTCTTTGGGAAAATATATTGCAATGGCGGCAATTTAACTAACATAAACCCTTTTCTCTCGAACTTTTGGCCCTCCTCTCTTCCGCTCTGCTGGTTCTCTTCCCCTACGCTCGGGAAAATTCCTATGACCATGTTTTAAACTGCCGGGACTTCTGAAATAAACGTTCGGGCTTGAAGATATTTTCTCGATAAATACCGATGAAGCATTGGCGGGGCGCTGGATGTGCTGGCTTCACAGAGCGGCCAGTTTATTCCCACAAGAAACGGATTCTGGCTAGAGTTTGCGATTTCTATGTTTGATCGCCGCGTTTCTTCATCTGCTGATGAATACTCCATGGAAATCGGGCGTCTACAGAATGATGCTTCGATTGATATGATGTTCTCACTTTAGAAGAAACCTTTGTTCAGATAATCCAACGTGTCGAACTGTTCCAACAGTTTCTGCTGAAGAATGGCTCCACGTTTCATCGTCTTCGTCACAAAAGTCATCGCTGTTGGAATTTTTTGAACTGGAAGCTTCGTTCTGACCGCCGTTTTGCAAGTTCTCGAAACAATTCTCATGGGCCAAATGGTCCGTCGGGTCTTCTCTCGGCTCAAACTTTCTTTCTGCTTCTTCCACTGCTCCGTCTTCTTCCAATGATACAGGGACTTTCCTACAATTTTTTACTGTTCCTGGCGAAGCGATTGTTTTTTTTTAAAAATGGCTTGCGAGAGTTGAAAGGACAAGGGTCGAAAAATGTCGAATGCGCCTCGAAGGTAAATAGTTTTGGAAGCAAGATATTTTATGTCATTATTTTAACGTCATTTCCATTAATGTGCGTAGTTCCGAGGCTTTTGCATCATAATCGCTGCAAATTTCTTGTTTTTTTTTTAGCAATCGCGTATTCAAAAGTCAGCATTGACGCCATTTCAGCAGTTTTCCTGTTGATAAGAATCTTCTTTTTGAACAAACGCCCATTTGAAAAGGCCAGAGACTGTTAATGTGTTATGAGAACGAAACAAAAGCGTCATGTGAAGCAATATTTCAACAAAAAGTGTTTATTCATAGAAAAAAAAAACGGGACACGTATTTTTGTTAATGAAAAGCGAGGTTAGGGCGATGACGTCACAGGAACTTTTCGTAGGCCTTGGAGGAGATTTCGCGTTCGGCTAACCTCGTCTCGTAAGAAGTTCCACGCCGCTCCTCGAAAATGTGGGCTTCTTGGTTCAAAGCCGCCACGACGTCTGCTGGTCCTAGTGCCTCTATCGCGTCGATGTCGATTTGCACTCTGAAATGGGAGTTTGATGAAAAAAAAAGAGGCTATCTAGCTTTTATTTTTCTCTGTTTGTTGAGCGGCTCATTCCGAAGACTTCTGGCCGCAAAGATCTCATAGACTAGTCCGTCGTCAACTCAGAAATGTATCCTCGGTTTTTTTTTGTTTGAAAGGAAGAAATGAGAAAATATTTTTGTAGACTTTCACGAGCCTAATGGTCTGGGATTTTGAATTGAATATTGGAGAAAAATAATTTTAGCAGCGCTAATGAGGGCGTTATGAAGTCGAACTGCGTCTAGGATATCTCTAGAAAATGAAGCCTTTCTAATAAAAAAATTTAATGGATTTGAAATTTAAGTTTGCACAAATTGCCTGGAATATTCTATATAGATTGTGTCTAAAAGTTGGTCTCACAAGGGAAGTGTTTTTGGTACCTCTTTCCAGAACACGAATAAAATTTCTCGCAATAGATCTCGTTTTCGAGTTATGAAGCTTTAAAGTTTGCACGCTGAATAACTGCTGCAAGGCAAGAGGGATTGTGGCTCGCGTACGATCCCAGATCTATTGCGAGAAATTTTATTCGTGTTCTGGAAAGAAGAGGTTTTATAGTACCTTTCAGCAAAGTTTCAACAAAAGTTCAACCGGCCACCAAAAACACCTCCCTTGTCAGCAAACTAGCAAACTGGGTTTATATTCTTGGCGCTATGGCTCCTACCGTGGATGACACATCGGCTCGTATTTTTCGTTGTGGTATTTCGCGAGGTAGGGATGCGCCAGAACTTGTTCGGCGGATCCGCGTGACCAAGGAGATATTTGAAGCATCTGAAAGTGGCGATTTTTGAACATTGGAGAATTAAATGGTAAATACTTCCTACCCTACTTCTTTTTTTTCTTTTTGAAAAGTAGTAACCTGCGAGATGATGCTGACAGCTTCTTGGCTAGCTTTGGGGAAGATGGCAGCGAAAGGCAGCGGCTCTTTGTGACCGCATTCTTCAATCCAGTCTCGAACCAGTCGTGAAGACATTGCCATGACCTAATCTTTCCTGTCAACTTCTAATCTCAGTGTCAAGTCACCTGGCGTTCTGGTGTACCCAGAAAGTAGACGATCATTTTCACCTGTGCACTCCCGTCTTTGCCGGGAAAAATTTGCCGACGGTTGAGCATCTCACCGAAAATACAGCCGACGGACCAGAGATCAACTCTGAAAAGCTCCCATCGAGTTCCGATCACCGGAAGAAACATACTTTGTGTCGTATTGGCCGAAGGAGAAGAGTATTTCCGGAGCCCTGTACCATCTGGTAGACACGTATTGCTGCACTTTTTGGTTATTTATGTTGAAGGAAGGCTTTCTCACCGTCAAATGACCACCGATACGAGCATCTTCTGCGGAGGAGACATCCGAAGCACTAGAACGGGCCATTCCAAAGTCTCCGATTCGGAGAAGACAGTCGCCGTTGACAAGCAGATTAGAAGGCTTCAAATCACGATGAATAATGCCGGCCGAATGAAGGTACTGAATTTTATTTGAAAGGGAGATCCTTCTGCAATTTCCTACTTTCAACCCTCGCAATAATTGGTAGAGAAAGTATTGGAAATGGTCTTCGATTAGAGATTGCCGACTATGCAGAATCTGGTGCAAGTCTGTCTCCATCAGGTCCATCACCAGGTAGATGTCCTTACCCTGAGGACAGTCATACATATTCAGTGTCTCTGAATCTTTCCAACCTCGGTTCCTTCAGCCGTGAACATGTCTCTGACCGCAATGATGTTCTCATGGAGAAGCTCGCGAAGAATTCGAACTTCTCGCAGGGATCTGACAGTGATATGTGAAATGGAAGGTGGTTCTCAAGGTACCTTTTGGCGAGTGTGTTGGCGGTGAAGGCACGTGGGATCTTTTTGATGGCCACTTTTGTTTGAGATCTCTTAAATCATTAATATTTTTACTTTTTTTTTTCTCAAGCTGGAAAAATTCAATATTCTATACGATTTTTATGCTTACCATATCGACAGCCTTGCACACGACTCCATAGGCCCCAGTTCCGACATTTTCTTCGGAAATATAAGGAGTTCCTTCTAACCAAAAGCGAGCATCGAGTTTCCCCGGCACCTCGGCCATCTGAAAAAATCTCACAATCAGCAAGTTTCCTCGAAAAACAGCTCAAAATTCCATTAGTAGAAATTTTATAACCTGTTCTGACGGACGAATTGGTACTTTTTGTCCGTAGTATTCAGGTGCGCGGTACAGTCGCGAGCCTTTGCTCATTTCAGAAAAGGGAGAGAGAAAAAAATTATGAAAGAACCAGGTGGAATCAGACTCTGCGTCGTTAGATAAAAAAATTTGCTTTTTCTAGGTTGATTCAAACTGCTGATAACAAGAAAAAAGGGGCGTTTCCAACATTTCCGCCAAGGAGAGCGTATAAATGGACCAGGTCAGATAAAATAACATTGCTAAGGTCATTTAGTTTTCAGCTTATATTGAAAGATGAGATGTTCGATTTTTCGAGTCAATTATAATCTTTTGAAAGCCTGAGAAAAAAAAGTATATATAATAAATACTTCAGATTATTTTTTGGAATATTTGAACTTCTTAGTCGTCATAAATTTTATATCAACTGCAAGAAGATATTTTTCTGATTTTGCTAAAAAGTTTCATTTTCAATAAACTTCTCAAATATGAGAACCGACCATGTTTGCAGAAGCCTAGAAAGGCATTCTCGATCCTTTCAGAGCTGCCGACGGCGATCGCGTGTGTCCAACGCTGGAGACGACGAAAATCGATGCGAAATCAAGTTTAGATAACGTAAGTGTGGCACGACGCACATGAGTCCAAGTGATAGAAACACGGTTTTCTTCTCCCTTTTACGTAGTCACCAAAAAGTCAACTTTTTTCAAATAGAAGAAATAAACTTTTTTTGCAACCTTCAGCATCTATTTTTTTCATTTCATTGCAAGAAAATATCTTTTCAATGACTGAAAAAAAGTTCATTTCAATTTTGCTTTGAAAACATCTAAGAATGGTTTCAGGTCTTGTGCTGAATGAAGATCCTAAAAAAATTTGAACTTTCAAAGCTTTCTAGTTTTTTTAACGTTTTAATAAGAGAGAACGATCGTTTGTTTATTAAATTAATTTTTTTTCGAAAAAGCAAACTTTGAAGAATGAAAATTTGAAATTGTCCTAACATTTATTCTAATTCATCAAACGGTGTTATAGGAAATTAGTAGAAAAACACAAAAAAAAAAAACAAAAACTAAATTCTATTTTTTTTCTTTTTAGAAAAGTCCCAACATTTTTTTGATCCATAAAATATTGAGTTTTATATTTTCTCATTTCAGTTCCTTGTAAAGAAAAAATGGCATTGTAGATGAATGTTCTTACTTACTCGAGCAATCTCAATATGAAATTTGAGGCAGGCGTACGATTAAATAGGAAGTTCAAACTTTGAAAAGTCGTTAACACGGTTCCTTATCAAAGAATGTGGAACTCTCACAATCAAATGAGGAAAAAAGGCTTATCAGAAACCTGGCAAAGTTTTGCTGATAGATTTGGGTCAGAAAATGCTGGCATGACGTAATTTGAGGCTATGAAATTTTGGAAATTCATATGGATCAGAAAAGAAGTCGTTAAACGATATCTGAAACAAGAATGGAATGGAACGAGATGCCCTATTGCGTAATAAGGTGGTTTTCATGCGCGAGAAAGCCATTGTGGCAAAGCAAACAGTCTTGAGTGTACACCCTTGCTTCACCTCGATGTTTACCGCTTGTTTTCCTCTAAGTTACTACAATTTAATTCGAGGAAGTTGTCGGAGATGGCCGGAGGTTGCAGGAAAATGCAGATGTAACATCTAATATTCGACAAACATTTAAGTTTATTTAAAACTAGCTTAAATAATTAATTCAATAAATACAGTCGAGTTGCAAGTTACTGGGAGCCTTGCGAGGTGGTCTCTGCGGAGTCTCGTGCAAGCTCGTAAACGATTCCAGCTACTGGTTTCTGGAGCTTGTCGGCGTGAGCGATGCGCAGCTTCTGGAGACTGCGTCGCTTGCGTCCTCCACCACCGCAGCCGCAGCATCCTGAGACGGTTTTTTGGACGAAATACTCGGCGAGAGACTAACCGCATCCGCATCCACATCCACATCCACAGCAACAAGGACGGCAACAGGTACAGCAACGAGTGCAGCAGCAAGTTCTACAGCAAGTGCAGCACCGCCGACAGCAGCAACAGCATCTGGAATTTAGACTTCAAGTCTGAGAAAAAGTTTTGGGTTTTTATCTCTCACCACGGAAGATTTCCAGGCACTTAAATCTGAATCTTCAGAAAAAAAAATAACTCTGAACACTGAGCTCGAAACTTTCACCCCGATGTTTCTAGATCACTGAGCTTTGAGCTGAACTGCCAGAGACCCAAAAAGAGACTTACCGAGGTCTGCAGCAGCAGCATCCGCCGCCGCCTCCTCCACAGCAACAGCCGCAGCAGCCACATCCGCTCCTTTTCACTCGAGAAGAAGACGAGCCGAGTGTGTCGATCGCCGTCGTCTCAGATGTCGTCGCCAGCTCCGTGGACGCCACTGGCAGCGGACCTGCTTGGACCTTAAGTCCGAATTTACACATTTGAGTTTTCTTTTTTCACCACCTGTCCCCAGAAGGCAGCCATAGCTACAGCTGAAGCGAGGCAAAAGACGAATCGGTGCATGGGTGGGAAGCTGGACTCCGTGAGTAGTGCTCAAAATGAGCTCCTGCCGGCTTATAAATCCCATGTCGCCGGTGCGGCAATCCTTTTTTCGCTTCCCACATTTCCTGAAACGCGCGTCGACCTGTCAAAACGTCGCCAGCGGGAAGTTTGGCGGTCAGTGGCAGAGCAAATAGGCGCCGATCAAAGATGGGTGGCGCTGGTTAACTAATCGATTTGTTATCGTCGTTAAAGGTTAACCGGAGGGTCTTTTTCACTCGAGAACGATGCCGAGTTTCGGATTCGTCTACGATGAGCGGATGCTGGAGCACGAATGCGGCTACGATCCGACGATGGCTGAAAGACCGGAGCGGATGCGACTCATCTATGAACGTCTTCAAAATGATGGCCTCCTGAACGATGCGATCAAGGCTAGTATTTCTCAACCAAACATTTTCTTGTTGCATTTTGAGTTTCTCAAATTCGAAAAATATAGATAAAATACTTTTTGATCGTTTTATTATTTTTTTTTTAATCTCTTCATTTTATTCTCACAAATGAGACGTTTTTGTGAAAGAGCATTTTTTTCACTGATATACAGGTTGAAGCTCGCGAAGCGACGGACGAAGAACTGTTGTTGAACCATTCAGAGGAACTTCTGGAGCAAGTCAGAGCTCTCGCAACGGACGAACAATGCGAGGAATTTTGCAGGTCAATTATTCCTTCTTTTTCCCTTTCTTTTTTTATTTATTTTTTTCGGTTATTCCAACTATAATTTAATAATAATAAATTATTCATCCACAAGGTGAAAAAGAATAGATAAGATTAAGAACCGGTTTAAGGTCACCCTCCCGAGTGACTTCACCGGATAGGGTATACAATAGATAATACAGTTGATAAAAGTACACGTATAAGGATATTGAGATTTCTTTTTGAGATCATTTATAGTAGCCGTCTAGGGATGCTGAGAAACAATTCATTGTCGGGGATCTTGTCCAGATGGGATTTGAAAACTTCTGGAGGGACGGAGACGTTGAATCTAGAGCAGATTTTGTTAGAGCCAATTTCGTAATTTTCATGTTAACATTTTCAGTTTTATTTTCTAGAAACAAAGAGATCCTCTGGATGAGCCCCAAAAGCGACATGGCGGCACGAGTCGCTGCTGGAGGCTGTATAGAGCTGGTCAAAGCTTGTTTGGAGAACAGGTTTCTTTTTTCCATAATTCAATTAGTTCTTTGAGACGCGTGGAGGGAAACTCATTTTAGTGCGATGTTCAAAACATTTTTTAATGTACCAAAAATCTGTTTGAGGTTTTTATTATATATTTTCTATCCGAACAAAAGTGCAGTTTGAGAATCTCTCGAGAGTTTCCTATCCGACACTAAAAATTTGAACGAAAAAACTGAATTATGGAATTCATGGAAAGTTCCAAACTCCAAGTTCATATTACCTTTCGTGAGCTTTTTTTGAGAGTTTACAACGGCTTTGCGATCGTCCGCCCGCCAGGACATCACTCCTACGGAAAAGTATCGCAGGGATATTGCGTCTTCAACAACGTCGCCATTGCCGCCAAGATTGCCGTCGAACGATTTGGAATCAAAAGGGTCTTTCCCATCTTTCTTTACAACTCTGCTTCACTTTCATTTAGGTGGCCGTCGTGGATTTCGATTACCATCCAGGAAACGGAACCTATTATTCACTTAAGGTGAGTTCCCATTAGGTAGAACTGGTATGAAAAATCAATTAGGAATGCCAAGTTTAAAAAAATTATACGGATTTCTGCATTTCTTCAGGACGATCCCAGGTTCCACTTCACTTCCTTTCACGCATATCATCACGGCGCATTTTGGCCTTTCCAGAGGGAGTTCGACTATGCCACTGGACGTCAGTTCAATTTACCATTTAAGTCGAAATAGCATGGAGATTTGACAGATTGAAACCGTTATTGTAAGAAGATTGCTTTACAGCAAATCAACTTTTTGTCCCTCTAAATGCATCGATGAACACCGAGGGAGACTTTGTGTCTGTTTTCCATCACCTCGTCATTCCTGTTCTCCGGCAGTTCGAGCCAGAAGTTCAAATTTCCCATTTCCCTCAAAAACTTACTCAATTAAGCTCATTTTGATTTCGGCTGGTTTTGATGCTGGCTACTACGACATAATGCTGGAGATGGGACAAGCCGTCAAAGCTCACGGGTCAGTTTCTTTTGTAATCAGTTCGACCCATGAGCTAATCCAGATTTGCTCACATGTCGCGACTTCTTTCTGATATTTGTCCAGGAAGGACCATCGCTGTTCTGGAAGGTGGCTACTTTCCCGCCAACTACGTCGAAGGAGCCGCGATGATGGTCCGAGCTCTCAAGGTTTCGACTTTTCGTTATCATTTAAGCTAAGTTCGTCTTTTACAAACTTCACCGTTACAAAGTGATGTTTGTAAAATTAGAAACGTTCGCAGATTTCTATATTTTTGTATTTAAGTGTTTCTCAGACTGTTTCACAGTATTTAACAGACAAAAAGTATTGGAAGTGAAGAGTCAAGTCGTAGCAGAGAGTGTTAAGAGGAGATTTTTTAAATGTAAAACAAATTTCACGCAGAGAATGTCGATTCCTGAACTGGCTCTTCCTGAACGACTTTCCGGGGCTCTCTGCAGCACAGTATGGAACCTCCTTCAGCACCATTCGAAAGAATATCCTCATTTGCGGGAAACTCTTGAAAAGTTACAGCAGCAGCAAGTTATTTTTAACTGTATGTCTTCAAATTAACCACAATAGTTCAGGCAACTCTCGGCCTACCAGCTTTCGTTTATGGACAGGAGCTTTTTTTTGGGGAAAGTTCGTCTACAATTGCTCATAGTGCTCAACTCGTGTTTTTAGAAATGCGCCGGCTTTACGATGAGGTGAAAAAGGCAAATATTGCTCGAACTCAGGAATGGTTTCCCATCCTTTCCGAGGAGCAAATACTGAACTCCAATTCGAAAATCAAAAAGTACATTAAGGTGAGTCAAAAAGCAATCCTGAAATTCTTGAAGCCCTTCAGGATTACGTATTTACAACTGATCACGATATCCCGAATGAGGAAATACTCATGAAACAACTCGTCTGGGACGAAAGAGCCCAGTGCGACTCGTTTTTGAAGTCGGCCCCTTTCTGTCTTCTTCTCGTGAATGAATTCAATGACTTTGTAGAAGGTTTCAAGAAAAATCTTCCAAATTTTGAAATCGTTTTAAGGTCGGATCGATCATATGATGATTTGTGACAGACGCTTGTATAAATTGGCAAAAGCAAAAGGATCATGTGAGGATATTCGCCGAATCGATTTCTCCATTTGATAGTCTAATCAACTCTCCTTATATTCTACATTTATAACTTGAAACGTACGAATAAATCATTTATTGCATGTTTATAAAAAAAAAATACCACGCTTAGTTTTCAAGCACACCTCCAATGTTATCTTCTGACTTGGGTCCTCCAACTTTCAATACTGAATTTCTTTTTTTTAAATCATAACTAAGTTCTGAGGAAAACCTTCCATGAAGTCGGTTTGTCAGCGCCAGACACCGAATGTCAAACAAAATCTTCGAAATTCTAATGGCGCCATGGCGTGTTCATCCGACAAAACGAAAATTGATTTTAAAAGCAAAAAATTGCTCCAAAACAAAAATTTGTACTGTTTTGGAGCAACTTTGGCGCGCCGATGAACACGATTTTTCCTTTTTTTTTTTTGAAGCATTTTCCGTTTCTCCGATAACAAGCCATAACACTAAGAATAACTGACGAGATGAACGCGAGGTCGGTGGCGGTACATTGACGAACTCGCAAACATGTCGCTTTTTTCTAGGCGCGATTTCGCATTTATCTTGCAATTCAGAAAATTTTCAAATTGCGAGAAGAATGCGAGCTCGCGCCTAGAAAAGTGCGAGACCGGCGCGAGAAAAAAAAAGCGAGATGTTTGCGAGCTCGTCAATGTACCGCCAGCGTCTCGCGTTTATCTCGGCAGTTATTTTTAGAAAGGTCGGCCACTCACACGCCGATTTTACTGGGAGTCTACTGTATGTTTTCGCTTGTCATCCTTTCGGAAAGGTGAATACGTACTTAAAGGGACACATGCACGCTTGTGTCTCATCGTGACAAAAACCTTGTCGGAGGTGTTTTAGTTTACCACGGGCGGCCATCCATTGTTGCTTTTAATTAAATTTAATAAAACTTATAGTGAATTTTTCTCATTTGAGTTTTTGTTTTCAATCAGTAGAGCGGTTCTTGACGGAAAAAATCCACTATTCGCAGATATTTTTCAGGTTTTTTTTTACTGAAAAAATTTTTATAGCTTTGTTTTCCTTTTCTCATGTGCAATATAGAGTTTTTCTCAGTAGTCAAGAAAAAATTTGAGAAATCAAGGCAATCGTTAGCCATTCGTTTTTAGTGATCAGGTTCAGCTAAGAACTCAATTTTTTGCTGAATTTTTTTTAAAAGCTATACCATGGTTTACCTTTTTTTCAATAGTGGTACCACTATTCTCATATTTTATCATTGCATGTCGATATATAGATGTACCACTTCTCTTTTCCTTATTTAACCAATTTTTCCCTATTCAGACTTTTTCACATTTTGACTTCGGGGCGCGTGAAGACTCCCCCTGCAGTTTTTAAATTCATTCTCATGTAATTTATTTAACATTCTAACTGAACTTATAATTTATTCTGTCCTCATATCTTTGAAAATTTTATTTTGTTAAAAAGTTTGGTGCTGTTCGTTCTGTTCTCATCACCTTATTTTCAACAAGACTGTTTTGTTTCAAATTTTGTTATTTCTTCAGTGTTTCTTACTAACTTTTGTGTACGGGTTATAATAATCGGATGGATGTTACCAAATATGCGCGTACTCTGAAAGAAGTGGAAGATGATTTGATGTTTGGTCAGTTTTGAAGTCTGCGTATGGAAATATAAATGAGTTAAAGGTGCTTTACCTGATAGCGATTCGAGCGATGTTGAAAATCAGGACTACGACGCTGTCAACGATGAAACTTTTGGTGGAGAAGTTCCAGTCGTTGATACTGAACTTGAAGACTACGCAGCTCAGGTAATCTCCCTTCTAAGTTTTTTTATTGTGAAGTTAGATGTAAAAATTTTTCGCATAATTTTTTTGTTAATTTATTCAATCTTCAACTGAAACGAAAAAGCTTTTTTTCACTTGAAATTTTGCAAAAGAGAAAAAAATTTAATTTGATTCGAATTAGGAACTTTTAATAAACCTAAAAGCTCGTGCTCATTTTAATGTGGGCAATTTTTATTTTCTGTCGACCTTTCAACTTTTTTTTTTATTTTCAGACTGCTCGGTTGCGGTTGGATGATCCAGTTTGGAACCAGCCAGCCACCTCCAATGCTCCTGATGCATCGCAAATCCCAATGCCAGATTCTTTCTTCGACACTTCCATTTTTTTCAAGAGTGATATTGGCAATTCGTTCGGAGGCGACGGATTGGTTTTTACCCTTTTTTTCTTCTTAATTTTGAGTTTCTTTTTAAGGGGAGATCCATTTGGGGTACGTCGTTGACCTCTAATCCTTTTAGTTTATGGAGTTCGCCAGATCAAGTAAATTTGCAACAGGTTTTTTTTTTCATTTTTTTTTTCATAATTTTTGTTTGAAGGAAAGTTTGCACGACTATATGGATCAAAAGCTTCCTAGCTTTTTTTCAACGGAAGAAGTGGCTGATGATATACCAAATGTTCCGAAAATTCCAGCAATGCCGAACGCGATGACGGTTTATCTTTTTTGAAGTTGAAAATATTCGATTTAGTTTAGTTGGAAGATTTGGAACGGAGTCAGGCCACTCCAGACTATGAAACAGAAAATCTGCCTGAGGAGCTGCTGGAAGATTCAATCCGAACTCTTCCATCGATACCTGCAAGTGCACTCTCCATCGAAGAACTCGAACGGAATATCATGGCTGTTCGTTTCAGTTTTTTTTTCGATCTCATAAAACTTTTATTGTAGCAATCCAGAACTGAGGAGCCTCAAAGATCACCGGAGAAGGCAGCCTACAATAACATGCAGAGGGTTTTTCACTCCTTCTAATATTAAAATTCAGCTTTTTTTTCGTTTAGAATGATGGAATAGACTATAGAAATGCGAGATTTGGACAGCCGGCGATACCTGTCGCACCTTTTCTTCCACTGGTACCCCCGCCAATGATGCAGCCAAGCTTTCCTCCGATCCCTCCGATGCCTCCACAGTTTCTTCCACTCCTGCCACTCTGGATGAACCATATATGTGGTCGAGCTCCTTTTCTCCCGCCTAACGTTCCTCCGCCACCTCCATTCCTCATTCATTTGGTGCAAGTTGTGAAGGTTCGTCCGAAAAGACTGTGTCTCACTTTTTGACTTTCCCAGGATCCTCGAATCGCTATTTCGTTGATAATGCAGTCGTCAGTTCCGCGAAACCAATTGCCACTCCCCAACATGGCATTCATTCAGCAGCAACAACAGAAGGTTTCCGGCATACCTTTTTATTTCTTAAAAGTTTTATGTCCGTTCAGAATTCCTTCCGCAAACCTCCTGGAATGCCCTCTGGAAGGACTATTCAGGATCTAGCTTTCGATGCATTCGCTGGATACATGTCTTGGAAGGAGCGAGAATACCTTGTTAAAATCCAAATAATGCAGTGCCAAGGAAAGGGCGACTCCTATTCTGTCGATCATTACTATTTGGTTAATTTGCCCTTTCTTGGAAACTAACTAAGATGTTTTGAAGGTTTGGCGTGAGAAAATGATAGCTTCTGGCTGGACACCATCAGTCAAAGCGAACGTGGAAGCAGAATATGAGAAGAATTTATCAAAGGTTTTTTTGTATTGAGTTTCTGATTTTAACGCAATCTGATAGGATTATGAGGAACGGGCCAGGCAGATGAACTACCGCAATCAACGCAGAGAGCGTGAGAAAGAAAGAGAGAGGGAAAGAGAAAAGGAACGAGAAGAACGCGAAAAAGAGCCCCGAGTACGGCAGACGCTTTCGGCCAAATTCGCTGGAAGCCTGGGACTTCCGTCAAAGTCTTCAACAGCAAATCCTCGCCATGTATTTCAACTTTAGTTACGAATTCAATAACCGAAGCTGTTTCAGTTGCTCGAAATGAATGTAAAAAGTAATGAAACGGGGAAAAACGGGCAAAACATCGACGAGGAGAAACGGCAAGCAGCTCAAAAGAAGTTGAGAGTGATGTTGATGCGCCTTGAATCCGCTATCTCCTTACTGATAGAAGCTGAAGAGTTGAAAAAGCCGGTAACCAGGGATATAAAATTCGTCACAATGCCTCCGTTAGTTTTTTTTTCATTTAGTTATTTTTATTTTTCTTTACAGTGAGGAAAAATCAGTCGAACTGTCTAGTCGGCTAGTCACTATCATCAATGAGATCATGGGAGACGAGCTCTACAAAGTTATGCAGGTTTTCGTTGAGCTTCAATTTTTGGTTATTCTGTTTTCATAGATGGGCAAAGGGCGCAGTGTGATTAGACGGTTGCTGAACGTTGCTCCTCCAAAAGACCAAGCTCGAGTTTTGCTGGCGGTCATTTCGGCCAGTGGCCTTGTTAACAAAAAGTTGGCCAAAGAGGTTCGTGGAGTTTTATGCTGCTTCGATGTCACTAAAAATTTTTAGGTTTCGACCGATTTGGTTCCTGTTTTTTATGGGGCTTTGTCGAATTTGAGTCGGGATCAGTTGTGCCTACTGCTATCTGCTTTGAACACAGATTCATTGAAAAAAAGTATTTAGTAGAAAAAAATGTGGTAGGTTCTTTTTTGGTTTTTTTCTCTTTATTCTTTTTTTCTTAGTTTCAATACCATTCTCCCAATTTTTCGTACATGATTTTTTTAATTTTGTTTTTGGAACTCTTTTTTTTCTAGTTTTGTCCTAAAAATATATAGTCTCAGATGTATATGAAGACCTAAAAGCTCGTTCATTATTCGTCTCAGCTTTGAACTTTTTTTATTTAAGAAATGAACAACTGTCGTTCTGCGGTTTTCCATGAAATTATTTACCTGACTTTTTCAATAAAAATTTATTAAACAAAAACCATGCCAATTTTCAATTAAAAAAACAATATTCACAGCTTTCTTCACATAGTTGAATTGAAAGATCTAAAATTTTTGAAATAATTCAAAAACCTAAAAAAAGGATAGTAAAATTGTAAAGAAAATGTTTTTTAAGGTTTCACGGGATCTTCTTATAACGTTGCTCTACGTATGTGGACAGAAAAGTTTCGCCTTATTCGATCCACGACTTTCATTTTTACAATCTTCTTCGTTCCCCAATCTTTTGTGGACAGACGCTGCCAGGTAAAAACCTCCAAACCAATTATTTGGACCGCCAACAATGTTTTCAGCTCTATGAAGACGTGGTTCACGGCGATGTCAATCAGCATCGACGAGGTCAACGGCTTCTGCACGTGGCTCCGTGGATTCCCGTTTCCTTCAAGTTCTCAAATTAGTCAAATGCTTGAAGCCATCATCTCCCTCTGAGTCATCTAATATACGAACCTTTTGGGTCTTTCGCATTTGATCATACGAGATGTTACGACGATTCTCATTTTTTCTTTACACGTTTTCAATCATGTCATTTTTTTTTTCAATGTACTAACTTTTCATATTTTTGATTAAGCGCTATTTTAATAACAAGTCCTGATTTAATAATATAAATTGCATTAGAAATCTAATGTGCTAATATATTGTATAACTATATCATATTGATGAAAAGTTTCATATTTTGCTCTCATAATTCGTGTGATTTGTTTTTGAACATATTTCCATCCACATTCCTTTAATTTTTTTGAAAGATTGAAACAACATGAAATTTTTTTATTATTATTGGATGGTATTCAATTTTTTTTTGGTAGGTCAACGAGCCGAAACTTTATCTTGAGTCTGATTCCGGAAAAAAAGAACTCTGAATATCAGGTTTTTGAGAAATGGCTGACGCAGTCCGTGGTTTCTGGCAGTCCATCGTCAACACCAAGAGGGCTTATTTGAATCCTCATGAGCATTTCGGCCGAGCCAATATCTGCCGTGCCGCTCTTGCCAGTTACGTCGGTATCTACTTCCTTTTCAAGTGGAATCAACAGAGAAAGGTCTTTTTTGTTTTTTTTTTCTTTGCCATTAAAGGGAAATCTCTATAAAAACCTCATCACTTCGTATTACCTTATGCAGAAAATCTCTGAATTATTTGAGGCCTGTCACTATTTTCCAATGGTTTTTTTTCCAGGCCAAGGCTCTGCAAGCTGAGAAGACTTCTCTTCACAAGAATGCCGTCAACGACTCCTTGGCCCGTGCTGGGTTGCACTAAATTTGTTCATCTGATTTAGCCTTTTGTCGTCAATTATAACAAGAATAGATAAATTGGTTTTGAAATAAATATTTCGAATTTAATTGTTTTTTTTTAAATTTGAAGTTTGTCATTTGACGGTAGTTGCTCTTCTTGTTATGTCGCTATCGAATTCCTATAGCGCGTTCACAGCTGGCTTGGGACAGCGAACGGACGGCTTAATTTTCGCGGCGGAAGTAGATCATGAGACCCCGTTTTAGCACAGCTGGGTTACATATTTTTCTTACACCCGTTGTTCCCCCGTTTTAGCCCAACTGAGACTAAAACAACCTCAGAAACACGGGTTTAATACCATAAAAAAACTCGACAATTAAAGTTATTTAGATTATTTATATTATAAAAAAATTCCAAACTAAGTCATGCGAATTATTTTTTTCTACAAGAAGACAAAAAAAGAATTAAAAAAACCGCGGAAAAAGAAAAACTAGAGAACCCAAAAAAATTAAAAAAACTTTGAATTTTAAAAAAATTTTTTTAGTGTTTCCACCAGCTCTACCTTTTGCGTCATGTGACCCAAAGTTTTACTCAAAAATAAAAAAATTCAATTCTTTGAAAAACGTGAACCCCATTTTCTTGATATCGAAACAAATAACCTTCACAAAAAACTACCTGGCAACGTGTCATTTTTTATTGTAAGACCTGGGATCAATCATCATTTCTGCTTTCCTAAGGACTCCGTCTCGCTTCTTCAACGTCAAGATAAGTTTTTTATCTCATAAAAGTTCTAGTTTCCAAAATAATTTTCTGAGTCATAAGCGCTAGTAGATTAGGCCCGCGGGACTCCCGGAGTGCCGATCCTCTTTGCTTGCAAATTGGATACGCAAAGTCACGCCGAAGCCCATTCCTGTGGCCGAAGCAGAAACTGTTGGCAGCGCGATACTGACAAAGCGATGATGGGACCCCCGCGGAAAATGCCGTCACGGCCTTCGGCGTCTAGGATTAGTTATGACAAGGCCGAGCGGAGCTCTAGCGCACCGCCTAGTTAGTTCTTTTAACTGGATAAAGCTTTTAAAAGCTAAATTTTCTAACTGACTTGAGAATTTTCATAGCTAATCAGAAAAAAATTGTGATTCCAATGATGCAAACGACTTGTTTTTTTTTTCAATCTTGAACTTATTGCAGATTCTTACAAAGAACTTGATCGAATCAGTCCATGGAGGTTCAACAACAACTTCAAATAGTGCAGTTTGATATCTAAACAATTATTTTTTAATCACTTTTCCTTCAGAAAAGACGTCTGGAGCTTACCACTAAAAGTTGCAAAATGAATCTACCAACTACTAATGGAACACTTGACGCGAGGTTTGAATGTTTTAAAAATTTTATGTTGTAAAAAAGGGCTTGACATTTTGAATATTGAATTAAAGCCAGAAAAACCTTGATCCGACATCATAGGCAAAGTCGGAAAGAGGGGAAAAAGGCTCTACAGAAATTTTCCTTTTAGGGTCACAAAAGATCTTTTTTTTTGCGCCATTTCATCGGTTCTTATGCACCATTTTTTCTGTCTTTTCCTTTTTACACTATTTTTGAGCCTTTGAAATCCCAGAAAAAATGGAAGGCTCGATAAAGGGATCCTTTTTGGTGTCTTTATGCGGTCTTTTTTGAGCCTCTCCATTTTAGCGGCCATTATCCACCATTTCGACTTTGCCCGAGATATAAAAATTTAAAAAACAAAGTGGTTATTAAAAACTCTCAGGCCAAACTCGGGGGTTTCATATTGTTTGTGCACATTTTTCGCGACCGCGATGAATAATAGATTATAATTCAAGGCCGCAGACACTCTGGCTGCGGAAAAAATAATTTAACTTCATAGCTGATTCACGGCTGGCTTGAACCATCTTGAAAAGTGTCCTGCCACGAAATGAGAAGAGACAGTACTTTGTTGGTGGAGAGTGCAGACAAGCCACGCCTTTTTGCGTCCCAAGCTAGCCGTGAATCGTCTATACGAGCAGCTCTTTTTGATTCAACTTTTGTATTTACAGTAGCGAAAATGGGTGATTTTTTTTGGTTTTTCGGTCATAACTTTGTTGAAAATTATTTTTTGGCCTGAAATTTTGAAGAAGCTTGATTTAATTTTTTAGAGATTTCTAAAAAGTGAAACGAGGAAGTTTGAGAGTAGATCCCAATGAGCGTGTTGGAAAAACTATCGAGTCAATGTCCAGAAGATGCAGAGCTGTTTTCAAATCCAATCTTTTTTTGCCTTTTGATGAATATTCTAAAAAGAATCTTTTCGGAGTCATTTTTTGGAATCGATTCGAAACTCTAATTCAAATCATCAATAACATCATTTTACTCCATTGGTTGGAATTTCAGGTCAAAATTATTGTTTTTGAAAAATTTTCAGACGAAAAACCAAAAATACTCACCCATTTTCGCCACTGTATATCCTCTTTTTCCGCATTTGAAAGTCTTTTATCTTCAAAAATTCAGTCAACAGCGATGATGAAAACTCCGCCTTCCTTACTCAACGTGGCGACGACGGTTTCAAACTCGAGACGGGAATCGATCAACTGGGAGGCCGGCTAAACGAAAAACAGGTATCAGCCCAATGCTCTTAAAAGCAGCTGAGGGTTTTTTCTTCCGTGTTAAATTGCAAAGGAGAAAGTGAATAACAGTAAATTCACAATGGCTCAAAGACAAATTGTTCGTGACCCGTTTAAAGCAGGATTGTGCGAGGCCCAGATTGTCAACCTATAGGCCTCAATACATTCCATAACTTGATGAAACAAGTGAAAAGTAATTTTTTTGGGAAAAAAATTTTGAGTTAGGATGAAAACTTTTTTCGAAGCCTGGCTTGGTCCGAGCCCGCGCAAGCTCCATTGCTTTGGGCTTCAATTGCTCTGACCTCGGTAACGCAAATCGAAATCGTCCCGGACGTTTCTTAGGCTCCGGGCCGCTTACGTTTTGCGGTACTGAGGTCCGGACTCGTGCGTTTGGCTTGGACAACTTTCGCGAATTTTTGAAACCAGGCCAGACTTTAAAAAAATTAGAAACTTTATTTTGAAAAAAATGGTATCCAAACTCAAAAATTTTCACCAAAAAAACGCATATTTTCAAATTTGTATTTTTTTACCTTTTCAGTATAAAAAAATAACCAGAGTCATTTTTTTGTCGTGAAAAAAAGCGGATGTTCGATTTAGAGAAACCTTGAGCTTTTTGGGCTTGTTTTTGTTTGATGCTTCGCTCAGCCTGGGCGCAGACAATGATTGAACCGTTAGGCTGACAAGACGGTCCTCGCAAAACTCTGTCTAAGAACTCAGTAACGATAACTGAAAGCACTCTAAACGTTTTTGAGTAATTCTGGGGATGCTTCAACACGTCCGGACGTTTTTTCCCGTCATATTTTTATACCGACAAGTTTTTGCATTTAAGCATTGAAAAAAAATCGAAAAAAAAAAATGAAATATGACAGAAAAGATAACGCTCTGTTTGAAGTATAGTCTGTTCAGATTTTGAATGTCAAGTAGAATGACGTCATTCGAAAAGGCTCTGTGGATGGCTCGCTCTCTGATTAGTTCATCGCACCATTATGAGCGGAGCTTGAGCGACGACTTGACATTCAAAATCTGAACAGACTTTAATTTCCACAAACTGTCTGAACGATATTTTGAATTTCGCGGGACCAATGGGCATGGAAAAGTTCCAAAAAAAGCAGAGAAAAATCGGACATTGGTGTCGTGAATCGGACGTGTTGGGCGAACATACGATCGAGTTCCTAGTTGTAGGATCAGGGTTTGAAAAAGGTGTGAGAATGGGATAAAATTCCAAGCAAAAAAACTCGACTGTATCTACCAAAAAAAATCTAAGCATACTTCAGTCAGCGTCAGCCGACACTAACGACTACTACTGAAGCTTTTCGAAAAAAAGCCTCGGTTCTTGGCTTCAACGACCTTGCTCAAAAAAGTTTTATAAAGACCTGACAATTTCTACACTAACTCAGCCACCCTCGACTTCGGAGTCTCCGCCTCCTCCTTTCTCCAAACCGAGCTCAAAAATTTCAGAAGATATACAAAAGCAAGAGCATAAAACGTCAAGCTGACTAAAATAATCTACCTTCAAAATGAAAAGGGATTTTTTTTTTTGAACAACCGATTGCTTCCTCGAACACACCGCCCACCCTCCCTACTATGTCCGAAAGAAAAATTGGAAACTGGGAGAAAAAAAAAGACGAAACGATTTTCTTTTCGTGATGCAACTCCAAACGAGGCTTCCACCGACAGCCAGGAATTTAGCTCAAGAATTTGGAATGTAGCCCTTTGACAGCTATCCCAATGATCCGTAGCTTAAAAAATAAACTGCTGAACCTTTCCGAAACGAGAAAAAGACTCGATTTTCGGTCTCAATGGCCAGAAAACTACTCAAAATGAATATTAGATGGAGACATGAAAATTTCTACGCTAACTCTGAACGAAGCACCAGTTTGGAAAATTGGACTTCGTATTGTTGGAAAACAGCCAACATAAGGAACAAAAAAAGAGAAATCATAAAAATAGAAAGAATGACTATATATAATTTCAGATTACAAAAATGCGGATTTCGCGTCTTTAAATAGTGCATTAGCTTGGATAGACTGGAATTATCGGTTCAGCACATGTTGTACAGTAGATGAAATGTATGAAAAGTTCATTTCTATACTTGAGCCACTCTGCAATCATTTCATACTTACTTAATTAGATACTTAGATAGTCCATCTTCGCTTTCGACCTTTTATTGCCTTTTAGTGCCTTTTATTGATCGAAGCGTGGACCACACGTTTTCCAGAAGGTCTTATGCAATCGGTCATCCAGTGTTGTCGTCCTGGTTGACTGGTATTCTTGCGAAAAAGTTCCATCCGTGGTGTTGAACGTGTTATAGCATAATTGTGGTCTTATTATCCTTTTTGCCTTGCCAGGGCTAAAAAAGACCGCCCATTCTGTTAGCAGAAGCAAGTTGAACTGCGTGACCGGTGTACCGTTAGCCGCCATAAATGGCGTTGCCTCCCCATCACCGCGTAGAGGTGGTACTTGAAGGGGTCATTTCATACCAAAAAAAATTATAGAACCGTTTAAATTCCCGCAATACCTGATAAGAAGAAAAGTCGAAAGATGCTATATTGATTTTAAAAAATCCTTATCTCCACAAAAAGAGCAAAAATATAGGCAGATCCTTAAAGTGTATAAAACCAGCGTCAAAAACTACAAAGTTTCAGAAGAAGAACGAGTACTAAATGGATCTAAAAAAACAGTAAAGCATTTTTGGTCTTATGTTAAGAGGAAAAACCACTGTTTCTATGCAGCCAAAAATCTCTATGTTTCGAAGGTCGCTCCATTCAAAAAAAGTGAGGAGATCGCGAACATTTTTTTAATTCATATTTCAGTTCGGTCTACCGTATTGATGACAATAAAAATTTCAGCGTCCCTTCGGTTACCAGTACAGTTTTGGAGGACGTTTGCGTAGATGAACATGTGGTTTATAAATGTATGAAAAATCTAAAAAGTCTAAGCTCTTCAGGCCCAGACGGACTTTCGAGTAAATTATGTAAAAAATTAGCAGTTCCTTTAGCGCGCCCGCTCTCAATGATTTTCAGAAAGTCATTAGATAGCTCCTCGTTACCTCTTCTTTGGAAAAAATCTATTGTTTCTCCAGTATTCAAAAAAGGAAACCCTTCCGCCGCTGAAAATTATAGGCCCGTCTCTTTAACCTGTGTGCCATGCCGAATTTCCGAAGCAATTGTAGTGAGAGCTTTAAGAAATCATCTTTGGCGTAGCAAAATTTTTTCTAAAACTCAGTTCGGATTTTTGAACAATCGGAGTGCAATAACTCAGCTACTGGAGAAACAAAGATATATTTTTGAAGAAGTTTACAATAAAAACAATTTTGACTGTATCTACTTGGATATATCAAAGGCTTTTGACACAGTTAGTCACCGTATACTTTTATCCGTACTTGAAGCCTACGGATGTAAAGGAAAACTTGGTAACTGGATTAGAGCGTATTTGACTAACAGGACTCAAAAAGTAAAAGTAAATGATAAATTTTCGGGAGATATTGAAGTCATTTCTGGGGTTCCACAGGGAAGCTATTTAGGTCCTTTAATGTTTCTTGTTTACATTAACGATTTGGATAAAGCACTTAAATATAGTAAATTTTTGATTTACGCTGATGATTGCAAAGTAATGATTAGCAGTTCTGTTCCAGGATATCAAAACAAGCTACAAGAGGATCTCCATTCTATTGAAAATTTTCTTGCAGATAGACAACTCATACTTTCAGCAAATAAAAGTCTCCATGTTAGTTATGGGAAACGAGTTCGAAGTGTTGCGAGTTACGAGCTTAATGGTACAGCAGTGAATAACGAGGATTGTGTGAAAGATCTCGGAGTTATTTTTTCATCTAACCTCAAAATGCATAATAATATTGAAGTAATCGTAAAAAAAAACTATGCGTATTATAAACAACCTATTCCGCTGTTTTAGCTTCTCGAAAAAAAACTTCTTGACATTCTATACGGCCAAGGTACTTCCCATTCTAGAGTATGGTTCGGAACTAATGTGTCCATTGACAAAGTCAGATATTGATCGATTAGAAAACCAAAAGGATCTTGCTCACTGCGTGATTGGAGCCCAAACGATGACCGGAAAAGAATGGCTCATGAGACTGAAAATCTTTTCACTCAAATTGAAAGTTTGGACGTTGAAGGCAATGATCCTAAAGTTTTGACGATTCACGGCTCCTTTAAACGACAAACTGCAATTTTTCTAAATGCTGCACAATGTTTTTTTTTCATAGAAGCTTGAACAAACTTATGAAAACGAATGTTTCTTGCCCGCAAAACGTCTTTTTTTAAAAACTTATATTGAACCATTATAATAATGAAATTAAATAGAAATTTCAGTATACAATACAAAGCCAGAGAAAATGGTATATCAGTCACTTGGAAAATAAAATTGAATCAAATAAACTTAAAAATCATTCAATTCCCAAAGAAATGCAGTAATTTTATGTGCCCAGTCCTTCTACGGGCCGTTCTGCAAAATTGCGCGGCGGGAGTACGGTAAGCCGCCAGCCCGCAGCCCGATCCAAAGCTTTTTTCAAAATATATTGACGCGAACACTAAATTACCTTTTTCTCCGAAAGTATGAACTTTGGTGTAATTTCAGGTATACCGTTGGAATCGCTGGGAAAAAACTCTATAATATTGCGTTTATTTCCCAAAACCCATTTTTTACTGCCCCTATGCCTTTAAAGTTTAACAAAAAAACTATGATTTCAGAAGTAAAAGTCACATTTCGGTGAAAAATTTTTTTGAATGAAATTTTAAATTGTTTTTTTGAAGCCCGGCCCGGCCCGAGCCCACGCGGGCTTTTTTTCCTAAAAATGCGGCCCAAAGCCCGGGCCAGGCCGCCCGGCCTTTCGCACAAGCCTGGTCACGCTAGACTTTTTTTCTCAACACGTCGCTCCAGCTTACACCCTTTTTTTCAAAGTGCGCTCTATTGATAGTTCCTCCGATGCGTTTTCACAAACGGTTTTTATTTTTTATTTTATTATTTTTCTAGTCTTTTGTAAAGTTTCTTGTTTCGAAATGAATATTCTATCTTTCGGAAAATATTCAAGAATCTTGCTCTCTTTTTCGTATACATTATAGTTTCGTGTGCTCGAAAGTGTTCAATCAAGGTCTTCCAATTTTAGGTAACCCATATATTGCTGTCGCTAGTCAGCGAAAATGGTTGAAATCGACATAAATAAAGAAATAGACGACGATTCGCAATTTTTGGATCCTCAAGGCTATGTGGACAGTATCACCGACGAAGGTTCCTCAATTGAGCTTCTAAATCATAACCAGTTCCTCTCACAGAACTAGTACCTGATGTCCTTCACCAGAAGCCCACTCTCGACGAGTTTGAAGATTGCTGTGTTGTGGTGACTGGTATCCCCGCAATTGGAGCTGAGCGAATCTCCAAACTTCAGGTATCTTTGCAATTTTTAGAAATCTTATAGAATCTTTAGGCCGTCTTGACAAAAGTTATTGAAAAAATTGACAAACGTGCGAAGCTCTTTGTGCCTACGAATCCTGAAGGCGGCAGCGTGGTAGTAAAAAAAAGTTGAGAATCGAAAAATAATCAATATCTTAAAGGGAGTTCTTTTTACTGAATGGCCTGATAAGGAAGTTGCCGAGTTTGCCGTTGCCGGTTTGGAAGGCTATGCTCTTGACAAGAACCACACCTTCTCTGCAAAACTTTTCTCCGAGGCTAGTAAAAAATGTTTTAAACGAAGAAAATTGTTTCTAGATGCGCAACATGAAAACTGTGGATCCCGACTGGAAAACACCAGAGAAAACCGCTTACAATGACGTGGTAAGTATCTTGAGAAAAAGTGACTATCTTTCTTTCTAGTGAATTCGATTCTGAGTAGTTTCATTTAACTATTTTAAATAAATCTTCTTTAAAAAAACTTTTCATTGGTTTGCTTTTATGTTTTTCTGATAATAAAAAAAATCAAGTAGTTCCTGAATTATAAATTTTCTATCCGTATCTCACGTTCGAATAGAAAACAATCAAACTTTATAATTTTTCATTAATTTATGATGAACTCGTGCTCTCTTTAATAATCATGTTTCAGGGAGATTTATGGTGGTGGATGCAGAACGATCGATGTCGCGACCAGTTTGCTGTTCAGTACGATAAGATCGGAGTTCCTACCGTCAGCGTTTATTGGCACATGAAAGGTCATGAGCCGGAGATCGCCGGAGATCCGGCTTCTGTGGCTGAACGAGCGGTTTTATCCTCAAAAAAAAAATTCTGAACTCTTTTATTTAGAACTGGACGGAGTCTGTTTTCACATGGTCTCCGTACGGTAGCTACATGGCTACAATTCACCAGAGAGGTGTAGCCTTGTGGGGAGGTCCGAAATACGCGAGATTCCAGCGTTTCGCTCACGATGCAGTTCAATTCATCGATTTTTCTCCCTGTGAAACGTATGTTGATTTTTTCTTTGATGAGATAATGCTAAACCATTTTTTCATTATCTGTTTTACAGTTATCTGGTCACTTATGCTGCCCCACAAGACCGTGGACGGTGGTGGGAAGGCGAAGAGGACTGCCTTCGTGTCTGGGATGTTCGGACCGGAGAACTCAAAAAGTCTTTCTCGCCGTTTGCTCTCACAAAGAGACCTCAACTTCCTTGTTGGCCTTTCTTCAAGTGGGTTTACATATATGTACCAGGAGCATGTTATATTCAAAATTTTTTTGAAATATTTCTTTGCTTTGAAATAGCGCTACTACAACTATCCATCCCTTTTATTTAGGTGGTCGTTTGATGAGAAGTTCTTCGCCTGTTTGAAGGCTCCTGAGAAGGACAAGCTGGAGAAGGAAAAGAAGGTTGGTTGAACAAACATGTTTCTTATTCACTTTCCATTAAGATCGATGGAATCTCGGTGTTTGAAACATCCACCTTCAATCTCGTTGATCGGCGACATGTACTTGTTGAAAACATAAAACAATTTGAGTGGTCTCCAACCCAAAATGTGCTGGCTTATTATTCAGAGGTAAGAATTGAGATATCCGAATGGGAAAGTAGAAGAAGATTGATTTCAGTGCACAGATACTTTGCCAGCCGAGTTTGGACTGATGCAGGTCCCTCAGCAAACGAAACTTCGTACCGCCCGCATTCATAACGTTGCAGAAGCTCAAATGTTCTGGCAGAAGAGCGGTCGACGGCTCGCGGCATACACAATGAGGTTCGTCTGGTTCCGATAGTCAGACAAAGTTTTGATTTTGTAGATACAACAAGAAAACTCTGAAGGAAAGCGGAGAATTGAAATACGTAAGTTTAATCTCCACTAAATTTCTTTATTGAAATTCTTAGGGAGGCTGCTCGTATCATGTGGAAATCTTCGAAATTGACAAGAAAGACGTTTCTTTGATGAATCTTCCACTTCCCGAGCCTTTCATCAATTTTGGCTGGGAGCCTCAAGGTTTTCATTATTATCAATTATAGTGGTAATTACTTTTTTTGAAGGCGATAAGTTTTGCGTTCTCACCGGGAACCAGGCCAAAGCCACTCCTCTCGTTTTCAAGCTGGAAGCCAATGGTCACGCACCTAAACTGATGAGCAAGTTGGACGCCGGTGTCCAGTTCAATGAAGTTTGTTTTCTGATATAATTGAAAACAGACCAGTTTTTGGGAAAACATTCTAATCATCTTATTTAAACCTTTTCAGGTGATGTTCGCTCCTCAAGGAGGCTGGTTGGCAGTACTTGCACGACTTTCAACGGGAGGAAATGTGATGTTTGTCGACACGACGCTCTCTGAAGCTAAGCGAACAAATGTTGTCGAGCATCCTCAGTTCAACAAGGTTTCACAACTGAATCATTTGTTAACTAGCTCGAATTTCTCGATTAGGGATATTGGGATCCAACTGGGCGCTACTTTGTTACCTGTTCGACTGTGGGCGGGCGCGCCGGCGCCGATCATGGATTCCGTATTTATACATTCCAGGTCTCGTTAGTCTTTATTTTGCAGTAGTTGTTTTGCTTTTATAGGGGAGAGAATTGTGCCGGAAAAACATGGACCGGTTGTCACAGTTCAAATGGCGTCCGCGACCGCCAGCCAAACTTTCTGAGCAGAAGCTCAAGGAAATCAAGAAGAATCTCAAGAAGACGTCAGCTCGATTCATCAAACAAGACGATGAGGAGAAGTGCCGTGCTAGCCAGGAAGTGGTCGAAAAGAGACGGTTTGTTCTTCATTTTCTCTCTCAATCAATACTATCTGTTAAAGCGATCATGTATGGAAATTTGTTCATTATTTCGCGCAAATTTTACGTTTCTAGGCTGATCTTTTATTTGACTCCTCAACAGATTAAAATGTGTATGATAAATACGAAAAATGTGTATGATAAATACGAAAAACTATGGGCCCGCAATAGTTAAAAAACTTGAGAGGCCTACATTCGTGAGTTATTCCTTGTATGAAAGCGGAGATGATTGAGAACATTCAATTTAGATCATTGCATGTAGAAAGAATATTTCGTATTAAACTTTAAAAGTTTGTGAATAACTAATTTTTTTTTAGTTGATGATTTCTGACAAATATCCTTTTTTTAATGCTTAGAATTGACGTAGGATCTATTAATTTGGTGAGGGCTGCATGAAGTTTAACCTTCTTATAAACTACTAGCGGAAAATGAAAGCCAGAAAATAAACGACATGTGTAAATTTGAAAACCTAATAAATAAATGGTCTCCTAGGAGTTGGTTTTCAATAAGGCCTTTACCAGCGAATTGCTATGCGAAATAAGGATCTTTTTCATTGCAGGAAGATCATGAATACTTTCAACGCGGTGCGAAACAAGAACGCGGCGGTGATGACTTCGACACGAGACAAGCGCATTGGCCTGCGTGGCGGCGTCGACACGGACGCCGAGTTGAACACGGACGATTTCGTTGAGGAAGAGATTACGATTGCTTTGAGTACAACTAAAACTCCCGCTCCGTTGAGCGAAGAAGACGAGGCAGATTAAGCTTTTCAAGAGCTCCGCGTAATACTTGGTTTTTCATCTTTTTCTTTCCTTTCTTATTTTATTGCCATCCTAATTTTCTCGGTTATTAGCTGTTTTACTGATGACTTTCATGTACCTACTGTTTTGGTTCTGCTCTCATATCACATGCAGTAACCTTCTCAATGCGGAAAACGGGGAAATAGCTTGTAGTCTGGTAATTTTTTTACCGACTTCACGGACGAGAAACTTTTGGTTTGCTGTGTCCCGGTTTTGCGCTTTAATACTTATTGCATCATTAGTCATCGTTCAGTAAAACTGTCGACATTCTTAATTTATCTTCGGCTTACTGTGACTTTCTGTTCAATTTGTTTTTGTTGTTATCTTTTTTTGGTATCCGAAGGTTTGTTATCGATTGTTGGTTCTTTTTTCGGTATTAAATTTGTTAAGGCGTAGTAAACATTTCTATAAGATTTCATTTTCCAATAAAATGAAAAAAAAAAATGAAAACAGGAAAGAAAGACTACCTAAGGAAATCTTCCACATTGGTGTTATCGAGTTTTCTCCATCATTGTTCGTGAAGACAATGATTGGTCCTTCGATGTGCTGAAAGAACTTTTCGGTTAAACTATTTTGTTGGCAAACTGACCCCTAGAGCGAGGGCTTCCGAGCAAAAGTTGGTCAACGCATGTCGACAACGCGTCGCGGAAAGTCGAGCAACGATGTCTTCTGATTCCTTAAAGGAAATTCCCAACTGTCTGGCCACGGTTGACATGTGGCAGCAGAGGTTAACTGGCAGCTTTTGGTTCCAAAGTCGATCTCCTGATTTGCTCGAAATTATCTTACTTTCAGACTTCCAGAACTACCAATGACTTCTATTCCTCTCTCTTGCAACTCCGGGCGGCGAATTTTCAGAGAAGTCAGGAAAAGCTGCGGGAGAAAGGACTTTTTTGCGATAACTTCATCATGTGTCTGCATTTCGATAAAATTGATAGGAAAAAAAAACTGTTTTTTTCACTTTTTCCCAATCTATCGGTACTGTTGATCCAGAATAACTAGGGTCTCTCAAAAACTTGATTTTGTGCTCATTCAGCAGCTTTTCTTCTTCTAAAAAGAAAAACTGACTTTAATTTTAAATATCTTTGTTATTAGGTAAATACCGTCCTCTACTTCGATTTCCTGAGCGCGTTCTTCTCTCCGGTTGAAGTTCCTTTGCCTTCGTTGCAGGAGCTCTGTTTTGAACTCACTAATTGGGATATACTCCAAGTTAGAAAAAACATGAGTTTTTCTCTTCAATAGCTGAAATATTTTTTTTTTGATAAAATAAAGAAATGAATATAACCTGGAAAGCTGCCCAAGAGTTAGGGCAATAAATGTCGTAAAAAAACTTCGTTTTCGATAGCTTATTCATGTAAAATTCGCGATTCTGACCAGCCTAATCTGAAATGATTATCTTCATTTGAAAAAGCAAGTTTAATTTGAAGTTTATCTGGTAACATCGAGGAGGTGCTAATGATCTCGACGTTTACATTTAGCCATTAGAAATTTTTCAAGAATGAAATATTATTTGGGGAGAAAAAACCTCCAAAAACAAATTTAACTCTATCAAATTTGGGGCTTCGAAGATGAAGCACTTCCGTTGCTCACAATTTGTAAATTTTATGTTGGATGCGTTCGACGCAGGCCTTTTTTGCACTGTGCGCGCTGTTCACGTCATTTTCCGACCGATCGACATCACTCGTTGATTTTTGGATCAACAAACAAACAAACTCATTTCGCAACTTGCTCTGGTCACTGACTTCACTGGTACTCACCGCTTATTCATTACTGACTCTATTTGACTCTTAAAGGTATGTGAATTTTTCTTTTTCCAATTTTATAAGTTGTTTTCTCGTTGCGGTTGTAAAAAACGTTCGTCAAATATTTTTTTAAACGTTTTTCATGCAATTATCATAGTTCAAGACTTTGATGCCTTCTTTGTCTCAACCACAAACACCGAGTAAACATCATTCGCGAGTAGCTGAAGAGAAATGGACGACAGCGTCCTGCAGTGAAATCGATAAAATTTCGGTGGGGATCACTTCCAGCTTAACGCCTCTCTTGTCAATTTCAGATAGAAAACAAAGACAGCCCATTACTAAGAGCAAAGTACACACAACTTCGATCGAAGCGCGAGGCGATCGCCAAATTCTTAAAAGAACACAAAAACGAGGATCTGAGCTTGTACATCGGTTAGTTCAAAACGGAAATTTACAATAGGTTTTCTTTTAGACGAGCTGCGTGACTTGGCAGTTTCGAACGGCGGATTAGTTGATGATGAGTTCCGCGCGATCATTTGGCCCATTCTAGCCGATAATTTATTACAAGCGGAAGAAAAGGGTGGTAGGTGTTAGCTCAGAATTATTGATTCATTTTGACTGAAGTATTCAATTTACTCTTTTTACCAAATTGAACAAATAATAAAGTTTGAGAAGTTTAGACGATGCTGGCTCGTCGAACGATTCCGACTTTGAATCTGCATTTTCCGAGCTTGAGGATTCTTCTCTAGAGGTCAAATTACTATTTTGTAGCACAATTTTTGTCTTTTTTTCTGGTTTCATCGCGAAAACATGAACGACATGAATATTGAATACACATACATTGTTTTATTCATAGGATGAACAAGAAGCCGATGAAGACGTTTTGAGACAGCACAAAGAGTGGCATCAGGTTGGGTTTTCAAAAAATTTTATTTTGTCGAAGTTTTTTTAAAACATGTATTTCTGTTAGAAATTAAATCATAATTTGTTAAATCTGTTCTGAGGAATTGTTAAGGTGTTTAAAGAGAAGAAAAGGGAAAGGTTTCGAGGCCGTTTTCAGTGTTTTTCTGGGTGACATAAATTTCTGTGTGTATAAACGACTCAACTGGGTTTTTGAACCGAAAATTCAATTTTTCAATTTGAATAGGTCGAACTGGACGTGAACAGAACTTTGGCGCGTTTCCCACCAAACATTACCGACGTGCATCGGACTACCTTGCAGAAGGAGCTGATCCCCTTGATTGTGAGGGTTTTGAGGCTCAACCCGCGGTTCAACTACTACCAGGGCGAGTTCTTTCAGTAGGAAAGAGGTTCTCCTCCGTTAAAAAAGAAGGTGCAACGGATAACTAACATGTGGGAAGGAGATACGGCCGGGAACTTTTTATGATCTTCTAATTTTTGATAGGTTTCACTACATATTTAGCTTGTTAACGGCGGGTTTGAGTTATCGAAAAAAGTTCTTGGGGTAATTTCAAAAAAAAAAAATGTCTGGTTGGTGCACCTCAAAAATGAAGGTAAAATATTTACCGCAATAGTGTCCCAAAAAAGGTCTAATAATTTTTTTCACAGTTCCTTATTAACTTTTGACAATAGTTTCTTTTTATTGCGCTGTTTTCTAAAAATTTTTTTAAACTTTGAATTTTGAAAGTTTTTTTAAACTTCAGGCTTTCATGACATCTGTTTGACCGTGCTTCTTGTTTGTGGAGTGAAGGATTCGTTTCGAATTTGTTCAAATTTGGCGCGAAACGGCGCTTTCAACAATTACTTGCTCAAATCGTTAGAAGGAAGTGTGGTTAAAGAGCTTGACTTGATGTAGGTAAAAAAAAAACGATTTATCGAGGATAGAAATTTAGGTATGTGATATTGTCGCGAGTAGAGCCGCAATTGGAAAAAATGATGCGATCCGTCGAGTTGGGCAGCATTTTCGCGTTGAGCTGGCCTCTCACTTGGTTCAGCCACAGTTTGCAGCACTACCAACAGGTTGGGCACAATTCTCTCATTTTGTGATCATTTCCCCGTTTCTCAAGCTTCGTCTAAAACTCACTCTCAAATTGAACTGCTTCGTTAGATTGACGATGGCAAATTATCCTATTTATTTTCATGAATTGTACTTCACTAAAACATAGTCAAAAGAGATTCCAGCGAACATCAAAAAACATTAAAAAATTGTGACATTTCAATTTTGTTTTGATTGAAAAGGGTAATTATCATTTCAACCGATTCCCTGCTTGAGTGCCAGGCCAATTTCAGATTGTTCGATTTTTCGACTGTTTCCTCGCGGCTCCTAGGCTGTTGCCGGTCTACGTAGCCTCGACGATTGTCGTCTTCCGGAAATCGAGCATCTTTTCCTGCGAAAGGTCTCCTCCGACCAATTTAGTCGTTATCCTTGCGATCCAGGGAAATGCCATTCATCCACCGTTTGCTCAGCGAAATGCCTCACGAACTTCCCGTCGACGCGATTCTCAAAGACGCCGTGTACGTTTAGAGCCAATCTGTGCGTTTTAATAGTCTTTTTTGTTCAGATATTTGGCCAAGCTTATGCCTCCAACGCTGTTAAGGACGCACTACTACGAAGAGTATAGGAAAACGGTGAAATTCCTTTTTTCCTGGATGTTAAGTATGAAATGAAGGATCTCGTTTGAAAACAACTAACATAACGAAAATTGATTGCAGGTAGCCGCTCCGCCCCGAAATCTCATCACGAAAACAATACCGAGGTACGCGCTGCAGTTTGTCTTTGTCGCGGGGACCGTTGGCGCGGCCGCCGGATTCTTTTTCCTCAACAAATTCCAGATGTAGCTCGAATAGTTAACTGATCATGTACACTCCTCTCAAATGCTTTTTCTTGTGCTAAAGTATTATGAAGTCATAATTTTATTGTATGCGGGATAACTTGCTTCAATTAGTCAACCTTTGTTTGGATGCCCTATCCGCCATTTACAGATTCGATTGTGAAAACTCTCCGAATTCCACTGATCTCCATGATTCCGAATGAAATATATTGTATTTGCCTATTTGCCTCTCCTTTTCTTCTCTACATTCACCATAACAGCTCCAGCTTCCCGACAAACGACTGTGATAATTTTTATAGAAACTTTTTTTTCTTGGTCAGTGCATTTTTATTCTTTTTTTCAATATATGAAATGTGGGCTTTGGAACTAATGAATGAAATCGGTTAACTTTCATTCTCTCTTTCTTAGAACAAATCTTGACGCCACGTATCAATCTGTAATCAGAAAATAAGTGCTGTATAAATATTTGCATGTTACGAAGGCCGTAAGCAATGAAGCTGGGAGAATCGTCAAAAAGGGTACATTTTCCAGATTACTTTCCGATGGAAAACATGAGGATAACTTTTCTTTTCACCAACTCTTGAAGCTCATCTTTCACACGTCCCCTGTCTTTACCATAGTTTTGCTTTCTTGACTGAGACTACTCTCGGGACGTCCCATGATCAAACGCATTTCTTCGCGAGTTTTCCCCTCGAGCTTGTCGGCGACCCATTTGCTGACGAGTTCGCAAAGGCTTCCGATCTCCAGGAAGAGACACGCCTGTAGAATTCTCATTCTTGTTTTTCATACAAATATGCGTCCAAAATGCGCCGAGAAACCCTACAAATAACAAAAACGGCTTCAGAAAAGAAAACTGGCTTCTTATACAATTTTTTTCAGATCATGATGCTCGTTCAAAACTTTCTTGACAGAGAAACCTCACCTCAATGACGTTCAAGGCTTCGGGGACCGATATACCTGGGAATAGAGTGTCCACTCTAGCGTTCTTTTGTGGCGTCCTACACCACTTGACAATCTGAAGACGACTCTGAAGAAAGATTCAGAATATGAACCTTGTCGACGACGTCTGCTGACAGTGCCACTGGAATGATCACCGTCGGCGTTTCGTCGCTTTGGGGCGGCAATGCTGTTCAACTTTTTTTTTTGATACAAAGGACCACTCTGAGTGGCATTGAGTTTGAAATATCATAGAATTCTAAAGAAAAAAGGCTATATTTTCAAGCTTTGCACATTAGGTAAACTTGATAGGAGTACCTTGAAACATATTGTAAATGACTGTGATTTGGCGGACGTCTTCGGCACACAGCGTCACCTCGGCGCCGTCCGACGAGCGGAGGATTCTAAATCCCGCCAAAGTCAGAAGCTCGACCGACGTCAGACCTGCGTTCTCCAGGAGTACAGGCGGCGGCTGTAGACGTCACGCTCTCGACCGTTTGCAGAGACTGTCCCTGGACGGAAATGAACAAAAAATAGATATGGCTTTTCCGAAAAATTCTATAAACTAGTCACAATTTTCCATCTTCGAATAAGCTTCTCAAGGAATGTCTGCCTTTCATTTTTTCTCACTTCTTCAGTAGTTGCGCGTTTCGGGCGGAAGAAATAGTTTAAAATTGAAGACATCCCGATTTGAAAATGATTCGTGTTCTCACGTCTATTTCGATTTAGAGAAGAAATGATAGTTATTGAAAAACTCGTGAAGGAATTCGATAAAGCATTCATTTTAAAAATGACATTAACCAAATTGAAAAAAATGATGTTCATATAAATAATGAAAAAAAGTAACAGTGACCTTGATGGTGTGTTATCAAAGAACCAAACGTATATAATAATTATAATATAATAAGAAAAATAAAAAAATAAGGAGCTTTTAGGGAAGGAGACGGATGATTAGATCGAGAAATAAAAGAATAATAACAATAAGAGGGGAAAAGGACTAGTTGACGCGGTTTCCAACTGTAAAAGTTACATTAAATGTGGACAAACCGGAAGGAGAGAATATGCGGATGATGAAGCAAGTGGGCCCATCTAAGCTTTTTTTTTGTTTTCTTCCGAATGGGCGGCGGAAACAAGTTAGAGACCACATGAGAGAAAGTTGCAATAAATCAAAAAATGAAGATAAAATCAGATAAAATGAAGGTCGAAGGAAAACACATCACCTAAATGTTAATAGCGGGTAATAAATAAGAAAAAAAAATTCAAAAGGTGTTCGACTATTATCGCGCCGACGCACCGTGCCGGCTTTGAGCGTTAGAGCAATCAGAAGATTTGCATTGAAGTCGGGGAACGGAAAACCAAAAAAAAGTTTTTTCAAGAAGTTTTTCAAGAGAACAGCACACTTGCAACGACCACTAAAGGAGTCCCTTTAAGCGACACTACGTTCTCCGTACCCAAGCTTCATCTAAATATCAATGTTTCGCCAACACCTCATAGAGATGTGAGGGCTGAATTTCATTATAAGAGTATAGGCTACAAGAAAATTAAACAAAGATAAAAAAGGAAATTTCAGTGTTGCAAAGATTTTCGGGCACGGTGAAGTGGTGCAAGATTGAGCACAAAACAGCCGCCTCTCGCAGAAGGAAAAGCGAGTTAGAGAAAGAGAACTTGTTCTCTCGAAAATTCACTGAACTGTTGCAATGAGAAAAAAAAGAATGAAACTCGAGAGTCGTCGATACGAAAAGTTTAGATAAAAAGTAACACGGCAGCTAAACGTAGAAGATGTGTGGAAGAAAAGGAGTTAGAACTTAAATTACGAAGCCATTTGAAAGAAAAGTCGACGAAAAGAAAAAAGTAAGAAAATGAATAAAAAGAAAAGAGCATTCAGCGATACCAGAAAGCTTCAAGGGGAACGTGATGGACACACTAATCTACACAGACAACGAATCGAAGGTTGGCGCAATGAAAAGTAAAAAAACAACAAAACGAAAAGAAACCGAACAAAAAATGCTACAGCCGACGGGGTTGTCTTTCTTTTCAATGATAGTTGCTTTTTGATGATGTTTCAGTTCCAAATCTTGAGGAACGAATCCCAGGAGCCTGTGCAGACGGCCATTCCGTCCTCCGTCACGCCCAGACAAGATACGCGATTGTCGTGGCCCGCCAAGACGCCTGCAAATTTCTTTTTCAGAAAATACTCGAGAAAAAGGTTTTCGTCAGCGTCTTGAAAAAGGAACTGATGTTAATCAAACTATAATCAAAACTGTTTGAGTGGATGTTCTCGAAAAGAGAGCGGATGAAAAATGTAGTTTCCATTATTCATTTGTAACTTTCACAGAGTTTGCTTTCGGAAACAGCGGTCATATTTTTATGGACCCTTGAATATTTGAAGCTAGGCAAGCTGACCAAAAGTTCTCGAGAGCTAAACTTAATAAAGAGAGCAACAAGAGAGACTACTGAAAATTTCACACCGCGTAGTTAGCTGGAAAAGCGTATCATTTCCCTCGATACGCTTTAATTGGCCTGTGTTCAAAAAAATATTGAAAGATGAGAAATAATAAATAATAAAAAAAAGACAATAAAAGAAAAATAATAGGATCTTGACAAAATATTTGGATCTCAGTGAGTGCCGCTCTTGCTAATATAAGTTTCTAACTCCAATAGCTTCAGAAAGATAAATAGAAAACGATAGATTTGAGTAGAATCGAAAAGGGACCTGCTCGTTCTTGTCTCATCGAATCCCAAACGTTGCAGTTGAAGTCGTCGTAGCCGGCGAACAATAAGCGACCAGACTTCGAGAACGCCACACTGGTGATACCTGCAACAGCGATAGTGAACGGAAAAATGACATCAGAACGCAAGAAACCAACCGCAAATGATATTGTCATGCGAGTACATGGCGAGCTCCTGATCGGCGCGAATATCGAAAAGACGACACGTCGCGTCGTCAGATCCTGTCGCGAAAGCGTTGCCCGACGGGAAGAACTGAAAAATCTCTATTTTTTTTATTTGTTTTCAAAGAAAAATTGAAACATTCATTTCGACAGCATGTTTCAAGAAGAAAATGGAAGGTTCATGAGAGTACGGTGACCAAAAGCTTTATTAAGCTCAAGTTAGAGCAAAGAAAATATTTTTTGAATCGGAATTTCGACCCCTTCCTATGCATTCTGTGTCGACTGAATTACATTATACTTTTCCACTAGTTGCTCACGATAATCTTGTTGCGCCTGTTTTATTAAACATGAAATGAACAGCTTGGCTATTCGTTAATAATCAAAAAAATTTAGAAAAATTATTTTTTTTCTGAAATTGTTCTGAACAAAAAAATCCTCGAACAACATGTTGGAAAAATAAATTTTAAAGCTGTTTTTTTCGCTCCAATTTATAGTTTTTTTGAAAAAAATATTTTTTTAAATTTAGAACTACAACGTATTAAAGTATTTGATTCTGAAAAACAACTTTCTGATCCTAGAAAAGAGCTCAGACTTTTCCAAAGAGAAAATAGGAAAAATGGTCTCCAGGGACCGAGATTCAAAGAAAAGTCGTCTAACAAGACGTGTGAATTCATAGATCTTTGAATTTGAACTGAGGTTTTCTTCAAGAGAATGTAGCAAAGAATGAGAAAGAAGGAGAAACGAACCGCGACGGCGTTGATGTCGGACTCGTGTCCGGGGAACGTCTGCTTGCACATGCCGTCCCGAATGTCCCAAAGCTGAAAAACTCTTCATGATGAAAAAAAGTTGATTTTTATCTCAAGGAAGATCAAAAAGACATCAAAAATGCGATTATATTACTAAATAAAAAAACTTCGATAAACTTATGTTGAAGATAGATACATTCAAGAAACATTCATGTAGAGTCTTAAAAGTTACTTTCACAGTAATCTCAGCCTAATAAAGTTTCATTCAAACCAGAAACCAGAAAAAAAAACGGAAAAATTCCTAATAAAAGTTCCATTTCCTTGTCAAAATGATGATCGAAGAAAACAGAAAGGGAGGCGAAACTCGAAAGTTCTACTGTTTTCAAAATGTTCAGAAGGTCTTTTTATTCAAATATTCCGTTCTCTCAAAGTTCCTTTCTTTTCCATTTTCTCGCCTTATAAAATTTTCTCTTAACACAGTACAAAGATCCTATCCATATCCTAGATTGTTACTTTTCAAATTTTGAATCCAATCAAAAAACGTCATTTCGAGCTGACTGACCTTTGCAGAGGCGTCGCAGGCTCCAGAGATGAACGTGCGCATGTCCGGGGACAGCGAAAGACTCATCACGTCTCCTGTGTGTCCTGTGAACGCCGTGCACTGCTGACCCGTTTCGATATCCCAAAGAGCGCTGAAAAACTCTCATTTACCAAACTCGATCATTTTCGTTGGAAAGAACTGTGAACCAAAACCAACTCATAGCGTTCTCTTGCAAAATAATCAGCTCTGAATAGTTTTTTTTTAATGGAATTATTTCAAGATTTCTATCAGTTCGAATAATCAAAAAAAAAATTGAGACATACAAAAATCTAGTCGTTCAGTGATCAGTGAGAATCAGTGAGAATCTTCCCAACATTTTCAGCTATTTATCTTTTCTGATCACAATAATAAAAGTTTGAACTTCGATATTTGAAAAGCGCACAGTTTCTTCTTAATTTAAAAAGCCCCTCAAAATATGCTTTTCGTGTCGAAATCAGAGACAGTGAGAAGGAAAAAGTAGAGAAGACAAAAACTTCCAATTTCCTTCGAGTTCAACTTTAATTTACTATACTCGCACCCCGAGTTTCCCATTTTCGACGCTCCGGAACCTCTTTTCAAGCCTAAGCCGCCGCTCAGCGTCGCCAAAATGCATGTCGCGTCGCGCTGGCGAAAATCGATACGCAGACGTGCCTCGAATCGAAACGCGTCAGGCGAGGCGGAGCTGCCCCCTGAGCGGCGCTGCGACAACTACGCTCATCGCTTCGAGTTAACAAGGCCAAATTCTCAATTTACATAAATCTTCGAATACGGGAGCTCGTCAGACAATAATAGAATCTAAACAAAAGAGAAGGACGTTTTTGAGAAATCAAGAAACACAGGAAATCAGTAATCACTATGTTGAAAAAACTTGGTTGATGATTCATTTATAAATTGGGTCCTAAAATAGATGTTGTCTTTTTCAACACGAGAATTCCTCAAAATTTGGCTAGAATTAATAATTTTCTAATGAGAGCCTGAAATTTGCCATGATGCAGCTGAGTTACAAAAAAATCCAAGTAAAGTTATGGCATTCGAATAGAAAATGAAATGAAATTTATCCGACTGCTTCCGTGTTGAAATTATTATTCTTTATCAATGATAAAAATTAAATTATCATTGAAAAAAATAACCAAACTTGAAACAACTTACATTAAACAAATTGTTTTACAGACATTTTAAAAAAATTTAAAACGTGAAAAATGTGACCGCGTCTTTCGTTTCAAATAAAAAAATAATAATTCGACAAATGAGAAGTTAAAACGGTTAAAAGTTCTGGGAAGGCATCCTAATGGCTTTTCGTAATCAGAAAACTCTTTCTTGATTCTGTCGCTTCGATATACTTTTCACTTTCTTTGTTCATTATTTACTTGATAGCGCTGAAATTTTCTGCGATCAAGAAAATGTCGACCAAACTCTGCAAAACTTCTCAAGGAAGTTTATAAGAGTAAACGGTTACCATACGTCGGCTGGATCCCATACCGTGGTGCGGCCTATTGCAGTACATTTTCAAATTATTTTTTGGCGCGCAAATGGCTGGGGTGGGACCAGCCGATGTATGATGGTTACTTTGAAGCGCCCAAAATTGTTGCAGAAAATAAATTTATTGAATCAAAAATTCAAAATTTGTTTGATCAATATCTTCGATAACACGATTACAATTTCTCGACTTTTTTTTCTTCACAGTGACAATGACGCTTTTCCCAGTAAAATCATGTATTTTTTCTCTTCACAATGACTTTGATATTTTTCCTTTCAGAAAAAGAAAGAGTTCCCCGACAGCTCTCTAAAAACCAACCAAGTCATGTCGCCAGAAGAGGTGACGATCTGGTTGTCGTCAAGGAACCGACAGCACGACAAGTATCCGGTGTGGCCTGGGAGTTCTCGCGACACGCGAACGTTGCCTTCGCGCGTCTTCAGCGAGTAAATCGAGCAAATGTTGTCGAGTCCTGAAACTCATCCTCCTTATCACAAATGAGGTTTCGAAGCCCATATGGAAGGTTTTGTGAAAGGATCTCTCCAAATATTATATTGAAAAAGTCATTTTCTAAATAATTTGAAATATTCCCAGCTTTGAAAAAATTTTTAGAGGCTCTCAAGCTGGTTCTTGATCCAACCTTCTATTACTTTCTTTCATCCCTAAATATTTTTCCTTCAATAGTCAAAAAGTAAAAAAAAAAACTGGATAACAAAATTGAAATAAATCGCCCTCGCAGCTAGTCAAACTTAATCCCAATACAAAAATCCCTGAACAAGGAAAAATCCTCGTCTCTGTCAGATCCCAAAAAAAGCTAACATAAAACCAAGTTTAACACTTTTTTATGACGATTTCGAGACAAGTACGTAAATGAAGAACAAACCTGGTGGAATGAATAAAAACTAGAGAGAAAGATTAGCTCGTCAAAAGAAAATTCTTATCCTCATTGTTTTCTCTAAAGACATTTAAAATTAGTGATGTCGGATCAATATTCGGGTGTTCTGAGCTGATATCTTTCATTCTCAATCCTGGAAACTTTTTTGGAGACCGCGATGCTAAGAAATCGTCGTAATACTACTTGAAATTGATAATATTGGAGCAGGAAGTTTTTAGTCGATTTATTTCTTGAGAGACAAAAATTAAAGTAACCAACTTAAATAGTTCTAAGAAAACAGTATGAAGTTAGGTCGCCGAAAAAAGAGCTTTCTTCAGATTTTTAAGATTTTTCTCAGATCAATCGCGACTTCTTTTGAAGCTCTTGCCTAATTTTTACTATTCTTACTTTGCTGTCCCTTTTTTGTCTCCTTTTGGTCACGGTCACTTTTTGAGTTTCCCAACTTCTTCTACACAATGAGACTGGAACATTTTAACTGGTTATTTATTTCTATCAATCGAACGCCTCGATTTTTACAGATAGATTTCAAGACATCCATTTAAACGTTTCACAATTCAACTTCACGTCAAACATTAAAATAGAGATTTCAGCCTCATTATAAGCTTTCACTAGAAACGAACCTCCACAAGCGACGAAGCTTCCAGAAGGAGCGTAGGCGCACGTCATCACCCAAGACGATCGGAGGGGAATCGCGTGGACCTAAATATATTCTCCGTGAGATTTCAAAAACTATTTAAGGGATACTCGCCTTGTTGGTCGTGTACGAGTCCCAGACGATGAGCTTTCCGTCTTGCGACGCCGAGACCAGATTCCGGCTGTCCGACGCCCAGTGCATCGCATAAATCTACACAGAGCCAAGAGATGAGCTGCGACTTTTTTCAGTTCAAACCTTGGCTAAGTGACCCCTGAGGGTTCGCCGCGTACGCATCTGAATGCGACCGATGGGCTCGAGGTTCGACGCGACACTCGCCAGTGTCGTGTCATTTGCAGCTTTTCTTGCTTCCTGATAATCAAACAGTTCGAAACATAATTTCAATGTATTTCCTGTTTTATTTTTCCATTTCAGAAAGTTGTCTTTTCTCGTCAGGATCGTTGAGTGAGGTTATAGATTCGAAATCGGATCAACTGAACCTTTTTTTCAGATTTTGGAGATAAATCAAGGGGAAGGAACATATTTAAAAAAAAAGAAAAAAAAAAAGAATTGAAAAGATCCCTTTGTCAGTATTTCTCATTTCTTTTATTTCTCTTTGAAGTACGAACTAGTCTATACTGTTTCATTTCACTAAAAAAAAATCTGAATATCATCATCGGAAAAAAGTTTTTCAGTAAAAAACAAAATATTATTTCAAATTTGATTGAGTGAAAATTTTATACTTAACCTAGCCTGTTCATCTAAAACCTCAACTATTGTTTTTAAATGTTACTGACATGCCCGTTTTCGAAATCTACAATCAAAAATATCGAAAGGCGAACTAATCCACGGGATTTTTTTCGCTTCAATTTTCTGACAATTTCGATTTTGCCTCAAGCCGCTCAAAACGTCAACGTTTTCCTACCAAGCTGGTTGCAAAGTAATTACCGCGTGCGGAATAATGCCATCGTCTCTCTCCCTCTCTGTCTCAATTAACGCTTTAATTCTGCCGCCGCGACACTTATTCAAATGCAATCTTGGCTGGCCGCGCCGCCGGACAATTGTGCCGGCGACGACGTGTCGCTCCCGAATCGTGGCGACGCCGACGTCAGTCGCAGCGGCTGGAGGAGCCGAGGCTGTGGTTCTCTCCGTCTCTCGAGTTGAGTCCGAGGCTGGCGAGCGACAGACCGGCTCTCGCACATTAGCACCAATCTATTCCTGGCGCCCTCCTCGTTGCACACAATATTCGTGCAGCGAATCCTCGTGTATACACCGGAATCGATCCACCTCAGCGGCGCCGTCTAGCGCTCTCCGCACATCTCGCTTCTCCTGCTTCGGGTGCTCGGAAAGCAGCTCGCGCTCTCCTATTTTGCCTTCTCCAAGGTAACCAAGTCCTTGTTTAGAGAAAGCAAGGAAAACTCCAACGCGGAAGGAGTTACCGACATTGTTAACACAAATTGCATTGATTAACGCCCGGAGAGCGACAACAACAGCCGATGGATCGATAAAGGCGCCACGAATTATTCTAGTCAAAAATTGACAGAATAAAGGAATATCAGAGAGGGAAACAGAAATGGAACAATGGCCAGTTTCCTTTTGTTATCAAGGAACCATCGAAAAAGTCGAACAAAAGCGTCAAGGTTCGATTGTATATTATCGATCTGATATACCAATTGAAAAAGGCCTTTTCAAAGCAAACGTCAATCAAGAGAACAAAAACCCAGAAAGAGGAAGGAAGAAGTTAAAGAAGCTCAAGGCGAAATCGATATGAAATTGTCAGCCAAAATTTTTCAAAAAAATAAAATTTCTGTTTCTTGAAACGATGGATTTTGGAATCATTTGCAGCCATACTGAGAGAGATTGTCAGAATACGAGCGAAACAGTGAAAAGACAACTTTTTGAAAAATGGAAAAAAAAATAAAAGAAAAAAGCAAAACGTACCCTGATTTGACTTTTGAGCTGCTCAGCCTCCTGTCGCAGCTGATCTAGTTCGCTCATGGTGGACACAGCGGTGGCTGCGGAGGCTTCTAGATTACCATGCACAGGAAACCAACAACGTCAAACGAATCGTAGCGAGAAGAGGAGGAGGATGGGAGAAAAGTGGACGATAATTTACTCTCCAACAAGCGAAGCTTCTCTTCCGGGGGCCTCGTAGTTATATGGCGTGTCTGAGTGCTGCTCAAGCTGAGATGGCTGCAGGCCTCAGTGCTCTCGTCTCTTTTGCCTGCCGCTGCCGCTGTGTGTCCCACAGAGAGGATCGATCGCCGCGGCGCCAGCCGCGACGCAACAAAAGAGATGCAGAGGCGGCAAGAGAAACGAGTGTGCTGAGCACAGTGGTGGGAAGAGCTATGGCCTACAGGAGGTGGCAGACAGCGACACACGGCGTAAAGATAGATAGATAGACTGAGCGCGGCCGCGAGGTTCGGTGCTCCGACGGCCAACCGACGAACGCAGGAGGCATCATGCAGATACGAGAAAACGTGTGCGCCGCGTGTGCCGTTTGTGTCTCGAGGGCACAAAACAATGCGAAAACGGCCTCCGACCCAAGGAGCTTTAAGACAAATAGATCCTCTCGCATCCGAGTTCCAAGTCGCAGTTCTTTTCCACCCGGACAAAATAGCCGCCGACAAACGAGTTGAAACAGCCCAATCTATTCATGACAACTTTTCAGGTTATTCAAAACATAATCTAGACTTGCCCTTATACAAAAATGAACACGATCTTTACTTATGCTTTCGAAAAAATCAAAAATATTTTATAAAAAAAATGTTGGATTTTTTTCAAAGGCGCAAAGTTTTGAACGATTTGAAATAACATTGAAAACTCCTTTGAAAAACGCCATCAATGAATATTGAACAGAAAAATCTTAATTATATTAAAAATATATTCCTAAATGGGTTTTCGTCTTCATGGCTATTTTGTCCGGTTTTTTTTTCCTTCAAACAGTCTTTTTTTGTTCGAAGACTGAAAGAGGCTTTGAGATTGCGTTGAAAGTTATCACAAAAAAAGAAGAAAAAGAAGTGACGACTTGAAGTTCCTCAAAAAAACTTTAAACTCGTAATCTAAATTTTTAAAAAAGTAGTCATTTTTAACCTATTTGCGACTTTTTGATAAGCACCTCTAATCGATTCCACAATTTAAGATTTCATTCGAGATCACCAGCGCATAGTTTAGATTAGAATGGTAATCAGCTTGAAAATTATGACGAAATACTTGATTCTATAACTATTTGAAAAATCGAAACTATGACAGAATTTGTAGTTGAATGACTTTACCTAAATTTTTTTCGAATGTTTTCCAACACCTAGAAAAAAAAAGCATACATTTTTTGAAAGCATATCAACTAACTTTGAAAATATGAGATTAAAAAGAAAATCAAAAATATATCTCTTCTACTCTGACCTGTTAGCTAAAGGTTTCGATTGTGTAGATCATTTGGTTCTGAGAGCCAAATCGGAGCAAAAACAGCCTTCTCTTGAATTTAAAGAAGGAAAACTATGAAGATTTTCATTATCCTTCATAAACGCCTCATGTGCTTGAACGACTATTCAAGATCATCCCAAAAACTCTTTGTACTTCATTGAGGTTTTTGCCATTGAAAAGAGTTTTAAAAAAATCATACATTTCTCATTCTACGAACGGACGATAGGCTCCACTAAATCTCGTTACAGAGGACAAAAAACGAATTGTATTAAAGAAACAAATACAAAATTCGTAGCGCCGGCGATTGGTCGTCAATATTTTCCCACAGAAGGACACGCATTCTGTTAAAAAGAAATAAAGGTATGAATAATTCATAACTCTTCTGAATGGGCTTAACTGGTAGAACGGAAAATTTAGTTTTGATCCCACAGTAAGTCGATAAAATGATGCGATAGTAGAACATTTTTCGGAATTGATCTAGATTTGGACTGCAATTATCTTTTAGAAACCTACGAAACCGGCTACAAATATTCTTTCCTCCTATTATTCAATTCAATTTTCACTTAAAATTTTTTTCCTCGAAGTGCAACGCGCGGAAGTTTTACCTAAATAAATTAAGCAAAAAGTTATTGGAAAAATAATTACCGAGGCATTCCGATGAAAACAACTGTTCGTAAAGTAAAAGCTATTTAATGCCCTTTTATATCATTCAGATTCAAAACCTGCTGTCCAAATACGTCATTATTTTCCATGGTCAGTTGCCTTAAATGTTGAAATATCAATTTAGCTACTCAGATGTTGCTATTTCGAAACATTCATTGGTTAAAAAAACATTCTTTAAAAACAGTAGCTGAACAGCTGCCAATGAATGAGTTAGTGGCTTTTATCTGATCTTTCCGAGTTTTTCTTTTCGCACGAAAACAACCCTCCTCTTAAGAGTTTTCGAAGATTGGAAGAAGAAAGGTTTTTTTTTGTGATCCATGAATTTTCAAACTAGATCCGAAAGTTCCTAAAAATAAAATAGGTTCTTTTTTTTCTTCAGGTTAAAAAGAGACAAACTATACCGGTTCAATAACGCATTAAAAACTGCTTCAAATTATCATTCAACCTTTTTCAATATTCATAAGGTTTCACAATCCTGAGACACCTTGTTCTAATTAGATTTCGAAAAAAAGCCTCCACTATCAACGAGCAGATACAATAGGGAAGATGACCAAGTTTTAAAGATATCTCCTTTGAACACTAAAAATAAAGCTGATTGCTCATTAAAGAACGATTATAAAGCAAGACATACGATTTCCATCGACTTAAAAAGCAAACTAAAATTCAGAAAGCAAAAAATGTAAACTGTATGAAGAAAGCTTATAAGCAAAACATGTTAGTCTGAGAGTTCAAAAATAAATTTCAAACTACTCACAGGGAAGGTCATTTTTCTTTGCGGTTAAGAATTTTTCTGAAAATTGGCTAAAATACTCCTTGTTGTACCACATGAAGATTCTGAAAGTCTCAACCTGCACAACTTCATAGTTTTCGAGAAACAAGGGCCAGTCTCAATATATCCCTTCTTTTTATGAACTTTGAGTTTTCTTTGACTTCGAAGTGTCTTTTTTTCAAAAATACGGAAGTTGTGCAGGTTGAGAATTCCAAAAATTTTACCTGGTACATCTAGAAGCGTCCTGGCCAATTTTCAGGAAAATCCCAGCCGCAAAGTAAAATGACCTTCCTTGTCAGAGGAAATATATCTTATTGACACTGCTTTTTATTGAGTACTTAACTTTACATTGAACCTTGGCACAAAGTTTATGACAAAGCAAAAAGACTCCAGATTACGGTAGCCAGGGGCGGGAAAGATCACTAAAGAAGGAGAGACAAAGACGTGCAGGGTGACGGATAACAGAACGGGCGGATTTAATCATCAGTTTGAATAGGTAAGAACACAATGCTCAAGGTATTAACGGACTCTTGTGCTTAATTAGTTCAGCTCGAGGCAATTTGCTCTGCATAGGTAAGCTGTAGAGAAATGACGCTTAGGGGAGTGAAAAAGGTAAGAAATGAATCAGTGACGAATATTTGAGTTCGAAAAAAGCATACTGTTGCGAAAAAATATCAAAATATTCTTCATGATACTAGAAGAAGCGAATTAATTTTTTTCCAATTAAAATCTCAACTTCTTCCTCAAACATTGAGAAAAAAAACAGTGCATCGAAAGTTCAAAACTAGTCCTAGAAGTTGAATAATTCCGTATGTGTAACAATATACGTATAGGTAGAAGTTTGCTGAAAAAAGGAGAGACTGGAATATTTGAACGCAACCAGAGTTACGAATTCGAAGCTCAGGTTACAGCGGCACGTTTATCTCGACGATTAAAAGCTCTTTCTTTTTCTTTTTTTTTTAGATATTTCTGGCTAGGGTTAAAAAAAGGAGGAGAATTTTCGTTTTTATAGACAGTTTCCGCATAATAGAAAAAAGGAAAGAAAAAGACGTCATCAATGATCAAATAAGATCGTGATTAAATACGAAAATGTAAGCTTGATGGAAAGCTTAGAGTACCTATCCTTCAAACTTATAGATGCCGGAAAGAGTGAAATTTTGGAAGCAACGAGTCGTGTTATATCAGAGCCGCTACAGTGAAATGTCGGATGAAATTAACAAAGAAATGGAAAGAAGAATACAAATTCACAAGATACAATCTCTCGAACAAAGGAGCCATCGCCATGGAGACGGAAATCTCGAGTTATCCTAATTTTGAAAAGAGAAAATGAAAACAAGCCAATGAAGATAAGGTAGAAGCCGAGACAGAGCATCAAGACGGTCGTTTGAGAAAAGACTCGCCCACATGGAAACCGCGAAACGCAACACAATAAGGGGTTATCAAAGCCCTGATTAAAATACGTGATTGTCGAGTTACCTAGCAACCCAATGCGGAATTATTCAACTTGTTATTGCGCAAAAGAGACAAATTACCAGTTGTTCAAGAAGGAACTAATGGAGAAAAACTACTAGTCTTATTACGAAATATTGTATCAGAAATTTCCAATTTTCAGAGCAGAGGAAATTTTTGAAAAATAAAAAAATAGAAACAACTTATCATATAGTTTGAAATTTTTTTGAATAAAGCCCTGTTTCCGTCTGATTCCCCTTCAGTCGCGACGTTCAAAACTCTTTTTTTCAAAATTCCCGTAAAATAAAAAAAGTAAAAAATTTTGATTATGAAAAACGGCACCTTTTTTATATTTAGAAAGTTGTATACAAACGCATCATTCAAACTATGATCTTCAGTGCTGCAATCACTACACGGAAATCTAGAAATTTTTTTGCCAAAACTGAAGTTAAAAAAAAAGTAGCTCCTGCCTATAATGTGCATTGCGAAATAAGTCCACGAAGTACCTCAAAAACGTTTATAGCTGATTCACGGCTGCCTTGAGCCATCGAAAAAATGGTCCTGGCACGATAATGCACGAGACAGCGCCTGGCTCGTGGAGAGCGCAGACAGGACACGCCCCCTAGCGTACCAAGCTGGCCGTGAATCAGCTTTAGCAATCATACGGAACTTGCAATCCAAATCGTTACGCGTTGCAATTATTACTTTGAACCCGCAAATTAAAAAAAAATTGTTCAAAAATAAAACTTCTTCTGAATTAAATTTTTTTTGGAATGGACTTTTGGCGCCTTTTGCAAGTGTGCTCTACGGCCATTTGAACTTTGATTTTTGCATTTCATCCGTTTTCAATTTTTTTTCGCTTTTTTTACATTACATAATTATTATGCATAATTTCACTATGCCCATTTTTTTGTTCGAAGACCTTATATGCAGCACTGCAACATTGAAGTCTTAACCAGCTGACTAATCGACAATTAATTTGACGAATTTCTCTCTTTTTAATTTCAGAGTTGCAGTAATGGGGTTAAATTCGGCGAGCTCTTTTTCTGAAGATTTCAACACCACAACAGTTCATGAAGAGGCAGGTCTTTCTTATACGCTTTTCGGTTTCAAGTTAGCTTTTATATGAGAAAGGTCCCCTTGTAAAAGCTGATTCAATGTTAAAATAAAATGTAAGTTTGAACAAATATAATTGATTTTTTGTTATGAAAAAAGTTTTTATTTTCAGTTGAGGTACATTGTGGACAGAATCGTCGATAATCTGCAGTTCACCTCTATCGAATGGCGTGCTCAGAAAAAGTTGGCAATCATCTTGGGAGATTATATGGGATCAATGTGTGAAAAATTGAACCTCTTAGTCGGTAAGACTTTTTAAAAACTTTGCTATCGACGTTTAAGATGGAACGGACTTACGCGGAAGCCTTTTTGCGAACGTTAAAGGGCTGATAGAAAAGCAACGAGTGGATGTACCAGAACTGCAAGAGTACATGCGACAAGTTCGCCCTTTTCCTGCAAATTATGAGGTTTTTTTCCAGTGGATTTTTTTTTTAAAGTTTTTTCTACAGGTTGTTCTTCCATGCTGTAGTTTTCGAAATCCGAAGAAAGCTGGAAATAATCCTATCGTTGTACAACAGCGTAAGGAAGAAGTTGTCCCGCAGCTCATCCCAGACCGTAATAATCTGTGAGTGTTCTTTTCTGGACTGGTAGGAATTTTTTGAGACCATTCGAATTTTTTGATGAATCTATGCAGAAGTTTCAGCATTCCGAATTTCGAAGGCTTGGATGAAATAAAACTTGGTTTTCGGAAGGTCGTACCGCTTGAAGAGTTGGAGCTTCAAAACAAAAAAGTTGGTTTTCAACAATTTTTATTCAGCATTCTGGTTGAGATGGATGTGCAAAAAACCGCAAGTTCAAATTTATCGTATCCGGCGCTCAAAGAGGTTGTATAGTGTGTTATCTGCAAAGTTTCGTTTTTCAAGGATAGGGAGACAGTCAAAAGAGAGCCTTTCTTCGCGAAACCCAGTTTGCCGACGTTTCAAAAAGAAACTTCTGTGGCCACTCCAAAGAAGTTTGTGAGTTCTTCACAATTTCTTCAAACTCGTACTTTTCTTTCTTTTTCCTAAAAAAAAAGTAGATCATTTGAGTTATTACGTAATAATTTTTTATCGAAGCAGGGTAATCCCGATGAACTGAGCAGGTGTTCACAACGTTTTTTTAGAGCGAAAACCGTAAAAGAGAGGCTGCGACAGATTTTGGCGATGTGATGGCTCCTCAGAAAAAGATGTTCCGCCCTCATTGCACCCAGTCACAAGAGCCGCGGATGGAAGAATTCATCGGAGCTAGGAGAAAGGCCGAAATCAAAACTGTTCACAAAGTAGCTCACTTGGCATCAACTCCTCACAGAAAGGCTTCTTCCTCAAGCAAATCTGTAGAGAGTATGTCGTCTGCTAACTGCAAAAGTCTTCCGCTGAAGAAGGTTTGTTGAGTGAGATACTTCAATTCGTTTATTAAAAGGCTCGAGAAGATAAGAAATGGTTCGGAAGGGATAAGTTAGTTTTTTTTCAGCACATTTTAAAGACTCTGTTTTTGTCTTTTTTCAATTTTACAAATGTTTCTTCAATTGAGTTTTTAATCACACAATTAATCAAAATTTTAATCCTTCAACCGAGATTTTGCCTTCACTTCTCCTTGAGGTCCACATTTTCTATAAAGATTTTTTTTTCTTAAAATTTCGAGTTAAACAAAAGTTACAAAACCCGAATGGCGCGAGAACAAGTCTGCGCCTAAACGAGTCAAATTATGGTGTTTTGTAGAATCCTTGGTTCTATAAATCAGCTTCTCAGTACCAAAAGTAACACTGCTTTCTGAAGTTGAAACTTAATTTTATTTTTTTGTCAAAAAAATATCTTTCTGAGGTCAAAAAAAGACCATATAGGGTTTTTTTAAATTTAGTTTTGAAATTTTTTTATAATTTTATTGATTGAATATGACTTGAAATGAAGTGTGATTTTTTTTTACAGAAATTCGAATTTCGTTTCGAACCAGCAGCAAGAGCAAGTGAAGGCGCTCAAAATCTCGAAACAACAGCCAAAACGCCACTGGGAAAGATTCTTCTAAAAGTAAACAGAAACGAGAATGGTTCGGTTTTAATAATATTCAATCGATTCTTCAACCTTAAATTTTTTTTTGGTCTTCACGAAGTTCATTTTCAGGAGAAGTTGAAACAGTCGAAAAACTCCAGTCTACAACTTTCTATCAATCTTCTGTGACGGGAGAAGTTCAACGCTCCGTCGTCCGGTACTCCTATCCACTCTCAGTGGGTTTAACTTACATTAACTCATATTTTTATAATCTTACCGAAGTCAGTTCAAAACGATGTTTTTTCTCTTCTTAACTTTTCTTTTTTCAGCTGCCTAGGAAGTCTGTGAGAGCTCTATCAAATCGAAAGTCTATTCAGAAGGTATTTTTCATCGATTTCAGCTGAAATTCAAATTTATATTTCAGCCTGGACTCAAGTTGAAAATCAAGACTGGTTCAGGTATCATCAAACGCACGTTGTACTGATTTTCGTGCTAATATTATATTTAATATCGCCTGTTCATTCTCACGTCTAATATATATGTCTGTAAAATTACGAAGTGAAGTTTTTATAGAACTTTTACGTTTGTGTTGTTGGTTTATATTCCAATCAGCCGTCATCAACTGCTCGGCATTTGTATTTATCATCTAAGTTCACCATAGAAACTGAAAATTTTCTTGGAATTATTTTTTACCTTTTTCGTAAAAGGACAACTCATTATTCTGCAAAGCGTGTGTCTCTCTTTTTTCAGTTTTTTCTGGGAAAGTAGTAGCTCATCTGTCAAATTCTTTCGAACCCGGCACTTGGCAAATCACAGAGTTTTGAGGAGCGTAGTTAGAAGCCGAAGAATCAAAGGTGCCCAGTGCAAAACCCAAAAAAAAAAAGACTAAAATCTTGCCGTCGTTAAGAGGAGCATTTATTGCTTGGTCTTACTAGACTTAGGCTTTCATAAGGTTCTTTGATTTTTTTTTAAAGTTTATTGCCTGAAACCTTAAACTGCTTGTTCATGGAGTCAGTCGTTGTTTTCTCCTGATAAGCTATTCATTCTTCTATAGAAAACCTTCGAAGAATACTTTTCTCCTTTCCTACCTTCCGCGTTGACAAGACCCAAACAAAGGAGGAGGTAGTCTTGAAAATAACTTTTCTATTTTCTAGTGACGCGGCAGCAGAGATTTGAGATTGAAGCGCTAGTTTAGATTTGAAAAACACTTATTTTTCTTCGAGTTCATGCTCAACGCTTCTAATAACAGTTCTAAATTTAGAGAAGAACCCGGCGTCTTTATGGTTTTTATGGGTTAAGTAGAGCGTAAGTTGGAAATAAACACGCATCGCTATGACTATTAGATGGGGCAATGGTTTCATGTCGTCAGTAACGGCTCAAGAGGAAAGGCTTGATAAATGCCTTGTGGTGGAATAAGAGGAAGCAGCGGAAGTGTCGGAAAATGAGGAATGTTTCGACACGCCCCTTCGCCTCGTTTTTCTTTGGCAATCTTCGTTTTGAGGCGAAGACGTCTTGGCAAGTTCGATAGGGCGGCACATGGTGCCAAAACTTTGTTCCAAAATCTTGTTCCGTTCGCATTTTTTCTCCTCCTGTGTGTCGCTTTTTTTTCTTCAAATTTCCAGATTAACTTTCGGTTGATTGTTTGGCAGTTCGAAGATTCTGGTTTTTAATACTATTACAGTACGAAATTAAGATATATCCAATAGTACTAACAAAGAAGATGATTGTACTAAAAACAGTTTTTTTCTTTAACATATTTGAGGACACTTCTATGTACTCAATTTAATATCCTTTTAAACTCGAACTGCGAAGGATCCAATTTTTCTGAAGTTAAAGCTTTTCTTTCAAATAGAATAGTGACTCGAAAGCGTCCGTTTAAACGTTTTTCTCGAAAAAAAAAAAATTGGTCCCTAATGTTTTGTTTTTTTGTGTCCATGTTGTTTTCATTTATCAGGTGTAGCTCCAAGTTTTTGATCAGGCTATTTTTTTTTTCCAAATGTTTGACTTTGAAACTTTCGAGACCTTTCTATGAAACCTTTTTCGACAGAGAAAACTTTCATGCTCTGCTCAGTTTTCTGTGGAGACTTAGGAAGATACATTCGCTTTTTATGCTTCTAACGAGCTTAAGCGCGAGCTTCTTTTTTGATAATGAGGCGCTGTTTCCGTCTGGACAACGAGGCTACTTTGGTGCCACGTCTCAGTCGCCTTTTTAAAAATCGTCATTGTTTTTGCTCGCTTCATGTAAAATCGTTGACTGACTCTTTGCCTTTTTTGCGTGTCCCCAAAGACTTTCGGAACATCGAACGCCGCCTCGAATTATAGCACACGTCATTGCGCGCCTCCACTTTCTCGTGCCGCTTGTATCTTGTCTTGTAGAGTACATTTTTCTTATTTTCCTGACGCTGAAATTTCCATTATATATAAATATCGGCGTTAGAGCAGTCGCAGTTCTTTACCCTTGGCGTGACACGTTTTTCATGCAAAGATTTCCTCCTGGTTGTGTAAGAAGATGACTTACAAACTCGCTCACGGGCTCAGATTTTCTTTCCCACTCAAAATGAAGGGAAAAGGAATAAAATTCAAGTTCGATAGAATTTTAAAATCATTTCCTCGAGCGCGACGAGTCGTCACTGGCGACCTCATATTTTAAAATCATGCAAACGAGCATTTGCAGAATTGTCCTATGGAAATTCTCTTTCATTTTTTTGATATATTAATCAGCTTTGTTTTATACTCCAGCTCTGCCCTCGAAGATTTTTTCGAACTTCGTTTTTCTGTGACTCGTATTCAACTTCTACAGGCAGAGCAGTTTGAAGTAGACTCGATCTAATGTATTTTATTTTTCTTCGGTAATTGACGTGCTTTCCCGTTTGTCTTTTCTTTCGTCGTCTAAAAGCATTACTATTTTTTTTTTCAAAACTGCAAACATTTCACCATAGTAGAAAAAAAACTTTATAGGGCTGGATACTCGAAATTCAGCTGACTCCGCTCATCTTTCTCTTTTCTTTTCTGCCTTCTTGCTACTTGATATTCCGAGGACGCTGGCCTCGTTGATTGTCCGGTTTGTCGTTTTGTCCTCGAATTCGTTTCTCTCCTTTTTGCCATTTAACAAATTCTCTTCTGCAGTTGGACAATATTTCACGTGGCTTTCATTGCCAGTTTGGGTGCTCCGTTCTTCGAAAGGGGAACGCCCACGGCTACCTCGTTTTCACAGATTCACAACAGAACTTTCTTAAGTTCTCATGCTTCTTTAGCTGTGGGAGGTTCCCAGAAATACCTGATTTGTTGACCAAATGTCGAAGCTCAACGGCTTTATGCAAATAAGACCAATTTTTTGTAACTTGGTTGGCGCTATACTCAATTTGAATGCAAAATGCACTCCGTCTATGTCGTCAAATAACTTTGTCTTTTTTCTCGAGTTTATATTTTGTTTTAGAGCTTGCCCTGCCTTTGACCTGAAATGTAGTTCTAAAGAAAGAAAAATCGGCAGCGAAGGGGCTGAAATGCGCCACAACCTATCCGTCCTATGGATCGTTTCGGTTGCCTTGGAAAAGTTTGCTTTTTCTCATGTTGTTCGAATTTCGAAATAACTTTCAGGATGACTTGGGGTTTCACGCAGAAGTCGATCTCGAGAATGGGTGAGAATCTGCGTTTTTCGTCTTTTCGTTTCGTATTGAATAATACATTTGCATGCTTTGAAGCTTCCTTGTAGGTCCTTGTTCGTTTCCGCTTCCCTTCACGAGACACTTCGAACTCTTCTGCCAGACAGACTACCACAAGGTGAGGGCTTTCGATAGATTTCGAATTCTCTGTAAATAACATTTCATTGGCCTGAGTATCAGCAATTTTCCGGTTTGCTTTACTCGAAACGAAAGCTGATAAACAACTAACGAGACTACAAATTTTTTTTTTCATTTGTAGTTTGGTTGTTTTCCTCGATTTTTTTTGCCACAATAGGTTGGAATGAATCCCTTATAAAAGTGTTTTTTTAGAAAAAATATTTTTATCATATTGCTGGGAATATTATTTCAAAGTAGTCAACCCATGTTTGAATTAAAAAAACTTTTTTTCAACAGAATAAAAAAATAGCGAGGAAAAGGATGTTCAATGAAGATTTTGAAAGTCGTCAGAAATTTACTCTTCGAAAAATATAATAGGGCTTTTCAAAAAGCACATTCGACCTACGGAGGCGTCAAACTTTTGCGCCATTTCTCACAGACAGAAAAAAGTATTAATGATTATTTTCAAATGGAAGTTTAGTGTTTTAACGAGAAATAATCTCGCAGACGCATGTTTTTCGTTTCGAAAATCCCTAGCAAAGTTTCTGAAAAAGTGTAGAATAATACCAAAACTTCCTTCCCTTTGCCGTTAACTTCTTGTTCAAACCAAATGTTGCACAATATAACTATTTCTTACTAAAATTAAGTTACGATACTAATTCATATCTTGAAAAAAATCTTTTCAAAAGAAAATTTTTTGAGAGAAAGTTGTTAGAAAAGACTGGCAATCAATTTCTCATAGCCTCCTACAAAGCTGAAGTTGTAGACGCCGTACGTATGTGACCCAGGGGGAATTCTCTCTCGAACTGAAGTCGAACTCGTTCACAAAACGGTCTCCTCGCTGAACATGACGTCGTGCTTCTGCGACGGATGCTCTCCGGCGGCCATGCGCATCTCCATTCTGCTCGTGCCTGCCGCCAGCATGAACTCGTCCGTTCTGGGCTTCTAATCGCTTTGAGCAAAAAAAGAACGATTCAGAATCAATGAATGCGATCCAACTTACGTCGGACGTTCCATCTCTACTTCTGCAATCCTTTATGCACAATTTGTCGCTTCCAGGTGGAAAGGTTTGATGTTGTTGAGTGGCGTCAGCGAAGGATGCATTTAAAAAGAATTCGATGACGCATTTTTTCTGGAAGAGTTCGCAAAAACTATTTCTTACTTCAGCGGCTATGACTTAAAACTAACAAGCTTCGCTTCCCTATAAATAAATACAGCATGTAAAAATTAAAAGCCTCGGAAAGTTCATGTCGTGATGAACGGGGTATAGAAGGGAATGAAACAATTTGAGATTTTCTATTTTCGCTTATTTCTATCTATTTATGCCAAAAATTCATCAATCCATTAAATCATATGGAAAGAGACGGATTTTGAAAATTATCTATAAAATTATAATGTAGAAAAAGTAGATGGCCGACTTTATCTTTTTGAAACAAACGTTAATAAGTCAAAAATCTGAAAAGCATTAACAAAGCATCCCAAATATTGATACAATTTGCAGCCTCCTGCGAGCCGGACATTCTTTTGGTGTACATCCAGAGTTGGAGGAACGGAGATCAACGTTATCGAGGTCCGATGCTCGTTCCGATCTTCGGCAGACGTCTGATCCATCTGCGGAGATTCTCGACGCCCGTTACGCTCTCCTCTCGAGATGTCGTCATCGTCTCTCTTCAGAATGCCCTCCACCACGCCGGCCGCCTCATCAGTGCCGACTCAACGCCCGTTGGTCATCTCCGCTGTGATGGTTTTTGAAGAAGAAGTTTCAGTCTCGAGCTGCGATCCCGTCGTGGGCGTTGACGCTTTCGCTGGCGCTGATCGTCGTCGTCGTTTGTGCCGTCCACTTCGCCAACTGCATCACTACGCGGATCGGCCAGCGGACAGACGTTCGTTATCATTTTTGATTTTTTTGCTCGCCGAAGAGAAGAAAAGAAGTCTTTACAATGTGGAAAGATAAATCGAAAAAAGTTTAAATTTCATTATTCGATTATTTTTTTATACAAAATATCGTTTTTTAATCTTTTCGAGCTTTCGGCTTCGATCAAATGGTTTCTATCATCGCAATAAATAATGAACAAAAAATTAAAAGTGAAGAAAACTTGCTGGTTCTGAGTTTCACGTCTCAAGTTTTTTGTCGTCCATGTCTTTTCAAATCCTGCTGGAAAAAAGCTAAGAAAAGGTTAACGAAGATCTCTACCATTGTTTTTTTTCGTTACATTCTGTTCTTCTCGCTGAAATAGGAACGCTTTCAGTAAATCATTATGTTTTCATCATAGATACAATTTTGCGCATGCCATATTATTAAAAAAATTTTTGAGCTTAAAAAAATAGTCAATGAGATCACTTCTGAAAAATAGGCTCACTTTGATCATAAAGATGTAGGTGACGTTTTTTTTTCTAAAATAGCGTTGAATAATGTACAAGCGTTTTTTCAACGGTTGCATGTGGAGCCTGAAGCTTCTTCCAAACTTCTGCAAAAATTATTTGAAAAAAAAAACTTATCGCTGGAGCGAATCGACTTTGATTCTGAAAAAGAGTATTTCAGAAACAGAAAACAGCCATTTTGAAGAAGGACAAATTTCGCGCGGGTTTCGGCGGAGGCATGATGATGAACTCTCAGCAACAGCAAAAGAAATCGGTCATGTTGTTCCGCACCTTCTCCAAGCCTCAGAAACAGTCAATGGCAAATCGACTTTGATTCTAATTTTTTCTTTTTTCTTGATTTTTATAAAAATTCAATCCTTTCGATCCGGCAGAAACTGGGTATAACTTGAAAATGTGTTGTTGTTGAATTATGAAGTGTTGCTTTAGTCCAATTGGTTCATTTTCTTTTGTGCTTTCACTTGTTTTTTATTCTCACCAATTCCGAGTATCTTGCGTTTTTCTATGGGTGGCTTCTTGCGCTTGTTTTTCTCATATAAAACTTAATTTTTTTGTTTGAAATTTTTTTAGCAAAGGAAAGTTTAAGAAGCTCAATATTTGGTTAAAGAAAATTTGATGAAATCAAAAAAATTTCTAAGTTTTTTTAGAAATAAAACAACAGGAAATGCCTAGATTCAAGCGAAATCGGTTTGAACTGGTTCAACACTACAGAGAAGGTAAGTTTTTTTATTTAATTTTTCAAAGAGGTATGTTAACTCAAGCCTGAATAATTTTAAATTATTTATATATATATATAGATAGTACGTTCCGCGGGAGACGGTATATGTAGCTAATGTGTAGTTTCTGTGAAATACCCAAAAAATCTTGCAAATAAAAACCTGCAGGCTGTTTTGAATGAACTATCTTAAATTCAATAATGAAGATGATTTGCTAGTAGTCTCTCTGATTGATTGGACTCAATGGAAATTTTGAGAGGTTCTGAATTATTAACGTTATACTATCTATTCGGAGCGTTCGACCGAGTGCGCAGTGTCCATTAGACAGGGACACCTGTGGCTGGAAGACGGCCGGCAGATGTTTGTCCGGCGGCAGTGACCTCACTGACCTCGACGCAGTCAACAGAGCCGGTCTTGAGCATGGCAACGCGCCAGGCGGCTGTTTACCGCGGCAGCTTGTTGTCGACTTGTCCCTCTCCGGTTGTTTACCACTGCCCTCCAGTGCATATCATTACTGGAACCTCCCCCGAGACCGCTGCCCTTTCAGCTTTTCCTTCTTTACGCCCTATTTGGTTCCTAGGCTTTCAGCCTTGATTGCTCTTTCTGCTTTTAGGATCTCTTTGTTCATGACCACCCAAGAAGTTGTCGAACATCGACAATATTGCACTGAACTTTAGTTGTTTGATGACTGATCAGTATTTCATGAACTAAATTTTTGAATTACCGCTCTAAATGCTCTCAACACACTTGGGCAATTTTTTACCAGTAAAGATATTTCATATCGCATCCTGGAAAATTTTAAAATATTTTTCAAAGACGTCCTGATTCTGCATAAAAATCTTGCGAAACTTTCAGTACCTTCATCTTGTGCTCTAAAAAAAGTTTCAGCGACTGTTTTGAAAGTTTTCAGTGCAAAATGAAGCTTTTCCTTCATTTGGTTTGAAAAAAAAACCGATTTTATTTTTTTATTCGTTTGACTTTTTCCTCTGCTGACGCTAACAGCACGCGTCCAAACAAAATATAGCTTTTTTTGAAATTAGTAAAATGAAATGATTTGAAATTTTTGTGGAAAATAGCTCGTTCCCAACGTTTTTCAGTCACTCCGCTGCCAATGACGCAAAATTGCCCAAAAAATCGCTGTCTCTCCTTAATTAACGGAACAAAAGAGCTGTCGGCACGTGCGCGAGTTCAAGGACGACGGCGGTCAGTAGTTCTCGCAGATTCTTGCTTTCTCCTTTCTTTCGGTCTCCGCGTCGACTTTCGCTTGTCGTGATCTCGCTTTCCAGAAAATCCTTCTCTCTTTTTTCTTGCTATCCCTTTTTCCAAGTTGCGTAATTTGACCTCTGGCTTTTTTTTTTCCAATGAGTTCTTTGATTATTCAACGGCTAATGTGAGAGAGAATTGTTAGATAGTTTGAGTTTTTTTTTGTTAGATAGTTTGAGTTTTTCTGTTAACGTGTTCCAACACTATTTGAAAAAATTTCGAAACTAAAGATTTTTTTTAGAAACTTCGTTTAAGCTTCTAGTGTTTTAGAGCGGATTAGAAAGTTTTTAAACTTACCAAAAGTATGAGATATTTTTTTTAGCGAGTTGTTGGTTTTTTTTTTCTTATAAGTCAGTAAAATTTTTAAAAAAGTTGACTGGCTATCTACAGACCGGTCAGAGCGCTTTCTACATGCCGACTCCGTCTCATACTCAAAAAATTTGTTTACCCGCCAATTTTTGAGTATTTCGTACCGTCCAGTGACATCATATGCGTTCTGGCGTGCAGACTGTTTGGTTTGGAGCCAGCTGCGCCGCTGTCCGCAGCTATTTTTGGACCGTCTCGCTTGTTTTCTCCGCCGCCGGCTCCTCGGTTCGCTGCGACTTTTTCTATCCATCACAAAACGGCTTCCGTCCCATTGAAGTTGGTTCCTATCCGATTCCGCCTCATTCCTCGTGTTAACGTTACCTTTTTCTTTATAAGATATCCTCTTAGATTGTCTCAGATTTCGACTTTCAGACACTAGCATTTTTTCTATAACCAAAAAGGCGATTCCACTCGAAACTTTACACTCCTCCGAAAAAAAGGTTTTGAATTGTGAAACCTGTAAAATCTATCATTTTCCAAGAGCGCAAGATACGAGACTTTGGTTTCTGGTGAAGAAATGATAATAATTTGAAAATACCGATTCCAAAAAAAAAAGAGTCTGCTCGTTACAGCTTTATCTTTGTATCTTTGTCTTCAGAGATTTTTTTCAGCTCATTTAGGGACAATTTCGAAGTTTTCTGCCCTTTACTGTGTTTCTGTAGAATTCTTTTTTGCAATAGAAATTGTTTTGAGAGTGTGGTGTGATGTTTTGATTCTGCACAACTTGAAAGTTATTTTCCCAGTGGTTATCTTAATTTCTTAGTGAGATGAGTGCCAGACATAGCATCTAATAGTTGGGGAGAAAGTCCGGGAATCCACCTGTGGGAGGACAATTAACGACGCCTTCTTCGCCACCCGGAATTCGTCTTCGCTTTCTTTTCTTCTTCTTTGGGCAGAAAGAGAATGGAAGAAAGCGAACGCTCCTCCGCGGCGTACAATCAAGAAGTCACCTTGCGGAGGAAGAGAAGACGTGGCTAACCTCTCCCCTCTTGGAAACCTGTTTTCGCTTTCCTCGATATCCGTTTCTTGAAAGGACCTTTGTGTTTGATCAAGGGAGGTTCTCGTAGAAGTTGGCTATTGTATTTTCGAAGATTTACCGGACGAGGAAGCTAGAAAAGTTCAGCTTTGGTGACTTACTTCTCGGATAACACCTTTTTTGAGATTGAAGGCCGATGGAAGTTGTTTTCTGTAGTGCGTTTTACAGAATGAGAAAAATGAATAAATTTTAAATAGAAGCCATAAAGTTTACTTTTAATGACGAAAGGAGTGGGCAAGGACTTGAGTTAAACTGAAAAAAGTCTTTGCGGAAAAGCGCGTGGAGAGCGAAAACCGTGTAGCAAAAGTGGGAAACTTCGAAACTGATCGATACGAAACGTATTTTTTCCAAGACGGCTATACCTTTTTTTTTTTACAAAAAACCAAGCCTATCCAACACACTGAATGATTTTTCGACCTTCTGCCTAAAGATGCTCCAAATGACGCTTGGGCGCTGCCGTCCAGTCGACGAAAAGCCCAAGTGACGCAAAACTGGTTTTCGTCCGGACTCTCCCTTTTTCGGTCGGAGAGCGGCTGCGCTCAACGTCGAAATGGAAATCGCCACCAGCAAGGGAAACAGGTCCAAACTGGGTCAGCGAGGGCGATTTTGCCCAATACCATTTTGCACTCTTTTCTCTCACTCTCTTACCTATTTTTTATACGTTCAGCTTTATCCGTTCTGCTCCCTTTGTCTTTTTGGCCAGTTTTTGATCAGTCCGAAAGGCTCGTGTTCCGATTTTTCATTTCACTGCATTTCGGTCAATTTCGTTTGCTCGAGCTGTTTTTCTATTCGAGCTTCTCCTTTGGCTCCTTTTTTGGTGTATGACCTTTTTTTTATGCTACCGCGTTTGGCTTAATCTTTTTTTATAACTTTTTTTTTTTGAATAATCTCTTGTCTTTTTCTCTGTTTTTCCTTGATTTAGCTCTTCTCATCTACTTTCCGAATTTCATAAAGGAAGTTGAGATTTTAGTATTAACTCAAAATCAGGTTTTCTAGGAAATCTTGAGCTGATTTCAGTACTACCATTTTTACTTATATCTGGTCGGTCACTTTCTTGGATCTATTATCCTAATCTTTTTTCGACAAAACAGGTCTTTCAAAACTTTTAAACAAATTTGAATGCTTCCAAAAATACATGTCAAATCTTTATTCTGCTCAAAAATCTTTGCTGAGGTGTAGAAAATAGGATAGACCAACTTCATGAAAGTTTTGAAATGGAGATCGTTTTGAACGTCTTTTTTCCATCCCACAACAGTCGTGCTATTATGAACATCTAGATAGTTTTGTAACAGATCATTTTCTTTCAAAAAAAGGCAAATAAAGAAGAAGCGATCTTTTTTTCTGTTATTCTGATTTTCCGTCTTTTATCAGCTTGCCCTATCGTATCCAATGACCTACCGTAGTGACCTTCTTTACTCAGCTTCGCGGCGCGAGGAATGGACGTCGACTCGGCTTCTTCGTCGCCGTCGTCGCGGCTCTCCGTCGTTTGCAGTGCTTCCGCCGAGTATTCCTCCAATTCCTCCGAAGGATCTTCGCCCAACTCCCGCAGGTTTGTAAAATTGGCTGTTTCAATAAGCGTCTCGGTTTTACTCAACACACAAAACTGATTGAGACGCAGAAAGTAGAAACTGTAAATCAAAATTCGTACATCTTCTGATAACTGTATCGATCATTTCTCAAAGTTTGTATGAATATTGAAAATGTCTATTTATAGAAATTCGATGAATGAGACGGCGATGAAAGACGACCATTACTGGGAACGGCGACGGAAGAACAACGACGCCTCGAAAAGAAGTCGCGAAAAGCGGAGGCTCAATGACTTGGTCTGTCGCTGTGGGAGAAGCCGACCAACGGAGTTTCAGGCGATGGAGGAACGGATCCAAGCGCTTTCTGCGGAAAACGAACGGCTCAAGTCGCAGCTGGTCACTCGCGACACGGTCCTGGTGACGCAGCCGCCGGCGCCTCTCCGCGAATTCGCGTCGCTGCCTTCGCAGAGCAGCACTGTCCTGCTCGCTGGGCCTTCCAAGGTTAATTCGAGCGATGTCAAAAACTTACTATCTATTTCACTCTTGAATACCAAGCCAGAGCTTTTTTTCACCGCTTTGACACTAATTTGAAGTTTCAAAAACTGTCTTGAACGCAGAAATCGTAGCAAGTTCTAGAAAATTATGAAGTTCAGATTCAAATGGCTTCACTTGCCCTAGGGAGTTGCAGTTGAGTCCTTTTAGTTTAAGTCTGAACCAAAAAAAAATTTGGTTTTTCATAACCTGAGAAAGCCACGCATATCTTGAGACTTATGGAAAAAAAGTTTCATATACAAGTAGAGGCTCAAAAAAAGAAATCAAGTTTTTGCAACTACTTCATGTTTTAAACTTTGTTTTAACAATTTGATTCAAAGTCATTTTCAAAAATTTTCTCGGAAAAAAACCAAAAAAAAAGCGAAGGTTTCTGAAGTATGAAGCCGGTTTTTGAGCTTTTTCCCTAGACATTTTCCAATGGTCCTTTGCAAGTTAGTTGATTGTTGTAAACACTGAACGCGTCGAATCGGTTTCTCTTCCTTTTTTTGCCATCATCTCGAGGAATCGCAAATCGCCGTGTTTCTCCGCGAACGCCATAGGCGAATCTCGAGAAAGCGACTTTTCTTGTCGCTTTATGCGTTGCGTCTTCCTTCGGGAAAGCGAAAGTTCCACTCTCGGCTAGTAGAGATCGAAAAAGAAAAAAGAAAACTGGCTTTGCGTGTTAGCCTCGCATAATATGAACCGTTGCATCAAAAGGCGAGATCCGATTTTTGCGAAATATTTGTGAAGGATGCAAAAACAATTAGAGAGCTGATTTCAGGACGTCAGCCTTATTTTTTTTGTCAGAAGTATCCAAATAAAATTCAAAAGTTGCACATATTGTGTCTTTTGTGATGTTCCTTGCTATCAAAGGTTTCTTACCAAATTTCCTATTTAAGGAAAATGTTTTAATGCCCATGGCTATATGAAAGCCATTGATTTGCGATAATATCGCTTTTTGAATCGAATTAATCGATAAAACAGTTGTGCTATTTTTTCTTGAACTTCTGAGATACAGGATTCAAGTAATCAAGTTTTTTTTTTTCTGATCATGAGAAAAATGTTTTTTGTAGGTTCTAGAGAGAAAGGTCATTTTACTTTTTCATTTCAAATCGTCAGACTTTTTGAAAACCTTTGAAGTGCAAGAGAAAGGAATAGTTTAAAAGTTTTTCAAGTATGAAAAAAGGTGCTTCGAGATCAGATGAAAACTATTTCCAAACGGTGGAATTTGGTTATGTGGCTTCGAGAATTTTCGAAAAACTACTTATTTCCTTGCTTTCTGTTAACGAGAAGGGCGATGATCGTTGAAACTTCTTAGGACAAAACTGAATTGAATTCTTTCGAAAATAGTTGTTCTGAACCTAAATATTTCAGGCAATGTTCCCAGCTTCGGCGATGTCTACGATGCCAAGCCTGACCGGCTCAGGACTGCTCCCACTCCTTCCTTCCAACTCCCAGTTGCCGATGCTCCAGCTCTGCCAGTTCCAAGCCGCCATGCAACAACAGGTTCTTACTATCCCACTTTTCGCTTGTAAGCTTCGGTAATAACGCGTCGCTTGTCACCGCCACAGCAGGTGCTGGACATGGTGCAGTCCTCACTGACCTGATTCTCGTAGGGAAACCGTTTCGAAGAGCTGCAGCAGCTGTTCCGAACACATCTGTCTCGACGCGGATTGAAATCCAGGCAAAATCCAAAACGGTTTCAGTTGATGCCGGCGACCCCAACGACGGCCTCTCCGCCTTGCGTTTTCTCTTCGACGTCCGCTTTCCAGCCGTTCCGCGGAAAAGAGCAGGCCCCCACCGCCGCCGCCACCAGCGTCATCATGAAGGCCGAGCGAAGCAGTCCTGACTCCTCCAGTGACGTCATCGACCCAAATGGTTGGTTTCCAAGCTATCCCTGACCAATAAAGTTCTGATCATGAAGACTTTTAGTTTCCGTAAGAACTCTTTAAGACCAGGTATTCTCATTCACAAAATATTATTGATTTATTGCGCATTAAAAAGGATTTGCTCGTCCATTCCGCTGATGATTCCAAGCTGCAAGAAATCTCCGAAAACTTTGCCTCCGCTAAAAAAACTTCATTCGTTACAAAACGTTCTTTCTGTGTAAGCGTTTTTTTCCGAAACAATATTGCTTTGTTCGCGCATAAATATATTTACCGATCTGTGAAAAAAATGATCGAGGCTGGAAAAATTTCTTGTGGTGAGTGCACAGTTGATATTTCATAAATTTTGGAAAAAGAATGGATTTCATCATTTTTTGATCTTTTCAACGAGGTTTTTCGTAAAAAATTTTTACAAGGGCTTTTTGTAAAGAAAACGAGAAATTCAAAATTTTCAATTTTCTAACTTTCCATCCGGCGTGGTTGTGTACTTATTCCCTGAAAGGGCTGCAAAAATTTGAGAATTTCGTTCACTACAAAAGGAGTGATTTGAGAAAAGTCCGCTATAGTAATTACCGACTAACCAACCAAGCTTCGGCGTTTTTAAAATCAGTCTGACAAAGCCATGATCGAAGTATTTTCATAAATTTGCTATGTAAATTTCTAACAAATTTTTCAAAATGAAAACTGGAAAAAAGGGTTTTGAAGAAGTAAAACATGAAGCTTTTTTCGTATAAAGTAAGTAAAACATTATTAATCGAAAACATGAAATTTTGAAACCTCCTTTTCGCCCTAACTTCAATGGTTTTCAGTTCAATTGGCCCAACGTCTGCCACAGCCGCCGCAGCCGTCTTCTTCGAACTCGTTGCTCTCGGCGCTGCTCGCCACTCGCCGACCTTCTCCAGCTGTCCCTCAAAGTCGCACCGAGCACATTTCCGGCCTCAACTCTCCTCCCAGGGTTTGTCAGTCCCGATCGGAGCTCCACCATCTCGATGTCAGTGTCAGAACTCGTGCTCCAAGTCCGACTGCGAGTCGATCTCTTCGTCGGCCTCCTTGTCACCGTCCCATTCTTCCGAAGATCACGCCGATCAGCTCAACGGCAGTTTTGCCGACAAATCGGTCCGTTTTCGAAGTAAATCAGTAAAAACACAAGAAGAGAAAAAAAAAATCATCTATAAAGGAAAATTGAGTTCTCTCTCTTTACTCTATTGGATAGGTGTTTGAAAGCGCAAAATGGGGCCCATATTAATCATTTCGTCATACGACACTGTGAAGAAATTGTTTCGATAGGGAATATATTCTATAGGGAAAAGAGCCAAATCTTCAAAAAGTAGCTTAACGCTGTTTTTTTTTTCTAATATTTCCTTTGTGACACTATGCTGCTCAATATCCAATTCCAGAAAATTTAACGAAAAAGAAAAAAGTTTTAGCCGCAGTACATCGACAGAAGAAGAAGGAACAACGAGGCTGCCAAAAGATGCAGAGCAAATCGTCGGGCCGTTTTCGAGTACCGAAGTCGACGTGTTCAGGTTGGTTTGTCGATCCGAGTTGAATTTTCAGTTATCACGTAAGCCCGAAATAAAAATGGATAAAGCCAAAGTTGCTGCACTCACAATCATGTTTCTTTTTTACACCAGTTTTTTTTTCACTCTTTGCTAAACTTTGCGTGTCGGGTCCCCGGGGCATCGCGTGGCGCCCCGTTGGCAGCTCTGAATCAAACTATTATCAAAGTGGGTTCATCAATTTAGAAGTTTGAAGGCAAAGATCAGTGAATCTTAGCTTCTTTTCCATATCTTTTTTCAAAAAAAAAAACTATTTTGTGTACTCAATCAGTCCTGCCAGCCTCAAGTCCCGCAAGTTCATAATTATCGAATGAAAGACTTCAAATTTCAACCTATTGCACTCGAAGTTTGTAGCTCACAAAAAATAGTAATTTTGAGGATGTTGTAGTACATCGAAAGGATTGGCTAGTCTGATTTTAGAAGCATTTTATGTTCAGGATAGAGCGCCAAAACCAAAGATCACATATTTTCTGTGTAGTTTCGCTAGTGGCTTCATTCTTTGACCGATTCCCGCGATCGAGAACCTGTACGCGCAATTTTACACATCGAAAAGTCATCGAAATGGAAATTTTTGAGTGAAGAGGACTCTGTTGTTTTTTGTTAATTTCGTTCCTTGCGAACTCGTTTACAACTGAGGGCCAATGAAGAAAAAAAAAGTGGTCGTCGTCGGAAAATTGTGTTGGTTTTCAGCTGCTGGAGGGCGAAAACGACGAGCTTCGACGGCAGATCGAGTCGCTGAAGCAAGAAGTCGCGCAGTTCAAGGCAATCTTGGCCCAACGTGCTGCCTCTCACCCGTAACGGGTATTCTCCACAAAAGACACTTTTTCTCATTAATTACGTCCTTGTTGCAGCCTACTCTTATGCACCTTCAAAGCATTGAGAATGTATTTTTCTTCAACCTTTTTTCAATCATTTTCTAGGTTTTTCTTATTAGCTTTTGGTATTCAATACTAACACTGCCCTTCCTAATAAATTATGCTGCTCTCCAAAACAAATTAAGTCCTGTATGCATGTTACGCTAGAAATTCTGCAATACCTTGCCAGCTCACCCCAGTGCGAGTGAGAGGTCCTCGTAGGTGTCAACTTTCTTTTCAAAACCACTCTTTTCGAGAAGACTTTCTTTCTTTCTTTCAATGATCCGTGCAATAATATCCTTTCGTTTAGTCTGTAACTATACCGATGTCCGCTAGTTGTTTTATGATGCATTTATTCTTCTTCTTTTCAATGGAGTCAAGGAGTTAATTGTTCTTCACTGCTTTACGCCATTCGACCGGATTCCTTTCTGCCGGTTTGGACCATCATCTTTCCCTTGCAATATCTTGCAATATCTTCATCGTCTTTCACTTGTATTTCCTTTCGTCTTTTTTTATTTGATAATGAATTTTTATTCATAAGGAGAAATGGTATCAAAATTTAAAAAAAAAGACAAGGACGTTCAAGCAGAAGGTGTCCAATCTCTTTTAAGACTGGGTTTTTCTTTTGAAACATGAAACTTTATCAATTGTCAAAGGGATCTAGAGGATCGTCTATTTTGAAAAATAGGGTTCAAAAATTGAGAGATATCATAGAAAAACGATATATTATTTTCATCAATATTATGTGGATTATAAACTTTGAATATGACTTTAAATGCTCATTATTGAGCTCTAGAACCATTATGTTGATGATTATGATCACTATTAGTAAGGCATGCTCCATTGCATGCTCCTCAGCAAGCGATTTTTCTCAAAATGATAGAAACTTTTTTCATTCCTTTTTTTTCAATCTAAGTTTCCTGAAACCAAACATCCTAAATCTCTCTAGAGCACTTCTACTAGACAAAACTGTCTGGAATGTTCCAGACTCGGCAAAAGTTCACATACAACTTGATGACAGGCCGAATATGCCCTACATTGAGAGGCGTGCACATCGATGGCCGAAGACACGAGTCTTATGAAAAGAAACGCATTGGCGCGAAAAAGCGGATTTGGCGGTCCAAAGTGAGACCATCTGAGTAATGCTGCCTCCCATTTTTTTTTTCTATCCTGCCGGACACCCGCCGCGGACATCGCAAGTGAAACTGACGCCGGCGGCACGCGAACGTCTTCTCAACACCTTATTTGCCAAGTTTCCCACCAGCAGAAGCCTCTTTCCGTCTCTTTATGACTCGCTTCCTTTTTGACAGGCGTGGTGGCGTCTTTTTGTCAGTAGAAGTCTGTAAAGCGATCTTCTTTCGACCTCATACTTGCTTTTCGGCTTTTTCATCTGCTTTCGATTGTTTTCAAGCATTTTTTTTTACCAATCGCTTTTCAAAATGTGTGCTTCAAAGCTCCTAATGACAAATCTTGTGATTTTTGAGAATTCTTTGCTGGGTTGTTTGGACAAAGAAAAATATTTGTTAATTATTAAGGAACCTTTAATTCATTTTTAGGTCATGCAAGAACTCTGTGCTCATGAAAGAATTTTTTTAAATATGGTTAGAAAATCTCTTGTATCTGATGTTCTACGAGCGAAATTCACAACTTCTCTGCCTAAGCCACAGCTCCTGCCGCCGTTTAAACACAGTTAAATCAATGAAAGTCGATTGCACATGTATTCTTACATTGAAGATGCAATAAACAGTTTTTTTTAAACAGAAAATTTTGGAATATTCAAGAACCAAATAGACGATTTTCTTAATTTCTGTGAAATTCGCAGGATGTTTTTGAAAAAAAAAGTGAAATTTCAATTGTTCCGTATTATTTGAGGCACTTTGCTTGTTGAGCTAGCAGAATAATTTTTTAAAGTCTGAAGTCAGGTTCAATGATTGAAAAAATTCATTAAAATGAACATTTTCTGTCTACGGATGTTTTCAGATCAAAATTTTTGCTTTTTAGTGATCCTAACTTGCATTTTTTCAACTAAAATACCTTTTCCAAATTCTAAAAATTCACGACTTCGTTTGGAAGCAACGAGTTTATATTTTGATTGCTTTACTGTTTCTTGAGCCTGAAAGCGTCTCTGTTGCCTGAGAGTCAAACCGAAAAAAGTAACGGCGCTTTAAAAACGTAACTGACGCGATGCCGATTCAGCCAAGCAAATCGTCCACTTGACGAGATCCCGAAAGGCATTTGCATACGAATACAGTGGAGCCGTAGGCATTTGTCGCGGTGGCGGCGCCGAGGTGATAGGCCGCCGGAACCAGTCCTCTCCTGTCCCAAGAACGCCTCTCTACTGCTTTTCCTCCTCAGGTGTTCGCAACTTGGCCTTAGCTTTTCTATGTTTTTTTTCGCAAATTTGCGTCGTGCTATTGGAAATGGCACAAAGGCATCTTGAAATAATGAGCATTTGGAGTCCCAAGGGTCCAACTCACTGAACTGGTCAATCGGTGTTTTTTAATTGGTGGTCGTTTTCTTAGCTAACCTGTAGCATACGCCGAGCCACCTAACAATGTCAGGTAGGATAGCAATAGTATTCAGAACTTCTTGATAGTATCCAGTTAGAGGCTCTATGGTTTTTCTATGGTACCTGTTAGCTAATAAAATACCCCGCTAGCTAAAGCCCATTGATTTTTAAGCAGCTGTGCAGTATCTAGTTGAATCCTCCCGATAGACCTATATGACACATTGTTTTTTTGTATATTTATCAGTATTTCGATATATTCCGTTGTTTAAAAACTCACTCTTGAAAATTTCATACAGTTTTAAGGTTTTTGAAAAGAGGTGAGGCCAGATGAGAGCGCTCGAGAGGTTTTTCGACTCCTACGGGCGGCTCGTATTCCGACAACCTTTTTTCTTTATCGTGGGTGTTTTTTTTTTTTGAATAAGTAGCCCGAATTCTACTTCAGTTGGTGCCAAGCCTTTTGACGATCGTCTCAACGTATGGCTTTTGGTCTTTCCACTCGCAGGACGACATTTGGGACATTTATGCGCCGTTAAACGGCCTTTCGAGAGTCGAAGAAAAAGGATTGAGCAAGTACGAGTTCGCCTCCGGCTCTCATCATCATCGGGTTAGTGAGGTACGAAAAAAAAAGAGAAAAAAAGTTCAGATGCAAATACTGATAGGCCGGAGGGACGAGGGGAACATTCTGGAGCCGTCATTGCTATCCAAAATGTCAAAAGCTCATCATGTAGTTTCAAAATGCGTGAAAATTGAAACATTTTCTCCTCAGACCGTCGCAGAGAATATGACGGCATCGAATGGTCAATCTGAGTTCTTCTACAAACAAATGTGCGGCGTGTACTGCAACTCCAGTAACGCTGCTCTTCTCGCCTTGATGCAGGTCTGAATTACCGGCAATCTCCCACGAAATCCCAATGACTTTACAGGCAGCGATCGACAAATCCGTGTCGTCGAACCCATTCAAACTGTCTTTTCCAAATGCAGAAGCGTTGCAAAAACGTGCTTTCGTAGGATATTCTTTGGGTGGTCTGACTTTTGACAACAAAACGAACGACGTCGTAGCCGCCAAACTGTTCATTCTTCACTATATGGTGATGATTAGTTTCATTTTTTCCCATAAATTTGAGTTTTTCTTAAAGTTTCTTCAGTTGTATAATAATAACTACTTGCGCTCATTTCTGAATTTGTAACTTTTCAAAGTTTTCTTGTCATTGTTTCTTTGAAACCCTTCATTTTTCGTTAAACACTGAAAACAACTCCGAAATCATATCTAAAACAACGTCTACTTGACAGGTCGACACGACTCTACCTGGAGGCAAGCTCCTCGCCACCAACTTTGAGATGAAACTGCGCGCGTTTTTCGAAAAACTCGACGTGGAAGACTCTCTACTCAGCTACGCGTTCCTGTCGCGCACGCGAGAGTTGGAAGAGCAAAGGTCCTTTCCGACAGGTTCAGATTCTCAAATGCACTTTTATAGAGAAATAACGACGACATCGCTGCCTTTCCTTGTTTTGACTGTGATTGTTCTGACTGGCTTCATGTTGATAACCTTGGTTCGGCTGCCACTCCGAGAAAGCCAACACTTTGAGGTGGGCCCAGGTGAACATAGAAGCGTAGCGATAGGTTCAGGCAATTGTCGGGGTTATTTCACCTGGCATGGCTCTGTGGACAACAACAGGGTTCCTCTGGTGGCTGGGTTATCCATTCAGGTCGGAATGACTTTTTTTTTGTACAAGTCTTTCTGTTTCAGCAACATCCTGACGGTTGTTCCGTTCCTTGTCATAACTATTGGCATCGACGACGCGTTTCTGATTCTGGCTGGGTGGAGACAATCGACGTCAGTCAAATATCTCTGAGGGAAAACCAATTTACTTCTTTCAGAAAAACGAAAAATCTTGAGGAAAGGATGGGCGAGGCCGTAGCTATTTCTGGCGCTTCGGTCGCAGTCACTTCCGTCACAGGTTTAGTCTTTGCTGGAGTTAAGTAGAAGTGGGGCTTTGGGATTTTTTCCATTTTTTTTATGAATTAATCATTTTAAACGTTTTAATCCAGACGTTGCCTGCTTCGGAACGGGACTTTTCTCGAATTTGCCCGTCGTCCAGCTTTTCTGTCTCTACACAACTGTAGCCTTGGCGGTGGATTTCTTCTACCAGGTATACCTTCTATTTAAAAATCAAAGTCACTCTCTTTAGATGACCTTTTTCACGGCGTTCGTAGGTATCGTTGTCCGAAAACAACTCGGAGAAGAAGATGGAAAGCCTGTAAGTTTCAAGGTCCAGCATCATAATCTTTCTTCACTTTCCAGAGAACAAACAAGGTATCAAGTTCATCCAGTATTACGGTTTCCTCGATGGCCCCATTCGTTCCTGAGAAATTCAGAGATCTATCTCATCTTGAGGTTTTCGCTTGTTCTTCCCTGTGCATTAGAGTTCACCAAACCGATCATTCAACCATTTCAATTGATCAAACTATTGACATGTCACTGTTCAACCAAATTTTAACATGTCATTTTTTGAGAGATCGTTTATTAGATCAGTTTTTGATCTCTTCCATTAATGATCAATCATTGGATTTTAACGTTTGATATATCAATATTTCGACCAATATATTCAATACAACACTTCGATCGATCATTTTTTCGACCAATATTTTCAATACAACATTTCGATCAATCATTATTTCGACCAATATTTTCAATACAACATTTCGATCAATCATTATTTCGACCAATATTTTCAATACAACATTTCGATCAATCATTATTTCGACCAATATTTTCAATACAACATTTCGATCAATCATTATTTCGACCAATATTTTCAATACAACATTTCGATCAATCATTATTTCGACCAATATTTTCAATACAACATTTCGATCAATCATTTTTTTTCGACCAATATTTTAGGCATAAAAATTTCGATCAATCATTATTTCGACCAATATTTTCAATACAACATTTCGATCAATCATTTTTTCGACCAATATTTTCAATACAACATTTCGATCAATCGAAAACTGAACGATCGATTCAAAATGATCTCTCATTTAAATGAAATGTTGACATGTCGAAAAAACGAGAGATCATAATCATGAGACATGTTAATCGTTCGGTAGCAAGAAATGTTAATCAATCATATTTTTGGTAACATGTCATGAAAATATTGGTTGAACGTTTGGTCGAACGATCGGTTTGGTGAACTCTACTGTGCATGACAAGTTGTAGCATTCATTTCAGCTTTTCATCGAAATTCTCCATACAAGCTTTGCAAAAGCTTTGATTATGGCTTCATTTATTGCTCATATTGCGGTTAGTCCTGAGTATCTAAAAGTTGATAATGTTCAACTTCAGCTGTGCACCTACTTGACTACAAAAGTTAGAACCGATTTCGACATGGAGAATTTGTATTTGTTCGACTCGCCCCTCACAGATATTTCGAGGAGAATGCAGGCGAGTATGATCGCTTTCCTGGGAGCTGACGGGAAAATTGCAGAGATTCGTATTGGGAGAAGCTTTCGTCGTGAATTTCGCTGTTGAGCCGATGCCGCAGTTTGAAAACGAGACTGTCCGGAATTCATTCGAAGATTTTCTGGTCGATTTGGAGACGATTCAAAACTTTGGCGCAGGTCCGACATACACCAATGTCTGGACACGCGAGTATGCCAATGTTAGTTGCCAAGTTCTTGAGCCTTAAATCGAAAACTACCTTTTTTTGTTTGTAATGACGAAACTTTTTATCCTCGATATGGTAACGTTGGAAACGTTATAAAAAGAGATTTTTTTCATCATTAAAAATTCATTGAAATGGTCCAAGAATCTTAAAAAACAGTCGTTTTGAGGCGATCGCGTTCTGGGGCGAAGAAGAAGGTTATTGGTCCCAGCCGGAACTTCTCACCAACTATCGGGAGTACGGTATCGACGATAAGTATTTGAGTATAAGGTTGTCATTCTCAAATTGAAAATCGGGTTTCAACTCTGCTTTGAAGTATGAAAGACGACGAGTCGTTCATAGACGGCTTCTTCTTCACTATCACCTACCATAACTTGTCCAACTTCTTGGAGGTCGAAGACCTTTTGTTGGTCCGGTAAGGTTACAGAGCCATTTTCGCTCGGTATTGAGGTTTTTAGCCGCGGGATCATTGCGAAGCACGGGTTTCCAGTCAAGTCTCATCATCCGCTGGAGAAGGTTCCCACAGAAAGTGCAGCATCAGCTCCAGGCAACTTCGTTCAGACTTCTGGTCCGTTGAACAAAATCACCTTTCATTAAGAGCTTGATTCAGTCTCGGCTGTGGTTCTGATGTCGGTTCTCGTGTTGCTGTTCGTGATGCAGTTCGAAGCTATTCTTTCCGTCGTCGTTTCTATCGTTTCCATTTGTCTCGGTAGCTTCAATCAGATTTGAATTTACAAAAGTAGTCGTGGAATTGATAAGGAAATCGGATTCACGAATTGAAAGTAATGCAATTTTCAATTGAGTTACGAACAAAGACCTCGCATTAGATGGTTAATTAACAAATTTTATAAATTGAAAATATTTTTTCGGACCTTGATGTTCTCAAAATGATTTATGCCGTTTGGACATTCACTACCAAGCAACCGTGTTTTTCCTTCGAAAATCTTGGAAACACAAAAATTGAGCTATTAGGTGTGGTGGCCTACCTTCACTTGTGGAACGTGCATTTGGACGCTGTTTCGCTCATCAGCATGCTCATGTCCATCGGATTTTCCGTCGACTACTCGGCTCACGTTTGCTATCACTACTTTGCTCATTGCCAGCCAGTACGAATAGATGAGAGACGTGTATGAAATCTTCTCTTGCAGGAAGAGTCCGGAAGTCACGAAGGGAAGACCGATGGTACAAAGAGCCGACTTTTGAGTACACTTGGAGGCGTCGGCTGGCCAGTTATGCAAAGTGGTCTGAGTACCATACTAGGTGAACTCGGAAAATGATTTAAGGCAGTCTTTTTTCCAGGCATGTTCCCGCTAATGTTCGTCCGCGCCTACGTGGTCGCCGTCTTCTGGAAAACTGTGATCCTCGTGGGAGTTCTCGGGATGCTCCACGCACTCGTCCTCCTTCCCGTCATTTTCATTCTCACTGATGACGTCAAACGGTTACTCCGCTCTAAATGACTCGGCTCCACTAGTACCTTACTTTCATTCCGCAAAATCCGGGTCATACCAGAATCTATCTTAGTACAGTTTTATAAAAACGAAACTCCCCAATCAATGCTTCCCAACTTGATTCTTTACGGGTTTCAACTTTTGAAATGAATCTCATCATCTTCATAAAACTTTATGGCGGTCTAAAATATTTTTAATAAAACTTTTCTTCTATCATATGAGTCACGCACTGGGATAAAAAACTGGATCAGAAAGATGCACAGGATTTAAGAAAATGAAACCAGTACTGTTGAAGAGAAAAGAACAATATATATATCATTCGTCAAAACTGAAACAGTTTGATTTCGTGGCGAATGAGTACAATCAGTAGAATTATTCAAAGTAAGGCAATAAGATGGGTACTTCAGGTAGCTATCACAAAGAAAAGGACTTCGCTCATGAGATTGGGAGTTTATTTACATAGAATCAGTCATCACGGAAAACTAAATATGAAACTAAAAGGCTTCTATCAATTCTATTCTTCGTGAAATTGAAGAAAAATGGAACTAATCAGAACATTTCAATCTAAAACGCAACGGTCGACTTCTAATCGTAAATCGTATGAACACCTGTTTTAATGCCCAAATCAATGGCTTCAACTACCGGTTAAAAATTTCTAATCAGGCTACTTACCTTAAAAATGACAAATTCACAATTTTTCTCGGTTCAACAGCACTTGGACCTCCGTTGTACCTCCTCGTCGTCGACGAGTTCAATGGTTCTCCTACCGGCGACCGGAGCGTTTCTCGCCGCCTCCTGAGCCGCGGCGATCATTTCTGAACCCCGAAATGCTTCCTTAGAGCTTTAACAGACAAAAACTTTCTGACAACTGCTCAAAAACTTGAGCAATGCCAAGATTCTCCTTGGCCGACGTCTCTGCGTACTGAGCGCCTACCGATTCAGCAAACCTTGAAGCATTTAGACTTTTTTGGTGACTTTACGGAAAAGAAAACTCTTCGGCGACGGTTCTTTCCACGTTTCGTTGCCTGTCCAGGTCCAACTTGTTGCCGACGATGATCAGCTCCACCTCGCTTCCGAGCATCGTCCGGAGCTCTCGCACCCACATTTTTACCTTGATAAAGCTTGGTTTTGATAAATAAAAAGATAAAATGCCTTGTCAAAAGATCTCTGATCGGTGATGTCGTAAATCAGAAGAACTCCATTACTCCCTCTGCAAAGAGAATTACCTCACACGAGTTCTTCTCAATACTTCAAAAAACCTGTAGTAAATAGGCCCCAGAGCGTGGTATTTTTCCTGGCCGGCAGTGTCCCAAATATTCAACTCGACCGAAAAGTTCTCAATCTCAAGCGTTTTCTTTTGGAACGAAGCCTGAATTTCCTGATAAACTGGGGTCATACACACTCAAAATCCTACTTGAATAGTCGACAGATGCTTGGAACTGTACTTATTCTCGCAATATCTCATAATCAACGAAGATTTGCCGACCGCGCCTTCTCCCAACAAAACCACCTAAACCAAACAGATATATGTCTAATGTATTCAGTCCACCTTAAATTTGAACTCGCGTTGTTCAGTCGGAAAATTCCCTCTGATCGTCGCCATCAAAGGGCTGAAAATCATACAGCATGGAGAAAAAACCGGTCTTACGCGATATTTTCAGATTGAAAAACTGACGAAATGATCAATAGATTCAAAGCAAAAAATCAAAGTTTTATAATGAAAAGTCAACAAAATTACAACCGTGAAGGAATGAGATAGGATGGAAAAGATCGAAAATTGAAAAGATATCACAATTGTCCGCTTTGAACAATAACGATCGGCAGCTTCGGTTTGTTATTTGCGCCTGTGGGAACGTTCTCAATCTTCCTCACGGCCAGCATTCCGTCCAAAACTCGGCCTGAAAACTTTCCTGTTATTCATGTCCAATACTATCTTATCGTTTGATCAGCAAAAAATTTAGGAATAAATTTGTGAATAACTATGCTTTATAGCTTCAGCATGATCATACTGTTTTAAAATGAGTACTTGCTAGAACTACAGTTTGGTTTGCGGAACTCTGGAATAGCTATGAAAACTACAAAAAGGTAGCAATAATCTGGTGAAGAACATGCAAAAAGTTTCCTTTTAATGTGATGCTGTAGAATTTGTATAACTTTTTCGAAAACCAATTTAAATTTGATTCCTCTCAATATTCTCTCGTAAAAAATTGCGCGTAAAGGAAGTTAACAATCACAATCAAGTCAAATACTGTCTTCTATTGGAACGAAAGTTTATTATGGCCCTAGCCGAATCCTAAATCTGAGGTATAAAAAAAACAAGACCAAAAAGAGATTGGCGTCACGGTCTTGTTTGACCGGTCACGCCGAGATATATATTTCCAGGAACGTGGTCTCTTGTTACAAACCAGCTTCGACCCAATAAAAGGCATTCACAGAAGCCGAAACAAGGTGATAATCCAAGATAATGTTGCAATCTCTATTCAAGACTTTCTTATTTTCGACTTTCGTACTGACAGTGACGGGTCAGACGCTCGTCCCGTTCTTGCAGCAGAACTACGGCTTCGCCAATCCTTTCGCCGCTTGGACCACCACTACTGCCATCCCACCCTCCCAATACGACTTTTACAGGTTATTTCCAACAGAAAAATTACAGAGAAAAACTTTCCCGGAAAAAAACTCGAAAATGTTTCGTTCGAAACTTGTAGCCCAGGGAAAATCTGTTTTCATTTTCACTCTCTCCCCCTCTTTTTCCTTTTTCCTTACTCAATTTTTTTGTAAGAAAAAAATATATAGACAAGAGAAGCGCTGGAAAAAAGGTGAGAATGTGAAAATTTGAAATTTATAGATAATTCGAAAAATGTGAAAGTTTCAGTTTTTGAAAACTACCGACATTAACGCTTCTAAATAAGAATTCTAGGCTAACTTTTCTGTATTTAAATTTCGATGAGTGTTTCATAAACTTGGTTCTGCGGATCGAAACTATTATTGAAAGCTGAAGTAGCTGAAAAAAAGCGTTTTATTGAAGAATCCTTTTATCAAGAGAAAAATTCAGACTGAAAAAAAATTCCTAGAAAAAATTCTGTGAAACATGCCTTGATGATGATTAAATTCAGGAATATGGGATGGAAAACGGACAACGGACATATTTTCCACAACTACAACGATTACGCCTCCTTCTACGTTCACCAAAAAAGTCATTACCCATGAAAAACTTTTTCACTTGTAAATAAACCAAGCGATAAACTCTAATAACTCACCGAAAACGACATGCTTGTTATCCAAAAAGTCTGTCTTTGCGCAAGTTATGAAAAATTGGCAGCCATTCGTATCTGGTCCTGCATTGGCCTAAAAAATACACTGTTAACCAGAATAATTAATGAACCAAACCATCGAGAGTATTCCTGGGCCAGTGTGCTTCAAATCAAAATTTTCGTCGCGGAATTTCGCCCCATATATGCTCATCAATCCTGTCCCATCTCCCTGAAAAGTTCAGAAGTTGAAAAAAAAAAGATCAAAACACTCACATTCACAAAATCACCGCCTTGAATCATGAAGTCTTTGATGACCCGGTGAAAAGTGCTGTTTTTGTATCCATTCGGAACGCCGTCTTTTCGGTATTCACCGGTGCAAAACTGACGGAAATTTTCCGCCGTTCTAGGAGTAACATCCGCATAGAGTTCCATCTTAACTTTACTTGGTAACATTTTGAGAAAGAGCTGGATAAAAATAAATGTCTATAATTGGACGTACTACGATAGTGCCGATTGGAGCTCCACCCGCCGTAACTTCAATGAATACGATTGGGTTGTCTGGATGCCTCAGCTGTTCAGCATATTTGTCGTACTCCGTCATAGCTGAAAAATTCTATTGTGAAGTCATTGAAGCAAAAAGAAATAAAAATTTTTTTCTCCGAAAAAGATTGCCGGACAAAAAGCTAAAAAGGAAAAGTTGCTCTAACAAAACTTCATACATTCCGTGTGCTATTTGCATTCGCTCTCCGCCCATTTTTTTTTTGGATTCTTTATTTCAATAAACTTTCAACATTTTAACTCTCAATTCGCCGCTTCCTACTTTTCTGATCGCTTGTAACTATTTCACTAAAAAAATATTACAGAATTATCGGACACAATGGTCAAAGGTAGAAAGAACAGGGAGCAGTCAAAAAAAGGTTAACATTACTTAATTTATTAATAAAATGTGATTATAGTTCGAGCCGAATTACTTATGAGAGTGATAATGATGAGCTTGTTGATGAAGTCACGAGTTTCCACGCCAAAGACAGAGATTTCAATAAAGACCGGATCAAGAAGAAGAAGGTGAGCTGCATTTTCTCTTCGAGAACTTATGTAACAGTTCAGAAACTCGGCGTGGAAGAAGTTTTAAATATCGATGAGGACGACGTAAGTGGCGACGATGACGAAGAAAGTGGCTCGGATTTTGACGACGACTACGAAGAAAACGGTTAGATTAATTTCTCTTTGGTTCATCTATTCATAAAACTCCAGGGGCTATCAGCGACAATAAATGGGGCAAGAAACGTAAAGACTTCTACGGTTCCAGGTTATTTCAGTTATTCTTTTCAATACCTAGCTAAATTTTCCAGTTATGTCGATGAAGACTGGGGAGGCATGCGAGATGAAGAAATGGAGGTACTGAAAAAAAGGGTTTCTTTTTGAAAAGAAAAGCTGTAGGAGGCTGAACTAGAAGAAGAAGACGCTCTTAATCGTCAGAGGCTTCTCGATAAATCTGCTGCTTCCATCGCTGATCTTTATGATGAAGATGAAGAAGAAGGCGAAGGGGCTGACCAGAACCCGACAACGGTTTCCGACATAGGATTTTTAAATTGTTCAAAACCATTTGTAGATTGATGTAAAGGGACTGGAATTCAATGTGAAAAACGCCAAGAAAATGAACAAAGAATTGGCACGAGTGCTGGAAGATTTTCAGGGCAAAGTGAATCTATTTCGGAATTTTTCGAAAATTTAATCTCTCAATTTAGAAATGTATTTTCGACGAACTCATACGACCACTGGAAAAACGTGATAAGGCTGATATCTCCATCGCATCTTCGCTCTCAGCTCGTCTTTATTGTCAATTCCTACAGCTCGTTAGTTTTATATCATTTTTGTAAAAAGTTAAATTGTAAAACCAATCTTTTTGTGCATTCAAAAGTTTGAAAGGTAAAATAACTCGTTTATTCCCAGTTTTTTTCTTCTATTATTTGATTCAAATGTTTGAGGTACATTGTCACTGCCGCCTACTACTTGAAACTCAAGTTGAATCAGTTTGAGCAAGGGAAGCTTACCGACCCAATGGTTGGCGTCCATCCAGTCAACGACTTGATTCAAAATCTTAACAAAGTTTCGAGAACCAATAGGACGATTCGATTATTTTTTTTAAGAAACAGAAGGAAGTTGACAAGTTCCTGTATGAAAACTCAAAAGAGATCTCGCATCTCGTTTCCTGGGCAAAAAATGACCCTCAAAGACTGGCCGAGTTCGACGAAAACGTCTCCAGTCTGCGGAGAACTCCGAGAGAATCTGTAAGTGAGATCTGTTGCGTATAAGTTGTAATTCAAAAAAAAAAATGGCAGAAAGATTTTTTTTTGCTGCCGCGACGCCCATGCTTGGCTGCCAATTTTTCACTAATTATCTTTGATTTTCGCCTGTTCTCGCCGTCCAAGCTTTGCTTTTTCTCTTTGACCTTTACTTAAATCGCGTTTTTTTCTTTTCGCCCTTCTTTCGTCTTTTTCGAGAAAAGCCTTAATAGCAATGATGCGTAGAAAGTTATTTTTGAGCACCGAAATTTTTTGCGTATATGCCTTTGATGAGAATTGAAGCCGTTAATTTTTTTGGGTACCTGATGAAAATGAATTTAAAACGCACAATTAGAGATTTTAGCATCGTTTGTTCCAAACAATTTTCATCTGTTGAATTTATCATAAATCTCTTTTAACGCGTTAGGATTGATTGCTCGACTTTATTCCATTTTTCAGAATGCTGCAAGGACAGAGGATAGTGAAACTCCAGGAGAAACTGTTTATTCTGGCGACTTCACGGAGATGGACACAGATCCCAAGCGCAAGGCTACCGCCGCCATCGCCAGCAATAAACTTTCGCTCGGCTCCGGCAAAAAGAAGAAGGCCAAGACGAGCAAGGTACGCGAAAGTGCTTTCCCTCTGAATCATCCATCTCAAAGTTTTTCTGCCGCTCGTTTCTTTGTGCAAATGTTTTTGTACGGTCTTTCAGATCTTAGGATAAGATAAAATGTGGCAAAGTGGCCGTCTTTTTCCTGGAATTTTTTTTTATTTCCAAACGTCTGCTCCATTTTTTTGTTAGATAGTTTCTACAGTACTCTCAACGTTTCCATTCGCCTGTTCTTTTTCCTCAGGGAGCTGTCAATTTGTCGTCTTTTGTCTGCCCGTTTGAGAGTATATATTTCGAACCCGAGAAGTTTTTCAAATATTTTAAGTACACATCCATAGGTTCTTGTAGAATAATTGTAAGTTTAGTTTGCTGGATTCACTGACTTTTTTCGAAAAGCTCCGATTAAAATATTAGAATATCAAGAAGCTTACTCTCAAATTTATACTGAGCTAGAGCAGTTGCTCTTTTTCTTTTGTTTAGCTCCGTACTTATCTTTTGGAGCACAATTTCGGTCTTTATTTTGAATTTTTTTTTCAAATTTTTGTTCCGTGTGTTTTCTTCACTCGAAGTGACAGCTCTCTCAATCGGCTGAGGCTGTCCTGGAGCGTACAAAAAGCAAAGGACCGTGAGACCATGCTTTCAATTTAATCAACTACACGTTTTGACTTTTTTTTTTTTCGCCAAAGGCGGTGTTAGTACCGCTCAAAGAAGCAATTTTTTCACCGCCTAGTCGATTCCATCTGACTAAAACAACCAATAAATATAGCCCGTTCATGGCTGGCTTGGGACAGCAAACGGGCGGTTTAATTTTCGCGGCGAAGGCAGATCATGGCGAATATCAATGCGCCTTTCACAAAAGGCTCATTTTATGACTTATTTCTTTTTTTGATTTTTTTATTTCGTTAATTAAAAAGAAAAACCTGAAAACTAATGAAGTTAGTTTGAAGGAAAAAAAGCTAATTTAATTGAAACAAAAATAATTCATCCAATGAAGATCTTTTTTTGAAGGCGCATGTATGGCCGCCATGATCTACCATCGCCGCGCAAGTCAAACCGCCCGTTCGCTGTTCCAAGCCAGCCGTGAACGGGCTATATTGATGATGATGATGATGAAATTTGTTAAATTCAGAGTTTTAAAAATAGTGTTTTGGTGGCTTTTCAGCAAGTTATGAGAAATCAGAAAAGGTTTGAGAAATATGGTTTGCGAGGACTGTATGATCCAAAAAAAAAGAAGATTTTTTCTGTATTTTCAAGCTCATTCCACTGTTCCGCTTTTTTTTCCCGTAAAATGCCGTACATCAAGCTTGATCAATCCGCCTTGAGGCCTTTGCTTTTTGCAGTTTCCTAGAGTTTTCTGCAATTTTGTAGAAAACGTTCAAAAAAACAAGAATACGGTAACTTTTTTTACTTCTGTGCTTTTAAAACGTGCTTGTCTCACGCGTAACACCCTATACATAGTTTTCTCAAACTCCCTCCATAATATAAATTCTCGAGATCAAAAAACACTTTCTTCAAAAAAGGAGCAATGCGAAAGAATGAGATCAAACCTTTTGACCTACACAATAGTTGGACAAATTTATTCAGTTTCTGAAGCGTTGTACTTTTGGCAGGTGTTTCGCCTGTTGGACGAAAGTTTTTTTTTTGTTGTGCAGCATCTGCCCAGACTTTTCGCGAGGCTTCTATTTCTTGAGCGTCTATCGCGGAAAATGGTCAAAGAGAGCGACCTCAAAAGAATAACAGTTAGCCATATGTTGAATGTCGCGCCACGCGCTTCCTCCTGCACAAGTTGTTTACATTTATCTTTCTTCGGATCGATCTGGCTTTTTATGTCGTTCGAAAGTGTTTCATATATTACTTTTGGATATTCTCCCAGTTCTCCTCATCATTAAGCTTCTAGAACCTCATAATGTTTTCTTCAACTTTGAAATGAAATCACCTCGAAAAGCTTTTAAAACGGTTTTTTAATATTTTCTGTTCGTGAGAAATGGTTTCCCTCACGTTCGGATGACATTTCTTTTTCTCGCTCTTTTCCTCGTTTGCCGAAGTTTTTCCAGACGTTTGGCCTTTTATCGAAGTTTTGAGCTTTTTTGCTTACATCACAGAAAAAGTTTGAATGCAACGTCGTGGGAAATAACGTCAATTGATGTATAATTTTTTCGCTAGGATTTTTTTTCATGGCCTGTTTCGATCTTTAAATGTTATTGCGTTCCTTGCTCATTTTTGGAAGAACACTCTCATAAACATGGCAGTTCGGAAGAAAAAGCTGCCTAATGTAGGAGATTGCAGACGAAGAACCGCAGGAAGGTTCGGAACGTGGAGAAACGCGTGCACTCGCAGGTGGCTCCGGTTCGCCGCGAGATGCAGAAGTACGGTGGAGAAACGAAAGGGATTCGTGCCTCCACCATCAAAAGTACGAAACTCATCGCCTAAGTTCGAATTTATTTTCATTTTCAAAATGCTCTTGTTATTGTTATTGTTCTTCTTTCATCATTGTTATTTGTTTTCGCGATAAATTTTTTTTCTCACCTAATTTCTTCGATTTTGTTATTGACGGTCCCACTCACCGTTCTATATTTCTGGATTATTCTTTTTGCCATTTCTTCTGTTATCCTTTTGTTTTTTTCATAAGGGAAAAACGTGAGTCCAAAGTTGATATAATCAAATTTTTTTCCTTTTTCAAACCCGGTAAAAAAAGACTTGCGGCGATGTTTAAAATCGCACCGATTGGGCGTGGCTTAAATTAGGACTGAAAAAAGGTCCACGTCCCGATATTTTCATGAGTTGTATCTTTGAACCTTGAAACATCAAGCCTTGTCGAATTTTTTGTTCTTATCAAATGTAACTTTAGGATAAGTTTTTGTAAACGATTTCTGAATTTTTTCTATCGAGAAGTTTCTATTTATAACAGAATCGATTTTCCATTTATCAAATCAAGTTTTCCGACAATATTAGGTATTCTACTTAAAAGATGCTTCGTTTCAGTTTTTAAACGTAATCAAATCTCGAAAGGTTTGTGCTACCATACATATACCTCCGACTTTTTCTCATTTATAACGCTTCCAACCTGCGAAGGGGCTCCTGTACCGCTCATCAAGATGCTTGTTAATGAAACAATAGAATATTAGATGAATAATTAGAGCGACGTAGAGCTGCCATGAAAATGAGCCGTTCGCAGCCTACTACTGTTTTAGGCGACGTATCTAAGCAACGTGTCTCATTTTACTCTGTATTCTCTCCGCTTTCACTATAGACGTTACATCAATTCGAAAGAAAAAGACAATCGCGTGTCAATGGAACGGCTCTCATTTGCAGGAAATATTACTTTTGTCGGTAGTTTGTTGAATTTCGTTGACCGACGGCGTATGTGAAAGCATCGGCCATTTGCCTATTTTTCTATCAATATGAACCGTACTTTAGGTGAAGGGAAGGTTAACAGGGTAGGTTTTCATGTTAGAACCATCAAACGCAGTTTTCCTTCTATTCAGATTGCCAAGAAAAATGCGGTTATTGAACATGAACGCGTCGGAGAAGTTTATTTCCCGCTAGCTGCGGCTAATGTGTCTTCGCCGTGTACTGACTTACGGGAAAAGTTTCAGGTATGTAATTAGTTTTTTTTTTCTCAAAAATTAGTACGGGTTTTGAGTTAAAATAATGAAATTTCAGCCTGATGAAACGGTTATTTTTACTGCGCAAAAGCATGAAGATAATGGTAATGCGCGATATGTTGCTAGTTCGGTTGTTAAACGACGTGAATTAATAAATTGTACTGGAAGAATAACTGAGATTTGTGAGAAGTGGGTTTTTAAAACATTTTTCAAAAGTCCCATCTGGAAATTTAGATTTTGTTACGTTGAAGCTCGAAAATATGGGCGTGTTTTTGTTCCATATTCTGCAAAAGATTCTTGTTTAACGAAACCTTGGCTTGGAAAAGGAGCGGTTGCCAATAAACCATGTACTTTGAAGGTTCGTTCATTTTGAAATTCATTTTCAGCGGCCTAATATATTAGACGCATCTGTCTCGATAACGTTTTTCTTCTTTTAAATGTGTTCCATGAATTTGGGGCTCTTCTCATTGTAGCGAAGACATTTCCGTAACGTCTTTGCTCAAGAAGAAAAATCACTTTAATGAATTTTTAACGGCGTTATGTAGTTGACCAACCGTATAGGTCACAATTATATAGTGGAGATTTTTGCAGATATTCCGACAGCCTGATATCAATCAATGTAAATATGTTGCGTGGAGTATTTCAATAAATGAAAAAGAGGAAGTTAATCGTACACATTTGTCCAGTTTGTCTTTGTCGAACGGCGCCTCGCCTAACGGTATGACCAAATTGGGAAATACCAATGGTCAGCTGCGAGGTGCTGAGAAGCAACCGGACAAGGCCACCAGCCAGGTTCCTTCAATCTTCATTTCTTTTTCCATCGACAGTTTTTAGTACGGTGTTTTTGTCAGCTGTCCTACTGCTCCGGGTTCTGACTATTTGCTGTATTCCTCGGTGGGTTGTTTTTTCTTGATTTTAGATCGGATAGAGTGAAATGGCACAATTTGAGTTCAATTCAATCTCCGTTTTCTTTCAGCAAACGGGGTTGGCAGTTGTAACAACGAATCGTAGGCAAAAATGGATGGAAATGGGGCGATTTGCAAAATATGATGCGATGAAAGTTGAAAATTCCGAGAAGTGTCATTGGGAAGCAAGAAATTTTATTGATTTGGGATGCGTAAGTGAAGTCTGAGATGAGAGACGTCAAAAGTCGTTTTCAGCTGTTCAAAGTGTTGGATGATTATAATGATCCTAACAAGCTTGTTTTGGAGCTTCCTGCTGTTGTCAACCGTATTTCTTCGTCTATTCGATGCGCCTGGCTTTGGAACGATTTTGTTGGTAGGTTTCGAGATTGAACAAGAAACTTTTGATTTTTTTTTTAAAGTTGAAAACAGAGCAAATTTTTTGGATAAGCCTTCAATAGGGTTGCCGTTTAGTTTTTAAGTTCCGAAAAAAAGTTATTAGATTTCACACCATCTCCTAGTATACTGTAATAAGTATTAAGAGAAATAGAAATGAGTTTCTGACACGCAAAGTTCCCACGCGTCATTAGCTTTCATTGGATTGTTTTCTCAGGACGAATTTACGTGCCCAGTGCTCAGTACATGCGGTCTCTGAAGGCGATGACGTGTGTCAGAATCCGCGCCTATTGGGCCGGGACGTTCGAAGACGTGCCCTGGAACGCGACACACATCGAGGTACAGCTGTCCCGTTTTAGGGCTCCTCAAAGATTTTTTCCGGCTGCAGTTTATCGGCGAGGATGACGTCACCCGCTCGGCTTTCTCGCAGCTGCTGCGCACCGACGACGACTGGGTGGTGAGTGGGAAAAGAGCAATCCGAAAGGAGGAAATGAACTTTTTTCTGGGGAAGAGAAAGAAATTATCATTTTCCGGAATTATTTTTTTTTTAATATCTTGTTCAGTTGAGCTCCCAAGTTTTAGCAGGGTTCAGATTGACTCACGGTTTTTGGATTTTCAAGCTGCTGGACTTTGACATCACCTTTCATAAATAAAGTCGTCGAATTAAGATTTTGAGAAATAGAACAATCTCTTGCAAATTAATTCAAATCATGTGACAGGATTCATGTGGTGATTTCAAAATTCTGTAAATTCTGTTTCCCAATTTTAATAACTTTTCAATGAAAGTTCAATCAGATCTCATGGGAAAGGTTAAAGCGAACAAAATTTCCCCATCCTTTGACTTTGAATACTGGACAAAAAAAATTTACGAAAACAAGAAAGTTAAACATTTCCAAACCGGAGAAGTTTTGGTCAAGACTCTATAAATCGTTTTCCTTCATTCTTTTATGAAATGGAGTTCAGGTTAAGTACATTCAAGCGCAACAAGGCCAGAATTTCTATGGTTTTTTGGACAACCCGAAGTATGGATCGGCTTTCATCGCTTGGACGGATTTGACTGAAGGCGAGGTGCCGCCGCAAGTGAACACCAAGTGCAGGTGCCCATTTACGGTGTGAACCGACGTGATTCGACTCTTTCTCTAGAGTTACTGTGTACCATCAACAACGCGACAAGAAACATGCCTGGCGCGCTGTTTTGGTGACGCCTCTGGACGAAAATGCTCAGCCAGTCTACTACCATCCTATTTACAACCACACTGGTCAACTCACGCTCCCCGAGCCTTTCGTCGTTCGTTTCGTCTTCAATTTTCTTATTGAAAATGACGTTAGGAACATGAGGCTTAAAAAAAGTTAATTGAGTAGACTTGTTCTGCACTGGCTGTGATCAAGTTTTCGTATCCTATTAAAGTTTCAACCGTATCTGTTTCAGGCAAGAAGCCTCTATTTTGAACACTTTTTCGAAACTAATTGCAAAGTTGTTTGAAAACTTCAACGCTTTTTTTTCAACGAAATGACCAGCAGCTGATAATTTCAGATTGCAAAATTAACATTCAAGTGAAGTTTTCCAGAACTTCGTCGCATGTTAATGAGCGAAGTCAAAAAAGTTTTGATTTGTAAGAAAAAGTCAAATGGTTCAAAAAAACAGACAATATAGGTGTACCGTCGATAGAACAATACTTCTCGGATAGATGAAAAATAATCTTCCGCAATGATCAATTTCAATTTTTGATATCAAGCTTATTGCCTCAATCGGGAAAAGTTTTGTAACCGTATTAAATTTTACTGTAAATGCTTCATAAATTAGCCTATCCTTCGGCCGAAGTTTGGGTACTGTATCATAGATGGAACATCTTTCAGCCCCCGCAGGCTTCGCCGCCGCGAGCAGCTCCAATTGCTGCGCCTCCTGGGATTCCGCCGTTGCCGAACCCGTCGTTTGGAGTGATTGGAAGCGGCTTGACCAACGGACACAGTCACCTGCCGCCATCTCCGCCAGCCTCCACGGACTCCCCGGCGCCTCCAAATGCCGTCGCCTCACCGCCTCCGAAGGCTCCCGAGGAGAACCCGACGGTGTCGCTTGATCTCGGCTCTCTGCGTCTTCCAGATCTCTCTTCTTCCATGTTTCCGTGGAACAACAACGACTTATTGGCTAGCACCTGGTCGAACACTCTTAGCTCTTCTGTCGGCCGAGAGAATAACGTCAACTTCATGTCGCCCTTTGAAGAAAGCACGTTTGGAATGAACTTGTATGAAGGCTTCCTTCCGTGGTAAATTTTCCTTCCTACTTATTGAAAGACGATAACCATTTTCGAAGTCGACATCCAGATATCTGATTCGACTTTTCAATGATAAAATACAATAAAACGAAGCCCATCACTTGAAAAGGGCCTCAAAAGCTGAAAAGGAGTTGATTTTTCAAATTGAGAATAATGGAGCGACAAGCCGAAAAATTCTTTTAAGTCAAACTTTCTCCTCAAATCTTCCAATTTTCCCCAGTTTTTTTCTGATCTTCTTTGCCTGTCAGTGTTCTTGGTTTTAATCAACTATTTTCGTTAAAATTCCAAAAAAATACGACAAACTTTCATCCACCAAAATTGTAACGATAATGTTTGCTTTAGGAAAAAAGACGCTGAGACTCAGACGGATGTGATGCCTGAAGTGAAAATCTTACAAGACTTGCTGCGTTGCGCTCAATGGAAAAATTTGATAGCTGAACGGTTTCCTGAACAATTTGCCAAACTTCAAGAACATCGCTTGAAATAACTCACGAGCACACACATTTTTCTGCCTTTTTCCTTGTAATGTAAGTGTTTTATCGGTTCTTACTTATAAATCAGTCGCCTTTTTACTTTTAAAGAAATTTTGTCGCATTTAATGATTCCCTCCCTGCTTGTAGCTTGCACAATTGAATATGTTTAGTATTTCCTTCCCTAAATTAGTTTAATTCATGTAATATCGATTAACTTGTGTAAAAAAACAGTACTTGTAAATGTGACGTGCTGCTTTTTGCGGGGCCGAAACCCCGGAAAACTTTCAATACCAAGGATGGAGGTTCAACCCTTCGGAGATTGAGGAGAGTGTTTTAAAGAAAGAAAGATTTTTGAGTTTTGTTTTTCTTGTTGTTTTTTCATATTGTTAGATCTGCATTTATGCAATTACCAATTTTTCTGATTTTACCGTTTTGAGTAGTTTGTTGTCGAATCTTAGTGTAAGTTTTGTGTGGACTCCTAGAAGGATTGAAAGATTGTTCTTTTTTCATTTTTCTTTTCATTCTTTCGTGTATTTCTTTCGTACGAGCTAATCAATTTCGCACGTTTGAAAGTTTATACTGCAATAAAATTGACTAACCATTTTTTTTTGCTTGTTTTGCAAAACTCTGACGGGAAAAAAACATTCGCAGGAAATTCAAGTTTTCAGTTTTTTCAAATTTTTTCTGTTTCATAATATCAATCAAATACCCATACATCGATGTCAAGACTAAAGTAAAAAAATTTGACAAACCGGAACTTTTAGAGAGGATACTGTAAAACAGAAATTCGACTTCAATGCAGTTTTTTTTTAATAAAAGAAGTTGAAAAAATCAGAGGTAAAGTGTTTTTAATTAAATTTTTCATTTGGAGAGTTAGGTAAATGTTTTCTCTCCGAATTTACGACGACGAGGTGTTGCGAAGAAGGCGCCGTGGGAAAGAAGAAAAGACGATGTCGGTACTCGAATACCGGCCCTCGCCGACCCACATTTCCATGAGAACCTCTTTGACCATCCAATTTCTCCTATTTGAATCGATTTCTCAATATTTTTCTACTGTTTTGTTTATTTTAAGCTTCCAATTTATACTTTGATGAATAGCTTCGTTTCAAACGAGTGAAAAAAAAATTGGAAAAAAAATTCCAGACTCGGGTCAATTTTATTGGGATAAGTGTTTTGAATACGAATATATTCGGATTCGAAGCAGTCTTGAGATCTTATTGACACTTCCCGAATTGGCTGTTTTCCCTATTGTTTGTCCATCGGATCACGTATCTTTCAAACGCGCTTCGCACTTTCTCAGATTCAGACAAATTGTATGAAAACCTTCATTCGTTCTGTTTGAGTTATCACTTTTCTTTTGGAAATTTTTTTTTGATGACCTCATGAATTTTTTTTTGTTTAAAAGTTTGTAGAAAATGACGTAGAGCTACACTGCGAATCATGATTTTCAGTTTATAATCAGTCTAGAAATAACGATCAGGTTTTAGATTTCAACAATTTTTCGAAGAAGCGAAGGTTTCTGTGAATGAATTCAAATTATCTTCTTTTACGCTCTGATTCGCTTTTCGTCTTTTTTTTCTGAAATTTCTTCGTCTTTTCGTTGATCGATACCCTTCCTAAGAATTCAGACATTTCTGGGCTCTCCTTTTTCTCGTCAGGCTATTCCATTTTTGGTGGAGAAAATAAAAATGCAGAATTGAAAAATCGGAGTGAAACTCTACAAAAGTTCTTTGAATTTTTTTTCGGATTCAAGAAAACAGAATGCAGAGATGAGGAGATGAACCGAGCAGCGGGGCAGTATCTTCGGACTGTGGTGGTCCCTTTGGCCACCGTCTACGTCATCCTTCACGTCGTCTTCTACCTTCATTCTTTGGTCAACGTCGACAATGTACGCGTCGACTTCAAGGTTCTTGAATTCTTCTTTTTGGAAATCCGAGGTTTTTCTTTTCAGAACCTCAAGGAAGGACCTCTGGTCATGAAAGATGGAATGGTGGTCAAGTCGGGGAAAATAATAAAAGGCATCGGCCGCGGTAGACTCGCCTACGACGCCAAGCTTTCTAAACGTTGGAGTCTCACTTCAGCCCGTTTTCATGACCATTTCTTCAGAACAGTTCCATTCCAAGGCCGCGGTAGAAGAAAAGGTGCCCAGCATCGACTTGTTCCATAAAATTGTGAAAATCTTGTTTTCATCCAACCTAATTAGCGCTTTCAGTATTTGAAAAACACAGCGAAGAAGAAGTACAAAAATGGCAACGGAACCGATTTCGTGTATTTTTTGTTTGTTAACGACGCCTACGAAAGACTCACTAGGAATTGGCTCTGCAACACCGCCGTCATTCCAGTAGGTTTTCTTTTCTAGGAGTATTTTGAATCTATTTTCGCTTTCAGATTTATTTTCTTTCTTTAGCTGTATTTTTATTGCTGTTTCGGGCAGTTCAACTTCAAAATCGTTGAAGAAAAAGCCTTGAAGCGACACAAAAACGCAAACTAAGCATCATAAACTAATTTTTTAACGACACTTCGCTGATAAGTGATCAAAAAGTTTAGTAACCACTGGTCTATAAGAATTCTGTGTTAAGGTTCTCTATTTGTTCGCTCTTTGATTCAAAGTTTGTTTTTATTATTTGTCCAACTCAAAAAAGGGCTTTAAAACTCAAAAAGGGTTTCAAAAATTATCCAAATAACCCCTGAAACGAGAAGTGGTTTCCAAGTTTTCTTTACTTGAGGTTTTCATCTCTCCCATCTATAATGAACATGTTATTTAAAAAACTTTAATCGTAAGCTGGAAATTTTGTAGGGAATCCACGAAAACCTGATCGTGATGAGCCTCGAGCAGCAGGTCTGCGACACGATCCACGATGAATGGGACAACGTGGTATCCTCTCCACGGGGAAAAACTCTAATTCTTCTTTTCCCAGGTCGAATGCCTAACGATCAAGATCAACAACTACAAAGAAGCTTTGGATTGGGGAGCTCAGAAGTACATCAACATGTTGACGATGCGCGCACAGATGATGCTCATGATTGCCGAGGTAGGAGTCCTTAGTTGATGGAGGAGAGCTGAGCTGAAGAAGGCATACTAGACGGACGTCCCTTTCGTCGTGGTCGAGTCCGACGCCGTCTGGTTTTCGGATCCAGCGCCTCTTTTCCGCAACCGAAGCGCTGCCGAAGACGCTGACATCATCGTGCCGGTGAAAGGTCACGTCGAGAAGGGAGATGCTCTGGCCTTCAGTCCGATGCTCGCTTTGGCCACAAATGCCACGAAAACCCTGCTCGCAGAGCTCGTCCGGCGTCTGGAGGCAGATCCTACCTCTTATGATCAGGTCAGATCTTTCATTTGGCAGTTTTCGACTTATAAACCAAGAAGAAAATCAGAATCGAAAAATGCTTGGAACTTTTACTATGCTGACTATATTTGAGGCGTCTGTCAGAGATCAAATTTTTTTAAGCTATAACTTAGTGTGCAATTTTGACAATCTTGGCGGAATGAAATTTCTCTGGAGAGACTTTTTTTTTGTTGAGGACGTCCTGAACGAGTTGTGCTCGAAGCAATTCAACGGAGTCGTCTGCCGAACATTCGAATACAACGAGATCTCCGATGGAAAATGGTAAATATTTCATCTGGACTCCTCTTCAGAACATTTTTTCTTCAACTTTTCAAACTGTATCGCTTCGAGTTGAACATTAGTTAAACCTTTTTTGGAAAAGGTAATTTATCTTGGAAGATTAGTAAACTGCATTTTAGCTGTGCCAGAAAACCGAAAGTTTGTTTCCTTGTCGAAGAGGTTGGAAGCCTGATCTTCAAAAGTGTAAAAATCTTTCTCTGTACTCTTGTGAAGGACCGGTAATGTTTACAAAAGAGTGGAGCTCAAGTTGAAAAAAGCTTCGAAACGATAACTTCCAGAAGCAGGAGTTTCGTTTTCAACGTTCCCTCAGAAAGGGAGCAACCTTGGATTTTCAGGTTCAAGTTGAGTGAGAACGAGAAGAAGCAGACGCGTCCGGTGATCGTCAACAACAACTTCTACGTCGGCGTCAAGCACAAGGAGTCGCGACAAGCCCTCGCTGGACTGTGGTTCCTGTCGACGCGCGGCCAGCACTGCCTCCTGGGCAAGACTCGTCGGATGCTCCGCGAGTTTTTCGAGCCGCCCGTCGTCGCTTAAACTGTCCGATTTCCCCCGAGAAGATAGTTTATCTCTGAATAACTGGAAGTAGTGTTGGATTCTTTCTCAATTCTAGTTAGCTTTTTGAAAAGTGACCGGTTCATGAATCAAGAAATTCACTAATTTGAAATGTTTTTGGAAAATATCTTTCAAACTGCTCTGGAATGTTTTTATTTCTTTCTCAAAACATGTATTTCCACCTTTTCTGGTTTCTTCATTGTTTTTTACGGGAATTTGTAAATTCACAAACTGCTTGAAGGGTCATGAAAAAAATAGCGAATTTTCATATTAATTTCTGAATTTTCACTCTAATGGTGAATAAATGAGTTATTGATTCCAATGACTTTTTTGATGAGAAGATCAATAAAAAACTAGAGATGGACGGTTTCGATGAACCACTAGTCTTGACCGTTGATGGACGAAAATAAGAAATACAGAATATTTCTGAAATTTCAATTTTAGGTTTCAAACTATGAATATTTTTTTCCAAATAACTTGACGTGAAAGTGTCGAAACCGCTGGTGATCGGGTTGGTTCAAGTGGGTTACAGCGTGTGAATTGACCAAACAAATCTTTGACCGATCGCTCGAGGCTCTTGATCGCCCATTACTTCCTTTGAGCTCTATTCCCTGTTCTTTTTGCTTTTTCTCTTTCTGAAGTATGATTTGGCGTTTATTTTGTTTCTTTTCTTTGCGAAAATGTAAGACAAAGTCGATCCCAACTTTTCATTTTGAGCGTTCCGAATGGGGCTCTACAAACGATCTTGGTTCGGATAGGTAACCAGGAAGTTTTTCAGACTCTCTGAAAACTTTCTTCTGCTATTAAACGGATCCGCACGTCTCCATGAGGGCCAAGAAAGAAGACAAGGTTGGAGTGGGCGGCAAAAAAGGAAAGAGACCCAAGGCTGAACGGTGGATTGCGTCGTCGTCGTCATTGCTCGCAGATTGCTTGGTCCTCGGGAGAAAATGTTTTCGGAGCACTCGCCGCCCACCGACCCAGCGTACGTCTCAATTGTCTTCTTGTTGCTTGAGGTCGAGGTGAAATCCGTTGGGAGTTTCAGCTTAATCTCGGACTCCTGCTTCGATTAGAGCTGTTTTTGATAACTCTTGAAAGGAAGAGCCGGAAACGGTTAAAAAAGGAAATCTTGTTACTTCTAGAAATTAATTTTCTTAGAAGGGCTTGAAACCATCCAGATAACTTTTTGAGAATCCGCCTGATAATTTTTCCCCCCTGATGGATCAGTCGTTTTTCGTTCTGCTTTTGCGTCTTCATTTTTTTTTTTACTCGTAATCTTTCTTATGAATCATGAGAATATCTTCCCGAGTGGAGGTCTGATGCGGAAAAAAAAGAAGTCGGTAAGCGAAGAAACGGAAAGGAATCTCGGCTCGGTTGGCACGTAATTTGATACTCTTTATCGCCTTCTTTTTCGACACTTCGCGTCTACTTTGTTTTTCACGGTCTCATGTTTGGAAAATTCGAATTTCTGATTTTCCTGAGTCTTTATCAGAATTAAAATTTAGACTAGCTATTTTCTTGTTGTTTTATCTCACTTTTCAAAAACGAAAAAAATTCGGTTCTGCGCGAAAAAAATGATAAGTATGCGAAAATTTCCTTGAAAAATACAAAAACTTTTTTTATTCATTTTTATCTGTTTTTTTTCTCGCAGTAAAAACGGCGTCAGTTTTCTCAAATAAAGTTTCAGAGATCTTTCTAGATTCTATAAACTGTCAACTCTTAAGCGGAGCCTTCACGTTAGCTGTGGGTCGCGTTTGTCCTCAACATACAATTTTTCTTTTTATTTTTCAAAAAAGATTTTTTAGTATAGTTTTCAAGCAAAAATTATGGCGTGTCTATCGGAGAAACGGAACATGTTTCAAAACGAGAAAGTTTTTTTTTCATCGGTTCCCCAAAGTTGCTCCAAAATAGTACGAATTTTTGTTTCGAAGCATTTACCTTTTGTCCGAAGAACACGCCATTACTATTTCACAGTGTTCCCAAACGAGCGGCAGCTGTGGTCAGTGGGCGTGGCTGACTGCAACAGCGGCCCGGTTTATTGCAATAGGGGCGCGGGGATGAGAGTCAAGTTTTGTGGATTTAGTGGTTGGAAAAAGACCATTAAATGATGTTTTTCCTAGGTTCTCGCAAGTTTTTCAAAGATTTTTTTAATGTGTATATAATTATAACGAACAAATTTAAATGAAGAAAGAGACGAAAAAAAGTTTTTTTGCAAAAACAAAAATATCTCCCAAAAATGTCGTTTTTTTAGGAAAAACTCGTCAAATCGAACTTCCAAAGGGAAAATGGAGAAAAAAAGCTCACAGCACTTCTCTTAAGAAATACCATTTGAACGTTTTAAAAACAAAAAAACAGATACATAATAGCTTGTACGAATAAAGCTGTCACCCAAAAGGACATTTTCAAGAATAAATTCGTCGAATACTGCCTCGAAAAATTTCGAGAAAAAAATCTCACAGCGTTTCTCTTAAGAAAGTCCATTTGAAAATTCTAAAAACAAAAACAAACGAAATATCTTATGCGAAATAAGTTGTCATCAAAAAAATGTCATTTTAATGCAAATTTCTGTGACGAGAACAATCGAAAAATCACTTCAAATCTCTGGAAAACGCGATAAACACGTTTTAAGAACACATACAACGTGAAAAAATACGAAAGAATGGTAAAATACGCAAGAAAAAGAGAAAAAACCGTATTAAAAGTGAATGAAATTTTGTGGGGGTGACACGCGCCGCACCGCGTTGCGTTAGAAAAAACTCGCGTTTTCGCCCCATTGCGACGACCTTTTTTTTGGCTTGCCGCCGTCTCTTTTGGAACACTGTGTATTTGACGGATGCTTTTTTTAGAGTTCTCGATTTGGTTGTCAAAAACTGTTAGAAAATTATTGGCATCACTTCCATCATTGAAATTGATTTTATTCATCGCTTTCTCCGTGCAATATGCACATAAAAAAGTCATTCTTTTTTTTTGTAGCTAGTTAAAAAAAATGAGAAACTTTTCTTTATTAAAATGTTTCTTGAAAAATTGCTTGAATTTGTGAATTTTGACGCGATATTTTGATGGTTTTGTAGGCGAACATCATTTTCACAGGTGCTACGTGCCATCTGTTGTTGTTCGAAATGTCTTTTTTTATTTTCAAGAGGTTGAATTCAAGGTTTTTTTTTTCTCAATCTTCTGACTTTGCGACGTTTTCTTCGTGCCTCACAGAGGTTTTTTCTTCGAGTTTAAAATGAATCTAGGACATTTTAATTCAGTTAAAGTTGTTTTAGAAGAAGTGGCGCCGCCCAGATGGAAGCCGTGTCGGCGACCTCTTCGGAGGCTTCGTCGGAGAAGAATTCGCGGGATTGGACCGAAGACTGGCTTCTGCCGACGCCCGACGTCGTTCCTCCAGACATCCACGTCATCCATTCTTGCTCTCCATCGCCGTCGGGATTCTTCCGAAGTTTGTCAATTTAGAGAATTTACTCTTTGAAATCGATTTGTCAGATTAGTCATTTTTGAATACTCGAACCAGGGGAAACCATAAATTATAATCAACGTTAAAGTTTATTTTTGAAGGTGCTCCGTGTTTTTGGTGTTCGAACAGCGGGCTAAATCATAAAATATTCAGGAAAACGGGGTGAAGCGTAGTAATAATAGAGCTGCAGCCTGCTTACCTGCTGAACTTCACCAAATCTTTGGAAACCTAGGAAATTTCGAAATATTTTTGAAGCAATGGTTGATGTAGAGTAAACTAGCATTGCAAGGGCATATCTTTTTTTTTCTTTGGAATTCGCAGCAAATCGATTGATCCACTTTTGTGAGAGGTACATAGAAGGTTTCATAGTCGCCAAAAATTTTATAGCTCCAGAAATATTTTTATATTCAAGTATGTGAGCCTATTTATTTTTCAGTACGTACAAGAGTATATCACGAAACTTTCTAAGAAATAACAAGCAAAAATTAAAAAGGAATTACCTGATTAAAACAAAAATTGTTTTCTCTTTTTTTCTATAGGTTATTTATGCCTGAAATTGTATTCAGCTTGAATAGAATCACGATATAAACCTTTTTTTTCCAACTTCTACTCTTTTTAAGAAGGCTTTAGCTTATGTTATTAGTAGAAATTTCTCACAATCGCAGCTGTATCCTATTCAAATTTTTTTTCCACGAAGGACTCGATAAAATTTTTTTTTTTTTTGAATTTACTTCTCCTGAAATTGTCACTAATAGCTGAACGGTTTCAGGTGACTGTCGTTATGTGTAGATTTTTATTCTTATCCAATTCCTTTTTGAAAGTCTCTTGTTCCATCACCCGATTGATTTCTGTAGAATCTTGAAACGATTGCGATTTCCTCGCTGTCGCTTCTCCAGAATCTCGTCGCCACGCCGTCATCCCTTAGGGTTTCTTGGCGGCGAATGGCAAACGAATGGAGGAAAGGTGGCTGCCTGGAAAGTTGACCCATGGGAATCTCGGCGGACCAACTCTATCTCATTTCGACACACTACGCCACCACATACAACGTATTGCTCTCGTTTCACTCCTTTAGGCTTCTCTTTGTTTTCTTATCTTCCTTTTTTGGGTTGCTCCGCCTGCTCCTCTGATGGACACTTCTTTTTTGATCGTCCTCTCGTTGTCCTCATCCACTTTTTCGAAGTTACAGAATACTTAGACTTAGAAATACTTAGAAATAACTTAAAACTCATGTTTAAGGTTCTTTTAAGAGTTTTTGGTTTTTGAGTTACTCTAAAAAATCTTTTCTCACACTGTTTTGCTATTTGCGTTAAGAATCTTATTAGAGGTCATTTGAGATGGAAGAAAATAAAATTAAAATTTTAAAGAGTAAAAAAATCGCGCCAGATTCGAGTGTTAAAATTATCATCGCCTCTATGTTCGTTGTGCCATGAATTGATTTGAATAACGTTTTTTGAGCTTGACTTGACGTCAAGGGCAAAATTTCTGACTCAAAAACAGCTCACAGTAGATAGTAGGCTAGAATGATGCTGAAAACGAGAAAGTAAGAGTCTCAGAGATCAGTCGAATAGTAAAGGATCGATTTCCAGATTTTTTTTTTTCGCTAAATGCTCTAGAAAGTCATCGATTAATAAATAGAAAGCACGGCAATCGATAAGAAAAGGAATAATGAGGCTGGTCCCGAAGGCGACGTTTAAGCGGAAAAAAGGGCTGAGCCTCCGGCGGCTCTCGCGGCTGTTGTAAGAATCCGTCGTCGCCGCAGCTTCACTATGACGTTTAACATTGTGTTCAGTCAATTGATTTTTTCTTCTTTAGATTGGAGTTTTATGTTTTCAGGTCAAGTAGCCGAAAAGTCTCGCATCCTTCATGCATTTCAACCCTTTTTTCATTTACTTTTTCTTCTTCAAAACCTCTTTTCGAGGTCAGCTCCTTGTCTGACTCGGAAACTACTTGCATTTAAGGACGGAGTTAAAATTATATGTTTACATAGATCATTTGCTTCCTTCCTTTTGTAAAGAATGAAGTATTTTCTAATTAAAGGTAACCCAAGAAAAAGACTATCAAAAGTACTTAAAAAGGTTCTTAATTTGCGAGAATACACCTTCTACCCCTATTCAACGGAAAATCAGTCTTCCGTTACTCATGGTCGAATCTTGTGTGTGTTTTTTCACACAAAAGAGCTGTTGAATGTCAATTTTCAAGCCTTTCCTGCACATTGGCTGACAGGTTTTTCCGGTTCTCTTTGAGATTTCAGTTAATAATCGATTCTACCGAGTAATTTACCTAGGCTGATTATCCGTTGAAGATTCAACACAGTTATCTAGTTTCAGTCAGGGTTACCCCTCGAGGAGAAAAATACGGTTTTGTTTACATTTTTGGTCTGCAGAGTTTTCCGTGGCTATAATCCACGGAAAGAAACATCAATGGTTGCTGGAGGCGCCTTTTTGTGCCTCTGCCAATTTTGGAATTCACGCATTCGTTCATGTTTGTGAATATTTCACTGAAAACACTGCTCGAAATTCCTGTCTCCAATCTCAAATTCATTTTTATACGTCCAAAATGAAAAAAAAAGGAAAAGAAAGCTGATTTGTAATTTAGTTGGATATTTTCGAATTCGGAAAACCAATGTTTTTATCTTCTTTTTTTTTCAAAAAGTGTAAGTCAGCATCAGACGACAGATATGTAATAATTCGAAAAAGATTAATTTCCGATATAGCTCTTCTTTTCAAACGTTTTTCCCTTATCCACTGCGCTTCAAAGAGCCATGTAATTCAAATAAGTTTAGAAGAATTCATGAAGTTCTTTGAATATGTTTTTTTTTCTTTTCAAAGCTTTTCGTTATGTTTTTTCGGAGATCGCAAAAAAAAGATTTCCACTTTTTCTTGTAAAAATTATTCATAATATCTTCCATATGTTCGAGCTATTCTTTTTCGACTCCAATGAAATAAATGGTTTTGAAGCCGCTTCTCTGGACAAAACCCCCGGATCATTTCAAAAGCGCCACAGGCGGTTGATGAATGGACTTTACAACCCACTATCAATAGGTGCCAAAAATCTGTCACGTATTTCTTCATTTTCCTCAGTTGAGTTCACAAGAAAAAGTTGGTCTCAAAAATTTTGAGGACATAATTCATGTTGGAAGATTGGGAAAGTGTTTTTTGAAGCAAAGCGTTGAAACGTCTCGCTTTTCTGCTCGCTGTGGTGGACGAAACGAGCGAAATTCCGGCCCAAAAGCAGCCGACCTCACATTTTGTTCTCTCAAGTGCATTACGTGGAGTTTCCTGAGGTGTTCCGTCTGTAAGGCTTCTTCTGAAATAATAATCTTCCTTCAGTTTCTCCGCATACATTTCCCTTTTTCGCTTTCTTTTAACTCACTTCACACTGCTTCTGTTCAATTTCTAACCTCACCAAAACTAGTTGAGACTCGTAACCGGAGCTGCTCCCTCTGAGCGCCGGCGACACCTGTCGTTGCTTCGAAATTTGCCTCGTCGTTCATTTTTCTTCGCCAAACAACAAAGTTTGCATCGTATCGTTCCCAACAGCTGATTTCCGTGTCCGTCGGCCGCGTGTCTAGCCAAGCTGGAGGATGACGGAGTCGTCGCCGGAGCCGCTGGACGACGTCGATCCGGAGATGCGGTCGACGCGGCGTGTCGTTCGCTGGTCGTCGATGCGGGAGGAGACGCGCGACGCCAACGGACTCCGACGCAACGTCACCTTGCCTGGGATGTCGCGTCGGGGACGACGTCTGCGCAACGGAGCAGGTCTGCCACTGGGAGTGATCTGACCAAGAGTTTTTTTTTTCGGTTAACTTTTATTTTGATCTGCGCCGAAACCTTTTTCTAGCGCTTATCCGGCTTCATTTTGGCTCAAAAGAAAGCTCTCAAGTTTAGAAAAGTTTTTCAATATGTATTCGTTTCTGGCAATTAATTTTTTTATATGAAATTTTTGATTTTCTGAAAATCCCCTAGACGTTATTTGAAGGTGTACACTAAGATCTTCTACAGCCGCCTGTGCAAACTATACAAATTCGTATTTATTCGATTTTCTCATACTCTTCTCGGATTTCTGGAATGGTAAAAGTTTGAGATTTTTAGAAATAATTAGGGAATCTATAGTTTTCATTGAAAAAGCTATGTTTTTTGAAACAGTTTCATTCCCGGCTTTTCCCCTCCAAATTTAGATAGTTCATTTTTTCCTTCAAAGCTTGTCGGTTTCAGAATTATTCATTGGTGGGAAAGGACAGGTTTGGGTGGAATCGAAAATTATCCTGTATTTTTTGAATTTCAAAAATGTGAAAAAGAGATTTTTGTAACGAAGACAGTTAAGTAAGGTTGATAGATTTTTCACTCTTCAAGACTAATTCAATTATTTTTATTCTGCGCTTAGTTTTTGTCTTTAATACCTATTTATTGTAGAATTTACCCATTGTCTTTTTTTCCCTTTTGATTTAAGAAGTTATTTGTGGGAGGTTCAAAAAGCTTCAGGAATGTCTTACTTTTCGATGGTTCTGAGAACCTATCGACTATTCGAATGATTTTCAAAGATGGCGTTCTTCCTTTTTTTTTTCAAAACTATTCTTGAATCGCTTTGAAATACTTTTGAACTTAAGGTAAAATAAAGTAAAAAAATTTATTAACTGACTTTTGGCTACAGTATTCAGAGGTCTATGATCTGGAAATCGGAATGATCAATGGTATCGATTTTTAGTAGTGGGAGTTAAGCGACCGTGTGGAATAGCCATTCCTGGGCAAACTATCAATTTAAGATTTTTTTTTTCTTGGGAAAAAATAAGTTTACGAAAAGCTAGAAGAGGCTCAACTTTTAGGTATTCAAAAAAAGTGGAAATGGGTGGTGGTCGGCGGGGATATAAAAATGAGAGCCGAAAAAAGGGAATTGCAGATGAGGACGTGCACTCGTTCAGCGGCCACAGCTTCCTGCGAGTTCCTGGCATCTCAGGCAGGAATTCGCCGAGCGTCGCCTCGATGAGCTCCGAGCCGGAGTCGTGCATCGACGACGTCCGCTTCATCAACGACGAGGACGACGTCGACATCGGTCAGTCTTCTTTTTTTCTTTTTTCTTCTTGTTTTTACTTTCTGCTTCTTTTTTGGGACAGTATCAAAGATGTTTTCAGTCAGAACTAAACGTATGAACGTATCGTAAAATTTATAACCTTATTTTTTTTCGCATTTTGTTGAAGTTTATCTGTACAATGGTTGGACTTCTTTTTTCTTTCTATTTTTTTAAAACTTTTTTTTCGGTTTCTCTTTAAATGTTTAAAGAAACTATCGGTTTTCACCATTTCCTACTACCTGCGAAGAAGTTTCTTTTTAAAATATTTTTTCAATGGTTTCGTTTTTTTTTAATTGAAATGCTTTCTTTCATCTTTTCATCTCTGTTTTCTGTTTTCTCTATTTTCAAGTTTTCCGAACAATGATTCTAGAATCAAGAAATATTATTAACGAAAGTCTGACTTGTTTTGAAAAAAAAAACGTTTGATATATTTTTCGGATGAAATAAAAAGGAAGAATTTCTATGTAATGTGTTGGACGCTCACATCGCGTTCAAGCGTCAGTCATCAAACGTTTTCATCCGTGAATTTGCGTTCGCATGACGCGAGTTCGGATCCCCTGAGCGGCGGTATGTCGCTTGCAGAAGTAGATGGTCCACGTCATTGAGCTTCTCCTTCTCTTCTTCTGCTTTAGATTGGACCTTGGATGAAATGAAACGAGTTTGCGTTCAATTCCAGAGAACACTCGGCTCAAAATATCTCCGTGAAAAACAGTTCATTTTCTTGATTGATGTACACCAGCTACTCATGTTCGAAGCTTTATTTCGTGTACAATGGCCGGTTGAGTTCGATATTTGACTTGCTAGAGTTGGTTCCAAACTCGGTAACCTGTGATAATTGCCGGAGATGAGGTGGGTGGCGCTTGTTGCCAAATATCGACAGCGTAGGCAATTTGCCAACAACGACGACGACTGCCTCAGAAATTGATGTCACCTCTTCTTCCTTTTTTTGCCCCTCCGCTTTTCAACACTTTGGCCGTCTTTCAGCGGCTTTTGTCGGTCCGAATTCCGCCTTTCTCACACATCCTTTCTCTGACTTCTACCTTCGCTCATCTAACAAACTTTTCAAAACGCTCGAAAATTCTCCTTTTCCGTTGGTTTTCATTTTTTTTCGAATTTGATTTTCATCAAACTTTCAGTTTTTGTTCCTTCTATATCAGATAAAATTCTTCTGAAAAATCAGTCAATTAATTCCCGATGATGTTGGAATCTAGAGAAGACGCTTTGCGGTTGAACTTTGATACTCTTCTGTAGAATAGAAGTATAAAGTTTCCCAGCAAAAATGAGTTTGAATTGAGCTCCAGGTTCTCATAATGCTTGCACGTGGACTGAATCAAGCGGAAATTTGGAAGTTTTGAGTTCTCGATTATTTTCCTTCCTGTCTGACGCGCACTAGCAATAGCCCATACGTCAACTTTTCTTTTTATTACCTCGACAGCTTCTATTACCGCTTCAACTCAAGTCGGCTCAGTGAATCTGGAAGAAGAGAAACAAGATTGAGTGGGCTCACCCACGACGGCTGGTTGGTCATCCAGGAGACTGAGTTTCGGAGCGAACAGGCTCGGTGGCTCCCGCGGGAGCGTCATACTACGTCTCGGCTCTTTTGCGTATGGATATCTTTCCATCCGAACCCTTCAGAACGCTTTAAAATTCATTAGTTGGTTTTTCAAATGTTCTTTAATTTTGTTCTGCTCATTTTTGACCTCTTTTCAAAAGAAGAGCGATTGTAAGGCCACGCCTACATTTCTTAACGGCCAATGAGATGAATTGGCCACGCCCAAGAACTGTCTTATTGGAAATAATGCTGTTAAAAGCAAATCATGCGACTGAAAAATCATCATTCGACTGGAATTTTCGAATATGCTTGAATGAGAAAAGAGTTTTTTTTTTGATGGAACTCTGGTTTTGACGGCTTTCCCACCGTGTTTCTCGTTCTTCAACCTGAACTGAATTCAAAATTCATCTTCTCCATCTTGAAAAGTTCTGAAACTCGTGTTCTCTCACAAGATTATTCGATGAAAGACTCGTGAGTCAGGTTCAGGCACGCTCGATTTATCGCCGAAACTGGAGAACAAACGACGGCATTTCAGCCAATTACACGTTACATCTGCTTGATCTCTTCTTCAAGCTTTTTCATAGCTCAAATTTTTTTTCACCTTCTTCCGTTATACTTTTTCTTCCGAGAAGTTCCGATTCCATTTTATTTTAGTTTAGATAACCTGAAATGTATGGTCAGTCCCTAAAATGCAGTTTGAGCTCTAGTCTTTGAGGAAATCTCGTGAGAAACTCGGGGGCCACTTGCCGTTGTTCACGCGATCGCCGTGTTCATCAGAAGCTCGAGAATGGACTGGAGGACTTGTGTGTGTGTATGCAGGCGAGGGTCGTCCTTTCCGGAGTTGTTGGCACCTCGGATGGCACAATATTTGAAACTCGATCGTCGCGTGGGCACAAGAAGAAGCAGAAGAAAAAGAAGAAGAAACTTGCTAACTCTTACCCCTGCTCCTTTCCTTTTTGCTTCGTCCTCAACCGCCGTCGGCTTCGTGGGACTCGTCCTTCGCCGCCGTCGTCCAAATTTCATTTCTCTAGCACCCTTTATTTAAACGTGTTTTCTCAGCTGTTTGAAAAATCTTTGTTAAACGGAAGATAAGCATTTTCGTTTTTTTTTTCTTATTTTGGCGCGAGTGTTTCTTTTTCAACTTCTCACAAAGATCATAAAGAGAGATTAGAATTAGAGTATAGTATAGTCTGTTGAAAAATCCTCACTGAGAAGATTAAGTAGGTAAACGAATTTTGTAAAAGTACCACGAAAAATCGTAGTTCTGCAATACTATTTGAAGTCATACAAGACTTGAAGATCGAAGATTTTCGAACGACCTTAAAAAAAAATTTTAGCAGTTTTCTTTCCATGACTCTTAAATAAGCTCATCTTCATCCAACTGATTTGATGAGATACCTATTTTTCGAAGAAAGTTTCAAGATTTTGAAAAATAATGATCGAATTCCGTTTAAGGTCTCTCTTAAGCTCGTTTTTTAATGAGATAATCAGAATTACAGTTAAAGCCAGACATAACTTGCGTTTTTGTTTCTTCACCTTTCTGAAGTTTTCATAGGATGATATAGAAACGGTAGTGGTAGAAATGTTAAATGAATTTTGAGAAGGATGAACTGAGAGTGAAGTTGTGCTTAAGTGTAGTTTAGCTAAGGTAAAATTTCAATAATCTTTTTTTTGAATTTTTTCGACAGGGAAAATTTTGACCATTTTGAAGACATTTTTTCAAGATTTTAGTCAATTCCCTCTCGAAGCCGTCAATTTTAGATCCTAAACGGTTTGTTGTTAATTTAAAAAAAAGGGTTTCTTTCTTATTAATTCAGTTGGCTCACTTATTTAAGGATATTCTATTCCGAAAGGTCAAAGGAGCGTGAAAATCGGAATGTTTTTTTGGGGATTTGACTTACCCAAAGATTAGAAGCTTCTCCGGCAGTAGGTATGCATGGCCGAGCCTCGATTGCGCTGCTCTTCTTGCGTTTTGAAATAAAACAAAGGGGCGAAAAGCCGTCGGCTCGACTTTGCTGTTGGCGGAAATGCTCTTTTTTGCTTTGTTTTCATCTCACATCCACCCCCGCCGGAGGCTTTATATCTTGCGCAAATAATATCGCCGCATAACTCTGCATCTGAAATGTAACGTCTCCATCTGCGCCGTCGGTCGGGTTTTTTTCCTTCGGATTTGAGCCCGAAATGAATTCTCCTGGCCAAGCTAAATGAGCTTACTACCTTCTTCCGCGCCTTACTTTGCGACATCCTATTTTGCTTCTTTTTTTTTCAACACGCCGATTTTGATCAACTAATTGTCTCGTTAAGGTTTCTTTTGGATAAGTCTCCTTCACAAATTCAATTTTTTTTATTGACTTTAATATGTTTTGAAACACATCTTAAGGTTTTTTTGAAGACAAATCAAATCAATCAAATCATTTATTTTGTTGTTTTAGTCCGATGTAATCGACTAGGCGGTGAACAAGAACTTTAAAAGCTATAACGAACAACCGCCTTTGGCGAGCTAGACGTCCAAACGTGTAGTCGAAAGAGTTGAAAGCATGTTCTTACGGTCCTTCGTCTTGTCCTTCTGCGCGTAGTCCATCCAGTTGCGCCTTGACCAGCTCAGAATGTAGTGGATGTTGAGCTGGAGCCCGGAGACCGTGCTCTAGGTGGAAGCCTCAGAAGGAGAGCGACCACTTCGAGTGAAGATTTTACACGGAATCTGAACACTGAACATTTTTTTAAAATTTTATCACATTTGATAATATTTTCATTGTGCTCAACTATATGGGAAAATTCGTGACCTAGCGAAAATTAGCGCTTTTGTGAAGAACCAACAAGTGTTTCTGAGCAAGTCCTACTCATTTTTTGTTTTTTTTTTTTGTGAATTACAGAAAAAGTTTACTTTGAAGGTTCCTATTTGAAAGGGCTACTACTTTTTGATCTTTTCATGAATTTTGTGAAATTGTTATGATTTTTCGTTAAAAACTATTCTCTTGATTCGATTGATTAGCTGTTTTTTTTGTAGATTTTTATAACAGCGTTTCATTCATATTTCCTTCATTCTATGATCTTAATCATTTAAGTTAATATTAAATTACTCTTGTGTTCCATTTCAGTTTTGGACCATTCTAGTTTGTTTTTTTCTCGCTAGTTGTTTTGACCTACTCACTTTTTTTCGCGAAATTCTTTGAAGTATTTTTTTCTCTTTGAGTTATGAAATCTTTTTCAAACCTGAGAATAAACAAATTTTTAAATTGCAATGGAATATCCTAGTTACCACGTTTTGAAGTTTAAATAGAAGAATTTTTAACTTAGTGGAAGCTTCTTTTCTAGAAGAAGATTTTCAAATGCGTCTCCAAACACTTAAACTTCTTTCTTTTTTTTTCCTTCTTTGCCGAATAAGTAATAAACGAGAAGAAGGTGCGAGGAAAAGTGAGTAAGAAGAGAAAATCAACAGGGTCTAGGGTAAAACGCAGCAAACATGCAAATTCCCGCCTCGCCAAGGCGATTCAGCTCTTAACGCGTCCTGAAAGCCGTCTTCGGACCGTTGGATTGTCGACTTTCGTTTTCTCTTTTTTTTTCCATTTTCTCATTGTAAAGAGATTCGGTCTGACTTGTGAACCTTAGAACCTCGAAAGTCGTCAAAGCACTATTCGATATTCTGAATGAAGATACCGAAAATTGAACTAGTACAGCTCATGTTTTTGAAATCCGTCCTCTATAATTAAAAAATTTGCATTTCTCAAAAAAAGTTGTCAATCACAGCAATGATTTTTTTAGTTTCCACAAATATTCGCAGTCGTAAGTGAAAACACCTTTCCGGTTAAAGTAACGACTCGAGAGTTTGCCTACAGAGGCTTCTTCTGCCATTTTTTTGTGAACTTCTAGAACTTTTTAGAGCAAATCTGAAAGTTCTAAAGTGGAAGGAGTTTTTTTCCGTATAAAAATGAGTAAATCATAAACGCTGTTTTTCTCCATGAAGTAAGGGCTGTGCGATGGAGGTTCATGCTCATTACCTACGAACCTTTTTTTCACTTCCTGCAATTGATCGTTTGAAAAAGTGAAGACTCTGCGAATCCGTGCGTGTGCGTTCATTCCATCATGAGGGACCAACAAAAAAGAAAAAAAAAACAAATGAAAACGCTCATTTTTGGAAGGGCCGGCGCGCCGATTGGTTTCTTCGTGGCTCTTCATATTTCACTGCTATGTTCCTTTTACGAGCCGACTTTTCATTTCGATCTTCTGTATCATTATGTACATGAATGAAGGTTTCGATGACGTTTTAGTGGAAACGATAGATCAAAAACAAAAGATATTATTTGGCCGACAAGCTCATAAATTTTGTCATCGTCTTTATTTGTCTGGCACGGCAGTTTCAATGATTTTTTCGTTATGAGCTTCTTGGATCTTCTAGTACGTTATAAATAAACTTGGGGTGGAAAGTAGAAGAACCTGAAGGTTTAAAAGTCTTCTCGTTCTCATGTTATGAAGGCCTTTTTCACCTTTCTAGGTTAAGAGGTATTTCTTTTTGGAGTTGAGTATCTGACTGGATAAAGTTCATCGATATCGATCTGCGGCTGAGCCGCCGCCTTCGCCACATGCTTACATCAAATAGTAATAAAGAATCTGAGGCAACAACTGTCTTTTGTTTTTTTTTTTCGACCGCATAAGCTGTTTAACGCAGTTTCTCATTACTGACAAGTGTTCGAGTTATCGTTTATCTTCTTTTTTGCGAGCTCAGTCGATTAGTTCCTCTCAAGTTTGTTCCGATCACAAAAGTTTTCTTCTTCGCCTTGCTTTTGCTATGATTTTTTGGTTTCGGTTTTTTTTTTACTTCAGTTCTTTTCATAGTATTCAAGTATTCAAAGTCAGAGAATATTTTTTGTTCTGACTATGCAATTTTATCCGCTTGCTCGAAAGCTTCGGAAATCATTTAATATTTTCAGTCATTGTCCGCGTGGAAAGTTATGATCCCTTAGGGTCGAACAATGTCCACGCAATCTCATCCGTTGAAATATTTGCCACGTCGGACTTCTTTTAATGATTTTTGAGCATTTCGATATTCTTGCTTTTTACAAAGCCTGAGCTTTTTGCCCATCCCATTTCCATCAGCAGCTTTTGTCAAACGTAGCGACCACGTCGTCCAACAATAAGAGCAATCCATCATAAGTTGATCTGTCGAAAAAAAGCGACGAAGAGCCGCGATTGTTTGGACGCACCTCTCAGTTTTCTTTTTCATACCGACTATTGGTTCAGCAATATTTCGAAATTTTTTTTTTGTTCCTAAGTCAAGATAGTTTTCCTCAAATTATTTTATTTTTACGGCCGGTCTCAAATGCGACGACGAAATTAGATTAAGGGTTGTAATCTTTTCGAGAGATCAGAGAAATTTTTGTTTGAACTTAAAAAAAGAGTTGATTTTTCAAAGTTTTCGAATCACTTAGGCCAACTGAAGAAGTATTTTTCCATTGAAAGGGATTTCTATACATTTTAAAAGAGGCATACCTTTACTTTTTTTAAAAACGTCAGAGCTGTCTCTGATAAGCTAGATGATATTCAAGAAGTGCAAAACTTGGTGCTCTGCAACGCTCGAAAGCTCTTTTTCTCACATTATTCTAGAAATCTTGAAGCTCCCGCTCTCGAAAAAAGAAAGTTTTGAAGGTTTTGGTATGAACCACATCATGTTTTTAAACAATTAGGATACATTTCAAGGTGCATTTTTTTAAAGATGGTGTCTCAACTTGCAAACACTTCTCTATTTTAGAGAAGTACCTTAAAAAGTTTTTTTTCCTGACCTCCTTTCTCTGTGAGCTTTAGACCGTTTTCCCAGAACCTCAAAGGATAGATTTAATTTGGCAAGTCCCAAGTATTCCCCAGTTTTTTCTCACTGTGCAGCCAATCAATTTTCTGCATGGCGCTAACAAACGACCAGCATGTCGAGGGTGGGCCGCAGAGTCTTTTGTAACTGCCGACAGCTGCCAGTCACGAGATCACGTAAAACACGTCGGAGAACACTCAACAGAACATGTGGAATGCGTCTTCCGGTGTGAATTTACATGCCCACAAATTGGTTATTGAATGTACGACGTTTCAAAACGTCGGATAAGTATCGACCATTTTCAAAGCGGACGACGAAACTTTTATTAATCAACACGTTCTTCTTGCCATGTAGGATATACGTGAAAGAAGAGATGGTCTGCAAAAAACAGGCTTTTTAAATGGCTTGTGCATTTTTGAGATCCGTTTGGTAATTAAATGCGGTTAGACGGGCCAAGGGGATGAACAAGGCTCGAAATCGCGCTTCCTAGCTTCTTTTTTTCGGCCAACACACGTGCCTCACCTAATTTGGCCACATTTTTCAACCAATCCATCTCGTTTGCACACCTCCCACGCAGAACAGAAACTTTGCCTTTTTTTGAGTCGGCCGACAAATTCGCCAAGTCCGCGTGTCCGCCGAGGCTTCTGCCAACGTCTTGTCAATCGACGCCAACAGAGTTCCGACGTCGCCTTCTTTTCCCACACAAATTTGTTCCTGTTGCATCGCTTTCACTGCACTTTTTGCATTTTTCTATTGCTTCCCTGTCTTTCATTACCAAGTGCAAGAGGTGCTAAACAGAAGAAGTTCAATCATGTCTGAGAAATCGGGAGAAATCTCAATTTGTCGGACAACACCGATTGATCACACCTCGACAGCCGGCAGCTGCTCGTTTCATTTGGCCAATTTCGCGTGATTATTTTATTTGATCTGCCTTTCGACACATTTTCCATCTTTTCGAGGGAACATCAAAATTCAAGAGTGTCTTACGTAAAGCTTTTTGGGGGTCTGCCTGCTCGGGCCAGGTCGAGCTTCGTAAAAATTTTTAATTCTATTTTAAATTCTAATAAATAAATTTTTTACCGAAAAATATTTTTACTTGTTAAATCATAATTTTTGATGAACTCTAAAAGAAAAAAAAAAGAAAACTGACTTTTGTCGCAAAAAAGCTCGATATTCGACTTGAAGAAAGTTCGAGCTTTTTAGACCGGTCCGGCCATTTTTGCTTGAGGCCTCTTTAACGCCGGGCCGGGCTTAAAAAAAACCCGGTGGCCCGATAAGCTTACTGGCCGGCCCTCGCACAATCCTGGGGGTCTGATAGATTTTAAGTGAAATCGCTAATCTCCCAATAGCTCACACGATTTTTTTCTGGCATTTAAAGCATTTACAATTTTATAGAGGTCTCGAAGCGAATAAATGGCTTCAGATTCACTTTAAGTTTTTTTCACATCTCTGCGGAATGCATTTGGAACAGACAGTACGCTTTCCAATTTGTAACTTTTTCCCATTCTTCAAATCCAAAAGTATCCGATGATAGCTTCATGTCAAGGAACCATGTGATATGTAAATTTCATGAAAAATCTGTTAAGTATCATGATTTTCTACAAAAAGAGGTTTTCGAAAGTTGAATCAAGACCAAAACAAAGCCCCCGATGGACTCAAAGGATTCGTGGACTTGCACAACTTCTGAGCTCTTCTTCCGATATCCAGGGCCGTTCGTCGTCGTTTTTTTTTCTTTATTCGCCGCCCTTCTCGGCATCCTTTTTAATTGCTTTACGTGAAGGGATGTGCGTGTGCGAGGGTGTTGTTTGAGCGCTCACACTCACCAAGCCCAAACGCATTTCTAATTTTCAATTTTGCCTCATCGTCCTCCCCCAATCCATTTTATGAACATTTTCTACCCATCATCCGCCTTGTTTCAATTCATTCCCTATACTTTCCTTCTCATGAACCGCCACATGCACACCTCTCTACATGAGTTCTTTTTCTTCTCGGCCGGAACTCTTCTTTGAAGAGGTTCTGAAGTTGAGAGTCTCTACGTCTATAGTCTGATCAAGAACGCTCGCTGCGCTCAGAGGCGTCAAATCTGCAGGAAAAAGTTTCGATCGTTCATAGTGAAGGATCTGAAGTTCTTTCAACAATGATCCATCGGTCAAATATATTCTTTGATTTGGTAAAAACAACATACTTTACCTGGGATGTGATCTAACTGAATGCGACTGAGAATAGACTGGAAATCGCGTCAAGTAATGTTGGAATCAAGGTCAAACTTACCTTTCATTGGTTTCATTTTCGAAGGAAGATCAGTGATAGGCTCTAAGGAAACCAAAACAAAGTCAAAGGTTTCTTAAATTCGAAGAATTTCCCAGTATTTCTACTCTGAATTCACAGATTTGCGGTTTGTCTATTTGATTCGTCTTCCTTTTTTTTCACTTTTCACTTTTCGATTCAGATTAATGATAATATTTAGTTAGAGTGATATTAGAGTGATATAGTAATAATAAAAGTTAGAGTTACAATGAAATGAGCTTTGGAAGTTGAAAAGTTCTGAAGAAGTTTTTTTTTGGTATCTCTCCCTTTTTCCGATTTCTTCCGATCACATTCTTAAAATAATTATCCATTCTTCAGAAAGAACTCTCTGCTGAATCTTGGAATAATTGAAGAATTATTTGTCTGTTTGCGAAACATTTGTTGCTCAAAAACTGCGAGTAAAAAATGTTGCCCTTCTTGAGCTTCTTGAGCAGTTAACGGGTTATGAGCTTTCTCTCAATCAGCTACTTCTCCATGTAGAAGAACTAAGGCGCCCCGCTTGTCCAGGGCTGACGGAAGTCGAATTAAAGCTCAAGCGAGAGCGGAAAGGAAGACCGACCGTTCGGTAGGTAGAAACAAGGTATTATTTATCAGCAGTACTTTTAACTATAAAAATAGTTTGAAGGAATTTTTTTTCAAGTTCTTTTCTAACAGAGAAGTTTAATCCTCCTATTTGACCTTCAACTTTGTGATCAAACTTCCCTGACACTTTATGAGGAAAATCCAGTTCTAAATTTTTCGTATGTCTGTATATTAACAAATCTTCAAGGAAACGTTATTGCGGACTGAGTTTTGAGGATCTGCATTAGTTTTAGCGGTATTTGAAGATTCCTTCTCCCGATCTTAACGTACATTGCATTTTCTTAACGTAGACTGTATTTGAGAACTTCTCGAAATTCGAAGAAAGCAAGAAACTCAAGAAATGTTTAGTCTTATCTTTCCTTTTCTTCGACAACGATTTTTTTTAATGAATCTTCCATGTTTGAATTGTTTCTTTCCAACTTGTTCCGTTTATCGAACTCGATGCGCCCCGAGCAGGTCAACCTCCAAGAAGTTCAGAAATGAGTTGGCCATGACGACGCCGGATTCGGAAAGCGTCGAGCTGTTCTGTGGGTCTGACCCACCTTCGGCGCCGCTCACATTCCGTGCTCCTGCGACGACGGTCGTTTCCAACTGCGCCAAGTCTATCATCGACCGAAAACTGCGCAAGTATGCGTCGGAGACGTCTTTCGCCACGGAGACGGCCAGCGAGAGCAGTTTGGAACGCGAGGTGCCAAGTCGAACGAGGGTCTTCACCGTACGGCCAGTGCCGCGAGCCAATGGAGGCGGCGTCGTGGCGGCCAACACCAGAAGACGTCGACTCGACTCGGACGCTTCTGGAAGCGCCAACAGCGAGGCGACCGTTGCCAGCGGCACGATGACTCCGAGACGAGTGTTCCGAAGGCCGAAGAGCACCAGCGAAATGCACCAGTCCTGCACGAGTGCCACCATTCACTCGTTGGAAAGCGCTCATCAGACCGACCGACGTCCTTCTCACGTCTACATGATCGACGACGACAGCGTCCACGAGTTTGAAGACGATGATGGTCAGTTTTTATTTTTTTATCCTTGTTATCCAAAGTCGGGTAACGGCCATCATCCGAAGTCGTTACTAAAAAGTGAGGGATGATATTGTTTAGATATTTTTTTTTAATTTTTTTTAAATAAAGTAAAAAAATTTCAATTTTATGTTGTGAAAGCACATCTTTGAAATTAAAAAAACTCCTTTTTCGAAACTCTGTCTAACCTTACCCAAAAAAAGGCGATCGAATCCATTTTTGGATTAAAGGTCAGATCTGAATATGTATTTGAAAAATGGAAAAATTCATGTGCAAAAAAATGCCAAATTAACAATCAAAAATCGATGGAACAAGGTCAAGATAAAAAAATTTTTTTGAAAGTTTTTTTCATAAAAGGTTTGGTAAGAAAAAAGGCCTTTTTTTCGAGCCTTTGATGTTTTAAGAATTTCGTAAATTTTTTTTTGTTCAAAGTTCGAAATTTTATTTATTTTCTTTTTCGGTGAGGTTTTACCATGACTTTTTTTGCAGGTGAAGCTTCCCTCCGAATTCGTTAAGAAATTTGCTTTTTTTATATCTTAAATCGAATTTCAAAGGTTTTGTTAATTGATTGATTGTTTTAGCTCAAAATGTATGGCTTACGAAATAACGAAAACTTTCAAATATCTTAAAGGTAAAAATCATTGGTTTCCTTATATTTTTTTCAGTTATGATTTTAACTATTCCGATATTTTGACCAGAAATTCAAATTTCAAGAGATTTTTACTTTTTTATATTCTGTTTTTGATATTTTACACGCTGGTTTGATAATCTTACAATTGGCGATCAACAGTAATCTAGGAGATATGGAAGCATAACTTTTCGAAACCATTTATTACCTTTCCTTCTGGGAATGAAGCTCCACTTTTAAAAAGCACTGAAAAAGAACTCTGCCAACTCACTTTTCATGAGAAATTTAAAATATCCCATGCAAAGTCTTCCTTAGCGCCATTCCAACGTTGCCTCAGAACTTTTTTATACTTCATAGATTTTTCAAAGCTGAAAAGAGAGAAATTTGCGTTCTCTTCAAGTTTCGAATCGAATTACTTTCTGAGCGTGTAGTTCGGGATTTCAAAAGAATCGCGATGCCCAATTTCCTCCATCCTTTCGAGTTTCCAAGCAGTGGAAAATGATTCATGTCTTCTTGCACTTTAATAACACACACAGGAAAGAAACTCATAATTCACAAGGATAATGATGGAGAGCGGTTTTTTTTCTTCTGACATATGGACTTTTGTTGGAATACGCCGACGTTTTTCATTTAGAATACTGGCATCGAAGCACAGTCAATTATAGCTTTCGAACATTAATTAATAGCTTTCCTTGTACTCTTTTTTTCATTCAATTTTTCACATTTGTTAGCGACAAGGAGCATGATGAAACTGAGCTCCAGATCTTTAGAGCTTGGAGTCCACTGACCGTTTTTATAGAAAACAATTTGTGGGTTTCTTTTTTTGCATATATTTTTCTTCAACCGGAAAAAAACCATTAATAAAAAATTTCCTAAAGATAAATGAAATATTCAGATTCTGTATAATTTTAGATTTTTGTGTCAGTTCCGGGCTTTTCTACATATTCAATCAGAAAATAATAATCTCAAAATAATGGGCCTGAAGCCGCAATGCGAAAACAAATAGCGAAATCCACAAGAGCTAATTACATAACCATGACGTTATGAACTTAACGGGTACCTAAAGGATGCTCATGGAAGATCATTTGGAAGCCTAATCTCCTGACTTGATCGCCATGTCTCTTCGAGCTGTCGTCGGCGAGTGAAAACGACGACGAGTGGCGGAGATGTGGGCGGGGCGGAAAGGGACTCAAAGAAGGAAAAAAAGCATCGCGGCGGCGAGCTCACCCTCCACCCTCTTTCCTCTGAAGCGAGAAGAGCGGTTGGAGAGAAGGAGACCAAACTAGTCGATGATGTTGGAGCCGTCGCCACCGGCACACGTCAAAGTCGTCGTGACGGCTGAGACGAACGGACTGGTGCTGCGCAAGTCGTCGGCAGGAACAGCGGCCGAGCGTCGAGTCCTGGTCTCCACCTCCGGCGGCTCTTCGCCAGACAATGGCGGTCCCTCGACAAGAAAGCCTGATCCTCGACTACGGGTCATGGCTCGTCGAACCTCGCACACCCTTCTCTACGTTCCAGAGCAACGACGAGTCTCTACCGTCTCCGGCTCCTCAATCGCTTCGTGTCCTTGCCGTGGTGAAGAGGCCGACACCGTCTCCACCGACACTCCGCTTTTCTCTCTTAATCTGAGTCCTGTCGGAACGCGCCGGAAAAGTGTGCAAACAGGAGCGCCGGCTATTGGCTTCCGGCCTCTGAAGACGTTTGAGAGACGTGCCAGTCAGCCCACACTCCAACTCGAACTCCAAGGCATTGTGCCTTCTGCAACGGCTACCACCTCGACTTCTACTACGACCACCACTATCGTCAACCAACCAACGACCAGTTCTCTACCTGCTGAAAAAGCCAAAATGCTCACAAAAAGGGTTTCTTGGCTGTCGATGAAAAGCTACCAAGCGGAGGAGACCAAGTCGAGGCGGCCGAGTGGTGGTGGCAGTCCTCGCGGAGGCTCACCGAGTAGGACCGTTAGTCAGTATGGCAGCCAGCCACATCTTCTCGAAGACCATGAGTTCGACAGCGACACGCCACCTCTCGACACGCTCAGTTGGAGCAACGCAGGAAGTTTGTAACGAATTTTCAAGAGTTTTCTCTATCTCTGCCGAATTTATTTTTGTAGATGATATGGTTGTTCTTCCAGATGAGTACGACAACGTGACGTTGATGTACGCGAAGCACGAGAAGATCCCGATGAAAGACTTTGGTTCTGAAATCCGCGCGACGATGGACATCGACCACTTGCTGAACAAGGCCGTCCTTCTGCTCGACTTGCAAGAAACCAGCCTCGAGGAGATTTTCGCCAAGTCAGTTTTTTTCTCGTTTGTTTTTTGCACTTTCTGACGCTCCCTCATGTTCTTCCTTTCCTCGGATTCATCTACATTCCATTAAAACGGCTTCGTCTGATTTTATGGCTTTCCAGCTTTTGGATTAATTTTATTACGGCCACTTGAGGCTTTGGAATATCAAATTTTAAATTATAAATAGCTTTTTTCGAAAACTCTACTTGTTTTTAGCCAATTTAAATTGAATTGTTTTTCACTGTACAAAAATTTAAATTTATTTTTTATTTTTTTTTGCTTCAGTAATCATGAGCTTTGTTGAACACTTAGGCAGAATTAAGTCTTTTTTTACTCCCAATCTTTTCAGTCGCATTAAAAATGCTGCAAAAAAAGGGTTTAACAAAATCAATTTTTGGTCAAATTTTTTTCATTTTCTGTTTTAAAAATTTGCAGGCAGTGATCGAAATTGAAAAGAAAACGCCACAAAGAAAATTCTTTGAACTTCAAGTTTCACTCATAAAAAATAGCTTACACATCATGCTTATCAGTGAGAAATGTTTGGTTTTTTTTTTCCATTTTCGTTCACTTTAATTCGTATGGCCTAATTTCATAGCTTTCGACGTTGGGAAGTCATGACATATTTCCTCGTTTTTTTTCCCATTTTATCGGGGAAAAGTCGCGAGTCGGATTTGATGCGGTTGTCAGTTGCACGTCTTGAATGGGAGCCGTCGCTGCTGCATAATTTATGCCACCGGCTGAAAAGAATGAAGCGAAGGACGCAAAAAGAGTGCCTAATCAAAATATAACCCCTTCTCCCTCGTCGTTTTTTTTTTCCATCCAGCTGGAAAACTTCTCCAGACCTACTCGTCTTTCATTCAGAGTCTTTGCCAATTTGGCTTCACGCACAGCCGTGGGATACCCAAGTTTCGACTTTCTTTCTTTCTTTCAAGGAAGTAAAAGTGGTCACTTCATGGATAGTCGAAACCAAAAAATGTGAGGATCCGAAGAAATTGTGGGAAAATGACAGAGGACATGGTTGAGGTTGAGAGCTCCTATCGTCGAAATGTACAGCTGTAAATAGATTCGAAAACGCAATTTTAACTTTTCTTAAGACCATAAGCCTATAAGCTTCAACTATTCGAAAATTTTATGAATGAAGGGGTGAAATGGAAATGAAGGTCCTTCCACGCAGCTTTAGCAAAACTCGCTCGAAAATCATCTTTTTCGTCATTTACTGTTGAGAAATTGAATTATTATGTCGACCAATTCCCATGTTCATCGTTTTCTTTCTTTTCTTCTTCTTCTTCTTTTTTGTTTCTGCGAGCTGCTGGGAAGGATGCTAATTGGGATTTTTCTCTGGAGGAGATCTTGTTCACCCAACAATTATCGACTTAGGAAGTACATTCTTCCCTTTTTTCGGCGTGCAACCGAAATTCTTGAAAGGAAAATCTTGAATTGCTCATTGAAAAGACAGGAAACTTCATTCAGCAGAACAGGAGCTATGCAGAAAAAACTGAGTTATTTTTTTGGTGGCTCTACTTTTTTTCAAGCGGCTGTTGTAGTTTCTGAAGTCTGAAGTCTTCATTGAGAGTCATTTGCTCTTCTCGCAGGTCGTTTTCAATTGGTCTCACGTCTTGGCTAATCGTCGGCCCAGAACTTGAAAAAAAGAGGAAAATCAAGGAGCAGAGACGAACGCGTTGACTTTTTGCCTCCGCAGATGGATGCGTGTTTTTTTTTTTTTGCGAGGTCCTGTGTGTGTGTATTTGCGGAGAAAAAGCAAGAAGAGAAAGACGAAAAAAGCATGGATGATGGGCAGAATAAAGACGGGAGGAAAGCGGAAAAAGAGCATATAACTGGCGACTTGCCGCTGCAATCAATGCTTCAGCTTGTTCAGCGAGCTTCTGAAGGGTCATGCAGCTGTCGGGAACTTTGAAGTGAAGATCAAACTACAAAAGAAGATTTGATTCATATCGATTTGCTTGTGGTATAACTGTACCTTTCTCATGGATTAAAAGCTATCAGCGGCTTATATCAATGAAGAAATTTTCCATTGTTCCAAAAAATATATAATTTTTTTTTCTCGTAGCTGAAATCAGTGAAAAATTGCTCAGAGGTCTTAGAGAAAAAACTGGGGAATGTAGAATTTTCAATACTGAGTTGAAATTTAATTTGAAATTAATCTTTAATGAACTCAGTCATGGCCTCTGAATAAGTCTTTGTGAAAAATTGCGGATCTTGTTAGACCGCAAAGGTTATCAAATTTCTAGAAGTCGCTTTTTCTTTCGGTTCCTGTTTTCAGGTTTTTCACTTCATTTTTTTTCATTAAAAATCACATTAGAATGGTGCCTCGAATGAAGTTAATCTGAGATATTTTTGTTTTGGCGAGCTCTGTAACTTGTTTTTTTTCATTAGCATTTAGTTTTTATTTCATAAAGATCAAATGAACTTTCAAGTAGGGAAATGTGCGAAAAGATTTATACAAATCTATTTGCAGGATCATACACGAGATGGACATCCAAGAGCCGGAGTTCACGAGCGAACAAGTCAGAAACGTTCTTTTCACCCAGGACGCCGGAAATCAATGTTTGTTTCTAATATTCGAGCTTTTGAGCAGAAAAGTCAGGGGTAAAAAAGGTTTTTGCTCAGATTTGAAAGGGTTTAGTTTTCTGGTGTAGTTTTTTCATAGAAGGGAAAATTTTGAAATTTCCTTTGAAAAAATGCTCTTTTATTTGGAACTTTCCTTCCAATACTGCAAGACGCTTTCTGTTGTCGAAAGGCCCTTTCTGGTATATTTTTTCCAAATTTTCATTACTCTACGAAATTGATGTTACCGAACTGAAACTAACGAAAAAAATTTTACGAAAAGGTGAATACAGTGTTTAGTGACCGCCGGCCGATATTATTCCATCAGAAACTATATTTTTCGTGTGATTGTGAGATTAAAAAAGTTTGCTCATTTTGCTCCGATCACCGAGAAAGCACTTCCGCACATTCTTGGCGATACCAAGATCGGAACGAACTGAAGAAGAACAGTTTTCAGTCCACATCCTGTCGCGGACGGTGCAGTCGATCTGCACGACGGGCTCCGTCGGCGGCTCCTTCGACTACGACCAGACGTGGATCTGCGCCTTGTACGTTGCACTCCCATTCGTCTTCTCCGCCTATTTTCCTCTTTCGCTATTTTTTTTTTCCCATTTCTCGTTCGTCGAGTCTCGAGTTTATTTGATTTTGCAATGCATTAGCAATCGCCCTCGGACCCTGGCCAAGTCAGCCACGAAATGCGGAAGTCCTTTGAAAAAAATTGGAATTTTGTTTGCAGTTTTCCCATTATTTCATGCAAATATCGAGAGAAACCCATGGTGAATAGTTGGACAATCGTCAGTAAAATCTCAAAAGTTTACAAATAGGTATGGAAAAAAGATTTTTTCCGAAAAGCTTATTGCAAGGGTTTACAAAATGAATTATAATGTACTTTGGATCGTAATCAAGTCAGGAAGTATCTGGAAACGAAGAAAAGCCTTTTTGTTAATGTAGAACATATTTTCACGTAGTGTGTCTCGAACTTATTGTTCAAAGCTCAGTGATCCTCTTTATACCTGTAAATTCGGAAATAAATTGAACGAGACATTTACCTTAAAACACAAAAAGTAAAAATTCAGCGATTATTTTTTTTAATTTGAAATGACCTTGGGAAGACGCATATTCAGATGTATGCTCAACACGGTCCAACATCGGCACGTCGCCATCGCGAGGCTGTCTCATCCGACCAACCTGGGCAGGACGATGCAAGATCTCCGGTTCATCATCATCGTGATTGCTCCAAGCCGAGCGGTACGTGCTCCTGCTCCCAATATGTTGTTATGTTGGTTGGAATCTCAGAAAGGGACCAAGACGGCGTTGGAAACGACTCGGACATTCGCCACACTCTTCGCCGACATGGAGATCCGACAGCGGCTCGTCATGGCTCAGACTGTCGAACATTTCCGGTTGGCTCTCTCTCATTATACATTTTCATTTTTTCGATAAAAAAGCTGAGGAAAAATTAGGAAGACATTTCAAGCCTAGTAATTTTTTGAATTATCTTGTTCGTTCATCAAGAACTTGTAGGTTTCAAAGTACGATTGTTAAAAACTGATGATTTGCTTGAATTTTTGCAAGGATCGCGTATCAAAAATAAGTTTCTTTTTATGCCTTCACCCCAAAGATTCTCCGAAAAAATTAGAAAACTGAGGAATCACCTAAAATGCGAAGCGTTCTACCGCTTGTACCATTTGGTTGACGCAAAAAAGATTCTCATTTCCTTTGATTTTGTGCGAATTTTGATTGATTTCATTAGTAATCGACTTTGAGACTCTATAAACTTTTTCTTGAGAACAATCGAATTACGAAAAAAATTTTTTTCCAAGTTTTTTTATAAGTCCGCTCTTGTCTCCGATACTGCAGTAAAAGTTGTGTAATGTTCTTTTTAGAAATCGTTTTCTTTCAAGTATTGTTTTTTTGAAAAACGGACTTTTTGTTATTTTTTTCTTCGTTTATAACTGCTGAAATACGCTTTCAAGTAGACGATTCACGTTTTTTGAAGACTAAACTTCTATTTTCTAGATTAATTTCTTCTTATTTTTTTTCTTGTTTTCATAAAAGATCATGAATATTTATTTCAAAGCATTTCTTCATTACCTCCCTTCAAAAACCCATTTAAGATCGACGCTTCTTTCGGCGGCGAAGGAGCTGGCGATGGATCAAAATCAGTGGCGAGAACGAAAATCTTCCATCCACCTCAGCCAGGCGAAAGAACAAATTGTCAGTTTGCTTTCCTCCAACTCATGTAGTCAAGAAAATAAATTTTCCTTTTCCACCCAAACAATCTCTTTTTACAGTTCGGTCCTGAAGCGTGGTATCCCTTCCGAGGACTGAAAGACGAGTTCAAACGGCGGCTCGCCCTGTACCCATCCGACTACCTCGACGGAATCCGAGGCCATCGGACCGTCCAAAAACTTTTCTCAACCGTCGTCTTTCTTTATTTCGCGTGTCTTTTGCCTGCCATCGCCTTCGGTGTGCTCAATGATGACAATACGAGAGGCGCTATAAGTGAGTTTTTCTTCCCGTTTTATTAAAAAATAGCCTCGACAGCAGATTTGTTTTGCAATGAGTTGATAATAATTGATGTGCGCTCCACAGAGAATCTGAAGCAATTAAAACTCTTTTTTGGACTTAGGTAGTGCAAACCGAACACAGGCTTGTGCAAGTGGCAACTCGTCAGTCTATCGGACCCAAAAGATTATACTTTTTCAAGTCAAATATCAAGCTTTTCACGACAAAAGTTACATTTTTGAATATTTTTTCACTTGACGTTCAACAGTAACTATGATTCAACAAATGAAAAAAGTATTTCGATGAAAGTTGTCTGGGAGCGTTTGGTTCGCGTTACTGAGGTCCGAGCTGTTCCAACTTTTTTTTAAAGAGAAAAACTCGTTTTTAATAGCTGGTTGTTGCTTTTTGAAGAGAAAAAAAGTTTGAGAAGATCTTTTTATGATATTTGGTTTTTTTATCCTGCTATTATTTTTTTACATAAAAAAATTTTTGAATAATTTTTTTAAATTGGAACTCTGTTCACCCAATTATTTAATATTTTGGCTGCTCCTCTTGAGAATCCATCTCTCATTTCCAAGAAGGAAAGTATTCTAGTCATTCAGGAGTTTGAATTTATCGGCGCGTTTCTCTTTTCTAATTATGATCCTGCCATATCAGTTAAAATTATTCCATAAAATAAAAAAATTATTCCTGTAAAAAGGCCACTTTCAGATGTACGGAAGGTTATCATCTCGCAAGCTATTGGCGGAATCTTCTTTTCTATATTCGGTGGTCAACCTATGATCATATTATTAACTACTGTTCCTTTAGCTATATATATTAAAGGTTCTTACATCTTTTCACTTTATCATAACATAACTTGTTTTCTTTCAGTTATATATAAAATATCACAAGAACTTGGGTACGATTTTTTGGCGATGTACGCGTGTGTCGGCTTATTCTGTCAGATGTTTTTGATATTATATTCTGCAACCGAACTCTGCAGTTTGATGAAGCTGGCTACGAGGTTGGTTCTTATAATGGGGAAATAAACTAGGAAGGTTGTTCGATTCAATTTTCCATGCCGTGTTCATTGTGATTTTGATGACTCCAAAATTGACGTGTTTTTTGTTTGAAGTGAGGTTCGAAACACGCAAAAGTGGAGCCGTGGAAAAAAATGGGAGCTACAAAAAGATAGCGACTCTTACACCCAACATAATTGCCGATATCGCAGCGGGCCGCACGCGATATAGCCAAGGCTTCTCGCTGCGATCTCGACAACATGTCGCTGCGACCTCGTCAGAGTCTCGCTGCCATATCGCTCCCTCTCAAAAATTTGAAATTTGAAAAACACTTTTTTTGCTTTATTTTTGACTTTTATGATGAAATCAATCAAATTCAAGAAAAAAACATTTTGAAGAAAAATTTTTCAGAGAGCTATATCGCTCGCGGCTCCCCCGCGGTATAGCGTTACTCTCGCTGCGATATAGTCCACAAAATTGGGTGTAGGCGCGAAACTACAAATTATGAATATATTTGGGTATTATTAAAATAAAATGTGAATTCGTAACAATCGCCATCTCGTTGTAGGACTAAATCTTTCTAATGGGTCCCGAAATTGCAATTTTGTGTATTTTGCAAAATTGTTCATAATGAGAAACCCGTCTGTTTTGAAATCACCGAAATCACATTGAACAAAGCTTTAAAATATATTTACATATGAAAATTATCCTACGTTCTTTTCGAAGATGGTGGCCCAACCTATTGATTCAGATCGGCCGAGGAGATGTTCTCGTTGTTCATCGCGATCGCCTTCACGGTGGAGAGCCTTCGCGCGATTCACAACAGTTTCCGGAACAACTACAACGACTGCGACATGACCACGATCTCGATGAAGGCAGCCCAGTCGGCCATCGACGCCTACGTCAACGGCTCCAAGGCCGACGCCATCGTCGACAACATCTCTTCCGTCATGGCCGCTACTGTGCGTCCTTTCTGTCTTTCATCCATTTCATTCCAGCACTTTCAGGGAACGACAGGTGTGACTTGCCGGAGAGACACCACCATTCTCTACATGTTGCTCATGTTTGGCACCCTTTGGCTCGGCCTCTTCTTGTACAATTTCCGAAAAGTTGGTTTTCTTTTATTATCATGCTTACGTACAAGGAAAAGCTTAGAAATATGAATTTTTAAGATTTGACCGATAAAAATTGTAATGTTTAATCCAATAGTTCAGAACTATGAAAATGAAGTAAATTGAACTCATTTTGCACACTCTGAAGCCATAAAAAAACAGAAGATTAAGTTTTTTTTTTAAATTTTTTCTGAGCACTTTTCAATTTAGAATCACGAGAACGGGTCTTCGTTCGTCTTTTTCGTGTTTTTCCTTGAATTCATGTCAAAGTTGAAATGATTACCGTTGCAAATCCAGCACAATAAATCGATGAAGCATAGAATTTATGATTTCTTTCCAAGTAATAGTCATTTCTCAAACACCCGATGATCAATGCTTCAAAAAGGATATTTGAATAGGCAAGACTATTTTCATTGATGTATCCAATACTCATTTAAATATATTCGTTAAAATCTTATCTATAGCTTTTTCAGTCAATTCAACTTTGAAGCACCAGTTTAATTTTTTTTATTCAGACACCGTACCTGACGAGGTCTCGACGCGAATGGCTGGCCGACTATGCGCTACCGGCCTCTGTGCTCATAATGTCTTTCACGGGTTCCTACCTCTTTGCCGACGTCGCCAGTTAGTCTCCTACTTCTTGACCTCGTGATGAAGTCCTGACTTGCAGAGGACCGCTTCAAGATGCGGGAAGAAGTGCCGATCGTGCAAATGGCCGACATCCTCTCGCTACCTCCGGCCGGCTACTTCGTCTGTCTTCTCCTCGGCTTCTCGCTCTCCTTCCTATTTTTCATCGATCAGAACATCACATCGGCCATCGTCAACAACTCTCAGAACAAGTCCAACCTTTTTTTGGTTGTCATTGTGAAGATCGAAGTGTTCAGGCTGAAGAAAGGAGTCACCCACAACTTGGATCTGTTTGTGGTCGCTCTTCTGAACATGTTCCTGTCGATGTTCGGCCTTCCTTGGATGCACGGAGCGCTTCCGCATTCCCCACTCCATCTCCGGGCTCTGGCAGACGTCGAAGAACGGGTTTCACAGGGTCACGTCCACGAAGTGTCAGTTATTCCCGAAAGAATTACAACATTTGTATTAATCGTCCTCGTGGTGGAAGCCACGAATTAATTCTAAATTGTAATGACAAAGATTAAGTTCAGCGTTTGCAGGATCATGAACGTGCGAGAAACGCGGTTAGCCTCGCTGATAGCCCACTCGCTGATTCTCGTCTCGACGTTCTACCTGCTGCCGTACCCGCTGCAGCTGATCCCGACCTCGGTGCTGCACGGCCTCTTCCTCTACATGGCTCTGACGTCACTCAGTGGCAACGAGATGTTCGAACGGTTGCTGCTGCTAATCACCGAGCAGGTCCGCCCAAGAGAACTTTGAAAATTGTGTCTTTCTTAAACGCTGAAGATTAGAATTTGAAGCGTTTTTCGAATGTAAAAGCTGTTTTTGAAGTTTTACCCTTCAAAGCTCCATCTTACAAGGGTGCTTCGGCCAAATATCGAAAATCTCAAATTTCGCAGTGGGATTGTTTTTTTTTTTCTTTAAAACACCTTCATAAAAACTTTGTAAGAACAATTTTCTTTGGTAACTGACTTGTTTCATGTATTCGTTTGCAGCAAGCCTATCCGCCGACTCACTACATCCGGAAGGTCCCGCAACGAAAAGTGCACTTGTTCACGGGATGCCAGCTTCTGCAGCTGGTCATTCTCTGCGCATTCGGCTTCTCGCCCTATCCTTTCATCGAGATGGTCTTCCCCATCGTCTGCTTCTTCTTCCTTCCGATTCGGTACATCTTTTCCTCTCTCCCTTCCGAACCTCTATCTTCAGACACACTTTGATTCCACGTCTCATCGACTACAAATATCTAGACGCGTTGGATGGTCGACACTAACCTTCTTCCCTTTTCTGAAATCCCATTGACTTTCTCATCTTTTTACTGAAGGAGACTCCCAGAAAGCCAAGAAATCAATAATTTCCTTTGTCTCGCGGGTGAACCATGATCAAAATATGCGGTCAAATATGCTAGTCTTCATTATAGAGAATTTACAGATTTCTAACCAGTTCAGGCATTTCTTGTATCATTTGTTAGTCTTTCTTGTTAGACTTTTCCAGAAATCTTGTCTCAAATTCCCACTCTGTAGTCATTTCTCCAGCCCCCCACCCATCAGTCAGTTTTTTTCGATCCCCTTTTCTTTCTTCAAATGTCGAATAAACCGCTCAGGATTCTTCCACGAAAAAAATATCTACATGAAGTAATAAATTTTTTTATGAAGTATATTCAACTTGTTGCTTTTTTCCTTGAACGTCGCACTTCTGCTCCTCATTATTTCGTCTTTTTCAGGAAAAAAAAGAAATGCAGATTTGTAGAACAAATAACAGAAAAAAAAAACTTTATTCTAGCCGTAGCTGCACAACACCGGAGAATGAAAGGTTTCAATGCTGAGCGACTTTCAATTATTCGTTTTCCTATCATACAAGAAGTTCACATAGAAATCAAAAAGTACCTGTAAGGGAACACCAGCATTTAATAATGATTCGATTTTTCCTACTCAAAACTTGAGGAAATGACAGTATTCTAAAAAGTATCAAGCTTCAGGTTGGATATAATTATTGATTGATTGTGTTTTGCGTCAAGAAAATCACGATATTTCCGCAAACCACAGAGCCGTGGTCTTGTCGCAGGCGGCGTCGATGGCCACGTAGTGCAAATTCGGGTAGATCAAAAAGTAGAACAAACAAAACACGACGAATCCGAAGAAGAACATCATCTTCAAGTTGTTCAGTATCGAATTATTCAAAAGTTCTTCTGATAACTTCATAACTTTTTCGAATACTTCCTGAGGCTACTGCAGCTCAAATATTCTTCGATGTACGGATTAAAAATAATAATTTCTATGTGATCAATGTTTTGATTTTCAATGAACTGCCAATTTTTCAATTGATAACGTAATTGAGCTTTACTTATGTATGCAAACTTTGAAGTTTCCTACTAATTAAAATGAAGAGTTTTTCAGCCGAATTGAAGTGAAATTTCAACAGAAATCTAATTTTGTTTAGATTGAACTTCAAAAACAAGACTCACCTGAGAAATCCAATGGAATCGGTGCATAGTTCTCTGCGTTATCCGCGTGTCGACAAGATCGCAGAGAAATCCATTCGTCTTCTTTTTCTTCTGCAAAGATTTGCGCCATTCTTCGTCGACCTCAGCTTCTTCAACTGTTGGCTCCAGCTCTGTTCTGTAAGCTCCCTCTTTTCATGATAAAAAGAAAAAAATCACTTCAAATGTCTGGAAAGAGTGCTTCCATTACGATCCTTCATTAGCCGATTCCTCCGTCTTGTTGATAATTTAGCGATTTCTCTTAAAATTGGCCTCGTCTCTCTGAAAGCTCTTGTAAAAACAAAATAGCAGGAAAACTTACGTTTGTAGAGTGATTTTTTGACGCATATATTTGATGAGAGCAAGTTTGATCAACGACAGAAAAACAATCATGAAGCAGACTCCTGAAATTTCAAAGTTTGACAGAATAAGAAAATGTCCTTAACTGACCGAGATATATGTCCATCGCTTTTATGTAACTCACCCGAGGCATCATTTCATTGTAAGAGAAAATGAGAAACGTGATGGCGAGGATGATCGATATCATATCCTGGAACCCTGTGCTTTGAAAAGTTCCAAAGGAAGTTGAAAAAGCTGTTTTGAATATAAATCAGGGCATTCAGAGTTCATCCGAAGTGCACCCGAGGGACAACCTGGAACTCGGTCTCGTTTTCCATCCAAAGAGAGACCCAAGACGTGATGACGACGGCCGTCGACGGAATGATCAACTGCAGAAAACAGAAACCAGACGACCGAGAGAACACGAAACAGACGTAGAGACGAGAGTAATTCCCTTGAAGGTGATCATCTTACATCAAAATGTTTTGAACAGAGTTTGGAAAAAAACTCGGAGTTTACGAAAAAAAAATTAAAAGCTGTAGTTTTTAACTTGGTTCTAAAAAAGTTAGCCTTACCAGGGAACGTTTTTTACCCTCCGGTTGAACTTTTGCTGAAACTTTGCTGAAGTTTACTTTAGGACATTCTGATTGCAGATCGAGAAAAAAATTTCACGCAATAGATCTTGTTTCCGAGTCATGGAGCTTCAAAGTGTGCAAAATACGCAAATTAGGCCAAAAAAGCACTATTTCGGGTTTTTGAAGTGTCCTAACTCGACGACAACGAGATCTATTGCGAGAAATTTTCTTTTTGTTCTGGAATCAGGGGGCCCTAAAGTACACTTCAGCAAAGTTTCAGCAAAAGTTTAACCGATGGGGAAAGTTTCCTAGTTGACTGCATTTTTTCCAAATATTTCAAGTAAAAATTTGGTTTCGTGAAGGTTTTTTCACGGAGGAAACTGCAGTCACTTGCAGTTATGAAATTTCCAGGAGGTTCAATCGCAAAATATCATTTTTTTTTTAAAATTCCATCAAGTTCGAAGATTCAATTTAAAATTTTGGTTTGGAAAAAACAAAGTTCTATATTTTCAAGCGACATACCTGTAGCATATGCTTCCATTTGACTTGTCACGTAGGCTTCCTTGATCGTGAAGTCGGGCAGTCGGATCTTCTGGAGTTTCAGCGCTGCGCGAGCTCCCGAAGACCATTTGTAGACTACCTGGTCCGCCGTGTAACCATCTGAGTAATTTTGATCATTTTCCCCCGTGTTTTTCTAACTCAACAGCTTTCGATGCCAAGCTTGCAGAGTTGGTTGTCGAAAGGAAAAAGTGTAAGATCCATTGCTGAAAGAAAATTCGATGAATGTCAGGCAGTTGGAAATAACTGCATTCACAGACGAGCGATATCCGGCGACTGTAGAGAAGTTTTCCGGTTTCGTCGAGTCTGAAATCAAACTCTTCCTACAGCTCATTTCCTCAAAGTTTGCTCCTGAGAATCTGAGAACTCTTTTTTCCCGCTTTCCAAGCCTTTTTTCCCGAATAAAAAGCTCTTCTTGTCAGTGTTTTCTTAACAGAGACAATCAAACCTGAGCAAAAGCCGGTGAGAAATCGAGTTGCGTTGAGGGTTCTTGGAGGCGATCGCGTTCGGAACAAAGGTGTCAGGAAACCACAGAAAATTCGTGTAGCTTTCGTGGAGAGCGAGCTCGGTTTTGTTGCGAAAAAGACGGCGATCAAAGCGGAGTCGTGGGTCTCGCCACGACTCTCTGTAGAACATCTCCAACGCGTAGTCCTGCGCGTTCAGATACATGTATAACTGACCAGGTTGGTGAGATTACTCTTAATATAACTATGAAAAAAACTGTTTTTGTTTCTAGCTTATTTTTTTAATTTGAATAATATATACCTAAAAAGTCAAATTAAACTTTTTTTCTAGAACTATTCCTCTTTGGAATAAACTAACTTCTTATTTAGATTTTAACGTTACCCCAGAAACTCTGCGTAAAAAGTTGAACGCTCTTCCGTTTGAAGCCTTTCATGAAAATATCCCCTCTCGTCTCCTTTGAATTTGTCATATTTCCGGGTACCCGTCAACTCGTTGGGGTTGACTCTTTCCCGTGTATTGTTATTTTTCTGCCTATTCCTTCACTTGATCATCTATTCTTCAATTATTCTGTTAAATAATGGCAGTGAATAAACTATATATAAATAAAAAGTCCGTGCCGGTTGAGTATGTTATTTGCAAATTTAATCTTTTATTTTTCGAAAAAAAAAACAAAATTTTTCCTAAGTCGTGTAAGTTTGTTCACTCAGGCTCTTCATCTAAACCAATGAAGAATGGAATGTTTCTCGAAAATTCACAATAAAAAAGATGCGTTTGAAGGTTAAAAAATTTAATTTGAAAAGTCCTACCATTGTGACTTCTGAGACAGCTCGAATGTTGCTCACAACCACAGAAACTTCGATTGTCACAGCTTCTGAAAAACTCTCTTTTTTCATTCAAATGTTGCTTCTTTGCAACCTCCTTCGCTGTTTTCAGGAACCTGTCGATGATCGTACTGTATTCGGCGGAGGAAATGGAGAAAATCGCGAGTTTCTCTGAAGGAGAATTCTCTGGAAAAGACGCTCTTCGCTTACCCGTAGGAGTCGACTCCATGTCTGTAAGTGAGATATTCAATTATTAGTTTCTGATTAAAAGAAAAACCCGTGAGAAAACGAGTTGACCTCTTCGTGCGACCTCACAAAGTCGGGACGGCCGCCGTTGTGAGCCGAAAAAAAGTTGTTGAAAATTACTTATAATAAAAAGGTGACTATTCTAATTGATCAACCTACTAGAATAAGACCTAGAAGTGGTTCAAAATTATTTTTGGGTTTGATACATATAGAATCTAATCTAAACTTTAGGTTAAAGATCAAGTTAGATATTCACAGAGTTTGGGGATTTTTCATAAAATAAAAACAGAAAGACAGTTTTGTGTCTTATTAGGCACTATGATCGTAGTTTTTCTTATGAGAATCTTATCTGGCACCGACCATTCTGCCTCGAAGAGGAGCTCCGCTGCGAAGGGCGTCCTCGTCCTCGACGACGTCGAAGTCGCGATGAACTCGTCGCGAATCTCCGAAGTCGCCACCAATCGTCGCCGCGATCAGCAGAACGGCTATCGATCGCATCCTGCCAATAATTCCTGAGGCTCGCCGCCAAAAACCGCGCGCGTCGAGCAAGAGGACCAGCAAATCAATGAACTTTGGGGATAATTCGTTCAACATGTTCGATGTCGACGGGGACCTTCCGAAGCCACGCCCACACTCACACGGAACAGATTCCTTCGTTTTTTTGCTTCTCCTGCTCGCTTCATCCACCCTTGCTGTTCTGGTAAGCCCGATGACGAGCCCAGAAACGAGGCAATGAGAGGAATGGGATGGACGTTCGGCGGCAAAAAGCAGACGACGGCACTTCGAGAAACGTATGCCACGATTTCCTCCGTGATGGAGCGACGTCTTCCTGTTCTTCGTGGCAATTCATCACGCCAACAAATTCCTTCACTCGTTGCCAACCTCGTTCCGATCGACTTGCGACAACTTCGAACAACGCTCAACACGCGCATGTTTATCTGCCCTACTTAGCTACAGATTTCCGTGTTTCTAAAAAGTTTCTTTCAAATTGAGCTCATTCTCTCGGATTTTCATTAAATTTCACGGAAATTCGGAGAAAACTAGGTCGCTTACTTTGGCAGTATCTAAATTCACTCATGTCATGATGAACTATCGTAGGAATTTTTCTTCAAGCTTTATTCTTTGAAGTTCGTATTAGGTTTGAATCTCCCCGCATAAAACTTTAGGCGATGAACTTCGAACTTTGAAATGAAAACTGCTCATTAGTAATCTGAACAGTATTGCTCAAAAAAGTCCTGAACTTCATTCTACAGAACTAGGTGATGAAAAGAAGAATAGCACAGGATCACGGGAGGGGTGACGAGGGAGAAGAGAGCGCAGATATGGAAGACTGTTGCAAGTCTTGGAAAAGGTGGATTTAACTTGGATCGAGTGTTGGTGGACTCTGGCTTGAACAGAATAGTTAGAAAAGTACCTAGGTTTTTAAAAGTTATTCCCGACGGGATTCCGGAATCGAATTGGGAAAAGTTGGAAATTTATTCGAGAAAAAAGGTCCTTCTGTTCAAAAATCCTTTTTTTGTTAGCTTTAAAGGTTGTGGTGAGTGGTATGAAAAAGTCAATTGGAAAGAAAAATAAACTCTGAAAACATGGCGGCCGAGAGTTTTCGGCGTCGTGGCGGAGTGACGTCTTCCTGATGGCTTCCGCATACCTTTTGACTTTTCCGGCTTTTCCAAATGTGCTCTTTTTGATTTCCCAACCGTCGAGCTCAAAAATCTTCAAATTAAGTGTGAAAAAGGTGTTAGCAGGAGCACTAAAACTGAACGAGAATGGCTGTCGGACAGGTGTGCGGATCGTAAAAGATGGACTTTTCGGTGTTTTGCTTCTCCATGCGTTTATCGCCGTAGGTGGTTTTTTGGGTTTTCGTTCGACAGCTGTATTATTAACGCGTTTTTTTATTATGTATATTCTAAAACGCTGGGGACTAAAGTTTGTGAATGATTTTTATGAAAACTAGGGACTAGATCGTAATGAGGAACAAAATATATATGTTACAAGGGCTGTGTGCGCGGTGAACATGGAGTTATGAATTAAGGCTTTTATGGTAAATAGACCTAGGGGAGAGTGCTCCAAAACGAAAGAGAAAATCTGCTAAGCGCCACAGGGTCTTTTAGTAGTTTCGATGCTAACTAAAATAACGAAAAAATTTTATTATACAGTAACAAAAATTCATAATAATAGAAACTGAGAAAAACCGTAGTGTAGTTGGAGAAACTCGTAAGGGTGAGATATTGCTGTTTGAAAATAAATGTTCAAATTCTTTCTACTTTAGTCACCGCTCGCTTGGGAACAAGATTCACGACTCTTATTCCCAAACTGTCGGGTCAATAGTTTCCCTGAATTTTCACTGGTTTTTAAATATTGGCCCAAGCCAGCGGTGAATAAACTACATACAACTACATATTATAATTAACAGAAAGACAAAACAATAAGGACAGAAAGCGATCAATCCCAAAGGAATGTTCGGTTGACGAGGGCAAAGAACTTGGCGTTGTGAGGTCGGAAGGCGTCTGTTAGTCGCGACTGAAGGGTCGCGTCGACGCGCTGATGTCGTCGGCCTTTCGATTCGCCGAGACATCGTTCGCTGCGGTCGCGTCGGAAGCAGAAGAACCGCTTTCGGGGGTTGAACACCAGTTGCGTCGGCGAGATTCGCGGTTCCAGGTCCAAGAAGGTTTCAAGTCGTCGGAGCTGAAGAACGAAGATTTAAGAAAGCTTAGTTGGAAGAATTTCTTGAAAATGGGAAAATGGAATAAAGCAGGTACCTCACGAAGCGGATTCGCCCTGAAGACGTCTCCATTGAGAATGAGAAACTGGCGGAGCGGGAAGTACTTGAGCCAGTTGCTCATGTGGACGTCGTAGAGGGAGTTGCGGATTGGCTTGTAGTCCGTGTTGAGCTCTTCGACATCGCCGCCAGTCCGACGGAACGCCTCCTTCTTCAGGTCAGGCAAGGTCTTGTTCAAGTCCAACTTGTTGTGGTATACCTGAAAACCAAGAGCTCGTTGCACCTTGATCGTAAAGTGTGTAACCTGCGTGAAGTCGCTTATTGCACGTTGTGTGGGATGCCGCACAATTATAACCAGCTTCATCCATTGATTCAGTTCGAAAACTCGATGTGGCGCTACTTCACTCGAGAAATAGGCTGGGGTTTTCTCAATTATTATCTGAACTTGATTGTGATGAGGAGTTCTGGAAGTGACCACGAACCTCATCGTCAAGAACTTTTGGCATGAGTTTGGTGTACCACTCGACGCCGAGCGTGTAGTTGGCGTCGAAGAAATGGGTCTCGCGACGAACGATTCTCACTTTTGGATGCAGGGCGATCCCGTCGAGTAGAGCTCGCGTCCCGCCTTTCCTCGCTCCAATTATTAGAGCCGTCGGCAGTTTTGGGCGACCTCTGAAGAAACAAAGATCTACAAATGTATAGAAGACAAATCCAAAACTGTTCAAGGCTTGCCTGCTTCAAGTTTTGAGGTTGGTCATTTATATATTATAATGATATTGTAGATTCCTTTAACTTCAATTAAGATACTGGTAGGAAAAAGTTTCCAAATGAATGCAAAGAATAACTTTTTGAAATTTAACTTTTTCATTACTGGTTAAAAAAATTACCGAGCATAGAAGTCTTTGCAAAGCCCAAATTATACGCTCTATTCAAAATTTAAAAAAACAAAAACCAAATTAAACTGAAAAAAAGTTTCTTTCTTTCAATTACAAGCCCTGTTTATTTTTTTGATTACTTCTTAAAAAAACTCTGATTTTTCGAGAAGAGATTGAAGTTATCCTGTATGCGTTCGCAAATCGGCAGAGTTTACGCTTTCGAAATTTTCATATTCGAATCTTCGAGTTCCCCAAAGATAATTTCAGATTTTCTCTCTTTTTACGAAATTTCCCTGCAAACTGAAACGCTTTCTGCTCTCAGTTTTGATTAGAAGCCTAAGATTGATAAGATTTGTAAAGATAAGTTTGGAAGAACCATGTATGAATAAGAAAAATTACTATATAACCACTATAATGTTATCATAGAACGTGATCTTGGCACACTCATGCCCACGAGGATTTATACAACACCAAAAAATATATTGCGGTTCCTCAGAACGAGCTCACATTCTTGTCGGACGACGTGGACCTTCGTAGCGACGGTCGGTCTGAACCAGGATCAGCAGCTGGACAGACAGGAAGGCCGTCAGTCCGAGGAGCAGGAGCGGGAGCCGAGCCGACAGCATTTCTGCCGCATCGGGCTTCGTCGAAATTCGTCGGGAATATTAATTCGCGGACAAACACTTCATCGGCCCGTGGTCGCCAAATCGAAATTGTCGAGCAAACACATGCGGCCACTTTGCTCTCTTCTGGTATCCTGTAATTTTGGAAACTTCTTGAGTAATCATCTTCAGAGCAACGAAAATAAACGAGAGCAGAAGAAAGAAATTTAGGTAGGAATCGTTTTTTTCAATTCGCAGAAGCGCGAAAACTATTAAGAAAAAAGAATGATTATCATATTTATACTTGGGAAAATGTCGTTTCCATGCTACGGTTCATTGAATTGAAGAGGAGAGGAAGTTTTTTTGGAATCTTTTTTGCTTTCTGGAAATTTTTTTGCAAATGTAAAAAAAAAATAAGAGGAAAACGCCTTCACCAATCCGATTTCTGTATTTTTTTTTTACAATTGATGCTTGAAAGTTCTGCACTTTTTTTTTCTGATTTGCACCTCTATATCATTTAAATTTTTCTACGGAGCAGTTGTACTTCTAATAGCGAAAAGAATATTGCCATTTTTTTTTTTTGAAAAGAACTCTCCTTAAACTTTCACAGCGTAACTGAAAATTGAACTTTCTGAAAGATAACAGTTTATATAAATTTTAAAGTTCAAAATGAAATACGTGAAAGTTTTCTGTATTGACCATAGTCTATTCAAACTTGGCTCTTGAATGAATCGATTTCACTTGATCAGAAACAGACCCCGTTAAAAGTTAGCAAACACGGAGAAAAGTATCCAAACCTCAAAAGCGCGAGGTTTTAAAGAGAAGAAGTAACGAGTTTGCCTACGTCATTGTGATACACAAACTTCTGGTTTCTTGGTTTTTCGAAGTTAAAAAGAAAAGTTTCTATCAAAAAAGAAAGAAGAAACAGGAAATGTTTGAAACTTTGAGGTCAAAATCAAATGAAATTGGAAACAGGACAGGAGGATGACACCTCTGGATTTGCATTTGAAAGAATGGCCTTCGTCATGGTTCGACGCCGTCGATAAATGCCGACGCGGTGGTCTTTTGACCGTAATTAGGATTTAATATCAATTAGGACTTCATGGGTTGGAGTTTTTACTTGTATAAAAATCTTCATGGAAAAGATATATATCTTTACAAAGTCCTTCCTTTGTTGAAAATAGCTAACAAAAAAAGCTTTCGAAAATATATCAGGGAAGTTACCGACTTTTATTATTGAATTTTCACGAAAACTTTTTGCTGAGAAGATTAGACCAATAACTGGAATAATATCTAAAGATGACATTTGACTTCGTGTTTTTTTGATTGAGTAGAGAATAATGGGAGTAATGTGGTCTAGAAAGCTAAGCTATAAAAAAGAATATAATATTTGTACAGACAGCCATAAAAGCTGATTCCCCCCGTTACTTACTTGTCTAAAGTAACCGTCAATTCAGAACTCTCCAAGTTTTCAAAAGCGCACAAGAAAAAAAAAAACAGCTCACGAACAAATGACTCGAGGACTATTTGCAGATCTGAAGCTTTTTAGCCGGCGAAATGACCCGGCACTCAGGCGTGAGAAATTGCCTGGCGCCTGCTATTTCTCCGGACAGTTGGCGTCGCGGAAATCCAAACTTTGCCGCGAGATGTTCGCAGGTTAAGACGATCGCCAGAAACGGAAGTCACAAGAGAGAAGCTGTGTTCTACGAGAGCTGCTTTCCTTATTTAGCCAATTTTGGAGCCGAAAACAAAAAGGTTTTTCTTTTTTTCTTTTCAGCTCTGTAAAAATTCTAAGAGTTGTTACCCGTTCCACATTCGATTATTCAAATCAACACTTTTTCTTGAAGCTAATATTTATACAAAAGTTACACTTGAAGAAAACCTTTGAATTTTGCTACACTCACTCAAAATAAAAGGTTCAAAGAGTTCAAAGTATGAAAAATGTTGATACAATTGCAAAAAAAATTTTTATTTCTTTCATCTAGCGAGACCAATAAATTGTATTCACAAAAACCTTAGAAAATTCAGAAAAATTTGAAGTAGAAAAAAAAAGTCAAATATCACTTGGCGGTGTGATAAAATAAATCAGCAAAAAATATTTTTTTATAATGTCAAGGCTCAAGTTTTTATTTTCAAAAAAATTAACCAGAGAATGAGAACAAATTTTGGAAGCTATTGAATATAGTTGAAAAATGATCAACTCGAAGAAACAAATAATGGGCAAGAGAAAAAAAAGGCTCAAAAGAGCAACCGAAGCCGGGACGTCTGGCGGCCACGTGGTCCGAGCCTGTGTAATGCGCCACTCGGCCCTCCTTTTTCAGCAAATCCCCGACTATTCCGAGAGTTATGGGCTTTCGAAAAATGTTGGAAGAAGCGTGTCCCAGTTCACCTCAAAAAATCAAATGTAGAAAAAGGTTTTTCTTTTTTTCGGACCTCGGCGACTGCATTGGAAAAAGAGTAGAAGGAATCGCAAAAAGAGACCTTCTCTTTTGCACTGGGAGCTCTCTGAAACTTGGCAAAATTTTTGATGAACTAGATAAAAGTCTCAGTCAGCATCCCAGATCTTCAGAAAAGATTCTTCAAGTCTTTCTTGATAGCTGAAGCTTCAACCCTTTATTTTATGTTTTGAAGGCTTGAGAGGCTTTCATGATCAGCTGGAAAGTCTGAGAAAGCACCGTCAAATTGCTTATGCAAAGAAAAAGACACACGGATCGCGTGTTTCTCCTAATTATGGCTGAGGAATTCATATTTCGAGTTGTACTCTACTTGCATTTCGAAATCTCCAATAATTAGTCGAGCTTTATGAGGTTTTTCTGTTGCAAGTCTAATTATCTGGTGATCAATCCCAGATCTCGACAGAAATTCGTTAAAGTATCAAATAACTTTCGTATTAACTTTTTTTTTCTGCGCAATCCGAAGTCTTATAAAAAAAAATCAAAAATTTACATTCAAGCCAGAATCAGAGACGGATAAAGTATAAAAATTCAATTTTAGGAAGGAGTTCTGACTTTGTGATGTGTTCGGAACGAGATCGACATCGAGATTGACGATATCGATCAGAAGACTAGACTTGGTCAGTGGATCATGTCCGCCGCTTCCTGGCTGATCGCTTTTCTTTTTTTCGGCGTCAACGGTTCGTTTAACTTTTTAAAGCTTTACTAGTCTTTTGTTCTCATAAAGTTTTTATTTTTCAGCGCAATTTAAAATCCCTCTACCATTTGGCAACATCGGTCTGCTGAAAAACGACAAAGGCGAGGTTTTTGCCAGGTTAAGCAAATTTTTGATAAGTGATCCTTTTTGAAGGTCGAAATAACGGGCAATAAGAACTTCAACCTTTTTGGCTGGGGCACTCAGGGAGACTTCAAAGTGACCACGGGCAATGGAACTTTCAACATCGAAGGTTTTTCGACTGTTCCTTTTGTGATGAAGGAGGATGTGTCGAGGATCTGACGCCGCGCTGGTGAACGGGTCACAGTACGGCGGAGCCTCGCGGCTGGGCGTCGACGAGAAAAAAGGCATCGACATCGGTCAGAACGTCACCCTCGACGACAAGACCGCTGCTGTGAGTCAAAAAAAAAATCAGCAGACTTTTTATTTTTAAAAGTATTCTTTGTAAACGACTGATGGAAGTCTTTCTATTTTATTCAAAAAAGGCTGAAACAGAAAGTGCGGGGATCCAAAAAATATTGAAATTTATGAACCTCTAAAGTTTCTCCTGTTTTTTTATTTAACGTGTTTATTATGGGGACTTGCGACTTTTCCCTTTGATAAAATATAAAATCATGATATTTTTTTTGATTTTTCTGGGTTTTTTTTTTGCGATTCTTTCGTTCCGATCACCTTCAACATTTTTGGAAAATCATTTTAGGGTGGGTCTGGCAAAGAGAGCAACTTCTTGCAAGATCTCCTCGGCATCTTCAGAAATTTTGGCAAACCGCCAAGCTGACAGTCTTCAAATATTTATTAACTGGTTTGATTTCAAGAGAAACGAACAGAAACTTTTCGAAAAATGTCTGTTTTTATACAAGCAATAAAGTTGGTTTTGCTGTTTGAGTTTCAAGAAAGGAGGTGAACTCGCGAGAAAATTATACAACTTATGGTTGTGGGCGATGTCCGAAACACAATAGAAACGGTTTAAAACACCAACCGAAGGCGAATTTTCAAGGTCTTCATGGCCTGCCAAAAGAAATGGCAAGTAGAAAAGAAAGAAGGCGGAAATTGAAGCAGACGATCGAACAAAAAAAAACAGTCGGGTCATTTTTTTTTTGCGCGGTACTTCTGATCTTGCACATTTTTATTTATCAACCGGTTTGGCTTTTTTTGTAAAATTGGCCGATCCAATTCATTTGTCTGGTACTTGCAGATGTTCCCTACTTGTTTCCTGGATGAGAGTCATTTTTTTCTTTTTTCTAATTTTAAAAATTTACAAAGTCAAATTTTTGCAGCTTTTTTGAAACTTTAGACTGCACAACTTGAACATCTCTGGTGATATTTATTTGAAACATTTTTGCCAACATGAGGGTTTTTTGCTAAAAGTTTTGAAGTTTTTCAGAATACGTAATTCGATATGAAGGTTTTACTTGCTTTCGTTTCGATCTTCTTGCTCGAGGCTACCGTCTTCGCGCAATTCGACACTTTTGAGGTTTGTTTTGATTGAACTAATGAAGAACCCGAAGGAAAAGCGAGATTGTTGCAGAAAACCGGCCCTCATCCGCCAGAAATCGCCCGAGAGCCTTTGGAACCACTGTCAACTATGCAATCTGGAACGCCACGAGCTCCAGGTACCTTCATGAAAACAGAAAATTTTCAGAGTGGTCCCTATAGGTTTTAGGGGAAAAACAGCAAAAAATGTGACCCCTACAGGGGTTTAGTTTTGGGGGTCCTTATTAGGGTTGGGCCTGACCTCTGAGCTCCTAAAGCTCAAGTGATCCCCATAAGGGTCTTTTTTGATCAGATTTGGAAGTTAAGAAGTCTTTTTTAATCAAACTTGATCGATGAATCTTCTGTTGATAGATATTTTTCAAAAGAACAATACTAATTTCTTGTTTTTCGCATGGAAGTGTTGCTTTTTTGAAAATGCAAGTCCCCTGTAGGGATCACTAACTGAAACCCTTATAGAAACCATTTTGCACATTCCAGTGGTTGCTCCTTTAGAGAACCACTGTTCCTAAAGATAGAAAAGATATGCTGCAAAAGTTTGTATCCATTCTGACCTTCACTGCACTCTCTGACAATTTCAAACATCCTTTAAAATAATTTAAAACTAATCAAATGAATGACAGGCTTTGCCCCACCGTCAACCTTCCAAATGCCGCAGAACAATGACGTCAATCTCGGGGTTCGCAATTTTTATTCGTTCTGTTTTTTTTCTCGCCGTTTTTTCACAAGAATACACAAAATGAGAATATTGCAGTTTGTCGTGAAGAGAGGACGTGCCAAAGTTATGGGATTCTCGCACCGGAAGTCTGAGAACGTTAAATAATGGATAGAAAATAAAGATTAAATGAAGTCGAGTGTCTTTGAAAAAAAGAAAACCTGTAGGGAAATTGAGAGTAACGGCGAGGCAACAAGGCAACACGTACTAGGAGATTGGGACGGCTAAATAAAAAAGTATATCATAAGGTTGACGAGCAGCGACAAATAAGATAGCGAGGCTTGAAATGTACAAAATAAAATAGGAAACATTTTCTAGAAACTGTTACGATTTCATGATAAAAATATAGAAAAACTATGTGACGCTGCTTTTTATTGTAAGTTTTTTTGGACTTTGCATCATAAAATGGATAATTATTATATAAAGCAGCTATGTCTCAAATGGAAGAGTGAGATCAATCGTTCCAATCAAAATCGACAAGATTCTTCTTCAAGTTTTCGATATTTTTCTGCCCAAAGTCGCTCGGACACGCCAGCTCTCCCACATGTCTCTTGCAGACGTACTGAAAACAAAAATTTCTTTTTGTATTTGAACCTAACTTATTTACCAGCACTACTCGATAATGTATGTGTGCTTTTTAACGCGTGCTGGTCTTGTGGATGAAAGAAAAAAGTCCGAAAAGGTCAGACTTTGAGTTATGAAAAAAGAAAGTGTAAAAGAAAAACTACAATTAAGATAGAACTTTGAAGAAACTGAATATAGTTCAAGAGGTCCGAAAAAAGAAGCCAAAAGCCGAACTTAAAATCGACAACATACAGCTATTTCAATCCCATTTGATAGATTTCAAGAAAAGAAAATGATCATACCTTTCTACACTCTTCGCAGTTGGCGCATTCTGTGACACCACGGCAAATCTCGCAGATTCCAGCTCTCCACCTCGTCTTCGACCTGAAAGTAGCAGCTTTATATTACCGAAGGTAAGTTATTTCTTTCTGTTTGAGGAGTAAAGATGACCTGTCCATTTTCATGTGATGGCCATTCATCGACTCGTGCTCTCTGATTTGGGCCATGTTCATCGACGTCGAGATCACGGCACCGTACACCTGAAATGAGACTTTTCTTTGAGCCAGCCTGATTTATGAGATTGCCTGTGCGTTCAAGAAACGGCTGATCTTGAGTTTGGTGAAGACGACGTTGCCCTCGGAGGCAAGTCTGCGGATGAGACCGACGAGGACTTCCTTGGAGCAGTGGTGTTCATGGGCCGCCATCAGCAACGTCAGGATGTCTTCCGCTTTGATGGAACTAAAAGTTTTCCGTTTTTCGGGATGTGATGAAGGGAACTGACTCCAGGTCCTGCTGCAGGATGAACTGTTCGCAGGCCTCCACTACCGGCATCACCTGGTACTTGTGAGAGAGGCGAAGAACGAGGGCGAAGTTTTGCGCTGGAAACCAAGGTTTCCGACTGCTGTTTGTTAGAAGCCTACGATTGATGCAGGTCGTGTCGTGGACAGCTCGGAGGAAGACGTCGATGTCGCGGGACTTCTCATCGACGATGTCGCGCGACAAAGCCATGCCTTTCTCGTCAAAGTCTTTCCCAAAGCACATCGCCGTGAAGATCTGAAAGGAAGCGTTTTGGTCAGTTCGATTCTCACAATGTTTGGAACAAAGCACAGGTTAAAATGAGATGAAAACCTTCGCAAAACGAGAGAAAAGTTTTCCAATAAAATTTGGTTGGAACTTTTTTCGTTAATTTTTTGATTTCCAATTTTTTTTTTTTCCAAAACTGCTTTGAAGAACTTTCATAACGAAAATTTATTCTGTGTCCGATTTGGAAACATCTTTGAAAATTACGAGGAAGAGAATAAGACAGAAATTGTTTAAAAAGGGAAGGTAAAAAAAGATTTCCGTCGCGGTTTTTTTCATAACTTTTCCGAAAAAAAGAAGTGATGGCTGAAAAAAATACCAGGAAGCGAGTAGGCTGGGGGCTGGGTTAAGGTTTAAAATGGTAAGTATTTTTCTTTAAAGTATAAAAAAAGTTATATTAGTTGTTGTCACACCGGCCACCTTTTTGAGTTTTAAAACAGCCTCCGAGCCCAATTTTTCAGCCCTTTTTCCAAACTTTTTCACCAGAAGAAAAACCCGCTGGAACTTTTTGTCTGTGATAGAGCTCAACTGGTATATCTTAATTCATAATTTTAAATGATTGGAAACAAAAATTTTTTTATTTTGGTTTTCGTCGTTATATGAAAAGTTAAGCCCAAAAAAATAGTGTTGTTGTGGGAAAACCACTTCAGGAAAAAATTTTCAGCGCCTCTAGAAACTCCTACAAGCAAAAGTCGAAACTTCTATTAAAAAAGCCACAATCAGCCCAGGACCATGAATAAAAATCTAATCATCACCCTTTTTTGCAAAAAAAGAAAGACATACCGGAGAGATGGCGCTCATCGACTTGGAGTCGATCAGGAAAGTGCTCTTCTGGACGACGAGCCGGAACGGCCGGTCGATTGACGTCGTCGCGAAGCAGAATTCTTCGGACGGCGTCGCTGTCACCACCTCCGTCGCCATCTTCGCCCTGAAACGTCGGAATGAACTCATGAAAAGGTCGGGAGAACCCAACAAGTGGCCAGCTGCCGGAGGAGAAAAAAACTCGGAAGAAATGCGATCTATGCTCTTGCTGCTCAGACTACCATCGATTTTTGGGGGCGAAAACAGTGAAAACAAGCTGTTCGACTCTCTGAGGAAGTTATCACAAGGGTTTTGAGTGGATAAATAATGAAAAGTAAAAACAGCTTCCATTACACTTTGCTCTACTTTGAGCCGCCACTTGTTGCACATGAGTCTGATTTCCGTTTCTACTTTGTTTCCCGCATTTCGCTTGTGATGCGAGAAATATTTTACAATTTGAATCTTCAATGAGCATGAAAAAAATGAATATTTTTTTGTCGAAAAAAAGGAAAAAAAGTTGAAGTCTTTCGAATTATAATCCAGAAGGAGTTTATCGATATAGCGCCAAAAAAATTCTTTAAAAGCTTTATCTATGAAGGCACAAACGATTCTCCAGGAAGCTTCATCGATTGGAAATCAATAGCCTTTGGAAAATACGAAGAAAATAACTATTTGTCTCCGCGTAAAGTTGGAATTAAAGTTTGGCGCCTCCGCGAAATAAGTTTTTTGGAACCGACCATATTTCCTAACAGAGATTTCAGATCATTAACCAAAAAAGTTCAAAAAAAAAAATAAAAATAAGGGATTAAGAGGAGTTGTAAATCTTTTCCCAATAAAAAGAGAAAGAGGAAAGTGAGATCAACTGTCGTTCGGCAGCGTTATCAAAGAACGAATAAAAGTCGGCTCCCGACGGTGAGAGCCCTCGAAAATCTGAAAGATGGGAATCTTCTCATATTTGTTCGATATAAGATCCATCACGGGGTCGATGGCCCACAACTTTTCGAACTTTTGCCTCGTTGAACGCCGTGACGTTTCACCCGCGCTTTCCTAACAGCTCTCGAGAAATCCCGCGATTCTTGTAATCTTTTTGGCTGCCGGCTTGTGCAAACAGAAATCATAAGCGAAACGCTATTGAAATCAGCACGCAAACCGTTTTTCTTTACCTTTTTTCCTCGGCAAAGTGTGAAGTTGTTCTCGAACAGAATGTCCGTTTGAACTGTCGAGGAAAAGTTGAACTCTCGCACAGACTATGAAAAAGTAGTTCAATACAGTAAATGAAGAAGAGAAATAAAAGCGGAAATGTGAAATGTAAAGAAAAACGGAACAGTTATAGCCAGAACCAATTTTCTTTCTTGAAGGTTTGAGAAGAGCGCAGAAAAGATACAACAAATTATCCAGAATCATTTTTTTCAGGTAAGGCGACGACTGACCTCCAGAAAATTTCAAAGTATAATTGTTTTTTTATTAAAAAGAAACATGCTTGTCTTGATTGAATTTTTGAGTTAAAGTGATTTTTTTACGAAAAGTTTATCAATCACACCAAACAAGGGAACGAAAAAAACATGGATTTTTTCCGTAGGAACTCGCGGTATTTTTTACAGGAAAATCTGGTTGACGAAATATTCCCAAAAACAAGGGAAAACGAAGTGAAAAACAAAAACAGCCGCGTTTTGTTTTTAAATCAGCACAATCTCAAATGTTGGCCTTTACACGGAAGTGAGTTATTTGAAAAAAAAAATGTTTCAAAGTTGAAATTCGAAGTGTGTTTTATCATTGGGTGAATATTCGAAAGAAGGTTCAAAAATATTTTCAGAATTAGAAGATAATTACAATTTTTGTTTTTTTCATTATTTTTTTAAGAACATGCGAGTTTGTTGAGATTTAAGGCAGATTTTATAAAAAGTCGAAAAGCCATTTTGATCTTTCTTTTTGTTCATGTGATACATTTGCGCTGTCAAACTTCCCAGCCAGTATTTCTTAACAGGCCGTAAGACCACCTCTTATTTGTGTTTTAATCCCAATATTTTTCAAAAGTTTGAACTAACTATACTCGGAGAAACTTACGATTTGCGCAGCTTTTTCTTCGCTTCGTCAACTTCTCGGAACGTGGCGGAGCACGACATCTTAGGCTTTTCGGTGTTTCTCACGCGATTCGACGTCTTCTCGCGCTGCCCGCTTCTGATGAACGACGCCGTTGTTGAAATATTCTCCTCTGGCAGTGGAACATCCAGGAATACGACAAAAAGGGGAGACGTGTGCCAGGATTTCGTCGCCGACAGTCTACGATTTGAAAGCACGAAAGCAGCGTTTGACGTCGTTTCTTCTTCTTTGAGTATTTCTTCATCCATTTTGAAACCTTCCTCTTTGGATTCTTGGTCGTCTCCAGTCTGCAATATCCGCTTTGAGTTTGACTATTCCGATCCTCGGTGAAGAAGAACAAACCAAAAAGACCAGCTCTTTCGGGTCCTCCAGCTGCTTGTCGCTGTCTTGGTCGCCGACGGAGACGTCAAATTCGCTAATGGCAAGCTCCGTCACCGGTATGATGAGCATGTCGCGGTTGAGACAGGCAAAGAGGTCTCGAACCAACATGGCCGTGCTCCTGTCGCGGCGCCTTTTGGCCGCCAGCCACCGTCTTTCCTGAGAGTTCCGCAGCAACATGCCACGGTGGCGAGGGCGGTTCGTGCAAACAGTCACGTCGAGTGGCGAGTCTCGACGCATACCTACCGCCGTCGGGGGTTTGCTGGACTTGGCTGGACGAGTTTCTGGTAATTCAGAGTCTCTGCTTGGAGCTGTCGATGGCTACGATGTAGTAGCAATCGTGAGATATCGTTTATTGGATTCATACGGAGTATTTATTCGGTGGGACGACTCTCAGTGGGAAACTGCAGCAGGAGTTGAAGGTTTTCATTAGAATCAATTTATTGCGGTAAATACGACAGAGCTGTAGGCTGGGTAATACTCGCTGAGGATATAAAGGACAGTTCCCGTTTACTAAAAAGCATGAGTGGAGAACATATCTCAGTAAATAAGACTGACATCAAACTTCCAATTACTCGCTGATTGAAGTCTCGATGCGAATCAAAGCTTTTATTCTTCTGACACAAAATAGGAAGTTGAACACAGCTAAAAACTTCAATTCTGCCGACGAGAAGTTACTGTGATAATTTTTGAATCTGTAGGTCTATAAGCAATTCTGCGTTGCCTTCTTCAGATCTGTCTCCCCTTAAGATTTGTAAGCTCAGGGGTTTCGCACAAGTATCGTTGTATTGAAGATGCAATGAAAGTTATTTTACCAGCTAGGTCTTTTTTCTCGAAAGTTGACTCTCGGAGTTATTTGCCGACCGAGGTTATTTCTCGGAATTGGCGCCTCAAGATGGGATTTTTGTCAACAATTTCCCACGCAAAACTGACCCAACACTTATTCATTTCACTAGCAACGCGTAAAATACAAACAAAGTGTCACATCCGACAACTTTTTCATTAAAAATGTGCGTGTTGTGAAATTTCAGTTTGCAAAAGTGATGAAGGTTAGAGACCAAGATTTATAGAAGTAAAAAAGTAGTGGTCTTTGGCCAAAGAAAAAATTCGCCTGTTGAACTTTAATTGAGAAAAGTCGATTGAGGAGACAGAGAGAGATCAGATGATCTCGTTTCCCCATGAGCAGCTGTTAAATTTTTTCTCCATCGTCTTTCCTCGAATAAAGGCGCTCGATTTTTGTTCTCTTATTGCTTGTTTTTTTCTTTTTCTACATCTACAGAGAGATGCTAAAAACTGAAGGATTACACACCCAAAAACAAACAAGATCTGCAAATGATATATTTTCAAGCGCGGAAGGTTACGGTGAAGGCCATTAGTGCAAACACACAGTCTCGATTAGCTTTGTTTTTTTGTTTTTTTCCTTTTTTTTATTCAAAAAAATTTTATTTCCTTTCTTCGAATATGACTTGAAAAAAACGTTCTTGGTTACGGTCGTCCTTTCAGTTGCAAGACCATCTCTCTTATTATTAATTTTATTTTTTTCCTCTATTGAGTCTGGCTCACGCATTTTTTTCATTTAAAAATAAATTTGTTAAGAATTATTTTTTTGAAACTTAAAGTGATCATCTTTTTACGAAAGGTTTTTTTGGATGTTAAAAGTTCAAAAAAAGATAAAGAATGTTTTTTTATTTGTTCTTCTTTTGTCATCATTGACACAACAAAGAGTGTTTTATACTCGGAACTAGATGATAAACTGAAGTTTGAAAAATCTTAGTTATTGTGGAAAAATTATTTTCTGGCCATTTTTTTATGACGCTATCCTTAATCTTTTTTTATACAGAGTTTCCAAAAAAGTTCGAAATTGAAAAAAACTTACAGATGGGTAATATAAACAGCTTGTATACGACGCTTCCGTCAGATATCCAACCGGTAGAGCAATATTTATTAGATTTATCATGTGAATATATTGAAAAGTGAGTTTCGTTCGATTTATTTTTAAATATCACATCATAATTTAGTTTGGGAAGTACACGGTTCATGAGGGTTGCCAAAGGAAAAAATGCAGACGGGATATTTGTTTATAAAGTTTTTGTAAGGCAGGTAAGCATGTACATCGTTCTTTCCCTACTCACAAAATTTACTTATAAGGACGCTTCATCATTGGATCCGTATCCTCAAAGGATGATGGAAATAAGGCGAGAGTTAGCCAACGCACCAAACTGCTGTCCAGTGAAACGGGTTCTGGTGAGGGATGCGATCCACTTTTCCACTATATGTTTCGAATCAAGGTTCGGCCAAACATTGCGGTTCTTCTCCGTTGGTATCAAAAGCATACTTTGTTTGACCGGCTCAGCACAAGGCCATTCGTAGTGTATCCCGAAAAAATTTGGTATTGTAAAATTGTTGCAAAGCGGCCTAATATCATGCTCACAGGTACATCTACTTATTATTCAAAGCCTTGGCACAGTGCGAAGCCAAAGGCGTGTGTCATGGAGACCTCAAGTCGCAGAACGTGCTCATTTCTTCATCGAACTGGCTCCAAATTACGGATTTTGCCCCTTTCAAGCCAACCTACCTTCCCCAGGTACAGTTTGGACTGAAGACATGTTCGCAATAGTCGATATAGGACAATCCGTCGTCTTTTTCCTTCTTTTTCGACACGAGCCGACGACAATCGTGTTATCTGGCGCCGGAGAGGCTCCTTCCCTCCACCGACTACGATCATCTATTCTCGACCAAAAAAGAAGAATGGCTTTTTGGTGAGACTTTGGTCTAGAAGGGCAAAAAGGGAGGTTCTGAAGGCTCTCTGCGACCGACGATGGACGTCTTCTCCGCCGGCTGCATCGTCTACGAGTTGTTTTGCGACGGCCGTCCGCCTTTCACGTACAGCCAGCTCTGCGAATACCGCTCCATGACTTCTGGAGAAGCTGCCGCCGTCCTAGAGAAGTTGGTTCTAGAAGAAAAAACGCTCAGAATTTTAATGAAAAAAATAATTTCATTATTCTCAAAAAAATTCTTTAGTACCACTATCAGAAAATGAGTTCTGCATTCTTTGGAAAAAAAGGCATACTTTTTTCTCTTACAAAAGTCTGTGAACAATTTCTTTTTTGAAGGCTGTTGCAAGATGTTCCTGTCAAGTTTCGCCCTCTGTTGAAGCTTCTGCTTAATCGCGAGCCCGACATGCGGTTATCTGCGAAAAAAGTGGTCAGTTTCTAAGAAAAAACTTTTTTTATTTCTGAATGCGTTAGGTGTGAAGGCTAACCATCAAAAAGCTCCTAAAAATCTTGTGACAGTTTTCCGAATTTCTGCCTTAATAGTAGTAATCAGCCTTCGAAGAACGTCCCAGCACACTTCTTCATCGTGATAATAAACATTGAAGCTTGACGGCTGCGCGTTCTCCTTTCCGCCAATCTTCGAGTCGTTCCTTTTCCGCTATCTCGACGCTTTCCGTCCCTTGTTCGGCCCCAACACGACCTCTGACGGCAGCGGCGACGATCTCAGTCAGCCTCTCGAATGCTCCTACATCGAGCCCGACGACGTCATTGCCAAGTTTCCAGATGATCATAAATTCACTTGGATGTCTTCATTCTAGGCTGAAGCGAGAGAAAAATATGTGGTTAGCGCAGCTGTCGCTGAACGACGAGACCAAACCGTTCGCCGTCCTTTTCGTGTCGTTGATCACGGCTAATATGCGAGCGTTGCGATCTATACGCGCCAGAACGGTGAGTTTGCCTCGGGTTATGTGAAAAATTTGAACCGCACGGTTCTGATTAATCGGAAAAGTCATTGAAATTGTTTCTCTTTTTTATCATATTTTTTTAGAAGTCCCACTGTGAAAAGAAATAATTCGTTGGACAGAAAACAAAAGATCTCTGAAGTTAGAATTAATTCGATCACTCCACGGTAGAGTTTCAAAACGAGCAGTTCAGGACGCGATGGGCCTCCTGGTGGAGCTGTCGTCGCTGTGTGAGCCTTCCGTGGCGATGGAGCGCGTCTTGCCCTACTTCGTTCACATGTTCTCCGAGCCTGAGCCTCAGGTCCGAGCTGCCGCCGTCTTCTCCGCCACGGACCTCCTTGCCGACATCAAGCCCACTACCTACGAGGAGTCCATCGTTTTTGTCGACTATCTATTCCCCGAATTGGTTTGTGCTCCTTTCATATCTATCATTTTTTGGCAATAAAACAGATTCCTAATCGAAATAAAACCTTGTGAGAGTGAAAAGAAATATTTCCAAACCTTCCTGAGAAGTTTCGCAAAGTTTTGATTTGTAACAGCTCTGAAAGAAAACAAGTTTTTTCAGTCCTCCTTGCTCACCGATGACTGTCCTCAACACGTTCTTTTCACGATCGCTGCTTGTTTGGGGACGCTGGCGGAAACCGCACACAAGTCGGCTGCAAATCACATTTTCTCAGGCAACCGAGAATATTTGCAGGTTTATGGTTGAAGGCAGAAGCATCCGTGCAGTGAGCAACGACGAGGACATTTCTATTGCCGAGACTCTTTCCGGTGAGCTTTCTTACAGAAAAAGCTGGCCTATAATAACAGGAAAACTGTTTCAATCCGTTTATTATAAGTATTTTTCGAGTGTTTTTAGGCCACCTGATTATCTATTTTCCGAATGAAAAGCACTTCTTCTAAAAGGTCTTAATTTCAACTATATAGTTGATTACGCAAATACAGGCTAAAAAACTACCTAGATTTTTGGATTTGACTAAATGAATTCAGAAGGGCAGCTAGAGAGTGACAAATCGCGTGTTCTTCTCGATTCGGTCAGCTCGATTTTCATGTCTCTCGGCAGTCAGGACGTCGTCCGCCACTGTCTCGTCAACCCACAGTCTCTCGTCAAACTCTACAATTTTTTCAACCAAATGGGAGGTCAGCCCTTCAAATATTCGGTTTTTGATCAATCCCTCTCTGTGATCCTCAAAATAAAATGTCAATGGGATAGCCCATCATCAGAAATTAAATTCTTTGAGCCACTCCCTTTTACTGTAGCCGGGTTACGGTAAGTAGGTGATCACCTGCGTATCTAAGAATTTATGAATTTTTCAGAGAAACATGTATATCAATCGATAGGTAATGCAATTTTAGAAACTTTTTCAATACATACCATCTTGGGTTACTGTGTAAATGTTTTGATTTTGAAATACGATACCCCGAAATAGGTCTTTGGTCACCAATTCCATTTTCCTTAAAACGTTACTTCTCTCAAAGAGGTGTCATTTCATGTTCTACAAATGAATATCATTTCATGTAAAATTATCGAAGACCGTCATGTCGCAAAATCACTCCGATAGTGCGCAACTTGGCTTTTCGCAGCAAAGGCCGACCTTGGAAAACGGCCAATAAAATAATTTTATTATGAAACTTTCTGCTCACATTAAAAAGTTTGCAGACGGAGATAGCCTGGCCAAGTTCATCATCACTTTTTTGAACGTGAAGACTGATTGGCGCCTTCGTGCCGCTTTTTTCGATTGGCTTCCGTTGTGCGTTCAGAGGCACACTGCAGGAATCCACACACTTCTTCATCAGGTACTTTTTCTCTTAATTCTAACGATTTTTTTTCATTTCAAAGAATAAATCTTTGTGATAACATTGAAAAGATAACTTTTTACAGGGGTTGCAAGATCAGGAAGAGTGGGTCGTGGTTAGAGCCATCGGATGTGTTCACGCTCTTCTTTTGAATGATGTTCGGGTTATCTATTTGATGAAATATGCTTTTTATCTTCATTACGTTAAATAACGTGGTCAAAATTAAATCTAGGATTGCCTCATTTCGAGATCCAAAACTTTTAAAAATTTATTCTCGAGCATTTTAAATAATTTTGAGCCATTCTCGTTCTTCTCCCATTTAAATCTTTATAATTGAAGTAAATGAATTTTTTCGAAATTTTATGTTCTCTTTTCAGTCTTTGGACCGAGCTTCTCTCATTGAGCTTCTCCCCGACCTGACTCCATTTCTGGTTCATCCGGTAGGCTGTTCTCCCTGATTCTTTCGAACATTGCTTCATTCAAGAACGAATGGATCAGAATGTCGGTTATAAACGTCCTGGTGGCCGTGGAATCTCGTTGGTCTCTAGCAGACGTCCACGTCAAAGTTCTGCCTCTCGTCAAACCTTTCGTCCAATCCGACGTTCGGTTGATTCGTCTCAACAGCAAGGTGAAGCTTGCAAGGAAAATGATATTCAAAAATAATAACAAAAACATTCAAAAATCTATAAAGGTGAATGAGGCTCTGAGAAAATTCTGTAAACCCATTTATTACAATTCGTGAAGTGCCTGGATAGATGAAATGGACACCTGAAAACCTTCTAAAATTGGAAATAAGTTGGAAGATACATGAAAACAAAGATTTTTTTAAATGATTTTTGCTCGTTTATTTCGATTGAAAAATTCACATTCCTCTTGATCTACTTCTATGGTTTTAATCGATTTTTTCCTTAAAACCTTCTTTCTCATAGAAGAATTCTATGGATCAAAATAATAGGAATAACGTGAGAAAACTGATCAATCCATGGCCAAATTCAGAAACACCTGTGAAACTTTTATCAATCTTGTTTTTCAAAGAAAGTTTGGTTTTTTAAAGGTGGTGCTGACGAACTTGTTGGTGGATTGTATTCCGCGCGATGTTTGGCGGCGGCTAATTTCTTTGGGACTCGAAAGTACCAGGAAACTCGTCGCTCTTCTCGGTGCGTCTTTTCTCCAGTTTCACTCAACTGAATCGAAACCTTGCAGATGCGCATTTGAACAGAGGAGCCAAGTTCGAATCAAGCGACCAGTGGTTTTTGAGGGTCGGTTTTAAATACGGAGTTAGAGTTTAGAATAAATAGAAACTATTAAGAATGTTTCTCCAGTTCTTGATGAGGTTAAATATCAATTGGAAAACAATATCTCAGTGTTCGAACTATCTGTTTTTTAGATGGAAACATCTCTCATTGCAAGTTCAGTTTTTGCGAAAGTTTCATAATGTTTTTAAAGCTATCTTAGACTCAAATTTCGCATCCTGTTACATTTCTGGCTCATTAAGAAGTCTCAGTGAATTTTGTAATATAACTGAAATTATTGAAATACGTGAAGAGGAGAAAGGATAACTAAACTTTGAAGAGTCAGAGATATTTCGCATTACGCAGAAATCGCGTTGAACACGTTAAAAATAATTTTGGTATATAATCAGGAGAAGTGTTTTGTTTTGTTTGCTCAGCAGCCTTTTAAACGCTAAACAAAGATAGTTCTATTTTTCAAAGAATTTTTCTTAGAAAAAGTATTGAAATTTGAAAGATCAAGGGGAAATTTCAGCTCTTCCCCAGAGGCGATGGATGGCTATCGTCAGAGGCGCGAAACGCAGGCGAAGGAGGGCGGCAGACGCAGGAAGAAGCGCGAGATCAGAAACTCCGGATGCTCTTCGCCTTCCGTACCATGCTGCCCAAAATGGCCGACTTCCGCACAACGTACGCTCTCTTTTGAAGACAATTTTGATTTTTCCAATTTTTGAAATGTACCACTCATGAATATGTGCCTGAAGAAAAGAATAACATTTGAGGGAGGGAATGGAGTCGATGTTGACGCGCCAGATGGGAATCGTGGATCTCTCTTCAAAACTCCATGAACGCGTCCGGAGAAAGAGATTCGCCTATGGACCGCGGCCTTTCGAAAGCGACAGTAGGGTCAGATTTTCTTTTCATGCAATCGAAGTTTCTACGATATTTTGTTCATTGTCAGATAAATGAAAACCTCTCTTGAAAATATGGAAATTTCTAGTTTTTCGTGTTCCCGAAGTTAAACTGACAGTTGGCTAGTGTTTCAGAGTGAAATATTTTCATAGCTCTCTCAGTCTTTTCTTCAAAGTAATATACAAAGTTTCTTGCTGGGTCTTCAAAAGCGCTGAAATTTTTTCTCGAAGAAAGAAAAAATAGAAAATTCACAGTTCTTTCGGAAAACTGAAACGCGTGCCTGATACCAACCACGTCTCATTTTTGAAATTGTGTCAATTATCCAGAATAATTTCTTCAATTCGTGAATCTAAAGGCGGCCAGTAGACGTTTTTAAAGACAAATGTAACTTTTCGCACTTGAGAAGAAACAAATTATTTTGCAGGTTGTTGTGAGCTCCACGATGAATCGTGAATGGAACGAAATGTTTGGCGACGCGTTCGAGCAGGACGATGAGCGTCGCGAAGCGAATACCGCCGGCACCAGTTCGTTTTTTCTCGACTCTTTTTGAGATTCTGCAGCATAAATTTTTCCAAAAAAAGGGTTTTTTTTGTGCTATAATGAAGGAGTTTTCAGTGCGTGGCTCTTTGTACGAGTCACAAGTGAACGCTCTTCTGACGCATCTCAACGAGTATCACTACCGAAACGTCGCCTCCAGAAAATCCTCTCTCATGTACTTTTTTCCTCTGTCACATTAGTTTCATATTGGTCGTTCAGGAAAAGTCAAACGGGACAGTCGATCCGTGGAGCTCTCGTAACTCATCTCCATGAACACTCCCAGCAGATCACCAAGTACGGAGTCGGAAATCATCAGATAAAGCTGGATTCCTTCAGATTGGCGGTTCACGGCGACGGCGAACACTTTGCGAGCTCTTCAGCTGACGGAACGGTCAGAATCTGGAGACGTCGGACGGTGGTCGGCGAGGGCTCCGGGGCCATCAGAAGCGACCAGCTCTGGACTCCCAGTCGTTAGTTTTTTTTTTTCTTCTTTTTGAAAATTAAAGCTCAGATAATTTTACTTTGCAAAGTATCAGAAACGATATGAGAAATTTTATGAATCAAGTAGCATCATTCGAAGAAAGATAAGGTCACAATGTTTTTTACGATGCTCTTACCACCATTTTCGTCATATAGCATGTTTTGGTGCAAACACACCGCGGTGCAACTTCACAAACTCAAGTGAATCAGAAATTGAAGAATTGTAGAAATTAAAATTTTCCACATTTCTACTGAGTTTGATTGCAAAAAACCACTAAAATAAAAGAAAATACTTGCGGCGGACGCCGTGATCAGCACTGAGCATTCAGTAGTCTTCTTTCTATCAATCAGCCTTCCCCAACTGTTTTGAAGGAATTTTGCGTTTTTATGCTCATGAAACGTTCCTAGGAAATCGGAAGAGCGTGAGGAGCGTTGGATGGGCGACGAACAACTACGCGGTGGCGGCTGTCGACGACGGCCAACTCGTTTGGGCCGACGTCTCCACGGGCATCAAGGAACTCTCCACTGTCAGTGGCTCAGTGAAATCGAAAATGTCACGAAAAACGATTCATCACAGAGAAAATACGGAATTTTTAGCGCATTCGTAGAGAAAAATTTTCAAAAGATTTTCTGAGTTTCAACACTTCTTTTTTGAAGATAAACATTTCTCGGTTATAAATGAGTTTCGCAATGGTTTCTCCGTTACAAATATGAGCCTACTGAAATAAGATTTGATTGACGTTTTTGGACGGAACTTTTTTCAGATCCAATTGCCTCCAGAGGACGGCGCCCCCATGGAACTTCACTCTTTCGGTCCGCTTTCCTTCGTCAGAACTCATCACGGCGTTCTCTACGGCCTCGACACCAGGTTCAATTTGGCATCTTTTGTAAAATAAACTGTATTTTCAAGAGTTGCGCGGTCTAATGGACCACTGGGCAAGCACGAGGTTTGGAGGAAAAAGATCAATAACGACGACGGATTGGTACTTTCTCCGTGGAAAATACCCACACAAGTTGATTTCGTAGGTGACCTGCTCGACGGTGGATCCGTGGCAACAGGCTTGGATGGTCGTCGGAACAACGGCCAAATCGAGCAACCTTTTCCTTTGGGACCTGAGGTGAAACATTGGAAACGATCCAACACTGATTATCAAAAAAAGATGACTCGAAGTGGCGCGAAAATCGAGTCCGAAGCATTCTTGAACCTGAAAATCAAAGTGCCCGAGGCTATCAAGCCTCAGCAACGCCGTCAAAATTTTGCAACTTCTCGAAGTTTTTTTTTTCGAAAAATCTCCACATTTTCACAAATCTGCAATTGAAACTTGTTGTGCGGGGATTTGGTCAACGTAGATTTTTACTCAGGTTCCATGAAGAAGTGATCAGTTGGAAGTCGCCGCAAGGGCTGCGGCCGATGGGCGTCTGGACCAACTCGACGGCTTCCCAGAACACTCCAGAACTCTTCGTCGCCTACAACTTGAGCGGCGACGTCAGCATGTTCGAGTTGAGCGCCCAACTCACCAGGTGCCTCCGAAGCTCCCTTTATTTGGCTCATAATCAACCCTTTCTAAGAACGAAAGTGCTTCGTAGCGAGTCGAGGTCGTCTATTGGTGCTCATTCCCGACCTTTGGACTCTGTTGTGGTTGGTTTTCGTCAAGAAGAGAAAAATTAAATTAAAAAAAGGGCTAACATTCGATCTCTAGTTTCCAGATTATTCGAGAAATTTCGAAGTAGTAGAAATGTGGGGGTGTAGATGTTTCGCCGAGAAATGTGTCGCTAGATTTTTTTTTAATAAGGTGTCTAGGATCCACGTTGTTCCCGAAGTAGAGTAATATAACTCAAAAAATAATTTTTTGTTGGAATTTCTTTCTACGACATTTTCGCCACTACTCAAAACACTTTTTGAATCTTCGGAAACTCCGAAAATTGACGAAAAGTTTTGGGGCTAAAGACAGTTCTTGGAGCTTTTTGGGTTTAAAATTCCGTTAAAAAATCAAAATTCAACGCAGCATTAGATTTAAAAAAAAAAATGAAAACTTGAAAGGAAGTTTCTTAGGGATTTTTAATTTTTTGTCATGTCACAAAGCAGGTTTCAAGGCTTGTCAGTCTTGAAGGGATTATCTATCGAGAATTTATTTCCGATGCTTGAAGGATACCCACGACGCAGTTTCGTCGCTGCAGACGCGAGCTTTGTGCGTGTGCGAGTTGACTGGGACGGTGTACACCGGAGACACAGAAGGCTCCCTCAGACGCTGGAACACGTCCCGCGCCGCCCTGTGTCGAACAATGAGTGCCAGACCGAAAGGTGAGAAAGAGACGGCAGCCGATGGACGAAGATTTCTCCTTCAGGTCGCATGTCCCTCATGACGGTTTACGAAGAGACGCCGCCGAACCAGCCGCCGCCGATGCTCATCTACGAGTGCAGCGTGACGAGCAACTCAAAGGAACACCGACCCACGGTTCCGTTGGAGACCAAGGTCGTTGGCTAAAGTTGAAATGATTGAAAGTCCACGAGTGAAATGGTCCAAATTGGTTCCCAACACTCCTTCGGATATCTGCCAATTCATCAAGTTTTGAACCTACATAGAAAAAGTGTCTTGTCGTTCAATCACAAGCCAAAAAAAAAACAACTTTCAAAAGTGAGAGCTAAACAAAAGTTAATCACAATTTTTTCCAGCCGGCGACGTTCCATCGTACTCCAATAACCGATATTGCGCTTCTGAACGAAACTCTAGTGAGCGCCTCGGCAGATGGGATCATCAAAGTTTGGAAATAGTTTTTTGTCTTTGCCTATTGCTACCCTCATAATGAAAATATATTGCACTTCCAATGGGTTTTTGTACGTACTGTATATAGACCTTGTAATATTTTGCTGAATATGTGTATGTAAATGGTTCACTTTGTAATTTTTTGTTATGGAATGGCTCTTTTTCGACTTGTTAATAAATAAAATGGTTACGAATTTGATTATCCTCAACTCAAACTAAAATCGACAGGGAATGAGTGCCATGAATAGACGCTTTTGTCTTCTTTTGAGTTAAATATTTCAGTTTTATCCCGGTGTTGAAGTTCTGAAAAAATGTGATGAATCTACAAGCTTTTAGTTTTCAAACAACAGGAAATTAAACCGCGTCTGAACGACTCCACCCTATTCGTTGAAAAAAATTTAATGAAATTTATTAGGCTGAAATTTTAAGAATCCCTATGGACAAATTCTAAGAGTTCAAGTCATTCACCTTCAGTGTTTTCCTATGGCCGCCCAAAAATCATATTCTTCATGAAAGGCTGACAAGAAGTCCTTCCAGCCGGGGCGCGTCTTCGTCCGACGTTGCAAATTGTTTGTGCGCAAGAGCCATAAATGGTGCGAATTGGTTGGCAGAAGCCGTGGCGAGATGATGAACGGCCGATTCCTCGGGGTGTCGTTGCCGCCTTCGACTCGGTCTGTCTGGCTGCCTATAAAACCGGACAGGAGGACTCGGCAGGGGGTCCGTCTGTCCGTTTGTCGTACTTAGCCGTGATTTCGGGTTTTGTGCACTGTGTCGTCGCTCGTAAAATCGTCAAGCCGCCAGAAATGCATCCGAGTCTTTTGCCCCTAGTTTTGGTCCCAACAGTCCGCAGTTGATCCATTATCAAATCTCAAGTTATAAATTCTTAATTTGTGTTTCCGATCTCCAGGTAAGTACTGAAAAGCGCTCTGAATGAAATATATCCTTCAATTCACTTTTCTTTGTCTTGTGACTCTCTAAATCGTCTCCGAAAGCGATATAAATAAGGCTCATAATTTATATGTCTCAAGAGTTTGATATGCCCCAAAAGCTGTTATCAACCCTAAATAAAAGCCCGACACATTTCTTCTCAATTAATTCCAATTTTTAATGATCTAATAAGTCGTATTACATCACAAAGGGCTGTCATTTTATTGTGAAATTCGAAATTCCCTGATAGTTTGCAAAAGAAAAACCCCTCTGAAGATCTATAGGACGGCAGAGTCGTTTCAAGGGAGAACATCTGAAGGAGCTATCTTCACGCTAATTCCCTTTCTTTTCTGTGACTTTTGAGCAGAAAATGTGACAATTTCTTACTTTTCTTTTTTCTAATAGGAAGAAGTGTCTTAATTTTGATCGGAAAAATAAACGGCCGAAAAAAAAGAGGAGGTCCAAAAAAGCGACGAAATCTGTTCTGAAGTCGCAGTTCCTGGATCCCTAGAAGGGAGGTCATTTTTGCCTGAAATTTGGTATTTCTTATAAGTTTGCTCGAAAAATCTTCAGCGGTCCAGAAAAATATTCATCTCAGCTAACTATGCAAATTCCTAATTTTCAAGACACGAATTTTAAAAGTCTGCTTGCAACATAGAATTAGAACTAAAAAGTACTTAGCGACTTTAAAAACTAAAATCTTCAAAAAGGAATACTTGCGTTAGTATGAGGAATCTTTATCTACACCTTGAGATATTGCTCGAGAAGATTTACCGGAAATTCCAAAAAATGACACTAAAATGAGCTCCCTCGGGAAGCCAGGCAGTCCAAGACGCCAATTTCGATATTACACTGAGGGCAGAGGAAACGGTTGAAACAGTCGACTGAACTCGGAAAAGGCTGGCAGGACCTGGCGGCGATGGCGCGGCCGCCGACATTGTCGAACAGACGTGACTCACCTTCTGTGCCCGCCTTGTGCATTCGCGTGTGTGTGTAGGCGAGAGACGCGTCTCCGCCTTCCTTCCGCCTTTCTCCTTGACTTTCCTCGAAACGAAGCTTCCATCAGAAAAGTCCTTTGAGCGGGTCTTGCACTGTTTCCGAATCTGCTCATCGTCTTCTTCTTCCTTTTCCTTCGATCTGTCCTTTTTTCTGCAGATTAGGTTTTTTAATTGTTTGATCAAGCATATTTCAAACAGCTTGCCGAAGTTTTTGAAGACGTAGATGCTCACGTCTCGTCCTTTTTATGGTGATCGTAGATGCTCGTTTCCACTCAACTAACTCCAAAAAGCGCTTTTGCTCTGAAAGAGCTCCCATATATGCTGTTCACACATATAATATTCAAAACACAGAAATACGTCCTAATCGAATTGTTCTCACAAAAGGCTTGAAAATGAAAACTATAGTCATCCAAAGCGAAGAATTGTTATTTCGAGTCGCAATTTTGAGAGTGCTTTCCTGATGATTTCAGTCATGCTCTTTAAAAAAAAGAACACTTTCAATTCTGCTCTCAGACTGAGATTCTTTCCTTTTCAATGTCAACTAGATTATTTATTCAAAAAGCAAAATTAGACTCTTGGATTTCGACTGAACTTCCAGGAAGCCTTCATTGAAGACTACTTTCTCAAAGTTCTCAGCGGACCTCAAAAACTGACTTGCTCGATGTTGTTTTTATTGCTACCGTAGGCCGAGAAGAGCGCGTGCCATCGGCCGGCTCATTTGTCTTTTTGTCGCGACGACAGCTCGGACAAGGCGAAAAAACAGCCGCCGACCGTTCCATCATTTTCGCCTCAACCGACGTCGCACTTTGCCGACGATTCTAATCTTTTCTTCTTTATCCTTTATTATTATTGATGCGCTCAAGTTCTCCGAGAAAAACAATTAGCTAACACAATAGTGCTTGGACTTGAAAATTGCTGTAAAGAAACTATTTCTTTCTAGGCTTTTCTTAGAATATCGTCGAAATCTTCCTTATCTTTCTTTCTGAAGAGCTATTCTTGTATATATATATATATATATATATATATATATAATCAACTCTCTGGAGAACCTACAAGAGATTTTTTTGTTATCATCTTCTTCCAACTAAAAAAATAAGAATCTATCGAAGAATTCATTTTAGATAATAAAACGAGCTTCGCTTTATTTTTATCTTTCTAGATGGAATCACCGATAGTCCCAGAAAGCTTCACTTCGACAATGTTGGCCGTTGAACTCAACCGGATCGCATTCGCAAAGTTGGTCTATTCGTTTGAAATTAAGAAAAGAGATCTTTTTTTTATCGGTTTTGTAGATTTTACGGACCTCGTGATTTCACATGAACTTTATTATTTTCTCCTTTAAACAATGAAAATATTCTTGTTAGGAAAGTCGCGCAGTCAGGTGGGTACAAATTTCGCCGTAAAATTGACCATGAATGGGAATCGGCCAGGCGTGGAAATGGAAACTTCGAAAAGGCGACGCAGCATTCAAATTTGCATGATTGAGAAAAAAAAACTCCGCGAGGAGGTGGTATCAAAAAAACGTCCAAAGATTTCGAATCATTGTTTTTGAAATCTTTGAACATCTGCCCAAGACATTCAAGAACTTTTTTGTGCCTATTCGGGTCGCACAAAAGAAAAAAAGCTCGCTGAAGTTTTCCTAGAAAAAAGGCCTGAGCAGAGTTTTGAGATCCTTTTGAAGAGACGGGATCGGTTTCCGTCGGATGCGCAACGTCGGTTCTCAAGTGGCCGCTCACAAAAGAGCCAGAAGAACAATCGGAAGATTTGGCAAAGTGTTTTTCGCGTGTAATGGGATTAGGCGCAGGTGTGAGCTGCCACCGATACCTTGGCCACGTCTTTTGTACGCCAAGGCTGTTTCCGCTCTGTTGGGAAACGAAAGCATGTTTTCTGTTGACAACAAAAGTTGAGCTTTCTTCGAACCAAAGCTCCTTTTTTGTGTTCAGACAAAAAATACTACGTAAATATACTTAAGTTTTTAAACTAGCTGAATTTCAATTTCGTTAAAATCCAATAGGCTTCTTTAAAACAAAAGCCATGCTCAAACAATCTGTTTTTCCAGGCGCCATATTTAATCGAAAAAAATTGAAAATTGTTTTCATAAATCCATTTCTCCACAAACTCTTGCGAAAAAATTTTCGGTTACTTTTAGAGCTTTATGTAAATGTAAAGACCGTTCATAAACCCTGCTTGTGAAATTTTTCGAGCCTGGACATGGACCTAATAGTTGGCGTCTCTAAAAAACATGGCAAGCTTTTTTTTAGATTATAAGGTAACTAATTATTGATTCTAGGATTCTAAAAACGTTACTCAGGCATCGGGAGCTCGAATTTTTCCTCATTCTAGCCTTCAATATTGTAATCATCAATCTTTTCAAAGATGTCTTTCGCGAGACAAATCCGTTGGAACTCCAATTAAAGTTGAGAGAACCCCTCATTCAACCGATGATTTCCTGACGGAACACATTGAGATCGGATGAGAAGGACAAGAGGAAAAAAACAGCGTCAGGGCATGTTTTAATCAAACGCCACATTCGTTCATCGCGTTGTCACACGTCCCCGAAACGGATCGTTTTACGATTGTTTGCCCTGCTGCCAAGGATTACGGTAGCCACACACTCTTTAGATGCGTCCTGAGAAGACGGCAAATCGTGGGGAACTGTTCTGAATTTTGGCAACTCTTGAGAATTGCTGCTTTTTGAAAAAAAAAACCGAAAATTGGAGGAAGAAAAATCAAAAGGATTATTGTTTTTCAGATGCAAGGTCGACGACTACGTAGCAAAGAAAAGGGAGCTTCTAGACGAGTTGAACGAGTACGAACACACGGAAAAGTTTCTCACACAAAATCATCCATTTTCCTAAACTTTTTATCATAGATTTATCAACGAGACGACGAAAACTATTCAGGAGCTGAATAAAGAGAAAGATGAGCATTCAGAAATCATCCAAATGATCAATCAGGTTGGTTTTTGAGCTCCTAACCGAGTAAAACTCGAGAGAAAGACGGTTTCTCAATTGCCCTCGAAAAGTAAATACTGACTTTATTTCTGAAAATTAAAATTCAGGACAAACTCGACCTGGAAAGAGAGATTGAAGAAGCGCAGTTAGAAAAAAAAGAAAGAGAGACGAAAATCGCCAAAAAGTACGAGGTATTCCAGAAATTGCTCTTTTTGGATTTAAATAGCATTTTCAGTTGTTGTTAAAGCTCGTGGAGCAGACGAACGAAAAAATCCGAGAAAGTGGAATTGACGTGGAAATAAAAGAGGAAGACTTGCCGCAAAAACACATCCGACGGTAAGGTTATGTTCATTTATCAGACGGATAAAACCCTCTTTTCGCAACAGAAAAATGATGGTTTGTAGGGGGTTTTTTTTACGTTTCGAAGGTGATTTCGCAAAGTTCAAAATAGCCATCATAAAGTTAAAATAACGGTATTTTGGAGAGCCGGAGGCGATTCGTGGCAACTACTTTTAACACCGAACTAAAATTTTTTCTGGTTCATGTCATCTTCGAAAGCTGTAAAAAGAAAAGAGATTTTCATAGTATTCTGATCTTGAACGTGTAATTATAACACATTCAAACGAAAGAAAAATGCAAGATCATTAAGGGAAAAAACTAAGAAAACATTTTAGTAATTCAAAATCCTTGAGGCCCAGCGTAGGTTAATATAGCGCAGCGCCTGAACGCTTTATCAAAATCTTCAGTCTCGGCAGTTTTTGAAATATTTCGACACCTACCAATGTTTAACCCGGTGGTAAAGCGATTCTGGAACTTTCCCTAGAGGAAACAAAGGTGAAAGGCTACCCTAACCCGATATTTTTCTGCTAAAACGTAACCGTCGACGCAAAAAAACCTTTTTTCGTTTTCAAAATTCAAGAGTTCAGTCTCACGTTGCCGATACACCCATCTCGTTTCAGAGAAGAGACGCCGCCGCCGTCGTCGCTGCCGTCGCCGTTTCCCTTGATGTCGAACACACTGAAGGCCCTCGGCGCGGGAATGCTGCCGCCTGGATTCTTCGACCACCTTGGCGCCGCTTTTCCGTCGCCTGTGGCGCCGCACTTCCGGCCTCCGCCGCCGCATCTTTCTCACGTCAAGCCCTCGGACCATCAGAGCCCACCTATGAAGGTGATTCGTTTCCCTGCTCTGAAAAATTCCTAACCATTTCATTTAACGTTGTTATCATCATTTTACACATAGAAAGTGCTCTCGTTTCAAGGCTAGCTAAAAAAATGGAGAAAAAATGTGTTAGAAATTATTCTTAATCAGTGACGATTATACGAAAGTTTTCGAAGTCACATGTTTTTTTTTGCGGGATTTGACTTTGGAAGCGCCGCTAAAATCGAGATCCTGTCTACAAAAAATTTAATAGAATGAAAAATGAGAAACGGAATACAAATGGTGGAATGTGGATTTATTTCTTCACGCACAGCCGTATACTCTCTTGAAAACTCTCATTCAAAATTTTCTCTTCTACAAAAAAAAAATTAATTGTAATGTTTCGAATCGAAAACTTTTTCAGACGTGTCAATCTTGCTACCAACAAATCCACAGGAACGCCCCGATCTGCCCGATGTGCAAAAGCAAAAGTCGAAGCAAAAACCCGAAGAAGCCGAAAAGAAAAGAGCAATAGAGAAACGTGTCCACTTTCTAGTTTTTTCAATTCCCTTCGATGCACTCGTCGATGATCTCAACATTCCTTGTATGATAAATAAATATTTCCATGGCTCTGTGGTTAATTTTTGAAAAAAGAAGTTCCCACGGCATTTCATTTGGGGAACTTCAAATGTTTTGAGAAGCTCATCGGTCGACCTTCCACTTGAGTTGATCGAAGGTCAGCCTTTTGTTTGAGTCAATTATGACATCTTCTGGTTTCTTTCCAACTTTTCAATTCAATTTTGCAATAGTTTTGAGTACTGTACTGGTAGAACTATTAATATTGATATTATATTATGAAAAATGTTCTCATTTCTTATTTTTTTCCTGCAAATTCTCAAAAAAATGTATGATGATAAAAAAATAATTTTTGAGGTACTCCAAACTGTTTTCAGTTCGAAAACTTTCTCTATAAGGTACAAATGATAATCTGTGGGGATTTACAGCTTTAATTAACTTGAAAAGAAACCTAGTTCATCATTGATCCGACTGTAAAGCGGGTTGTGCTCGTCGGTATTAGGAATCTCAGTACAAATAACTTTTAAAGGACATTCGTTAATGGTCTAACTCAAGTCTTTGGCGTTCGCAACGCGCTCAGCCATTTCAAATGAAACAAGAAAATTCGCCTCTCAAAAAACTCCAGCCTCGATTGAGGGAACGTCTGTCTTTTCTCATAATCTGCTGTGTTTGATACTGGGCAAACAGAATTTGCATGGTTGCGTCGGGAATCTCATTATGCACGGTGAGCCAATGAGAATCCGCCGGAAAACTTCATTTTGGCTCACCTTTTTCTTTGCTCTCCCACACTCTAATAGTTAGTATACAGTATGTGCGGCATACAGTATGTATGCCTATTTTTTTTCTGAGAGAAATGTATTTTCCAAAAACCCTTTAAAATTCTTCTGCAATCCTTGTTCAAGTTTTTATTGAATTATTCTTTTAAAGTTTTTTAAGCTATTCTCCGTGTAGTCAAGTGTAAACTAAACTTTTGAACTTTTTTTAACAGCACTGTAAAACTTAAATTTGACGCTAATCAGTCATTTGGTTCGATTTTAAACCATAACTATGTATAGAAAATTTTCTAAACTCAAAATGAAGCTGACAGGTAAGACCATGGAGTTATAGATGTACTTTTGTACACCGTTACTGAATCAGAAATCAGAAAATGTGGTGAAGGTTTGTAAAAAAAAAACATCGCTTTTCAAATTTGAACAAAAAAATCTCTCCAATCTAGTTCGTTGAATAGAAGATGACCCTTATTACTATGAGAAAAAAGACCTCTAGTTTTGAAAAAGCAAAGAATTTTTTCATTTATTTCAACTTTTTCAGTTGCTGCTTGTGATATTTCTTAATCATAAGCGCCACTGTTAGCTCAGAAAGTTCCGTGATAATTTTTTATTCTTTAATGTTTCCTTTTAGAGTTTCAAAAGTTCAGTTTTGCCTGAACTTCTGAGAGTTATGCTCTTTTAGGGAAGAACCATCTTACAATTCTCAACCTCATTTCAAGGATGCCCTCAAACAACTGAATTGATCTCATAAAGCGAAAACGGGCGTGTGATCGGTCGTTTAACGACGTTCTCGTCACCCTCAAAAGATTTGACGACGTTTTTTGAAAATATTTTGTCGTAACTCGGGAGAAAAAGGGCGACGCTACCGACTATCAGTCCATTTTTAGTTGGAAGATGGGATTTGTCTGTGCAAGATGTTCGAATTGGACATTAGTCACGCTATTTTCTCGATGCTGAAAAACTAGAAGGCAAGAAAAAGCGACTTTCCCAGCCCAATTTTTTCCACCGTTTCGTGCGTTTCTGCCATTTGATGACACGCCGCAATGCTTCTTTTTTTGCGCCTTTCAAAAATAAAAGGAAAGCGACGGCCGCCGAGGAAAAGAAAAGAAATGCTCCTAGCACTTTTTTCGAGAAAAAGAAAGGCGTTTTTGCCCGGGCCGATCCAATCGTCGTCCTACGCTTCATTCACTTCTATTCACTCTGATTTCGCGTGTCCAACCTTTTTTCGCCTTTCCGATCCTGTCCTTCATACTGTATTATCAGATCCACGTCTCGTTGAAAGTCGACCGTCAAAACCACCTGAGTTCAACTAGGAGGTACTGTCATTTTTAGTTTTCGAATGATCTGGAACATTTCAGATGGACATCCAGCAGCTCACCAGCTGTCTCTTCGCTTTTGTGAAAACCAGGTTTCCTATAAATGGATTTCAAGGCCTTTTCGATGTTACAGTCCGTGTTCTCAATCTCTTAGGAGAAAAGGAAGTAGTCGAAAATCTTAAAGTCGCTTGGAAAATTTCGATAAATTCACTCAAACCTAACACTTCAGAACAGCAAACAATGGGAGGGATTTCTCCAGCCTTTGCCTTTTTACACACGCATTCTTTCTAGGGCGTTTCGAAACCGTGGGAAGTTAAAGACAAAAAAGTCACGCCTCGCGAGGCAAAGCCAAAACTTTCGGAAAGTTTCAACAGTTGACAGCTGTGAGGGAATGAGATGCATTTTCTTTCGTTGAATTACAAAAAAAAATCAAGAGACAGGGCTAAATCCAAATTACTTTTTTTTAAAAACTTGGTTTTGGTTCAAATAAAGTTTAGTATAGAATTAATTTTTTTCGACTTTTCATTGATCTACTCGATTTTTCTAAGTGAGTCCCTTTATAAATCATCTACTACAATACATTCTTTATTTGCTTTGTTGTTTCAACCAAAAATTAGACAGAAAAATCTCTGGAAATTTAGGATCATGGAGGCGTTTTTCAGTTTACCGTTCGAAATTTTTATAGAATTTCTTTGAAGATTTAGAAAATGATTCTCAAAATATAAACCTTCTAGGATTTGAAAACTTTAATAAACATTTTTCGGGACCAAAAACCTTGGTGCGCATTTTGAAAGCTTTTGAGCTCTTTTTCTTTCAAAATGAAAGTTGTGCGAGTTAAAAGTTTCAGGACCCTTACTCAGAACATTCAAATTGGTCTTAGGAAAAACCAGAACAATCCCCAAAAACAAAGTATGTTTTGTAAAGTGGTAGTAAATCGACTTACAAATGCAGTTTGGAGGAGATCAACTTGAGGGAGCAAGTCGACGCGATCACATTCACAATCAACGAGATCAAGGCTGAAACAGAGGCCCTGGAAGCCGTCGAGCAGTACGTCTTGGAGTGCAACAAAACGTGCGAGGACCTCGAGATGGAGCGCAAATCTCACGCCGAAGAGCTGCGACAGATCAACCAGGTTGGGCGCTTCGCTTAACTCACAAGAACGGTCCTTTTTGCGGTTAAGGAACTTCTGAAGTTTGGCTAGAACACTCGTTGTTGTACCAAAAAAAAGAAACAGAAAGTCTCAACCTGCAATACTTTCTCAAAGTCAAAAAAACCCCTCAAGATCCGTAAAAATAGGCTATTTTGTGGAATTTGAGTCCTAATTTTTTCGATAATGGAATGCTATGCAGGACCTTCATCTCGTACATCCAGGAATTTGATTGCCAATTTCCAAGGAAATCCCAATCGCAAAGCGAAATAAAACCTTCCGCGTGAATATTATAATATAGATTCAAAAACCTCGTAACCGTCGCTATTTATTTTTTTAACAGGGAAAGTATTATCTTTAGTCGTTTGGGTACTTGATTTAAAAAAAAGCTTGAGCCTCGATCTTCTTGATTACAAATCACAAAAGTTTGGCCTTTCTTTTGAGTTTTAACGGTTAGAGAGAGAGAGAGGAAAAATACATGGTTATCAAGTTTTCAATCGGACACAAAAAAGTTTTTTTTTAGCTTCTTCTAAGCAGATTCTTGAAAACACAATGGGAGAAAAATAGATCTAATTAAAAAGGTTTAATCTTGAAAATCCATGCTTCAAATAAACTTTAACAACTTCATTTATATTCCTGCTTCGCAATCCGTGCTTGTGAAATTTTCAAACCAAAACTATTCATAAGATTTCGTAGGAAACCTTTGGATGAATGGAGAGATCTGCGCAGTTTGCACCTTTTAGTTTCTTTGTTCTGTAGACATGTGAGACATGGCAGATCCAAACTTGCGACTTTTTGTAAGAGAAATCCGCTGAGCGGTGCCAGTTTTTGAATACAGTTAGAAAGAAGGACAGAAAGAAGACAAATTTTATTTAATAAAATCCTGGAATGGTTATCTCTTCCGAGTTTTTTTTAAAGCTGTTTTTCTAAATTATCCGAGAGATTTTCTGCAATAATAACTTGCTCATGTTGTTTTATGTGTCAGAGTTAAATAAATTTTCAAATATTCAATTTGATTTTTTTTTTTTTTTTCCGCTTTTTCCGAATCCTATTCTTAGAAAATTTCAAAGTCGGTTTGAAATACCTTTATTGAACACCTGTTAGAATCTCGCAGTTAAGCATAAAATTTCACAGAAACTTGAGGCGTTTCATGTTTTCCGAAACGTTTTCTGTAAGGCTTTTTCCAGTTTTTCGATATTTTTTTTAGTTTAAAGGCATAGGGGCAGTAAAAAATGGGGTTTCAGGTAAAAGCAGTATCTTATATAGTTTTTCTTTGCGAATCGAATGGTGTACTCAAAACAATTAAAGATGTGACAACTTTAGAAGAAAAACGCGATTTTACTTTCCCGCCTTTATTTTTGAAAAAAGCTTTGGATCGGCCTACGGACAAATGTTTACAGTAGCCGTGCACGCGATGTTGCGGACGTCTCATTAGACTCGCATTTTGTGAGAAATAACTCGATTTCTAATTCAAATTAAGGGTTTTTTTTCTGAAAAAGCGTTTAGTCAAACAAAAAACACACCGATAATAAAGGAAACACAAAATAACGCTATCCCAATCGAAACCGATGTAAAATCATCATTTTTCACCAAAGGAGCATTTTTGCGATCAAAGTTTGCAAATTATACATGAATAGAAAGCTTTTGTGACGAAAAGAACTTTAATGACAACAGAAAAAATTGAAATCTGAAAGAAACGAAGAAAAAAGCGAATATCCGAAAAATGGCGAAGCGTGTTGTCCATAGATAGGGTCCGCAAGCCATTTCTTCAAAACGATCCAAAAAATATGTTTTTTACACTGTTCGATAGAGGAGACTGTCCATTTTCATAATCCGTTCAGTTTTAGAAAAAAGCTCCACTAAGAAAAAAGTTATGGCCAAAAAACTAGCGCGCGCGGCGTACAACTGGAGGCAAAATCTCACGGTTTACCCGCTGCCGCACGCTTTCTTTTTAAATGTTTTTACGCATTTCTGAACCGTTTTCGAATCGGTTTTCTGTTTTGAGAGGTTGTCCGAACTGAGCCTCATGTTTTTGGTATGAATCTTTTGTACAATCCTCATAAGAATTTTTTTGACAAAAATATCAAAAAAACTACTTAGAAAAAAAGGGTCAGAAGGAATTTTTAGCTTATTTTTTTCGTTTTTTTCTAATCTGAAAAAAATTATTATCATTCGATTTGGAAGAAAGAAAAAAATGAAAAAAATAATGTTATTTCGAAATAAAAACAGGAAAAAGTGCAATTTGACGCCGAAAAAAACGGCTCCTGCAACATTTAAAATGGCGCATCGGTGTGTTTGACGCAAACACAGCTACGAATGCTTGCACGAATTCTTCCAAAAATTTCAAAAAAATTGCCATTTTTTTCGAGGTTTTCAAAGCCGTTCTTTTTTTCGCGTCGTTAGATTTTTCATAATTTTTTTTCATAGATAGAGTTTTGAACGCTTAATAACATAAGCAAAAATATAGACGCGATCCTATTCTCTCATGCGACAACGAGGCAGACGAAAAAAGGAGGTTTTGGTAAAACTCAAATATAATTTGATTCGCTGTCCCAATAATTATTTTCATTCTGAATTTTTATTTTTGAACACATTGTGAGTTTTTAAATCAAATAAAAAGTATACCATGTCGCTGAAATTTTTTCGCATTTCAGCTTCAAAGTTTGGTGTCACTTTACAAGCTTCGATTTTTTTTTCGCGTCGTTAGATTTTTTTAAATTTTTATTCAAAAAATAAAGAAAGTGTTAATGTATAACATACTTAAAATTTAGAAGCGTTCCTCACTTGGTTTTCTGAAACGCGACGATTTTGTGAAACTTGTCAGTTTTTTTCGTGTTAAATCTTACTTTTTCGCTTATTTTTGAAAAATACATAGTTTAAAAATTTTTCAGTCTTGTAGAGCGTTGTCGATTACATAGTTTAACAGAAAACAGTTTATTTTTTTAAAGTGGGACTTTAGTTAGTATAAACGCCTCAAAACCGTTTCTGCAACAAAAAAAATCGTCATTTTGGTGGCGTGAAGGGGCAAGGCTTTGCGCCCCCCTATCCATAGAGCAACGTTACTGCAAAGCGCCCTTTTTCGCGGGAACTCAAGCTTTCCTTTCTCCGACTTTGAATTATTTTTTCTCCAAAACCAGGAACTTCTGTACGTTTCCAAGTTCGCCGTTCGATTCGCAATGAAAAACTCTACAAAGTACTGCTTTGAACTGAAACACCGTTTTTTACTGCCCCTATGCCTTTAACCAAAAAATGACAGATTCGAAAGTAGATAAAACAAGCATAAAGCGAATGTCTTCAACGCGAAAAACTGTAAATAGATAAATATTTATATATATATAAAAAGGAATTCCATCTTGATTTACGAAAAAGAAACCTGCAGGACATCAACCAATTGGAGGACTCCCTGAAGACGATGCGTTCAGAGCGAGAAGCACGTCGTCTGCACATCGTCCAGTGCTTCGAGAAGGTGAACCTTTCACGGAGCCACACCAACGAGGCCATCAAGGTATTATTTTCCATTCATGGTACAAATCTTCCTTTTCCACTCATTCCTACCTTCTTAAAATCAAACGATATGCATATTTCCTGCCGAAAATGGCGCTAAAGTTCCCCTTTCAATAGACTATATGTCAAAACGGCTCAATCGTCCGTTTATGACCGAGATACATCCGCATGTGTACATACATCTGCTGCTGCGACGCGACCTCAACCATACTCCAAAGAAGAAAAAAGTGCTCGTTGGGGCTGGACACGTGCCACAAGTCGATGGCCAAATCTGCAACGACTCGATTTACCGGCTCCATTTGGCATATCGATTTCACCTCATGTGCAACTTTTCGCGCGGGTCAACAACGTCCGAATAACGTCTATTCGAATAGAGTCAAAAAAAATCCTATCAACTTCTCAAAAAAACAAGTGATAGAAGGGACGGACAATTTGGAAATAGGCTGATGATAAATGATATCTTGTCTTTGAACTCGGACGAAACGAGTAATTGTGCTATTTATAGAACTAAAAACTCAATTTCAGGCTACAAATCTCGAACAGGAGCTTGAAGATGAAGAAATCAACATAGATGGCTTCAGGTTATAAATTTATACTGAAATAAAATTCTTTCTATTAAGTGTGGATGTAACCCCATGCGTTCCACCGGCCCCAGGACCATTTTCAAATTATTCTCTGTTTTCATTTCTGCAGTCGGAGCAGGTTGCAAGGCCTTCACAGCCTGAGACAAACAAGATGAAGGTTTGGAGGTTTTTTATAACTCAGAAATATCTGATTTTTGGAAATTTTGTGATTTGGTCGTGCATATAACTTAATTTGGTTTTGCTTGTGTCTAACTGTACTTGAAGTGCTAAATTTCTCTCAATTCAAGGCCTGCGAATCCTGCAACGCTCAGATCCACAGGAACGCCCCAACGTGTCCAATGTGCAAAGCGAAAAGCCGTAGCAAGAATCCCAAGCGGCGAAGGAAAGCCCAAGCACCGAATCCTTGAATAAAAGTATTTTCTTCGGCGTGTTGATCCTTTTTTCAGCAATCAGAAGAATGAAAGAAAAGTTTGAACGTGTCCAAGCTTAAATGTTCACCCGGTGAGATGTAAGGAACTCTCACACAAGAAAACATCTAAGATCGGCCAGCGTTCGTGGCCACGGGGAGGAAGAGCTGGAGCTCCCGCCAAGCTGAATGTGTCTCTAGTCATAAGCACTTCGAGGCTATGACCAACGAGCACACCCAGTGCGGCAGGATCCATCGGGAATGAAGGCAGAGAGTCCGCCGGGGACAGCAAGTAAACTGTGATATGAGCAACTGGAGCCAGATCACGGCTTCTTACCGTCGCCTGCAGACCTCAGAAGCGGAGGAGGAAGATTAGACAGCAGTAGTAGTGGAATAGTAGTAGAGCTCGAATAGTTGGTGATGGACTGCTCCAGTCGAGCCTTTATATATGAGTCGAACCGTGCCTGGAGCACGATTTGGGAGGAGGAGTCGGACGTTTTTGCTTCAGGCAAGCGTGCTCAAGACGCGCTTGCCAGAGGCGACCGCGCGCCGACACAGCGGCTAGGCACACTGACCCAACGGCGGGGTCGAATGCTTCGATGGTTATGGAGCGCGCAAGACGGTGTGCATGGCGCGTCGACGAGAGAGTGTGCTACCCAGGGAGAGTCCAAACACGCAGACTATATGGTCCTAGGGCCGGGCGTACCTCCACATGACCATTCTCTTGACATATCCTCTGCTAGGCCAGAAGGCGTCGGACTATTCCATTCAACTGAAGCTAACGACGTCAACGGACCTTTGTTATGTCCGTGGATACAATTTGAAATGCGGAATGACTTCCATGAAGAACACTCAAAGAAGCAAACCTCAAAATGTTTAAAATTCGATCGAAAGACTGGAAAAATGAGTAGCGGATTCAAAAAGACAAAAAATCTTAATAAGTACTGCCGCCGAGCTTCTATTGATCAAAAACTTTTCCTTTTGAAAATTCTTTCGAAGTTTCTGTTTTTCATTAGCCCATCAAACATTCGAAAATGATCAGGATTTTTTTTCATCCAAAGTATAATATTTTTTTAAAGAAAAGCTGAGTTATGGGTAAAAAGATGAAAAAAGTTTTTATTGCGATCTCGAAACAGTCATAAACGCTCACGAAGCATTAATTCGGATTCCGATGCAGCTCTCAAGAAGGATTCTAAACCCAAGGCGAAATTTCTGTCACAGATAAAATTCCGATCTGCTTTTGTTGAACTACCAATCTTCACTGCCAAATCTAGACGTTTTACCATGCCTCGATTTGAATCAACAAAATAGGGAAAGAGGACTTCATCTTGTTTTTTTCAAATTTGAGAAAAACTTATTCAAAAAAACTATCTAATCTTTTTCTAACATAATTGTAAATAACTTGATATTTATGTTTTTCATATTCTCTCAAAAACTCTGAAAAGGGAAAGAGCCCTATTCGGATAATGCCTGAATGAACTGTATTAAAATTATGAAATCTCAAAAAACCCGTTATTTTTTTCACTTGCGCTTCGAAATCTCGGAAGATATCATTTTGTGTAACTACACGCTATCTCTATAAACTCTCTAGTAATAGTCGGAAGGATAGAAATTTCCTCGTTTTTGTCTTTCAAATTTAAAGCGACTTTTGGCAAACATACGCCAATTTTCGAATTTGGCGCCAAAAAAGATCGGCCCGCGAAGGCGAAGGATTCAAATTTCTCGTCGGCGCTCAAACAAGTTCGTCGGGTTTTCTCAATTCTTTTTAGCGGGACAGAAGCTCTTACTTCCATAAAAATAGTCAATATGTTGGTTTTCGTCGGTTTTGAAAGCCTGATATCATTATGGCGAGTTCAAAGTGAAAGTGTTTTCGCAAATATAAAAATAGCCGTCAAAGAAGGGAAAAGATAACTAAATCTTGAAGAAAGAGAGTTCATTTCGAATTTCGCAGAAATCTTTGAACACGAAATTACAGTGAGACTAAAAATATTCATAACTTTTTCGCAACAATGATTGTAATTGACTTTAAAACTTTTCTTGGCCATACGTAATATAAATCTTAAAAAGATAGAGCTCTTCCTTGCCATCCCACAAAACCAAAGAAAAAAATTTTCTTCAGGTGCTGTGCAAAAAAGTTTGGCCGTTTCGGAGTCAAAAGAGCACCTGCGCCCTACCGTAACCTTTTAGAAAAGACGAAAAAGCGGCCAAGTCAAAGGCCTTTGTGCCACTTTTGGCTCTGGTTTACACAAAGGAAGATTTCAAACGTGTTACAGCTTATCTAAATCTGAAAAGAGAAGATTCGCTGCTCAAATGTTTGTGTGAGGGACGCTTGATTTACTGGAAACTGTTCGTTTTCGTTCAATTATTCATTGAAAAGAAGCCAGCAAAGATTCTAGATATTTTTTCACTTTTAACTTACTAACCAATTCAGTAAAACTGTCTCTGGAGAACTTTATTTTCGACAGAAAAATTATATTCTCTTCAATCTTATTCTTAGAATAATTTCAAACACAACTTCCATAACTCTGAGTTTCTTCCAGTTTTTAAACCGCCAAACTTCTAAAAGAGGAAAGTGTAACATTTCCTCACCACTGCCACAGTCCCATTCATGGCTGACGTCAGTCGTTTCCCATGCCTGACGTCATTTGTGCAAAGATTACTGTAGGTAAGAACAAATTATTATCGAAATTTCTTCACACTGTTCATGTGATTTTAAAAAAACAGAATTCAGAAATGCAAGTATTAAGAATTCGAAAATTTAGAGGCGATTGAGTTTATTTTCTACTTCTTCTTGAGTTCATATGTTACCCTGATCGGATGACTCTATTCGAAATGTTTGACGGGATATTAAAATATATTCGAAAAAAAGCCGGGCACGACCCAAAAAGACTATTGGAAAGATTATAGAGAGTACGCCGAAAAAACATTTTCCGAATAAAAAAAGGTCTTCCTTTAATGCTTCGTTGTTTATTCAAATGCATTAGAAGTGGATTTGTGCGGCCGTAAAACGGTACGGTAGGTCCTTGACTACGGCAAATTTGCTCTGATGAAAGGAGTGCGAATTCTAACGGCTTCCGATGTCATGGGAACCTGTTTGAAGTTTTTATGGGGTTTCAAAGTTTGCAATACGGAAGATTACCTTTTTTGAAAACCTTTTTCTTGCATTCAAATGGAAGAATAAGCTTTTGACGAAAAACCGAATAAAATATAAAACGAAGAGCTTCTATACTTAACATCTTACTATCGCATGCAAAAATAACTAGTGATTTAAACATGGCTATAAGCAAATTAACCTCTCCAAGGGTTTTTTTTTACGGTTTTCCAAAATAAACTTCGAAAAATAAACGCGTCAACTAGCGAGACTGTCTTAGTTAAATGGGAGATACTGACTTTCCAAGCCTCTGGCCAAAAAATATAAACCCAAAAAAGCCGAGGAAAATGTTTCGAAAACCCTCTATTCTCTGAATTTCTTTTTCCATATGTTTGGACTCATACGGCTTTCACAGCGAGTAGACTTCCCTTCACGTATAGAAGATTATTTTTCATTGCATGAAAAGCGATTTTCTGAGATGTTACTCTGAATATTTTGTAGCCTCTCATTGGCTTTTTCAAGATGAATTGCAGTTTTTGCGGAAAAGTTTCTTGAGTGTTAAAAGGTTTAGTATTTGTTAGTGCACGAAAACCTCTGTGTGATTCATTCTTGGGCTCCTTTAAACACCTCAGCAAGCGAGCCTTCATGAGGTAAGCACAACGGTTGTTCCGTTGGACAGCTCTCCACACTTTGGCATGACCGACGGCGTGACTCGCCATCTGCGCGGCACCGGGGACACAAAGCGCTGTATTTCATGTTTTGGCGTGGGTCCAAGTTGCAGAAAAGTGCAAGAGGCAGTGGTGCCAGGGTGGACGACCCAACTTCCTATCAGATGGAGGCACACGCGAAACAAGAAAGAACAAGGAGAGGCGTCGTTGGCCACGCCTCCGCCTCAACCGTCGTCGTCTCGTCGCCATCGATTTTGATTTTTCTTCTTCTCGTTGCCCCCTCCTTCGGTAAGGTCGCGCCCACCGGCCACTTTTCCGTCGCACACACCAACTTGCGAACCGCCCGATTCTTCTGCTGATCCGAATAGTTAATCTGGCTCTTCGAGTTTGAGCTCCTCCCTTTTCCTCATAACCTTCATAGAAACTCACTTCAAGGATAGTTGATAGGTGTGGTAGTCTGAGAGCTTAAGTTAGGGAACTCTTATTTGAACTAGCTCTGAGCTCTGGAACTTGCTCTGACTCACAAAAGAGATCCATCTATATCGAGCATTTCTAGTAATTTTTTTGATGTACAAGATTCTGAGAAACTCAATCTGCACAGCTTTCAGACGCGGATATCTGAAATTTTGCAGGAAGCTGTACCAAAAACTTGAAATTTCAAGCGTTCATTATCGAAAAACAAAATTTGCGCAGGTTGAAACTTCCAGGATAATTGTTCAGTACATAAAAGTGCTTCAGCCTCCCTTGAGATTACTTCGAAATTTCGAGTAGAATAATTTCTTCTGTCAGCAATCCTTCCTAAGATCCATCAGATAACCTTTATATGGAATATTTCCCAGATTAACACAACTTTGCTGCTCAGAAGCCGAAAACTGTGAGCTGGCCCAGTATCTTTTAGACTTCTCTATGAACCTTCTATTGAGTATGAGCCATTCCCTATCCGTTCCAAGACATTTGGAGCTCTTCCTACCAGATGAAGCTTCTCCCCATTCCTTATGAAATACAACAGCTGCTCAACACGTGTCCCCCTCAAAAAAGAGTCGCCGCGACCGCGCTGGATGTCTCTCGCGTCGTACGGATTGAGCGTTATGACTAGAGACACATTCAGCTTGGTCCCAGCGCCGTGATTCCACCTGAGCTTTTGCGAAAAGAAGACGACCGGTCCAAAGGACGGCAGATAACATCTCCGTACCTCCGTCGCCGTTTTTCCCATTCGCCACCGCCACTTGCTCCCATTTTTGGGCCTCTCCTCAAGGTCGATCCTATTACATTACTCCTTTTGGGCGCTCGCACAGGCGACACCAAAACGGCCGTTAGACGAAATCAAACGCCATAATACCTCGGTCATTCAGAGAACGACTCAATTCTGGATTCAGAAAGTCGATTTTCGCTGCGGGCCATGCTAGAGACTACAAAGCTTTGAGAGCTTCCCATAAAATATCGCTTCTCCCCAAGATTGGTATTCAAACCTTTCCATTAAGCTTGATTTCCTTGGAATTTTCAAGAAGTTTGAAAAAAAAAATGAGGTTACGGTAAGAAAAGCCTTCAAAATAATTTTCTCACATCAGGTCGCTCATGACTCATGTAACTAAAATGCTTGAAAAAGCGAACTGCAGCAGAAAAACGTATCGAAAAAGTTCTCAACAAGTTCTTCGGTTATTTATTTTGATTTTTGAAGCTTACCCGCTTAAAATATCCCTTGATTAAAACTAAAATCTATATCAAATCAAAAATTTGAGAAGAAAACATGTAAGCTCACCCAGATCACACACGAGTTTAGGAGTCGTTGGTGAACGTCATGCCGGTCTGTTGAAGCAATAGCTTCTGGATTCTGCATTTTGGCTTGTTATTAGTCCACCAACATTCTCTTCAAAATAAATTTTTCTCGTGCAAGTACTTTAAAAAGAGGAGAAGCTGCAGAGCAACCAAGCACCAACGAAAAAAGTCTTCTACAAAATTAAAAATTTTACAAAGTTTATTCACAGGACTTGAGTCAGAGATGCTTTTGAGGCCAGCAAAAGAAGGGAAAAAATTCTGACCAAGGGAAAAAAAAACTACAGGAAAAAATTAATATGAGTGCAGTTCACAACCGCTATAAATTAGTAATTATGCTGAGATCAAAATTAACAGGATGAATAATTTAATCAGAGTCGCTGTCGACGACGCGCTTCTTAGTTTTCTTTCTGGGGACGTCATCTTCGGAATCTTCGTCGTCGTCCAAAGCGTAGGATGTAGCCGGCTTCCTGGCGCGAGTACTGGAAAACAAATCGATAAAAAAGTTCCCAACACTTCGGATTTTGCAATTTATGAAAATAACTCGTCTCAGATTCGCCTTTTTGGTAATCACACGTAGAACATTGAGAAATGTGCCGGTGCGCCTTTCAACACCGTCCAAAAATTTGGGGCGACGCCACTAAAGCACCGAAGTCTGTTTTAGCTTCTCTCCCGCAACGTTCTGTTGCCTACGAATGTCTCGGAAGAAATTTAAACCAGAGACATTGAAAAGAAAAGCTTTCTCATTCCAATAATTTCATCATCACCGACGATCAATTGATTAAAATTTTCCATTTGAGAGACTTCCACAAATACCTTTTGTTTCTCGGCTCCACGACGACTTCGCTGATATCCTCTTCGTCACCCGAATCGGCGACCTTTTGCTTTTTTGGGCTCGCCTTGGGCTTTGCTGACTTCGCCTAAGAAAAAAAATAGGTGAAAATGAATCATAGAAGATATTCCAGAATAAAATCGAGATGCCATGAAAAATATTCTGACTACCATAAAACTTGCTTTTTTGTCCTCCTTGGTAAAGAAGTCGTTCATCGTCTTGGAAGTGCCGTTGGCCTTGGGCTTGGGTGCAGTTTTGGCTGCCGGTTTCTTCGCCTTCACCTCCTTTTCGGGCTCCTCATCTTCGTCACTCGACGGCAAGTCGAACACCGACTTCTTCTTAAAAGAATCATTCTAATATCAAGATCACAAACAAAAGAAAAACCTTGGGCGGTTTTTTAGGAGCCTCATCTATGATGATGTCCTCACCGTCGTCTTTCTTCGCTTTCTTGGGAGCACTAACCGCTTTGTTCTCCTTCTTTCCGCTATCCTGAATGAAAACGTTGGTATCTCTTTCGAAAAATCAAACTCTACTTTGGAATCATCGTTCGAGTCTTCAATTGTGATCTCGTCATCACTTTCCACAATTTTTCTTTTCGGGGCCTGAAAATAAAAACTGTAAAATGAGTGGGAAAGGAAATTACTCACAGCGCGTTCGGAGCGCGGTTTAGGTTTCGGAATCTCTTCAATTTCATCATCGAACTCGTCGTCAAAAGCAGAGAAGTTCGTCTGAAATAGGTTGGAAAGTCGTAATGGGGATATTCTTTGAATGTGGAAAGAGACTGGAGAAGTTTCTCACATTTTCCTCTTCATCGAACTCAATGTCGCTCTCGTCCGAATGCCACGCATCCTTTTTCTTAGTTGGTGACTTGGTCTGAAACAAAGAAAAATTTCCAATACTTTTTAAAATTTAATTTCCTTTTCAGCATACCTTCCTATCAAACGTTTCAAATGCGCAGCAACTATGCAAACTTGAAGAAAAACTATCAAAACAGAAAATCCGTCGATTTCAGACGCAAAAAGGTGGCTAAGACTTCAATCACTTCTTTCTTGAAACAGAACTTTCATTCCTATCATTTTCCACCTTACTTTACAAAAATTTATTTTTCCGATTCTCAAATACCTTGTTCAAGAACTGCTTGATGTCGCCGCCCTCCTTCTTCGGCTTCTTTGGTTCTTTGGGTTCTTTGGGTTCCTTTGGTTCTTTCTTGACCCGTTCCTTCTTCGGCGCACTCAACTTCTCGTACTTGTCCTTGAGGGCTTTGTCAACGGTCGGTTCGACGCGCAAGCCATCCTTGGAAGGGTAGACGTCCTGAAAACCCTTTTTACGACTTTACTATGTGATCTTTCACCGCAGAGAAAGCCGCCTTCTTCTTTCCTTTTGCGGCGTCTTTGCCCATCGCAAACTTTTTAGCAGCGTTCTTGACACTCGAGTCCTGGTCAGCCTTTTCCTTGGCTTCCTGTCAAGCCAGCAGTGACCTTTGAACTAAACTCGAGTGAAAAACCTGTTTCTCGAGCTCGACGAGGAAGGCGTCAAGGTCGGTTGTCCATAGCTGCTGCCAGGTCTTGGTCTCCAGTTCCTTAACCTCCTTGAGCTTCTCCTCGCTCTCTCTCAACAGCTTGTTCTTCTCCTCCTCCGACAGTTTGATGAGTGCCATGCCGACCAAGTAGTCGTAGTCAGACAACTTCTGATCTGTGCTGTCCTTCTTCTTCGTTTCTTCTCCGTCGTCTTGCTGGAAACATTCTCTTCAGAATACTTCAAAAAGAAGTTTTAACCTCGTGTTCCTCCTCTTCTTCAACATCCACGTCTCCGCGTTCTGCGAGCTCCTTCTTTTTCTGCTCTTCTTTCCAGGATTTGACTGGGTCAGGATCGAATCCTGGAATCATTTTGCGACCTTTTCGCCGCGATAAATATTATAATTACCAAGTTTAACGAGTTGCTCAACGATGGCCACCTTCTTTTTATTTTCCATCACAATCTTTCCTTCGATCTTCGCCATGATGAATCGCGCCTTAGTAAATAATTCATACACTTTTTCATTTTTGTTTGGAATACCTGGTTGCTCAACCGAGCGCTCTGAGCCTTCAACATGCCCAGCAAGAACTGCTTCCTCTCGATATACTTAAGCTTTCTTGTTTCAAAGAACTCGGAGCAAATCTCCTCAGGATGACTGAACTTCTTCAAGCATCCGGCGTGATCGAACAGCACCTGAAAAAAAAACCTGATTTAAGAGCAGTTCAATGAAGAAATTGAGACCATGGATGTGGTGTTGATAACAGACTGTAGCTTGAAGACGTTGTGGAGACCTTCTGATTCCATCTCTCGGAGTTTTCCAGGCTGGAGCTTGACGACGAACCGAACTGTCGTGTCGGTGTGGTACTCCTTGAAGTCCCTGAACAACTTCAGGTCAAAAAGACTCGTTTCTGGACAGAAATTACGCGATCAAACTCGGCTTCTTGTCTGAGCTCTCCAACATCGGCTCGAGGATGCGTTCCTTGTAGTCCTGAGTCCACGTCTTCACTGGCAGTTCGGTGATTTCGATGGAGGTGTCGTTCAAAACGGCGACCTGAAATAATAAAAGTTATATCACATCAAAAAACAGATTCACACCTCTCCATAAGTAGCGAAACGAACAGAATCGATTTGAATGATCTGGCCGCGGTAGTTCTTGTACCAGGGAACCTGGAAACGATATAATGAACCCAAGTTTTTGTTCCTGCAACAAACCATCGCTTTGAGGGGGTCTCCCTTGATCATCCTCCGAATGTTCTCAACAACGTCCCGCGGATTGTAGTTGGGGATATTGGTCGACCAGCCGGTGCCGATACCTAAAGTACTCGAAAATAATCTGAGAGCCAGTGGTTTCCCCAACCTTGTGCTCCGTTGACAAGCACCATTGGAATGATGGGCGCGTACCATTCCGGCTCAATCCGTTGATTTTCTTCGAAAAGGAACCGCAGCACGTGCTCGTCATTGGGTGGGAACAGTGAGCGTGTCACTGGGCTAAAAAATGAAATGAGCTCTTTTTTTCTTGGTTATCGTTTCGAACCTCAGTTGAGTGAAAATATAACGAGCACTGGCGCTGTCTTTTCCGCCTTGTAGACGTGTACCGAACTGACCGATAGGCAACAACAAGTTGATGTTGTTTGAACCCACAAAGTCCTGCAGGCAAACCCATTAAAAAGTAATATTTAAAATCTTGGACAGAAACCATATCGACTAGAAACCTAAATTTCCTCAAAGTTCTTTCATTATTCAAAAAAAAATAAATTCAATAAAATGCTTACTATCACTACCTCAACCTGACTTTTCGATAAGTTAGTCAATGCTCTCAGCTTCGGTGTAAAATATGAATTAAAATGTGAGATAAGAAGAAAAAGTGTCCTAATATCCTAATATTCGCTGATTCGTAGAAAAATGTTGGATGTTTTTCCTAATTAAGCCCATACATGTGGCGACCGGTTTTAAAGGCCGCCGAATCCTCCTCCCAAGTTTATTCTAATTTGAAGTTGATACTACATGGCTGCAACTTGTAATATTGTGGCCAGAACTACCTCCCGAAGGTTGAAAGATTTAATTCCCTAATTTTCCAAAACTTTCGGGAACCAACCCTTCCTCCCGGGCAGTATGAATTCTTCACATGCCCATCTATGATTGAGCCTTGACAATGGAAAAAAAAATTTGAAGCTGTAAGAACCTGCGCCAAGTTGACGATAGTGCCCATGAGCGACTGCTCGCCGTGGTGGTAGGCCGACAGTTCCGCGACGGCTCCAGCGAGTTGAGCGACTTTGACTTCGCGTTTGTCGGCGCGTTTGAAGCAGGCGAACAGCACCTTTCGCTGTCCTGGCTTGAATCCGTCCACGAGACACGGAATCGATCTTTCGTTGTCCATGTTTGAGAAGAGCACGAGTTCCTGTATGATAACTATTTGAAAACGATAAGACCGATTGTTGACAGCATTTTAAATTTTTTTAGTATCAACTCATATCTGAAAAAGATGAATATTATCAGAAAACTCCAGAGTTAACTTTTTTTAAATTTGAGCAATTATGTCTTTCTTTCCAAATGATGTTCAGACTCAAGTTTTTTTCAAAGCAATGAAAAAAAAAACGGAACAACAGTAAAAAGACAAAAAATAAGTCACTGAAATCCATCAGGATTATCTAATATCCTTTTTCAGAGAGTTAAGATCAACTTTAAAGACCATCAACTCTTTTTGCACTGAAATAAAAGCTTGTGAAGTGTTTAGAGCACGAACCCTGTTGACAAAGTCGCTGAAAGTGACTTGGCGCGTGTCCTTGTTGTAGAGGTAATCTTCGGCGACTCCTCGCGTCTTGCGGTCCTTCTTCTCGGCCATCCACTTGGTCAGCCAGTCCTTGCGCTCCTCGATCTTTTTCTTCGAAAAAGCCATCTCGACGGCCTGGTCGTCGGTCTGTCCGTTGTACTTGAACTTGATTCTGTGCCGAATCATGTCGCTGAAGTATTCTTTGGCTTCCTTCGAAGTCGAGGTACCTTCAATCGTCCGGGATGATACCAAGTATTGAGACACTTTTTTACCCAATCCTTTGTAGTATTTGATCTTGAACGTGGTCCAGTTGTCCGTGTTCATCCTCCACTCGTTGTATTCAGGAATAGAAAAGAAAGAAAGCTCCTCTTTTCCTTTTGTTGCCTAGATATGAAATAGAAGCGGTTCAGCTTCACGTTTCGTACCTTGACGATAGGGGTGATGAACTCTTCAACGAAATTCTTCTGGATAAGAGAGGGCCAATAATGGTGAATGAAGTTGATGACCAGGCCTTTGATGTGGGAGCCGTCTTGATCCTGCACATTTATTAGAATTGAGGAAATCGGAAGAAATGACCAACCTGATCAGCCATGACCATCACTTTTCCGTAGCGAAGCGACTTGAAGTCTTCGTCTGTCTCGTACTTTTTCTTGTATTGCAAACCGAGAATTTTAATCATTGCGTTGATTTCAGCATTCTCCGTGATCTGAAAATTGTGAAGAGTCTCGAAAAATCGAAAGAAGATGTCAAACCTGCTTGATGTTGCCGTCGCGAACGTTGATGAGTTTACCGCGAAGAGGGAAAACGCCATAATGATCTCGGCCGACGACAGAAAGTCCGGAAACGGCGAGGGTTTTGGCCGAATCTCCCTCAGTGAGGATGAGGGTACACGCCTGCGAGTTCTTCGTTCCGGCGTCGTTGGCATCTTCGAGCTTCGGAATGCCCTGTAAACAATGCATGATTGAGTGATATACACATGGAGTAGGAAATGGAAACCACATCAACTGGGGAGTTCAACAGTGCTCACGAATAGCTATTCACCTTCAGCTTGGTGGTTTTCTTGCTGCTGCACTTTTTGTTCATCTCCTCCATTTGCTTAAAGCGCACCCAGGAAAGAACTGCTTCCACGACGCCGCAATTTGTCGCCTGAAAATAATTTTTCAAATCATCGAACTATTAAAAACAGCTCACCGATTTCGTGAATTTTTCAGAGAGGTCACACTTTGAACCGAAAGACTTTGACTGAAGAGTCATAGTCTCTTTAGTTTGAGAGTCGAACGTCGGGTTTTCGATGAGACAATTCACAAAAATCCACATGTGATTTTTGACCTACAAAAAAGTTCTCTGTACCTGAATAGAGGATATCACGAACCTGGAACGGCTTCACGTTGACGGTACTTTTTTGGGACTTCTTCTTGATGGTGTCGATGAGCTTGGCAACCATCTGATCAGCCACGTAGTCAACGTGTCGACCTCCCTGAAAAAAACTACTGGAGTGAAGACTTCGATGAGAAAGATGACCTTGGTTGTGGCGATGCTGTTGACGAAGGAGACTTGCTGGAAGCCCTTCTCGGAAACGGCCAATCCGACTTCCCAACGGTCGTTAACCTGCAATGAAAAGTTTGTTACAGACGCCCTACTTCTGTTGAAGAAGGTCGAAACGAACTATTTCGAATGCAGTCTTCACAGGCTCGCCGGTACCGTCGGTGACGTCCTTAGTGTACATTTCGACGTACTGTTTGAAGCCTTGGATAGGGATCTGTTTGCCGTTGAGGAACACTTTGACGCCTTTGGTGCTGCCGGCGATGTCGTACGCTCGTCGCGCCATCAGATGCACGATGTCGTCGTCGAGTTTGGTCATCTTGAACTTGGCGAGATCTGGCACGAAGGACACTTTCGTGTAGTCGTCAGATGTCGACTTCACAATCGAGGCGTCTTTGTTTTTGCTCATGTTCTTGACCCAAGTTTGCTTAAAAGCCGCGCCGTATTCTCGAGAAGAGGTTTCCAAAGTGAATTCGGTAGAGAAAATGTTGCAGAGTTTAGCGCCGTATCCGTTGCGACCACCAGTAACCTGAAAAATTCGATTATTGGGAAAAAAAAAAACTAATCTGATCCAATTCGAACCCTTTTACTGCAAATGAGAACATTATACTTTCTATAGTGTTCCTTACACTAAAACTATTGTCTAAGAAACTCACGAGAAAGGTTCTCACATTTCTAAAACATAAAATATTTCAATTGGAAATTAGGAAGAAAAAAACTTCAATAGTTTTAGGGAATTTTTCGAGTTTTTCAGAACCTCATCTCAAAAATCTAAAACACATCAATGAGTAGAAATTCAAACCTTTCTTTCGCTATCATCGTAATTGGAGGAAGTGAGCAACGTTCCGAAAATCATTTCGGGAACATACATATTCTCCACTTTGTGCATAACGACGGGAATACCTTTGCCGTTGTTAAAAATTGTAATTTTGTTTTTCTCTCTGAAAAAAATTTTATTCGAAAGTTTTTTCCAAACTAACCTATCAATGTCGATTTTAATAATGTTCATCTTCGAATCTCGTTGCTTATTATCAGCGGCATTGACGAGAATTTCATCAAAAATCTTATATAGGCCCGGCACGTATTGGATGTCACGCATAACCAACTTGTCCTCTTCAGTATCATACACCCACATTGGCTTAAATCGTATTGTTATCGAAACAACGATAAAAAAAAAGCACGAACCGCTTTTTCTGTGTATTCGACAGATCCGATGTAAGTATCTGGACGAAGCAAAATATGTTCGAGCTGAGTTTTCTTCTGGTAAATGTCTTCGATCGCTGTTTTTTTAGTGGTCTTCTTGACGTTATCAATGTTAGTAAATACATTTCTGTCCTCTTCCGTCATCGCCATTGAAATGTCGCCTGGATATTTCAGTTCAAAAAATGAAAAACCTAAGATTTTATTACCATTTTCCTTCGCCGCTTTTTTAGGTGTCGATTTCTTCTCTGCGGGCGCTTTCTTCACGTTCTTCTTTTTGACAGGAGTATCAGACAAGTCGCTATCCGAGTCGCTCATTACTGCAAATAGTAAAAAAATTATAGCAAAGAATTATAATGGAAAAAAAACGCGAAAATTGCGATATTTCACATAAGCCGATACCAATCTTTTCCGCATAAGAATGATCTGACTGTGAAATTACTTTCGAAAATTTTAAAAAATGGTGGCTTTTTTCTCAAATTTTTGTTTGAGAGCCATCAAGATTTTTCACGTTTTTCTTATTTTCTAGCAAAAATTTTTGGCTAGAGCTATTTTACATAAACATAACAAAGATTTGGTGAATAACTGTTTTAATGCAAAATTCTGAAATTCTAGCTAAAAATCGAAATGAATACGACTTCAAATTTGTTGATAAGCTACATAACAGAATATGAACACTTCTCGTGATGCTTAAAAACCGTTCATAATAATCAAATAAATCGGAAAACGAGTTACAATACAAAAAGAGAGCTACAAAAATTATGATTATTGGTCAAAACTTGGTGTTAATTTTTTTTCGCGGGCATTGACGCTCGCGCCAAAATTTGTTTGCTGGAGCGCATTTGCTGCTGACGTACGCAACAGAAGCGCTCATGTGCAATCTCGATGATGGTTTTCAAACTGAATGGAAGATGACTAAAAATGAAACATTCAAATCAACTAATCAATGTATAACAGAATCACCACCAAATCCTGAAAAAAAAAGATGAAAGCGACGGTAATCATCTCAGCCAAAAAGTTTTTTTTTTATCGATAAGCAGTATTTTTTTCGGTATTCAGTTAGGCAAACTAGAATTAGGAGAAATGAATAATATTTCAAACAATCTTTTTCAGAATGAGTCTTTAAAAGATATTTCACGGTAAAATTTGTTCATCAATTTTTTTGAAACCTACAACAAAAATTTTTTTAGTTAATTTAATCGACCGCTTCCTTGACTTCAGAAAAAGTGAAACGATATATTAATCTCGTTTTACTTTGATTTCATTTCAATTATCTAAGTTCTAACTGAACTTTTTAGATATTAAATTATGAGAAAAAAACGTTTATTGGATGATTACCATTGTCTAATTAGATTAGATCTAATCTGTAAAAACTGTAGATTGAGTATCGGCTGAAGTTTGATAAAAATGAAGTTCCTATTTTTCTTTTTCAACTCAATCGTTCGAAGCTTTCATATTCCTTCAATTGTCACTTGTAGTGTGCTTTTTAACGCGAGAGACGCAGCTGTACGGCAACTGTTGTGACAACAAGAAGAAATATCTCACTTCTTCGTTCTTTCAATCTTATTTCAAGTTTTAAGTTCTATCAAGCACTTCGATCGTTGCACCCAAAAAAAAAATAGTTTATCTTCGAAGAAATTCTGAATCTAAACAGCTTTTCTCTCTGTTTATGCGGGAGTCAGGAATGTTTCGTCCCTACGAGTACGGCTGCGCTCGCTACAAACCAACTCTTCGGGTACTTTTTCAAATTCATATTGTTGTATAAAAATGATTGAATTAGAATAAAATTGATCGACGATTAAGCTTGTTTGCGTAGTCATATCGACGTTGCTGCTCTTCGCAGAATGCTACTTATCTGCCTACGACTACATCGTTTTTCGAGAAACTGGAAATCCTGTCAGCGCAGTTCTTTCAGGTATCAAGAGCAATCAGATAAAAGCATACAAGCTGTTCAACGATAGTCTCAAAAATCTTTCAGAGATACATGGACTATTTTTCTGGGATTTAGTTTCAGTATAAGCTATTTTTCAGGGACTTTTGCATTGCATGGAATTCTGACTCTACTCTACATCTTGGGCGCGGTTCGAGGCATCGGATCCTTCATGATGCCTTGGCTCACCGCTCAGCTTATTTTCGTCACAAATTTACCTTATTTTCGTCATCGTTTGGTGGATTGTCACGATCCTTTCATTTTTTGAAATAATTCGGTACGACGCCTACACCGTCGAAAGTAAGTCCAATCTTTTAAGCTTCCTTTTTCGTCACTAGTCAATTTCTTTATCATCATGCAACATTTTGAATATCTCAACTTATAGCAAGTCTTTCGAACGGCGAATTCTTCGTACTGGCAGGCAGTTTCCTGACTTTGTTGTTTGCTGCCACGGCAAAGCTTTCGATTCTTCTCTACAAAGGATACGTCGACGTCGAAGCTCAGAAATTCGTTCACCTGCGGATAAGCGAGGCTGTAGAACGGAAAATTTCATTTCCCTACCCTAAGCCGACATATGTTTGAACTGATCAACAAAACAAAGTATGAAATTTTTTATTAATACTCTGATAAAACCCTGTTAAGAATCTATGACTAAACAAAGTGTTAGACAAATAAGCTCACTAGATGACATATCATATCACGATCTGTAAATTGTACGAACTGAACACCAAAAATGATAAAGGAACAGTGCTCTAAAAATTCTAATTTGGTCTTTTTTTAATGAAAGATAAAAGAACGAAAGAACGAAATTCTTCGACAACGAACTGATTGAAAAAAAATAATGAGGTACATATGCATCAGAAATGAAAATCAAAATGTTTCTCCTATTCAGTAATTCTTGAGTTTCTCCTCCTGTCAGATACCCGAGAAAATGTTCGACCTGAGTCTTCATAATGAGCCTACACTATCCCCCCTCTACCTTTCTGCCTGATACTAGATTCTAGATTAAAACCCGCAAAACTAGGTACGAATATTATTTGTGTGATCAGACAAGCGAAATCCTGGAGAGGCTCAAGTCGTTCAACTCGTGAGTCCTTTCCAGGGCGCACCCTCACATGTTCCGCAGCGGCTTCATGCCCAAAAGCGTTATTCCCTCGGTGAGAACGTTTCGCGAAGCCGACAGCAACAGCAGCCGAGGCACTGCCACCTGAAGCGGTTGTTCCGGGAGGTCGAGACCTTCTTCTGTACCTCGTTCGGCTGGTCTTTGACCTTCAGTTTGGCTGCAACGGTTCCAGCCGCCCGAGCAAGTTGCGTCAAATGCATCGTCAGTTGACATGGCTCCAGCTTCTCTGCTGCGTCCAAGATTGCCTAGAGCTCCAACTTTTAAAGGAACTATCCAAGAGCTACCTTGTCAATTGTTGAGATCAAATCGACGAGCTTTTCCACGTTTTCGTCGCAATCAGACGTGGGGAAACTCTGGCACGACTCCAAATGCGGCAAAATTTCTTTATTCTGCTTTTCAATAGAGCAAAGACGACTGTGTTTAATCTGAAAATTGAGCTTGACATAAATCTCAAAATGATTTCGGGAACACACAACCTGAAGAAAAAGGGCGTTGTTCTGATTGAGGGAGAAAGAATTTCGAAAAGAGAACTCGTACTCAGATTTGCGGGCTCTCTTCAGCTCATTGTACACAATGGCGGACAGCGACAGTTCATTAGCCACCTCAAGCAGGATTCAGAGAGAATGAAGTCATAAGAGTGCACTCACTTGATCTTCTTCACCTTCAGGAACGCTGAACGTCCTCGACGACTTCATGAACTCTTTGGCGAGCTCGGCGCCACGTTCCACGATTTCTCCCACAGCTTCCGTCTTTCCTTGTCGTGTCGAGAGCCCATGCACCCGACCATAAGCGATGTGTTCAATCTTCGCCGCCAAATCAGACTTCCCTAATCTTGTGATAACTTCCTGGAAAATCAAGAAATGCTCAACTTCTCTAATCTTTTTAAAAATACTCTAATGGTTTTTTTCCATCCTCAAACTCTCTCCAACTTGATTCAATTTCTAGGTTCGGCTACCAATTAATTTCTTATGAACCTTGGAGGTTCACAGCTTTCGAATTATCACAGAAACTCTTGAAAACTCGAAACAGAACCGACACATTTTGCAAGAAAATCTTCTAAATTCACCTTCAGCGAGTCAAAGTGCTGCTGCTGGGATCGATCCACAACATATAAATATCTATCGGCTTTGAAAATCTTGTCGCGATGAAAAATAGACGCAACTTCCCTGAGAGAGAAAATCCTGTTGTTCTTCTTCTTTCTTCATTAAGAAAAGTCACCTGGTCAAATACAAGGAAGTAGCATTACTTTTCCGGATAACAAAATAATTTTTGTCACCAAGGTCGATCCGACAGCGTCTTTGATTGTCTTCGTAAGCAATCTGTGGCTTTTTATTTTTCAGAACGATGAAACTAAATAGAAAAAACCTTATTTTTCAATAATTCCTCTACGAGAACATGCGCTCGTCGCACTTCGTCAGATTCATGGAGCCATCGAAAATTCAGATTTTTTTATTTCTCTAGATTATGAGTATCAGTATGAAGAAGATAATAATGGGTTTTAAAACGAAAAAAAAAGCTTTAAAAAAGTTATATGAATAAAAAACAATTGGAGAAATTGATGAGTAACTCGAAGTTTTTACAATTACAAAAAAATATTATTTTTTTCTAATACGCGACACCGATCTCTAAAATCTTTAATCTCGAATTCATTTCAAACAAAAGTAAAAATGTCGTTGTTCGAAAAACTCTGTTAGGATTTATGAAGACATTTCATGGAATAACAAATATGGCTCTTCGTCTCGATAATTTTATGGGATTTTTTAATGTTTTTATGATTACCCCTATCTGAACAGGCTCTTGAAGTTTTTCGCGATTAGATTACCTGTCGAAAGAAACAGAAAACATTCGATAGAAGATGTTGAGATGAGCCTTCGAAATCTTTCGGATGTCTTCCCATAACTTCATCTCTTCACAAATCTCGTCACTACTGAGCGAAGAGGCTTTTAGAAGCGTTTTGAATTTAATTGTAAACCTCAGAGATTTTTCCATTTTCGCGAACACTTCGTGCACTAGTAGACGAAAATCTTCGTCGCTCTTGAATTTCCGATTGGCTACGACATAGCAGTCCATCAAGGCTTTGATTTTTTGCAAGTCTCCGAGAGAGTTCCAGTATTGATCTGATGGTTTCATCTGAAAGTATGGAATGAAAATGGAACAAAAACTAACTGAGAAAGAGAGCAAGCAAAGAAAGCAAACAACGGAGCTGATCATTTATAAAAAGGACACTGAAAAAGCTGCGTAGCAAATCAGCTATATGAAGCTTTAATTGAAAGTTATACGTTTGAAATGTAGAGGCTGGAAAGTTACGATTTTGAGTGAAAGATTCTTTTCTGAAACCAACTTGAGGCCAGTACGCAGCAATCATGGCGAATTGGGTCCCCCAGTCACCGACGTAGTTTACTGAAGTTACATTGGCGCCGACCATCCGTTGAACCTCAACAAATCATATTTTATATTACTGAAGAGCTCAGATACCTGATCGATGAATCTTCCGATTAGCGTCGACCTGAGGTTGCCGATGTGGAACTGCTTGGCGATATTGGGCGAAGAATAATCGATGACGACACTTTTTGGCGTCGTGTTATCGCAGAAAAGAGATCTGAGCGCTTTGGCACGACGAAGTTGATGCAGTCGATGCACCGGGACGCTCATTTTCTCTAAAGAAAAAAACTATAGAAGCCTTCTCTACCACTTTTTCATGAATTTTCCTCTGAAAACTTATTTTAGAAGGTGGAAAAATGTTGAGAAGAGAAGAACAGTTTCAAAAAAGAAATGATGGGAAATTCGACCTGTAAGGTATCAAAATGAGCTCTGAAAAAACTGAAAAATGACTAACGACAACATAAAAGCGCGCCAATTATTCCGGGCTTCTGATTCTCGACAGTTCCTTTTTTTTTTTCGCAAGAATCGTTTCTTTTTGAAAAATCTTTTCAACTGAAGCAAACCTGATATCCCATATCGATAAAGCCCCCCATAAGAAGAAATAATCAATAAGGTACAACCTGTTTCGTGTAAATTTCCAGATGAACCAGAATTTCTTTATTGCAACAACCTTTCAGACCACAATGAGAACTGTTATAGCACCGCGTACGGAAGTATCTCTAGGAAATAATACAAGAACTTAATATATAAACCGTTACATGGAATTCAACATTGCTAGCTTGGTACACAACATACAAACAAAACGGTGGAAGTTTCAAGAAAAGTACCGATTGGAAGGCCCTAAAGGAAGTAGGCTAAACACGTAAGAAAGTGACAAAATATTCAGGGAAAAAAAAATGATAAACACAGATACATTGCTCAAGATAAGTTAAAGTTCGAACAGATGGAAGAAGAAATTATTCTTCGTCGTCGTCGATCAGCTGGCCCTCTTGGTCGTTGTAAGTGATAAGTTCCGAGTCTCCGCCGCAAATCATCACCCAGAACCTGGAATGTTATGATCAACTTTGAGCTTCTCGAAGGCTTTTTATTTGATTCTTCAAAAAAAAAAAAATCACTCACCGCGCACAGGAATGATGATTGTCTCCGAAGCTTGGAAGAATGCGTCGGCGGAACCACGGACCGATGAGGATGTCGTTGTAGATCAGCGTGCCCAAAATCAGCAAAGCAAAGCCGCTGATCTGAAAAGGCGGTCCTTCTTCTAATACACTCAAAATGAAACTGGCCTGGAGAGGGATAAAGTTCTCTCCGAAAAGCGGGATCGAGACCACCCAGATGACGAGCGTGCGGACACTGTCCAGAACCATTCTGGTCGTAGCCGACAGTTCCTTCGTCACCGAAACGCCAGCAAAGTTGAAGAACGCAATACTGAAAAACAAAAAAAAAAATAAATATGCCAGGAGGTTGACAAAAACCTGATAATAGTTCCTGTCAGAGCCACAGCGATCATGGGCTGCTCTGTGATTTCCTGCCAGGCGTAGAAAACATCCTCCAGACGATTCTCTGGGTTGGTCGAGAAGGTCCTCGGAACGTGAATGTAGTAGAAAGGAACCATCAGAATGGAGAGCGTCACCATACCGAACAAGCCTTCCAACTATTCCGTTCAATTTGGCTTGAGAGAGTTCTCACCTTCCAAACCGACGGCGAAAAGAGCCGGAACATCGTACTGGTTGAGGAACTTCTGCTCATAAACCATTTGAATGGCGACGATGATCTGGGCCATAATTATCAGCAGGTCTCCTGTACAAAACATATGAGTCAGCAATTTTTATTTTCAGTACAAAACGTCTACATGAATAATTTTTTTCGATTCGAAACATACCGGTGATGATGGCGTTCTTGTCGTCGAGCGGGTTGTTGTCGTAGTAAATGTCGGTGACGCCGACGATGACCAGGCCGAGCATCACAAACAGCATTCCGAACCACTTGAACGGCTTGATCGTGGTCCCAAGCATGCCGACCGACAGAAGTCCCGTGAAAATTATAACAGCACCTGAGTTGACAAATCGAAAAAATTATTTTAACGATTTCGCACCTCTGAGCATTTGGAAGCTTGAGGCCGTGGTGAGGTTGAGGCCAATGTACATGATGGAGGTGCCGAGAATGTCGCAGAAGGCTGGAGGGTAAAAGAGAAGAGGATTGAACGTGGGCAACGTCGGTTGCGCATCAGGCGAGATATTCACGATTGTTCCCTCATCTCCTGCAATTGCTGGCTTTCTTTCTAAAAAGAGTTTCGGGAAAATAGTGAAGCTCTCCTTGTAACGCATTTCAAAAACTCTGAAGGAGAATATTTTTCTGAAACATAGACCCTTTTTCTCCATTTCCAAAGATTTTTCTCCTCCTTTTACGCCTTTTGAATCTTAAAAGAGGACCCATGCTATAAAAGTTTACACAACGAGCCATTCTTGGTCAACGCGCCAACTAACGATCAACTCTTAATTTATCCCATTGATAAGCAGAGAATTTTCTCTGAAGAGTGAAAAACTTGTAACTTGTAATTTTTAAACGACCGGCTGCCTTAAATAGGTGAGACTCCTGTCAAAATGGCTTTGAAATGCCAAAATTAAAGAACAGCGCCACAAACCCTGAACGTTGGCGCTATTCCAGCGGTATTTCTTGTAAGCGTAGATCAAGAAGAAAGCCACCAGACACAAGAATTCACCGAAAAACATACATGTCGCCTAAAAATCACTTTCAAATTGAAAAGTGGAAGCGCCTTCTAGAACCTGAAGAAAAGGATGATTGAAAGGAACGCCGTCAGCCTTGATGCTGTCCGCCCATTTGGCGCAAATTGTGTTAAGAGATCCCGTCACCACCATCATGATGGATATTATTAAGGCGAAAGCCGCCATCCTCGGTCTGGAAATTGAATACTTTGAATAGAAGACGGTTTGAAAAGCACATTTCAGCGAGTGACCAAAGCTGATAAAGAAGGAACCGATAAGCCTCGGCATAAAACGACTTTCGAACGTTTGGCCTCTAATATTTCACATTTTATGGTGAGAAAATAGCCGTAAGTGTATTTTCAAAGCTTGAAGAAAAACTTTCAAAATGCATAGTGAGTCACGATCTTTTTTTGGGATATCACTGAAACATACTAAATTAGAAAAAAATGAAAGATTAAAAAAACGACGTATCATTGTTTCACTATCTGAAAGTCAATAAGTTGTTTCAAAGTTTCTGAGAACAGAGCAAACGAAAGTTTGAAGATCGATTACTCTGTGACATGGAAAGCTCGGAGAAAGAGAGAAACAAAAACACTCGGCTGGTGATCAAATTTTTCAGGGAAACAATGTTGACCGAAGCATGAGAATGAAAAACACATTGAAAAAAAATTTCCGTGGCGCGCATTTCAAGGCGAAAAAGCGATTCAATACAGAGTTGGAAGCTCGTGGCGTAAATATTTATACGAGTGTGGCACGAACAATCAGAACAATCTCAGAAATGAAGTTAAAAGCATTAGTAAACATGAACCAAGAACGTTTCCATAAAAAACGCTAACGAAACAATTGAAACAATTTTTCTCACCATTTGTGCATAAAAAAATGGAAGAAAAGTCTGTCCGTATCAGTGAGTATTGAAACGTCTAGCTTCACGGAAAACTGATAATGATAACCCACGCAAAGGCGCAAATAGTGCCAGTTACAATAGTGGCTGGTCAAAGACACTGATAAAAGTATAGTTTTATGAATGACTAATTCATATGAACTAGGTCTAAAAATTCGGAAATAATTTGTCCTAGAAAAAGATACTCATCGGCGCAGAAGTTTTATAACACCTAATAAATCTAAAAAACTTTTTACTATTTTCAACTAAACCGTCTCGGGAAGCAAAGAACGTGCTCCAACTCACTGAAAAACGATCTACAGCAAAACAATAATAAAAAAATTAATTAGTGGTCGCACCCAATATTGTGGACTACATCGCAGCGAAAGTAATGCTATACCGCGGTAGAGCAGTATCGCTCGCCTCTCGCTGCGACCTCGCAAACGTCTTGCGCTATATCGCTCTCTGAAAAAAATGTTTCTTCAAAAAAATCTTTATTTTTGAATTTGATGCCGTGTTCAATTTGATTCCCCGAAATGCAAAATACCCGTTAGAGAAAGGAAAAGATCACTAGATTTTGGAGAGTCAGAGATCATTTTGCATTTCGCGGAATCAAATTGAACACGGCATGAATGATTTCATCATAAAAGTGAAAAATAAAGCAAAAAAAAATGTTTTTCAAGTTTCAAATTTTTGAGAGGGAGCGATATGGCAGCGAGACTTTGACGAGGTCGCAGCGACATGTTGACGATATCGCAGCAAGAAGCCTTGGCTATATCGCCTGCGGCCCGCTGCGATATCGGCAATCTTGTTGGGTGGATCCGGCATTTGTTACAGCTTGCCTCACGTAAATGGACAAGAGATTTATCATTGGGGCGCGCTTCACTTTGATTCATTTAATTCTTCTAATTTCTCTCGGACGTTTTCCTAACGCGAAACGAACGTGCTCCGGACGTTTCTGAGCATCTTTAGGGTTCAAAAAAAAATGCTGACGCTACTGAAATCCCTGGTTCTCTTCCTTCACCCCACAGAATTCTGTCTGTGAGCGAACAATAAAAATTTCATCTTGTTGCAAAATAAAAACAAAAAAATATTATATATGTTGATTACCTCTCCTCGAATAAAAAAATTTATAAATATGAAAAAGATTGAAATGAGAAAAAATTTCAATTTTCTTTTTCAATCTGCATTTCGCACAAGCCTGGCTAGCCTGTTTTGAACACATGTTAATCAGTTTTAAATAAACGATAAATTCATTTTTTTGTACTAGTGAGGAGCAGGCTTGAGCGAGGGCCGGCCTGTCAGCCTGTCGGCCTCCGGTCATTTCTCAAGCCACGGTGTTCCGCGCAATGAAAAAAATGCGAAATTTTGGGTCCCAGCGGCATATTATCCGTGGCGCATCATTGCGCCCTTCTCATGGTTTCTGATGCAAAAAAATTGAATTTTCTTTCACTTTTTTTTCATTGGTTTTTTTACTTTTTTTCTATTTCTTGCATTTATGTGATCCGCCTCTCTATGGGTACATCTTTGTGAAGCTTTTCAAATTGCGCACTTTTTTTCTAAAACCGGTTTCAGATCTTTAACTTTTTTTCTCAAAAAGAGCTGAAGATTTTTTTCTAAAAAGTCCTAATTTTTTTCAAAAATTTTTGAAATCTGTTTCGCGACATGAAAAATAATCACTCTATTTCGGAAACTATAGTTTTTTTAATTTAATCAGTTAATAATAAAAAGTTATTATCTAGTTCATTTGACGTAGTTTAAAACCGGTATCGTGTAAATTAGAGCCAAATTGAATTTGCTGATGCAGTTTAATGATTTTTGATATATGAATCATCTAAATTATATTTTTTTTTCTAGTTTTTTTGATGGTTTTTCAGATTTAAACAAAAAAATTTCGCCATACGAGGTTTTTTTCTAAAAATTTCTGCTTTCTATCCATTATTTGTTTTTTTCTGAAGCTAGGTTTTCGAGGTATATAAAATGTCATTTGCTCCTCGAATTTTCCTCATTTCAATATTTTTTTCGTATTTATAAATTGCTTATTCAATGGGAGCTGATTCATTTTTCATAATATTTCTTTTGTTTTTTTATTTTGTAATCAGTAATTTAGAGTTTTCCCCTTTCGAAATCGTTCCTAAATGTTTTTTTAACGTAAGTGAATGTTTTTTTCACATCATATTCTTCAAAACTGACAAGATTTCGAACATTTCAGGAGCTATTATCCTGAAATCGCAAATTCTAAAAATTGAAAAAAAGTATTTTGAGTATGCGATAGTGCGTCTCGGTGTGCTTACACCCTAAGCATCATAATTTACGAAAAAGTCTTGACCTTTGCGTAATGAAAAAACACCGTGAAGCCCGGACCGGCCTTAGTGAGGCTTCAAGCAAAAATGGCCGGCCCGGCCCAAAAAAAGCTCAAACTTTCTTCAAGTCGAAATTTTTCGCCTTTTTAAAAACGAGAAAAAGTGGGGTTTTTTTTTTTTTCCTTATAGAGTTATGAGCGAAAAATGTTTCAACGCGTAAAAAAATAATTTTTTTCGGTGGAATTTTTTTAAAAAAATGAAATTCAAGGTTTTTTTCAAAGCCCGGCCCGGCCTGACGCACAAGCCTGGAGTGGAGCGATTCAGCCATTGTGAGGTTACTATTATTTCATTTCTTCTTTGCAATTTAACACAGAAAAACAACCCTCAGCTGCTTTTAAGAGCATTGGGCTGGTACCTGGTATTGTTTAGCCGACCTCGCAGTTGATCGAACTCCGTCGGTCATGGATCTGTTTTGACAACGTCGTCGAGACTTTGATCTCGGATTTCTTTTCATCGCGATTAACTGAATTTTCAAAGATAAAAGACTTTCAGATGCCGAGAAAGAGGATATAAATGCTTGTTTTGATATTTTTGACTGATTAGCTATGAAAAGTCATGAGTGAGTTAAGGAAGCTTTATCCAGTCAGTAGAACTACCTAGGCGGTGCGCTAGAGCTCCGCTCGGCCTTGTTAGAACTAAGAATCCTAGACGCCGAAAGCCGTGACGGCATTTTCGCGGGGGTCCCATCATCGCTTTGTCAGCATCGCGCTGCCAACAGTTTCTGCTTCGGCCACAGGAATGGGCTTCGGCGTGACTTTGCGTATCCAATTTGCAAGCAAAGAGAATCGGCACTCCGGGAGTCCCGCGGGCCTTATCTACTAGCGCTTACAACTCAGAAATTTTGGAAATTAAAAGTTAAATAGAGGTTCAAAACCCATCTTGAAGTTGAATGCAGGAACAGGACGACTCGTGAAGGAAGCGGGAATGATATATACAAGAAGAATCGATATCGAAAAAATGACACCGTGCCACGGGGTTCACGTTTTTTTTTTTGCAGAGATGAAATTTTTATTCTGACACGTGTGAATAAAACTTTGGGTCACATGACGCGAAAAAGTAGAGCTAGTGGAGACACTAACAATTTTTTTAAATTTTTGAAGTTTTAAATTTTTTTGGGCTCTATATCACGGTGTTCCGCGCAATGAAAAATGCGAAATTTTGGGTCCCAGCGGCATATTATCCGTGGCGCATCATTGCGCCCTTCTCATCGTTTCTGATGCAAAAAAATTGAATTTTCTTTCACTTTTTTTCATTGGTTTTTTTACTTTTTTTCTATTTCTTGCATTTATGTGATCCGCCTCTCTATGGGTACATTTTGTGGAGTTTTTAAATTGCGCACTTTTTCTAAACCGGTTTCAGATCTTTAACTTTTTTTCTCAAAAATAGTTGAAGATTTTTTTCTAAAAAGTCCTAATTTTTTTCAAAAATTTTTGAAATCTGTTTCGCGACATGAAAAAGAGTAACTCTATTTCGGAAACTATAGTTTTTTTAATTTAATCAGTTAATAATAAAAAAAGTTATTGTCTAGTTCCTTTGACGTAGTTTGAAACCGGTTTCGTGTAAATTAGAGCCAAATTGAATTTGCTGATGCAGTTTAATGATTTTTGATATATGCATCATCTAAATTATATATTTTTTTTCTAGTTTTTTTGATGGTTTTCGGATTTAAACAAAAAAATTTCGCCATACGAGGTTTTTTTTCTAAAAATTTCTGCTTTCTATCCATTACTTGTTTTTCTGAAGCTAGGTTTTCAAGCTATATAAAATGTTTCTTTTTTTTCATTTACTCCTCGAATTTTCCTCATTTCAATATTTTTCGTATTTAAAATTGCCTATTCAATGGGAGCTGATTCATTTTCATAATATTCTTTGTTTTTTATTTTGTAATTAGTAATTTAGAGTTTTCCCCATTCGAAATCGTTCCTAAATGTTTTTTTTAACGTAAGTGAATGTTTTTTCACGTCATATTCTTCAAACTGACAAGATTTCGAACATTTCAGGAGCTATTATCCTGAAATCGCAAATTCTAAAATTGAAAAAAACATTTTGAGTATGCGATAGTGCGTCTCGGTGTGCTTACACCCTAAGCATCATAATTTACGAAAAGTCTTGACTTTGCGTAATAAAAAAAACACCGTGATATCATTTTTCTCCACAGTTTTGTATCTTTTTCGTCCTCTTGTAGGAACATAATTCGTGAAACAACTACTACTTGGGCGTTCTAAATTTCTTAGCAGTCCGGTGTCCGTTTACCGCTTTCCTGCATACGGCTTCAGTTCAACGTATATAATATACGTATATTTACTTTTTCACCCATTGTCGTTTGATTGGCCTCGTTTTTAAAAGTTTCTCTATGCACTCCGATCACAGTTTGTAATAAAAATTGCACTGGTTTCAAACTCCGTATTTAAAGTGGTCCTGCAAAATTCAAAACAGTCGCCAGAGAAAGAAGGAGACAGAGACCGTTCTGAATTTCGGGGAAAAACACGGCGCCGTGTTTTAAGATTTTTTCCGTCCTATTATAGTCAATGTTTCCCGTCTTGAAAGGCGAAGGAGACGGGGCAAGGGGCGGGACGCGTAGCGTGTGCGTTCGCGGTTCGTGGCACGAGTTAAATTCATTTGTCGTCGACTATTTAAAAAGCTCGGCAACCGCTCTTTTTCAATGTTTTCTACTATTTTTTTGATGCACACACGAACATAATCAATAAATAATTGAAAAAGGAATGAAAAAAGCGAAAAACGGGCTTTTCAAAGAGTCGCTGGCGGTTGAACTGAACACGTGCCAAGGACCGCGAACGCACACGCTACGCGTTACGCCCCCCTGCCCCGCCTCCCTCGCCTTTCAAGTCGGGAAACATTGAGTACATAGCTTAGCTTTTTAAATATTTTTCATTTTTTCAAGACTTCAGACGTGAAGTTCGCTTTTTTTTAAAATTATAGACTCAAGTTTCTTTTTTCCACTTCTTCTTCTTTGTAACAGAGAGAAAAAAACTAAAAATATTTATATAATAATTCACACCATGAAAAAGTTGGAGACGTTTATCACGTTCTTTTTTCGATTCTGCGCAGCAATCCATTATATGGGAGCAGCAGACAACGCAAACGCAAAGGATTATCGCTGAGACGGAAAGCACAAAAAGAGTCGAGAAGAAAAAGAGCCCCTAAAAACTTGATAAGTATTCAACAATCTTTTTTCCACGTATTGAAGTTTTTTTTTTCATTTGCTCTGACTTTATTTATGTCTAAAGCTTATGCGAAGTAATATCAATATGACAGGAACTGAATGTCTAAAGGTAAGAACTTCGTTTGAAGCAAGGCTTAATTTTTTTTTTCTCGAAAATTTCAACACTGCTATGAAACCTATGTAGGACACGAAAAAATCGAAAGAGAGGAAGAAATTTCACCTGAAGTGTCGAGATGAAAGACGTGAGTCTTCCTGTGTCCTAAACACAAATTTTTAAATATTTAATTATTAAAACTCAAATTCATCGTGCTTCATGTATTGGTGGATCATTAGAAAAGTTTTTGGGTTGAAAGACAGAAACATAATTTTGTGATTTCTTATTTATAGCAGATTCACGGTTGGCTTGAGCCACCGAGAAAAGGGTCCTGCCACGAAAAGAGACGAGACAGTGCCCTGGTTGGTGGAGAGGGCAGACAGGCCACGCCTTTTTGCGTCCCAAGCTAGCCGTGAATCGTCTATAAAACGTTGAGGATGAGAAACTTCGGATTTGCAAAAATTGGCAAACGAATAATACTTTTTTTTTTACAAAAGTAGGCGCGAAAAACTTGCCATTCTGGGCGCCGGATCATGCAGAACAGAGTTGGAAAACGAGTGAACCGAAATAAAATAAAAAAGGGTCGGTTGTGCCCAAGGGATTGTTGCAGCCAGAAAAGAGACGTGAGAAGCCAAAAATCGTTTGAAAAAAAAAAACGCTGGAAGACAAAGATTTGAAGGCACCTTTCGACTGAATTCATTGGCTTTCTTCACAAAAGAATGGCAGAAGAATACTCAGAAAGCGCTCAACAAAAATTATTTTTTTCAATGTGGGGCGATTTACTGAAACTCTTCTATGCGATTGGCTTTTGGTATTCTCGAATAAAAATAAAAATTAATAAACAAGGTACGACAAAAGAAATAGTTTTTGAAAAAGTCTGTTCGGATTTCTTCGAAAATTTTGAGTTTCTTTTTGAAGATAATTACGTTTTACATTCAGTCTCAAAAAAGCGAATTTTTTAATGATCAGAAGAAACGAATGGTTTTTATCGGTCGCTTGGGAAAAATTCCGGCATATTTCAAAATTTAGTCTAAACGACATTACTTTTTAGAAGTGACTGCGGTTAGTTTGAGCTTTGAAAATAATGAAAACTGTTTGAATTATTTGAGCTTGACCAAAAATTATAAAATTTTGAAAACAAGAGATATCTTCATTATTAGGCAAGGTTTTTGATTTTGAATTTTTCAGACAAGTCCGTTTCGAACTTTATCTCCTCTATCTGGAGATCTGATGGCAATAAGTGACTATAAGGCAGGAAATATTTTATTGCCTTGTTTTTTCGAGTATTTTTAACTATTTGTTTCATGTTCAAAAAACCAAATGCTTTATTTTTGAGCTGCTGAATTTTTCCATCTCCTTCCAGCTTGATCTTTTTGTTATGTTTGAAAACTTTGAGAACAAACTTATTACAAATCGAGATTGTGTAATTTTTTTTCATGTCGTAGAAGGCGACACGTTCTTTCTCATCAGTAGAAGTTCGGCAATTCTAATTTTTTTTCCCTTCTCTTCTGCAGAAAACTCGCGTAATTCGCCTTGGCTATCATCGAGTCTGCACACCGTAGCCGCTGGGAAGTGTCCAATTAGCATGTCCGATCACTTTTGTCGCTGTTTATGGGCAATTGTGCCGCAGGGTGAAGAAATCTTTCAGATAAATGCGGCGTGAGCCAATCGCATTTGTCGTGACGTGGGTGTGTGGGTTCATGGAAATATTTGTAGTGACGGTAATTGAAAAAGACGCGGATATTCTGGGCTTTCCTGAAACCGACTGGCGTATTTGGCGCCCTTTTTCAATCCTTAATGATCACAAAACAGTCTTTCCGAAGCTCGCGAATTTTTAAAAACAGATAGGTGATAAGTAGATAAAATTATTCCTTTTTTAGTTTATCTTTTCTTTTTGAAATAGTTCACAAATGGCTTTAGAATGTTTTTATTTTTTATTTTGCAGACGATATTCAAAAAAAAAAACATAGAGGAACAGGACAGCAAGTGTAAGAAAACGAAAAAAATGGGCGTATAGTTTCTTGCTCAGAATTATTGCCATGAAAATTTTTTTCTGATTATTTTTAGTACTTGTATTTATAGTGGTGGGGGTTCATTTTAATCAGAAAAATGAAACGATCCTGGAAAATTGCAAAATTTTTCGTAAACAAGTATTTTATTCATAGAAAGCCCTAAGAACATCTTTTTTTTTGGAAAAGAAAGTCTGTTTTTTTGGGTTCTCAGCTCAACTTTTCTGTGAAGAATTCAGTTTCCATGCATTTGGGGTGCTTATGGCCGCCGGTGTAGCTTTTGATTTCTCCTTTTGAGCTTTTTTTTTTTCAAAACTAAGTTTCAAAACTATGAATGAACAGAGATGAAAAGTCTGGTAGTTTCCCTGCTCTTAAATATTTTGTAAGCCTTGGAGCAATCAAAATCCGAACAGCTTTTAATTGTTTAATACCTGTCGAACACCTGTTTTTCAGTTATTTGAAAGTTTTCTTCAGAGTAATGAAACAATTGAGAAGTTTTTGCCGAATAAAAGCGATCTGCCGTCTGGCTATCCAACGAGGTTATTGCCGGTTGATCAACTTCATCTCATTTTCCAATTTTTCCCTTTCCTTCTTTTCTACGCCTCTAGAACAGCAAAATAAGGAAGAAAATTCAAGGTTCTGAGTTTTTTTGAATTGAAATAAAGGCTTACTAGGGAACTACTCGGACTCGGGTACGCGGATCGAGCTCAAACTAACCGCAGTCACTTTAGTGGTTTATACTTGTTTTCAAGTATTCTTACTTAGGTCTATAAATTATAGACCTAAGTAAGAATACTTGAAAAACAAGTGAATACCTGCTAAACCCAATAGAGAACCGAGAGAAAATGTGAAAAATTAGGCTTGGAAATTTTCAGAATACTGCTTTTTACCTTATTTCATATTTTAATACAATCGCCTTGAATGATCTGGCTATGATAAACTCTAAAAAAATTTTTTCCAGTCAAAAAAACGAGGAAAAACAAATATTTGATAATTTTTCAAACCTAAATTGTTCATTTTCAAAAAGCTTTTTCTCAGAAGCCTATGGGGTTTAGCAGATAATCTCTCTTGTTTCCAAGTACTCTTACCCGGGTCTTTGAGCCACCAAAGTTTCAACTCGAAACGCGTACCCGAGTCCGAGTAGTTCCCTAGTTAGTGTTATACTATTCGAATCTTTTTATTTTTAAAAAGAAGTTAAATTGAAAAAAAATATTTTATCAGAGCCACAGTATTCGAGCTTCACTGGGAGCTCAACTTGTATGTAAGGGGCTATATTTCTTTTCGAATCTATTCCGCATAAATATTGGTCAAATTACATTTCTTGATCCTGAGTTCAGGGCTCGCGGAACAAGGAGGCGTGGTCTACCGAAGCTCCGCCCACTTCGCCCTACGAGCAACGCCAAGCAGACCTGCTTCTATTTCATTGCTCATGCTTTTGAGGTTTTTCTTTCCATATACTTCCCGAAAAGTCAAATCTCTCACAATAAATTCTGTCTAGAAACTATTATCCTTTTTACTTAACTCAAAATGAATTAGTGTAAATGAGGCTTCTTTCCTAGCGAAAAGGTCCATCTGGCAGCCCCACTCTTCATAAATATTCGCGAGTTTCCTATCAAAACACCTCGAGTTCCTTTCAGCAGAACTCATTTCTTATGCGTATTACTTGCAAGGAGACACATCTCAACGCCAAATAAAAGAGTTGGTTAATCAAGTTGGATGAGCCCCGAGTCGCGCGTTTTCGCGATTAGTTTCACGGCTTTTCTAGCTCATGAATTTGCATTTATTCGATCAGCGAAAAAAAAAACTAGGTCTCATAGTCCAGCTCATAGCATTCGGTATATTTTATCTATGAATGAAAAAAATTGTTGAAAAAATTTTATGTTGCAGGACTCAAAGTCACAGTCAAGAAAAAATTTTTTGGTTTTCGTTATTTAAAATCAAAACTTGCGTCGGTTCAGAGTTCAGATGGATGTTTCAGAATGTTTTGTGGACTGTTTTCAAAAAGTTTCAAAAGTTACAAGTTTAATTACCTTTCTTGTTGAACTTTAACAGGAAAAAAACTTTATGTTTATTATTTTTAAACAAAAAGCTGCGAGTAAAGTTGATTTTATATGACCTAGTTACCTTACTGCGCCTGATTTCGTTTACCCTGGTGTTTGGCTTCAAAAAAAAATATTTTTATGCAAAGTTTGGAAGTTCTAGCCGCAGAACTTATTCTAAAGTTCGAGATAATAAAGTTTACTTCGCAGTTGACCTCTGCAAAAAATCCGATTCTGAAAAGAATGGCATTGACAGAGCCTTTTTGTTGGATGAGATGCGCTCCCCGGACAACGCGCAATTTTTTTTCTCTTTTCATGAGGACCTACGTCGTGGCAGGTCTCTGCAGCACGTCTGTTTTTGCCAAGAAGGAATTTTTGAGTTTTTCAATGGCTATTGTCTCCTTTTTGAGAAGAACACTTCATTTTTTGAGATTTTATTAACTCGTAACAAGTTCCCAAAAACGGAATTTTGTGGCAATGACGAGAGAAAATGAATTTTTCACTGAGGTTCTTCCTATTTCGCTTCTCATTATCCACTTTTCCGCGCATAAATGGGCTTTTTGGGATTTCCAAGGCAAATGACGGGGTAAAGGCGACGAATGATCGGAAAACTTTCGCAACTCTGCCACTCATTAGAATATTTTCCAAGGGAGGAGATCTAACTTTGGATTATTTTCGGAACAATTGGCTGAGCTTTTCTTTTATACTAGATAGTTTAAATGAAAAGTTTCAAACTGTTATTACCAGTTTTCAGAAAAAAATACTTTCAAAATTTAACTTTCAGAAAAAATCTGAAGCATTCGTTTTCAAAAAAAAAAAATGGAAAAGTTCTTTCGAGTCCACATTTTAAGATTCCAAAAGCATTTTGGAAAGTTTTTTAGAAAAATGAATAAATGAGTAGAATAAAACAAGAATCTATCAAATTATTCCCTTTTCATTGTGATTCCCTTGAAAATCTTTCAAAAAAAGCTGTCCCGAATCGAATTGCTATTCCGATTGTATCTTCTCAGTACCCGTTGAAAGAGCGACTCACTTCCTTGTTTGACGTGACTTTCATTCTTGATATCTTATCCTTGACCATCTTTTTTATTCTTTTTGCAGCATTACTACGGAATGTTTATATAAAAGCACAAATACTAATTTCTCACAGTTCTTTTATATATGTACTCTCTTCGGGTTGCTCTTGAGATGACTTCTGAAAAATGGGTTGGATCCTACACATGCTTTGATTTCATTACTTTTTGATTTATCTTTCTGATGTCTTATTTTTTGGTGTGATTCATCAGAATAGTACTTTTCTTCTAATCACATCCCTCGTCTTTTTTTTTGACTTGGAAGCATTCGCTTATTGAATATTGCAGTGGGTCCCAAGCGCAACAAAATGCAGTCGACGATTTTCGCGATCTTTTGCATGGTTCTCCTGGCCGTAGTTTCAGCACAACAGGTTGGATTTTATAGGATTCAAACATGAAAGAACTGGGAAAAATTAAATCTCAGAATCGGCATTGAAAAAAAAAAGTTTTGTTTTTCGAGCCGTTCTGTTTTTCGCCAATTATGTTTGATTCAATAGCTTCGGCAATCAAAAATAAATGAAATTGATGTAAAATACTATATTCTCGGTGGTTCGACGTTCAGTATAACTAATTTTACAGCCCGAGGAAGACGAATTGTCGGCTGAAAAGCGCATGAGGTCGTTCGCCTTCGCCAAAAGGTCACCGTACAGGTAATCCGGAGAAAAAAGAATTTTCAGCATACTTCTTGGAGTTCTGAGCTGTCTGCATTTGTGAGAAAGAACACTTTTTCTGAATTTCTGATCATCCTTAAGTGAAACATCGGAGCTTCGAAACGATTTTTCTCGTGAAATATTCAAAATTCTCGAGAAATAAACTCATCGACATCAGATACGTTCTTCGCAACACCCCATCCTCTCCTCAACCTTTCCCATAGCATTTCGCACCAAAAATTTACGAAAGTCGGAACTCTTGAATTTTTCAGAAGTTTCGCGTTCGCAAAAAGAAGTACCGATGAAGCTGACGAAGAAGTCGACAAAAGGGCCAGATTCGCGTTCGCCAAGCGGTTTGTCTTAGAAATTGCTGAGAAAAAAGCATGACCGCATTTGGAATTGGAATATTGGGCTTTAGGTCAAATTCGTTAAACGCTATTTAATGGCGCCACTTTGAAGGTTTTTATGTACTTTTTTGGGCTTCAAAAAAGAGAGGAAAGAGAATTTAGCAGCACAGAGCATGAGAGAGAGGGAGAGACTGGATGACCCTTATTTTCAAACTGGAGTAAAAAAGAACAAAAATGGCGGCAAAGTATCTTCCTGATTGCTGCTTGAAATAAAGCCATAAAAAATGGATTATTTTTTCAAGATCGCCGTACAGAAGCTTCGCGTTCGCCAAACGAGCTTCGCCGTATGGATTCGCGTTCGCCAAACGCCTTTCTTCATTCGCGTAACCATTTTGTTCATTTTCTATTCATTTTTATTTGATTGATTATATTAATAACGAATATTTGAAATCGTTCTTATGCTGACGCGTGTTGTGTAGGTTACATCGTCGTGGTGTGTTCATGTTCGGAATTTCCGCCCTATTGAGATCAAATTCGTTGAGATCAGAGCCCCTCAAATAAATCATGGAGTTTGCTTCTTTTCCTACCTAAAACATCTTTGTGAGTTAGGGAAATTATGAAACTCTTTTTTGTAGGGATTATTTGCAAAGTGAATTTCTGCGATTCTATGCAGACTAATCCAAGTAAGAAAAAAGAATGATTTGCATACATACCAATAAGGAAAAAAGTGTGAGTGGAATTTGAAAAAAAAATTCATTCAATTATTTATTTTCACGAGGCTAAAAACTGCTCTAAAAGCCGCGAGTTTTATAACGAAAAACGAACAAAAATAAAAAAAGTAAATAAATAATATTCAACAGGAGATTTGAAAAAAAAAAACAAAGGTAGAGCCGTTGAAAAATTGAGTTATGAAGAAAACTCAAGTTTAACTATCATCTTCTCTTGGATTTTCACAATCTTAAATAAGGTGACGCCGTTTTTGAAACAACTTTTTCTTCAGTTTTAAGAGGTTAAAATTGGCTTCACGATCTGTCACGACGACGACGACTGTCACCGGTGTCGACCTCGCGACCGCGACGAGGTTCTCTTTCCACAGAACGGCGCTGAAACAAAAAACTCAAAAAAAGTAAGCATGTCACATGTTATTCTGTTTTAGCTCAATTAAAAGATATAAAAGAGTTGGCGATAAGGTTTCACATGAAAAGGCCCTCATAAGGAATGATCTTTTTGCTAAAATGATGAATGATCCTTTGCTAAAAAAAGGAGGAATTTATCTGAATGAAATATATTCAAGCATGCCAAAAAAGAGATCTTAACATAGCGGGAGTATATACTGTTTCGAAAACCTCCGCAAGCGGTAATTAAAGAACACATTAGAAAAAACAAAAAAAGCTCTAAAAGGTCCCGACCGCATCTCATTCTCACTTTTCCTTTGCTTTAATTCATTTTTTACTTTTCCTGAAAGCTGCAATCGCCTACCCGAGTCTCCTCCCTGCTCGGACTTCTTTTTCTCCTTTCGCGTTCCTTGCTGCGATCGTGGCGGTCCTTCTTCCGGTCGTCATCTCGGCTTCTATCCTCGTCGTCGCGTTTTCTCCTATCATCATTGCGTTCGCGTTTTCTCTCGTTGCCATTTTCGCGGTCGCGCGTCCTTTCTTCTCGCTCATCTCTTCTGCCGCGTCTCGCGTCCTCCACGTCATCGCGATGTCGCCGATCTTTTTTCTCGTCGCGACCATTCCTTCTGTCTTCGTCTTCTTGTCGTCGCTTATCTGGGCTTTTTTCGCGTCGACGGTCTCTGTTGTCGCGTTTCGCGTCGCGTCTGTCCCGATGACGGCGGCTTTCATCGTCGCTCAGAGGCTCTTCCTTCACTTCTTTCTCAGCATGTCTTCTGAAAACAAAAAATTTCGAAAACGTGTTTTTGATTTTCAAAAATTCAGTCAGATCACTCATGAGAAACAGTAAAACGAAGAAAAACGAATAAATACCGAAAAAAGAGCCGAATGACTTTTCTGGAACAAATTATGGAAATAGGCATATCATGAGAAACATCTATTCTATACTATCAATGAAAAGGCTTGCCTATTCTCCTTCTCGGCCTCCTTGCTCTTTTTATTCTTTTTGCTGACTCCCACTTCCTTGGACTTCTTATTCTTTTTCTTCTTATCATCTTCCGAGTCAGAAGAGTCGCTGCTATCTGGAAACGAAATATGAGAAGAGCCCTCGGATCACGGCAACCTGAATCAGAATCAGAATCGGAGCTGTCTGAGGAATCGGAAGAGTCATCAGAATCCGAGTCGGAAGAGTCCGAAGACGACGAAGAATCCGTGTCGCTGACGCCAGCCTCCATCATCTCCTTCCTTTTCTTCATTCCCTTCTCCAGCCATTCCCGGAGATCAATTCTGAAAAAAAACGAAACAGATTTCCGAACGAAGCGTTTGAAATTTCAGAGAGCTTTTCAAGCTTTGCTTTTTCACAAACCATATTCAATTATGGGAAATTCTATAACCACAGAAAAAAATAGAAATTTGGTTTTTAAGAGGAGTATTGAAAAAAATTTCACGGGTCTTTATTAGAGAAAAAAATATTTTTGAAAAAAACCGTGGAAAAATGTGGATATTGGCTGGTGAGAATCCAAAAAATGCGTAATGCAAATGACAGAAGTTTTAAGAAAAATCTACAAAGTCATGAAATGGTAAATCATAAAACCCACGTCAAACCGCCGAGACCAATCATGGTGAAAAAGTTGATGGAGAATCGCGCGTTCTGCGGATTGTCGCGAGGGAAAAGGCCAGCAAAGGCCGACGACAGGGTCCTGAAGCGATTTTGTGGAAAACTTTCGCGCCCCATGTAACACTCACGGGTCCTTGACACGTTCATACAACTTGACGAGGCCCATGGCTTCGCAAAGTTCTTGGAAGATGTACTTAATGTAGATTCTTCCAGACGACGTCGTGTCCTCCTCTGTCATCTTGACATCGCCAAGAATCTGGAAGCCTTCGTTTGAGGGAACGACTAAAAGTCCGGAACAAACCGTCCAGTTAATCGCGTCTGTGTACAACAGGTGAGAAACGAGACGGGCCAGATTTCGAAGTTTCGTGATTTCGAAGCGGTGGACTGTCGAGTAGGCGTCGCGCACGATTTGCTCGAAAGTTTGCTGGAAAAATGATAGACTTCGGACTGATTCAAAAACAATTTTACCTGATATTCCAAGCGAAGACGACAGAATCTTTCGATGAGAAGTCCGTAGAATCTCTCATAGGTTCTCTGCTGGGCACAGCAATCCACCAACATGTTGCAAAGTTCGTTCTGAACATAAATCTAATGATGAAAAGAGGGGAATTCCCACATCGAGCTCTGGTTTGACTTTCATTTTGAGAAGCTTGTGTGCGGCTTCTTGGTAGTCCAATGAAGACTGAATCGTCAGGTAGACCTCTCTGAACACTCCCAATCATTATTTCTCGTTGGAGGACCTCAAAACCTCCTGAAAGCCACCAGATTCTGCTCCGTGTTGTCGATGATTTCCGTGGTGACCGGCTTGGCAGCACCTGAAAACTGAAGCTTACCGAACGGATTCGAAAATGTTAAGAAGTTATTCAAATTACGAAGAAAATTGAGTCCTAACCCTCATTTTCGGCATCTTCGTCGTCCTCGTCGTCCTCTTCTTCTTCGTCGCTCGAAATCTCCGCGTCTCCGATGATTTCCTGCCGGATCTCGTCGTACATGTTCTCGTTCTTCTCGAATTCGGGGTCCAATTTGAAGACATCTGCAGATGAAAGTCTCTCGAGGACCGTCCCCAGAAAACTAACTGAGTTCATTTTCCGGATTCGTGGCTTCTTCGAGGTTCAGCGTGTGAGTGATTTGGTCGTCTTCCTCGATCAAATCCAGATCATCGACAATGGAAGGATACGCCTAAATTCCAGTTTTTGATCAAATTTTAGTCTGAAAACTGCTCAATGAACAAAAAAAACGAACCGCAAATTTCTCCTTGCGAATCTGCATCGCCACTTCGATCATGTACCGAATACGTTTATCCAGGGGATTCTCGTCGTCGCTCGTTTCCATCAGAATGGCGCGGAGTCGGTCGTAGACGCTGTTCAGAGCAGCCGGGGAAATCTAAAAAGATGGAATTTAATCACAGTACACGATAGAAACCGAATCAAACTTCACAAAGCCAGTTTCTACTAAAAAACATTAATTCGAAGAAAAGCTTGCCTCCATCAGTTTCATGCCACATTCTTTCAAGAAAGCAATTGCGACTTCGACCGAATCGTCTGTGGGAACTTCCAGCATCAAGAGCATGATTTCCAAAGCAAGAACTTCGTGGGCCTGAAAACATCTTCTTTGATCAAAAAATGAGGGGCCGCTTGAGAAAATTGATTTTTCTGAGCTTCAAAGGGCTTGATAAGAGTTTTTTTTTTCACTTTTTTTGTCGCAAAAAACTTCCCACGAGCAATCGACAGAGTGTTGAATAGAAAAATAAACTTTACGGCCGAAAAAAAGAGCTTTGATCTATAAAATAGAAAACATTAAAGGCTCGAAGAAGCAGGAGATCCTCATTTTAATGAAACAGCAAAAAAAAAAAACAATAAACAAAACAATACCACTTGTTGGTTGATCAGATGTGCGATGAACTTTGAAACATTGATTGTCACACCTAAAAATGTGACTCATGATTTCTCCAAGAACAAAAACCTTTGTCGTTTCTACGGAAACTCCGTTTGAACTGAACGATAAGTCGTCGCAAAAGCAATTCGCCGATATGCGGAAACTTGGAGTTGATCACGGCTACCAAGGCGGCGTAAACGTGTGAAAACGTGGGCGAAAAGGCTTGGGCTTGGATTATTGAGCGCGTCAAAAGACCCCTAAAACATAGATTTACATTGAAAAATCCAAAATTTCAACTCTTGATGTCAAAAAAAAAGTTCTACAGAGATATCTACAGAGATATAACTGTACAATATTTTTTTCTGTGATGTTCAAATTAAATTTTCATTAAGTTTTGCGACTCAGAGCGTTTTGCAGCATTAGTTTAAGTGAACCGATACTCCTGTGTCATTGAAACCACGCAAAAATGTCTTGTACATGAGAAAAAAACAGAAAAAAACGTTCAAACCATTAAGAAATATAAATAAAAACAGCCCTTAGCTCTTCAAAAAAACCGCAAAACTCAAACTTTATACCGAAATGATTTATAGCAATAGAAAAAAATAGAGATAAATCTCATTCGAAATGACAGAAGGATAATTGCGAAACATTCTGACAAGCTTTGTCACGTAAAAAGATATAATTTTGAGAAATAGATATTTCTCGATGAAAAAAGCGTGAAATTTTCTCAGGATCGTAAAAAAACCTATCATATATGCAGCTGTAGGACTATAAAAAAATAATCTAAGTTTGTCTATTTTTCTTAAATGGATTTTCTAAGCAAAAGTTTTCACTTGAAAAAAATTTCAGGTGTCTTGAGCAAGAATCATTCGAGAAAACTCACTTTCCACGGATAACATTTTCCTGTAAGAGTTCTCTCACGATTTGAACCAAGTTTCCGACGTTAACTCTGAAGAAATCAGAGTTTCTGATCAATACTCAATATTTGTTCTACCTGTTAACCAAACCATGAATTTTCTTCTTCAACCGCTCCCAGTTCATTCTTTGGTATTGCTCACTCGACTGAAAACAGTTCAAATGATAATTCTCCCACTTTCTCAAAAATAACCTTATCGGCAATCTGAGCTTGCATCAGTTTCAGCTTTGCCGGGGGAATGTAGGCACCGCCAGTACGAGTTCTAAAACTCAAACATATTCAAAAAATGATCTTTCCTTTTTTGACATCAGGACGTCAAGACTAACCGCAAAATATCTACGGGCTCTTTTCTCGGTGGAGCAGCAGGCTCCGGCTCTTTTTGTGACTTTGTTCGCTTGGGCGATCGACTGCGCGATTTCGAGCGTTTCTGCGACTTTCTCTTTGTTTCACGTCGTCTTTCATGAGGACTCGTAGATCCTGATCTATCTCTACGCGATTTCTTGCTCCGAGGTTCACGAGGCGGTTCGGAAGGAGAACGCTGAAAACGACCGCTGTACAAATTAAAATGATAAAATATACTTCACGAGCTACTGGAGAAGATTGCCGCTCTGGAGCAGGAGAACTTTCGTTCGGAGGTGGAGAACCCTGAAAAACTGTTATTCAAGAGAGAAAAAAAAAAATTAAAACACTACATCAGGAGTCGGTGGCGACGAAGAGCGATTACGGGAAGGCGAGCCCTAAAAAAAAGTTAAGGCTAGGGGTAAAGAGAAAAGAGCTTACAGGTGGAGTTTCCGGCGAAGATGATTCTCGCCGTATTACAGGTGATTCCTGCTGAAAAAGGTTTAAATGAAAAATTGCAAGTTAGATGAATCCCGAAGAGAAATTATATTTTAAATATATTAAAAAACTACCTAATCGTTCTAAACAATAAAATTAGTTATTATACCTTTTCGTCGTTGGTAGATTGATCATTGATACTTTTTGACGGAGATCTTTTATCAGCCCGAGGCGAGTGAGTAGATCCGTCCGAAGACATATCAACGTCACTGAAGCTTCTGACATTATATTTGAAAGTCTCATAGAAGTTCAGCTGAGAAAATACAAAATATCAAAAAGGGTGAGTGTAAAACGGCAGACGTTAAGAAAACGCGCCTATCTTCAGAATATGTTTCATGCAATAGAAAATGCTCAAACAAGATATCAGTAACAGATGTGCATCTGTGAGAAGTTGTACAGGTTTGATTTGTTAGAAAAGCATCCTTAAACAGGTCTTTGTGCTAATAAAGTTCTCTTAACTATGTATACTCCAGCAAAATTATAGAAAAAATAGGGCCATCACATTCAAAGTTAATAAAACTATTTACTCTCGAAAGTCAGGTAATTTCTCGCGTTTTTTAACATGATTCTGGTGTTTCCATAGGACAGAACGATTATTGTTACGAAAAACGAAAAAATTGTCTCAAAAAAAAAAATCAGTTTCGGATTTTTTGGAGCGCCTATGAAAAATCTTTTGCTTTCTGAAACAGTTTCCGTTTCTCAATTGGAAAATTCATTGAAAAAAGCGAAACCTGAATAGAAACGATAAAAGAGGCTTTAAATTTGAACGCTGTTTTCGAAAAAAAAAAACAGAACGTGTATGCACAAAAAGCGCGTGGTGAACACGCGCTCATTTTTTTTGTTTACCGTGTACACGAATCCGTGACAGAAAAAAACTGCGAATCGCTGCTAAAAATTTACTTAGGCTTTAAACTTTAGTCATTTTAACTTTAGCAATAGTTTCATTAATGTGAAGAACTTTTAAGGGCAAAGATGTTGTCTGGGCAATGCCTGTCCCATATTTGCCAAAATATTCAAAGGTGGACGAACAGGCCTTCAAACCGTTATCAATTCCTCTATGCGTTTGATATTCGGTCTTTCAGTTTGCTTATTTTCTTCTAGCTTTTGTTTCCAATGTTATCTTGGTGAGTTAGTATTACCTTCACGGAAAAAAATGGTTAAAAGGATCCAAGCTTTGGTACAACCGAGTGGAAACTGGACATATAGTTGAAGCGAATTGCGATTACGACGTGGTATACTGCTACAAGTATGTCTTTTTTTCTGGTTTTATTTTTTTTATTCATGAAAAAAAATTTTTCTCGTTAAAGCCATTGAAGCACGAGGTTGTTCTTTTAGGAAAGTTGGTCTGACGAAAGTAAATTCTTCCGGGAAAGGGCGGCTGTCTTCGTACTCTTGTGGTTCGTTGGCCATGTGCGCGGTAGGTCCACGTGAGAGAAAGTTCATGAAAAGTGCAGCAAATCGGGTGCACTCGTGGGCCTGGAGACGTCGTCGAGTGCTGCTGTGGCAGCGAGCTCTGCAATATCGCAAATCCGACCGTTCTATTACTTCCTGTTGTTGTTTTTGGTTTTGCAGCTTTTTAAATGCTGATAAAACAAGTGGTAAAACATCAAACAGTCAGTTTTTGTCTTATATTTTCGATTGACTTTAGCATAATCTAATCGGATTTGAGAGTGAATTCTATTTGCAAATTTTTTGGAGACATCCAATAACCTTGGCTTCTACCAATTGAAAGAGAAAAAAGTTTTCACTTCTAACAAATGAATAAATAATTCAACATTGCAAAATGAAAATTGACTGAACATGAAAAAAAATTTACCGCAAAATAGAATTTTAGTCAACGCGCCGTTTCGCAACGAACTTGTTCGTTTATTTAAATCCAAAAATCTGGTTACGATACCGCGCGCACAACTCGGGTCAAAACTTTTTGAAGTGTTTGAAAAATTATAATCTTTTTTTAAAATATTTCATAGGTTTCGCTTTTCGAAGTTTTCGCCGTTTTTTAGCGCAGTTAAAGTCATTATTTGTGAAAACTTTTTCTTTCGCGTTTTTCTTTTTGTTCTTTTTTTCGTCCTTTGCTCGTTTCACCGCTGTTTAACTTTTTAAAATGAACTGGCCGTACAATAAGAAAAAAAAAATTGTATTTTTTGTGGCCTCTCATTATTTGCTTTTTTTCTCAGACTTTTTGTTTAAGACTAGACGGATAGGTCTCGATAATTATCATCAGATAAATGTAAAAACTTTGATTCATTAAGCAAAATTTCATTCCTTCCATCTTGTAAAATGTTATGCCAGCTATCCTCAAATATTTATCTAATATGACAGAAATGGAAAAAAAAAATCAAGGAAATTAGTTGTCGCCTCTTCCCAGGTCGGTCCTAGTGTTGTTGTCCTAAAACTGTATGCGTTTATATGCATCTTCGATGGTCAAACCATGATTGCGATAACATCGTCAATGTGTTTGAGGAGCTCGATCTGTGGAATGTGTATGCGGTTCATGGAGTTAAGTTGGCTGCAATTTTTCTCTTTCACGTGGATTTGGAAGAGAACCACTTTGTGAGTTGCTGAATGTCTCTCCAGATGCTAATGTCGTCGGGCGTCACGAGCAACGGAGCGATAGGCGCGATCACCCGAGTTCTATTCCTTTCGCGACTGCAAAAATATTTTATTTGTAATTACATTAATTGATTGGCAATAAATTAATTGCATTAGCAAAAAGTTGTCTCTTCATATCTGCAACTAGTTGATTTTGATTCGTTCAGTTATTCACCGTGCCGTAGAGCTCCTGGCTTGGGGGTTTTGGTTTTGTTTGGCCGGCGGCGTGACTGGAACTTCTTCTAGTTGGTTGAGGTCGAAGCGGAGAGGAGCTTGTAGCGCCGGCGACGAGGCCAAGCTGCTTGTAGTGTCTCTAGGTGACGAAGCAGTCGACGACGGCAGACGAACCTCTCCTTTTCCATTGCTCAGCGAGACGCGGCTGAAATCACTATTTCCAGAAAATAAACTAAGGACTCTTACGTGTAGTAGTTGTTGACTAGTTGGCGACGTAGGTTGAACTGCTCCTTGGTCAACGTCATCGCTGTGATTAACGAATAATCTAGAATGAAGATGAGGTCCGAAGGCGTCACGTCAACCCCTTTTTTTATTTTCAGTCAAATTCATTGCTAAGATTGTCGCTGGTAGAATGGAGGTCGGCGGACCACGGTTAGCAAATTTTTGTTACCGATTTGCACCTCCTTGCAGTGGAGACATCGCTCACGGAGATTCCATCGTCCTCGGTGATGTTTTCGTCGAATTTCGATCTAAGTCACAAGGTGATCCTTCTTTGTCATCTTCTCTAGAAGTTGAGAAGTTCTACCTTCTTTTCTAAAAACTTTCGCTGTTATCTTATCTTCATCTTTCAACAAGACTGCAGACGAAATCGACCGGACTGTCCATTACCTGAAACTGCTCTCGACACAGAAGCTGTACAAGCTGAGCAGGACGTGCGTGGGCCGTGAAAGACTTCTTGTCGCCAAGTTCTTCGAAAAGCTTAGCCATTACGACACCTATTGAACATTGTTCCGTTGAAATGAAACCTTGACTCTCGTTCTGTTCTATTATCGCGCGGCGACGTGCCAGATGGCGACAGCTGCAATGAAGAAATTTTCGAGATTCTGGTGCCTTTTTTATAACTTTTTTTATCGAGCTTAAGATAAACTGTAGTTCCGGGCTAGAAATTTTGGTGATCCTCTGAAGAGCTTCTTTTCATGTTTGGTACGTTGATGAGAACCAACTAACAGGAATGAGGTATTTTCAATTTCGAGATGTATTTAGCTTTTTTTCCAAAATTATTTCCACAACTTTGAAAACCCTTGAACGCGACCATTTTCAATAAAAAGAGAGGGATATAATAACCATTTCATTGACGATTTGAAAAGGAATTAGGACGAAATTTTTTTGAGAGGACCGAATTATTTGGTCCTCTCAAAAAAGGTCTTTCTCTTTTTTTTCCGTTTTTTTTTTGACTGCATGTGTGGCCGAGAACAGTCATCTATACATCAAAGGGAAAGACAAAGACGCGTGTTTCTTTCAACTTGCCGTCTCTGTACTCAGCTGTAGTTACATTTCGGACTTTTTTTCCAAAGCATTTCCCAATTTTAAGCTTTTGCATTTCCCTTTTTAACAATTTATTTCGGGTATTGAACAAAAGTTGCAATATTTTGCAAAAAAATAGTCTCTCTTTTTTTTACCCCACATATGAATTTATGTGATTATATTACATATGCACTTTTCGCGTTTTGCACCTGAAATTCATTTCATGAATTTATTCGTGGTTTTCAAGAGCAATCACTGAAATTTTTCTTTTCTTCGCTTTTTTGATATCTTTCTCACCATTTCATCAAGTGAAAACGTGTTTCTCCATTTTCAAGTTGAGAAACATGCGTCAGTAATATCATTGACATAACTCTTTCTTCTAAATTTCCCGACCAAACTGGATGAGATATCATTGTGGAAGTGGAAAAGTTTTGCCGACAGAGAGACAAAAAACCAAGTTGGAGGGACCAATTGGTCGTTTTGTCTGTTGGCGCTGACGATCTGCGTCTCCGTGATGGGAACGTGCCCAGCTCGCTTCATCATGAGCGTTTTTCCTACGTCAGTGAGCGTATCTGTGAGTGGGTTCAGTGAGTGTTTGACGTATACTACGAACGCTATTCAATTCTACGCGCTTTCTGGCCGTCCTCCAATTCGTTTTTCCTGCTCGTCCTTCGCTTCCTTTTTCACTTTTTTGGCCCACCTGCATGGCCTTCAGCGTTTGGCTGTCGTAATAGTAGTCTCTAAATCGTTGGTCAACTTTTCAAGTTGGTTCTAACCGTCTCAGATCGTCCATACATCACTCAATGAATCCCTAAATACCTTCCACGCAAACCGAGCGAGTTATATCAACAATGATTCTGAGCATTTCCTTCGGCTTTTTTTTTTACCTTTTGAGGCTTTCTGAAAACATTATTTTATTCTACTAAAAACTTTTCGTCACCCAGCTTACCAGTTATTAGTACTAATGATCATAAGACTTCTTCTTTTTTTTTTGTTCTAACGAACAGCTTTCCGATTCTGGGAATGTCGACTAACGCGTTTTTGGAAGTCTCTTGCATGCCGCCCACGAATGCTTCCGTTCTGAGCTGCTCTCATTTTCTTTACGTTTCACTTTTGGTTTTTATCCAGTGGGAAAGCTTCCATTTTGGCCAAAAGGAGCAGGGATATTTTTCAAAGTTTTCCAAAATACATGAAAATCTAAACCTCTTTCCTCAAAACTTGAGAAGACCTTCTTGGATATTTTTTTCTCTTTTTTTTTTACACGAGGGAGGTCTTTTCTCATTTATCTTAAGACTTTCCTTAAAGTTCGCTTTCAAAATGGTTCAATTAAGATGCTGAGATTTGTTTCTGTTTGAAAATAGGCTCGAACTTTCAATAAGCGATGCAACTTAAGATTTTCCTGAAAGCTACAAATTGCTTAAGGTCAAGACCTCTTATTAATACATCAAAGACTACTTGAGCTGGCTTTCGGAAATTCCGAAGCAGAGAAAACTGATCTCATTTTCGAGATTAGATCATCAGGATTAAGGTTCACTTTCTGATGACTGAAGGATATAACCAGCTTCGTTGAGTCTTTGTTCAGGAAGCTTCCTTCTCCTCCTACCGTAATTCAATTCGATCTGCTTGACCCAACCTCCACACCCAGTCGCACTCCGCGCGCGCCGCCTATCTGAGTGACCACCCGACGGCTATCGATTTTTCCTTTTGGCATTTTCCTTTTTTTGACTGTTTCCAGCTGATCTTTTGACAATATTTCTTCCTGATCTGTTGATTTTCGCTTTTTTTGCGCTTTTTTCCCAAACGTCTTCGTTCCATTTATTTTTTATTTTATTTTATTTTTTCGAAGCACAATATACAACAAAAAAACGTCTATAAGACTTTTTTCAATATGTTGTTTGATTCAAGAAAAAAGACACAGACACAGTGAAATAGCTTAGGTGAAATTTTTATTTTTTTTTTATAAAATTGGAAGATTTCTTGATAAACGAATTAATTTTTTTGTTTTTTTTTTTTTTTGGAAGTTGGCTTTTTGCAATAAAAAAAAAACCTCGAGAGCCAAATACCATACAAACAGAGAGCGAGTCAACTCGAACCTGCGTTATAATATTGACAGACGCGGAGCTTTGGCACGGCAGCGAGACGTTGTGAGCGCAAAATCAAGCTGACCCTCGTGTTCATCCATAACCTTTTGTCAGGAACGTCTGGAACAGACAAAAGAAACTCCACTTTTTCTTTCGAAACCTTTCTTTCATTTTTGACATATTTTCTTCCGCTTTCTCACTTACAAGGTTTCCCACAAGTTCTCTTTGAGAAAGATAAAGCTTCGAAGACTGACGTAATCAAATGAGAAGCAGTTGAGAGATTAGACGTAGTTATCGCCTTATCAGAAAGTCATACCTTTCCCGCACTACGAGCCCGAGCAGACAACCAAAACAGAAGTTTTTTTAATATTCCTGTGTGTTCTTTTTCTCAGTGAGTCATGTATGTGCTTCTAAATTCATTTTTTTGAAATAAGCGCTGTTTTGGCACTTGAGGATACGGAAATGAAAAATAAATCAAATAAATTATAATTTTAAAAACAACGAAATAACTATTTAAAAAAATTGATTCTACGAACTTGTAAAATCGATTCCATTATAATAGTTTTTTTGAGCTCTACTACTAAATTTTTGAAGAAAAATTTTTCGGTCAAAGGTCTTGGATGACTTGAAATATTTGAAGAAGTACCTTTAATACCTTGAATAAACTTTTCCACACTCTTCCAAAAATCTTGTATCACATTTATTTATCCGCATTTTGGAACCAATATTCTCTCGCAATTTAAATTTTTTTTGACTGGCGTTTTAAACTTCATAAAGTTCGAGATCATTTTTTTTTTTTGAGAAAATTGCTCTTGCGGTTTCTCTTTGCGTCTGAGGAAAAATTCTTCTGAACTTTCAGTTATCGAGCTCTTTCTCGTGATTCTAGTGAATCCAAAAGGGACATAAATTCGACACAGTGTTCTCGATATTAACCTTTACGCAGAAACCACTTATTAAAAACATCTGTCGTGAAAATTGGCCAGTCTTTTCGGACTTTTCGGTGAAAAACGGCGGAAATGTGTCAGTTCACGGGACAAAGCGTACATGCTTGGAATCGTATAAATCGGGGGAGTTCTCACGCATTCTCGGCCACCCACTGCATACCTATATAGGTGACCATTGTGCTGGTTTTTGTTTTGCGCCATTCCATTTCATATTTTCATTTGAAGTTATTTTGGCTAAGCACGGCTTTTTGTAATCCTTACCTTGTCTACCTATCTAATTAGTTCCTTGAAGGCTGTTATTCTCGTTACAATATTCACTTTTTTTTCTCTGTATAGAGTTTAGTTCTTTTCGTCTGATTAAAAAGGCATTCGAATCCATAGTTTTCCATGAATAAGTGTTCCAAGAATCCAATTAGACCTATCCGTTCAACTTAAAAAGTGATCCTCTTGGTACTAGAGCGTTCTCGCTACAATGTGACAATTGACTATCACAGGGAAGTGTTTTCTCGCCGCGCTTTCTGTCTTTCTACTTCCAAATGTGACTCGAAGGACCCACCCCCGCCACTCTCTCATTCAATTGTCGCCGTTCTGCTTATCTCGCTAATCTGCTATCAATCTTTGTTCCTTTCCGTGGTTCAGTCACCCATATTTGATATATTGTTGTTGGCTTTTCCGACTACAGAAATTAGTTGGGGACCTGCAAATTTTTCCATTCTCTAGTGAGATCTTCTTTTTTGGTAAAAAAAAAGTACGAATATACTTAACTGGTGATTATTCTCGCTATATTGAGATTCTCTAACGGTGAACAATAAAATTAAACAAGAAACACTGAATTGGGAAAGTAAGTTTGAGAAAAAACGAAGTTTAAGTCTGAAACTTGTTTTTAGTTGTTCCTCAACTTTTATGCCTCAAAGGAAAGATCTTCACTTCTCTATGTATATCTGTAGTACATCTAAAAGATTAGCTGGTTTTCAAATTTTCCCTAATTTCCTTTATAATTTCCTTTAGAATATGGAGGAGCTCCTCCATAATTGAGTTTAAGTATTGTTCTTCTGATATCGTACCATATCGAATAATCGATAGCGTAGAAATAAGATCAGTTTGAAAACCTATCATTTTCATGTTTTCCGCACTGACCGACATATGACATCTCTTTCCTTCTGTTTCCTCATTGGCCATCAATTTCCTTTTTCCCGTGGACCTATCACCTTCAGGAACTTGTTCCCAACCCTACGTTAGCATTTGATCACGCACGTTTCGAATCGATTACGCTTTTGCCGTCCATCTAAGACACGCCTCTTTTACAGGGCCGGCTGATGAACCGCCTGAGCCCGACATCGTCGGACTCTGGCTTCGATTCATGCTTCCCAGACAGTCCTTTCACCTCGTCTGTCTGTTCAAAGACCGGCCCTCAATTTGCACCTTCCACGCCCCTCGAGGTAGCTGTTTCAATGTGTATTGGTGAATGTCTTTTTAAGTTAACTGAATTTTCAAAGAAAGAAGGAGCTTTGGTATATTTTCAGAAGTTTCAGAAGTTACATGTAGAACATCAAAAGTCGTTTTGTATAGTTGAGTGTTGCTTTTTTGGGGAGCAGTCAATGAAGATTGGGGCTCTTTCAGCATTCATTTTTGACTCCGCAGAGTTAATAAAATCAGCTAAATTGCAGGTGTTAGAATAAAGATTCAAAATTCGAGCTACGCTTTCCATTTTACAGATTTGATAATTGATAATAATAAAATATTCATGTTTTATCGGGAAGATAAACAAATGAAACTGAAGTATCTAGAAAAATTCTTCTTCTATGGCTTTCGATTTTCAGACGTGTCAAACACTGATCGAGCCGCGTGAAGAAACGGCGGATACGGAATGCGCCGATTGTACCGTTAGTACCAAATTTAGGTCAGATGAACATGTATTCTTTTCAGAATGCTCCGTCAACATCATTTGCTACTCCAGAAGAGCCGAGGGCCGCAGAAGTCGACAATGAAGCGAATCTGGAGGAAAACAGGCGGTTCATGTGCAGCTGCAGATGGGGCGGCTGTCTTGAGCTCCGCAAAGGCTTCGACTTGCTCTACGACCACGTCGTCGAAGTCAGTCTGAAAAATAACTATCTACGATGTCTTCTAATTTAATTGATAATATAAAGAAATTCTAGAAGATTTACGAGTTTATATAGTTATAAAGTCAACAAGTTTTGAATAGCGCTCAGAAACATCTAGAAAAAATCACATGAGAAGAAATTTTTAAATAACTGTCCAAAAATCAGTTTTTATGACCCGGAAAAATGACCGAGTGAATTATTGTCTGTCTATGAGATTGTGTAATGTTAAACTGTCTACGGATTGAGATGCGAGGAAAAGAGAAGAAACATTTGGATTTATTCACTGCGGAACATATCCCCGGTTAAACTTTTAATAAAACTTTGCTGAAGTCTTCTCCATGGCCTTCTGATTTCCGAACAAGAAAAAAATTTTGCAATAGATTTGGTTTTCGAGTTAAGGCGTTTCAAAAACTCGAAATAGCGCTTTTTGTCATAATTTGCGTGTTTTGCAAACTTCGATGCTTCATTAATCGAAAGCCAGATCTATTGCGAGAAATTTTTTTTCTTCCTGAAATCAGGGGGCCCTGAAATACACATAAAAAAGTTTTCTCGAGAGTTCAACCGGAGACTAAGAAAAACGTTCCCTAGATAAAATTCTAGTATTGTTTTTCAGTGCTCCCTCCTATTATTTGAATTTTCGAACGTTTTTTTCATAATTTCGGATGTGTTCAGAGCAGCTTGTTGAGAAATTGAAAGGCGTAGGGGTCATACTTCTTTACTTTTCAATCTTGATGTTGAATTCCTCCGAAATGTGATGAAAAAGGAAATTCAAAGTCTCCAATCTACTTTTTACTGTTATGGTAATGAGTAATTAACTTTTGTTTTCAGGATCATATCAGAACCATAACAAAGCCGGAGTCTTGTGTCTTAAACAGTTCTGACGATGAAGAAGATGATTTCGCTTCGTGTCGTTGGAAGGAATGTCGCCTTCATCTTCCTCGCGGCGATTTGTCTAAGAAGGTTCAGCTCGTACTCACTTTTTTGTTTCATTTTGTAGCACGCGGTCATACGTCGGCTGGATCCCACCCCGGGGTGCCCCCCTCAAACTGCGGCCTTATTTTTTTCTAAATAATTTCAATATGAAAATAAGGAAAGAAAATACTTTCAGTTGAAATGGCTAGAAGAACACTACCGAACGAGGCACTCTAAACAGGCCCGTCCCTATAAATGCTTCATGGATGGCTGTTCCCTGCGGTTTCAATCTACGAAAATTCTCGAGGAACACATTCAAAATGGCCACATCAACCGCGAACTCAAAGGTATCTCTCTTGAAAGCCAACACAAAGGGAAAAGATTATAATTTTAGAGAAAAAAGCTAAAAGAAATGCGAAGAAAGAAGCGCCGAAAGGCTGTTTTGGCTGGATGAATTGCATGTACATCCCTCCGGAGAATAGAGGCTTTTCCTTAGACGAAAACGTCGTTGATCAGATCTCTCGCGTGAACCGCTTCATCAAGAAGAATCGTTTCCAAATCGTTCCTCTCAAGAGGTTTTCCGACAATTTGAAATGTTTTGATGGTCCTAATCAATAGGGACGTCGTCGGGTCGAAGAAAAGAAAGACGCCTGGTTATTCCCGATACCAATACGTTGCCTACAACGGAGAGGAGAAGACTGAAAAACCAGGTCCTAGCGCAGCTGAGGTGAGATCTGTGGCGCTTTATCAATCAATTTTCTGAAAAGAAGTTGCTTAAATGCTTTTGAATTACCAGCTCTTCTTTGAAGCCTTCGATTCATAATTTTCTTTTTGTTGGAGAAAGTGGAAAGCTAAGGAGATCTATTTATGTGAAGAGCTAATATAAACAATGTTTTGAGTCGAATTCATTTTCTTTTATTCAAATAATATTTTTTCCAGAAAGCAGACATTTTCGCTGAAACTCCGGATTGGTTTGGCTGCGGAATCACTGACGATTCCAGCAGGTTTCTGGATAAGAAGCTGAACTCGGCGCGGGTGTGCAACTACGACGAGCTGGTGGAGCATTTTTCCAAACTTCGGGAGAAGAGAGCTAACGAGAAGTCTAAAGAAGTGGAAAAAGCCGTTCCGACGCCAGAACCGACGGAGAAGCCGCGACGACCGATGCGCAAAGCCTCCGAAAAAGCTGCGACTGACATTCTACTGCAAAGCGACGACTTCTTGAAGGAGTGCATGCAAAGGTCTCCTCAGAAAATGAAAAAAAGGCTTTCCGTCAAGAAGATGGCGCAGGTCGTCGATGAAGTGCAGCCTAATAAGAAGAAGAAAAAGGAAGACCCACCACCAACTTCCACAGACATCGCCAAAGTCTTTAAAATCGGCGAAACTTTGTCTTTTGAGCCATCCCAGAACAATATCCTTCTCGAGTTCGCAACCATCGCTGCACAGATTCAAGAGAAAATGAAAGAAGGCGTGAAAAACACAACGGACGGAGACCTCCTCCGCACTGCCGTAGCCGATATTGTGATGAATCTCTCTCAAAGTCTTTCTTAGGCTTATTAAAAATTTTTATATGTTTTTTTAATTAACACTTTGAAATTTTATCGCAATGGTTTCCGCTCAAATTTGAGAAATAATAAGTTGTCTCCCCAGTTAAGAGTCATGAAGCGGATTTATGTGAAGCAAGTTTATTTGCCTTTCATCGGTAATTCCTTGCCTTGCATTATTTTTAATAATAATTTCAAAATTTTTTAGGTGCTTCCACCAGAAAAAGGAAAATAGGAATCGATGTTTTCGAATTGATTCTATCTATTTTTAACTTCGTTTAATAAAGACCAAAAAAATATAATTCTTTTCCATATCTTTTTTTTAGAACATGTATTTAATTTTTCTTTGTAAATTCGAATCTTTGCTCATAATCATACCCTCACTCACGTGTTTTCCCCTCATATCGGCATCTCATGTTTTAGGTACCGAAACAAATCTTGTACAATCGTTGTATTTTTCGTGTATTTTTTATTTGATAATTGTTTTTTTCGCTCATAAATCATGTGAATCTGTCAAAATAGTTCATCATTTCAAAGGCAGGAAAAAAACAACAATTTTTTTAGTAAACAGATATTTAAAAAAACAACTTTTTAACTTTATTTTAAATAAATGATTAAAGATTTTCGAAAAGGAAAAATTAATTTTTTTTCGAATAGTTCGAGAATTTTTATATTACAACTTCCCTTTTTTTCAAATGCTCACTTTTTTTCACTCCAAGCTCAGACGCCCGCAGGCAAGCCGCAACTTTCGTTCCTCCAGGGCCACCGCAAAAAAATTTTCAATGTTATTTCATCGGTTAGAGTTTCAAAAAAAAATGGCGTTGATATATAGCCTATTCCACGCCAGCTTGTCACGTTTTTCTTTCCGCCAAAAAGACCGTATACCGAATTAGATCAAATTTCTGCTTTTATAACGGCAAGAAACAAAGGTCTTGAAGCGAAAGTTGGTTAAATTTGACCTGGCCTTTTGGAGGGAAGAAAAACGTGACAAGCTAGCGCGGAATGGCCTATATAAGATTGTGGTAATAAAACTCGTTTTTTTTTCTGCAAAAAAGAGCTTATACCAAATTTGACCAAAATTCATTACGAGACCTTTTTTCGGCAGTCAGTCCTCGGGCATTGGTAACGGACGTGCTCCGGACGTTTCTGGGGGATTTTTGGGATCACTCAAGAGTTCTGAGGCTACTAAAGTGGTCACTAGAAATGCCCCGACACGTCCGATACGCGTCCCGTTCGCGTTACCAAGGTCCGAGTCTGTATAGGCCGTTCCGCGCCAGCTTGTCACGTTTTTCTTTCCGCCAAAAGGCCAGGTCAAACTTAACCAACTTTCGCTTCAAGACCTCATAGGTAAAACGGAAAAGTTCCTTTCAGGATCCTTAAAGGATCCTGAGAGGGAGATAAAAAGCTTCCTCTAAAAGCTCCTAAAGATGTAAAAAAGCTTTTGAGCACCTTTTTCATAGCCTCAGAGGATCCTTTTTGAATCCTCTCGAATCTTTTTAGTTGCTTTCCAGCATCCTTTTTGTCAGAGGATGTGAAAAAGATGCAAAAAAGAATGGAAATGACGTGAAAAAGATCTGCTGGGGACCCTTTCAAGGTCCTTTTTTGAGAAAAGCTTTTGGGGAGCTTTTCAGTTTTGCCCGAGCTTTGGTTCTTGCCGTTATAAAAACAGAAATCTGATCTAATTTGGTATACGGTCTTTTTGGCGGGAACAAAAACGTGACAAGCTGGCGCGGAATAGACTATAGCAGTCCTTTTTGCAATCTTTTGAGGTAACTTCTGTAGTTTTCTAAAGCAAAAGTGCAAAAAATTCTGCTTACAGTAGCTTTTTTATACTGTGCGTTTAAAACTTGACCGTTTCGAGCGGAACTCTCGTATTAAGTTCCGAGTTATCTCTTTCGAATAAACTAGTTCATTCAAACGAGATAACTCGGAACGCGCAGTTTTGCAACGATCAAAATTTTTAAGAGATGGTTACGGTAAACACGCGCCAAAGTTATTTTCAATGGGTCAAATTAATGGCGTGTTCATCGAAGAAACCAGGCTTGTGCGTCAGGCCGGGCTTCCGACCTCATTTTGGAGGAAAAGCCTGCGCGGGCTTGGGCCAGCCCGGGCTTCGAAAAAATATTAAAATTCATTGAAAACATTTCCACCGAAAATTTTTTTTACTTTTCAAATCATCGTTTTTGTTGAACTCTAAGTAAAAAGTAAACAAAAACGTGACTTTTGTCGTAAAAAGCTTGATGTTCGACCAAAAAAAAAATGCGCTTTTCGCGCCGGGCTTAGGAAATGACCGTGGGCCGAGATTCTGACGGGCCGCCTTCGCACAAGCCTTGGAGGAACTGAACATGCTTCAAAACGAAAAATCGTGTTCATCGGCGCGTCATAGTTGCTCCAAAACAGGGCTCTTTTTAATTTGGAGGAATTTTTTGCGTTTCGAAGCAATTTTCGTTTTGTTCGATGAACACACCATAATAGTTTTTCCATGGCTTTGTCTAAGTGATTTTCTATTAAGTTTGCTCTATATAGTGATCCTTTGATCGTTTTTTCTCAATTACGCGAAATAATTTTGATGCTTTGCTCAAAGTTAGCAGGCTTTTGCGTCAAGCTGGGCGTTCGGGCCACGCCAGACTTCGAATACAATTATTATTGTGAATCGAAAAATGTTTCATAATCTTTTTCTTACCCGTAAATTCATAGTTTCTGTTCAATTTTAAGTGAAAAAAGAATCGAAAATATGATCTTTATCGTCAAAAGCCTGGCGATAGGCTGACGGACCGGGCTTCGCACAAGCTTGGCTCGAAGTAATTTCGCAATTGAAATTAGAGCTAACTCTCCAAGTTTTTATCATATTTTTTTCACTCTCTGACTTTTATTTTGATTTTCGTCGAATTATACTTTGCTTGCAACTATATAATTGAACACGCCGTTGGTTTTTTGAATATTGCCAATCTTAGTGGGGTGTTCATGGCCATTACTGTATACAGATACATGTATCAAATATGAATTGTATTCAGTTAACAGCAGAGATTATTTGATCTCATATTATTTAATTATACTGATCGTTAAAAAGCCTTGTGATGGAAAAAGCTTGTTTTTTGCTCTGTTTTGATTTTTTTTTTTCAGACATGCTTTCTTTCAGTAGTTTTTTTTATCGCATTTTTTTCACAATATGTATGAAATGAAAAAAATGAAAAAAATTATATTATATTCATTTTTAAATCCGTTTTGATTAGGTATGGACGTGTCGAATGCAGACATGAAGCTGCAAAGGAAGAAAAAAAGAAGAACAACAGGAAAAAAATCTTGCGAGTCAAAAACCAGGATTGTACCAAAGAAAGGAATTTGATAGCGAAACTCCAAAGGTTTTTTTAATTTACGTTTTTTTTTCTCATATCTCTTCCACTTTTTTTTCATGAAGTTCTTTTTTTTTAACTGACTCTTTCATATTTCATTCACTGAACTTGATTTTCAAGCAGGCTGATACTAGAGAAACCAAAGAGGATCGGAACACGTTGGATAATTTCCCGAATATTCAAAACTTTCAAAGTTCTACTGGAACTCACGAAAGTGGACGGTATGTGTTTTCCTTATTGACAAATTTTATAAAACTACTGTCAACATTTTTTGGAATTTTTTTCATAATTGCCTGAATACAATTAATTATTTTCGATCATCGCAAACTCCATATGGAAGCGAACCTGAAAACCGTCGCTACATGCATGGAAAAGGGAACAGAGAAAACGGAAAGCCTCGCCGTCTTTCTGGAAATTTCGTTCACAATTCAAAAGAAAACTGGCCTCGCGGCGAAACCAGAGACTACAGGATTCGTGATAGCAGAGCTCTTAATGAACTGAATTCCAATCACACAGGTATTAGCAATTATTTAAAATAAAATAAAATATCAGGAAATAAGCACATAATTTTAATTTTCAATGCACACATGTTCAAGGCGGCAGGTCTTATTATTTAGAATTTTTTCTAATGGTAAAATATAAATTCCTGTACTTATCGGGATGTAACTGTGTATGTTTTTTCAGGAGATAATTTTTAAACAAATAAAATAAAAAATAAATTGGAAAGAATGTGAAATTTTCTGAGTGAAGTTTTCAAGACAAGGAGTAAGAATCCCAATAGATTAGGACAATTCAGTAGTTTTGTCAAAAGTTTCTTAGTTCTGGTATTTCTCAGTTCACGAAGGAGGGTCTTTTTTGTCGCAAGAGCAACGACGGAACAAGTATTACGCGGTCACATCTTCTACAGATAAAACCATGAAACCACAGGTTTTATTTTTGCGCTTTATTCGCAAAAAATTTTAATTGTTTAAAGGGTCCTCAGGAAGTTCTCTGCTCTGACAACGCAAGAATGAAAAGGTTTGACGTTTTGCAATTTTATATTCCATATCTTCAAAGAACGAAAATAATCATACGTTTATATTTACATAAAAAAATTTTTCCCGGTTCATGAAACGCCGGAAAAAATAATTTTGTCTTCCGACGGAAGTGTCTGAGGGCCCATCACAGATCTGCTCCAAAATGTTGGGGTATATATTTGGAGGTATGATTATTCGAGAACAAAGTTAAATATCTTCTCAGCCAAGAGGTATCAGGAATAGGTGTTCAAAAAATTGCTTGTTATCCGACTTTTTCATTCGAAATCGACTGTCCTGAATGTGAGAAACTTGAAAAAAACTTTTTTTTTGTACTCAAATGATTTTTCAGATTACTTGTAACTGCGAAAACAAAATTTTAGAGTAGATCTGCAATGTATTATCAGACACATCCTTCGTAAGAAACTTTTTTTTAAAATATGAATTCAGTCTATAGTTGTTCTGTGATGAATATTTAAAAGCTTTGTTTTACATTTCTGAACTATTTCTATCTTACTGGGCGCGCCGTAGCGCAACAGGTTGTGTGCCTGTCTACGGTCCACAGGGTCACAAGTTCGATCCCCGCCCCGACCCAACCAAGGGGTTTAAGAAATGTTGGTGGTGGGAAACCAGGACTTCAAAATCCCCAGCCGTCACACATAAGGACGGATATGTCACTCGAGCCAGTCCACTGATTATCAGGATAGGACCTCGGCTAATCGACTTGGGGCGCCGACGCCGCTCAAGCGGTACAAAGGCGTAGAAAGAAGAAGAAGAAGAACTATTTCTATCTTACTGTTTTTAAACCAAAATTTTCAGTGGAAGAACCTGCTTCAAGAGACCTCATCGAATTTACAATGAATGTAATTGCAAAATTATTGTTTGCCTTAATTTTTGCTTTTCAGCTAACAGAAAGCTTTGATATTGAAGAAATGCTGGAATCGCGAAACCACGACAAAGTAACGTGCGGATTTCTAACCGCCGTGAATCCTACTTATCGCATTCTACGTGGTTCTTTCTCTTTTTGGTATATAACTTTTCCAAAAGTGGTATGCAGGGTTCGATCTGCCAAATTCATCGACTAAGGAAAAAATGTTGGATTATTTGCGGAAATTGGAATGCAGTGCTCTGAAATTAACTTGGCCGTTTGTCAGCGGCTCTTTCGAGAACATCATCTGTGAAAAACTTTTCAAGGTTTCAGACTGACTCGATACTGATGAATTCAGGATTTCACGACTTCTTCTGCTTTGAAAATTTTTAATATCAAACGCCTTGGTGTTTTAATTCTTTAGTACATTTCATTTTACAGAACTTTTAAAATTTCTTGATAGGGCGTTTGAAATGGTAGATGACCTGAATGACCAAAATAAGTCTGAAAAAAGCTCTTAGTGCTGCGAACTTATCTCTTCTCCTTTGAAAATCCCTCTAAAAACTTTCCAAAAAATCACTTTCCAGGATTTTTGCGACATCATCAGTTCGTGTTTCGCTGTTAAATGCGCTAAGAAAGGATGTTTTTCAAAGACCAACAGCTCCGCTGAATGTTTTCTCTACAGTGTTCTCATGGTAGCGTCTTTTTTACTGCCTGAAAGTATATTTTCTTCAGAGAATTGACCCTTCGAAGGAGCTGGTTTTCTTTAGAGACCTCCTCCTTAACTGCATTAATGAGGCTGAGCCATTTTGGTTCAAATTCAGAGAACAGGAAAAGGAGAAGTGTCCTCATGAGCAGTGCCGGCGGATTCTCGTCGACGCCGTCGAGGCGCTCGAATCCGGTGACGAAGCTCTCATGTTCAAGGTTAAACTGAAAATTATTATTCTTTGGAGTAAAAAAGTGATGTGGAAAACTTAGTCAAAGTTTAATTATTTGGTATTTGATTCAAAGTTTCAATTTATCTATCTGCCTCCAAAAAGCCCTTTAAGCACCAAATAATGAACTTTCTGCGTTCCTTGGCTGACCGTCGCAATTTCGGCTACAATGTTTCCGCTTCTGACGTCGAAAAGGTTTCTTTTTTTCTGCCAGAGCGATATAAATCGGTGTATTCTGTCAGATGCTGTTGGAAAATATGAAGTTGTCGGGATTTGGAGATTTTCTGGTGACTGCCCGAGAAGCTGTCGATCTGTTCTCCACAAAACGACATTTAGACTTGTTAGTGAGAATTTTTTTAATTTATTGCTTTTTGAAGGGTTTTTGCTGAGTTGCCTCGCGTTGCCGGTGTGACGGACATGCGCGTGAAGCAAATGATCAAGAAGGTTTTTTTGGAGCTCGTTTCAAAAAAAAAAACAATGAATAGGTTTAATCACAATTTCATCAAAGTATTTAAGTATTTTTTTTTTCTCGGTGAATGTCCCAGAAAGATATGAAAGCAAAAAAAAATGTTACATTCTGCCACTAGTTTTCAAAGACAATTTAGCTTATGTCTCATGGTTTTTTTTGAAGATGATCGTGTGCACTTTGAAACGCCTGAGTGGTGATGATAAAGAGGAAGTCGTACAGCAACACTTGGGCAAACAGATAATTGGAAATCACATTTGTTCTGATTTCGCGAGATTCGCCAGCGCCGGCAACACCGACATGTCATTTTTTTGTGCGGCTCTCGATCTTGAGTTCCATCCGGAGGTTAGAAATTCGAGCGAACAAATTTTCATTTTTTTTACGGTCTTTTTTTTAAGATGCAATTTGAAGAGGAGGATATGGAACACGTTATATTATATTATTACCTGTTGTTCCCGATGCGGGACGTGAACGCTAGAATGTTTGAATTTTTCGCCAACAACGACCTCAGACAATCTCAGCGAATCCTCGCCGCCAAGGTTTCATTCATAAGACTGTTGGAAGCATACTCAATATCATAAAAACAAAATTCAGGCCATGAAAAACCTACCCAACGGTTTGAAAAGTCGATTGGAACGGAAGACTTTCGAAACTAGAAAAGTTGAGACCGCTACTGAAAATGTGCTTTTTCATATATTTAAAAACTTTTTTTCATCAACCTTTTTCAAATTTTTATTCAGGTGGAATGCTCTTTTTATGAGACTATGAGGCAAAAAATGTTTGAAGATCGGGATTTTGCTGCTAATTTTTCTCGTTCTACTGAGGGTGTGTTTTGGAATTCATATTTCTTATTTAAACGATTTTGCATTTTTCAATTTGAAAGAATCTCATCAAAAAAAGTTGATGGAGGAAAGCTCGTATATGATAAGTTAAAAACGGAAATATAGTTTATTTTTTTCCGTGAACTTCATTCCATTTTTCCTCATGGTGGAAAAATTAGTGAAAGAAGTCTTATATGATAAGAATGACAAGTAAACTTTTTTTGGAAGAACTTTTGATAATTTTTTTCTTACATTTCTGGCTCTACTTTAAAAAAAAACGCCTCATTTGAAAAAAGTCCCAATCAAAGACATTGCATATTCGAGGTTTAGGGAAATTTTCGAAGATAGGAAACTGGCCGACTTTCTTTTCCTATCCCATGGAACCTTTCATATTTGAATTTTTCAGTGTGTTTCTGGTAAAAGATTGGATGAGAAATCTTGATTGCAGTGATGTTTCGAGCCGAGTTGATCGACTTGAACACGGCGCTGAGTGTTCTGACGCGAGAAGTCGAACAGGCCGGTCCCGGAAGATCCGTCGCCGCCAACGCCATCCACTGTCTTCTCGGTCGAAATTTCTTCCAGATCTTCCTTGCTAACCACAGTTAGTCTTTAGACGATTGATTGAATATTGCTTTTGAAGAATATTTACCGATCAAGAATATGTTTCTTCTTGTATATTCAATTATAAAATTTGTCTATTTGAGGCTCTACGATTCTGGATCTTTTGAAAACTGGTCTGTGGCAATATGAACCACCCGTCGATTGCTTGAAAAGCAATAAATACAACTTCATCGGTCGACTTTGATGCTGTAGTCTGGGAAAACTGTTTAATTGTAGAAAAACTTCTCCGGAAACTGGACGAGGAAGTGTGTAAGAGAAATATTGCACTCGACTACGAAGCAACGAACAAAATTTTCAATGTACGTTGAAGATATGAGGAAAATGAATGCAATATCATTTTCAGGAGTGGGAACAACAACCCGTTGCGAAAATGTACATTTTGATGGCCTTTTTGAGTAAATCTTTACTGCACAGAATCGGTTTTTTCCAGCACCTGAGGTCGTGGCGATATCACACATTTTTCAGATTTGGTTATGCCTTGGGGAAAGGGGAGATCGAACCTGGACGGAAAGACCGGCGAGCCAAAATATGAACTCATCGTTGACATGTTGGCAGTGTGGCCAAACGAGGAGAATTCCAGTGTCCTGGAAGAAGCCATAGAGAGTCGGACTTTTTTATGGAAAAGAAATGGTTAAATAAGCAATGAAACTAAGTGTCGAAACTCGGAGATGTTCCCATGAAGAAAAAAAAAGTTCAGAGCTTTTGTCTAGTTATCATTTCGAATCATCAAATTTACAATTAAATACAATTAAAATCGCTTGCAGAAACGATAATCCCAAACTTTTAAATCATCTCTGATTCCAATTAGCTGTCGATTAAAAAATCGTGTCTACATAGGGTAGAGAGTAATAGAAAATCAAGTTTACAAGAAACTTTGTTCCAACTTCCATTACGGATTGATCATCAGTTTCATAGTCTTGTTTTCTCGTAGGATCTCTTTTTCTAATATTTCTCTTTGAAGAGTTGAAACTTTGCAGTGTGGGTTCCCAAGTCGGTAGATCGAAAGTCGCTTATCAAAGAGATGCGTAATCTTCTACAGGACATGCCCTACTCCGAAGCACTCCGAAAAGTTGGTTACCACTTTTTGCTAGTTCTGGGGCATAAATGGGAAGTTCGAAAAAAAAAAATCAAATAATATGTTCTGCTGCCAGTACCTGTAATTATCAAAACTCGTTTATTTTTCTAATTTTAATCAGTACGGGAATTATTTGGCTGGTCAAATAAAACTTCAGCTTTGAGCTTTGTTTTTGCGAACTTGCTTCGCTTGTTTTTTCTTTTAATCAAAATGTTCCAGCAAGTCGAAGAGCTCGTTGATGATTTGACTGAAGTATATGACCGTCGAAATGGAGAAAACGAAAAAGTTTGTATTTCTTCTGAACCTTCGAATCTTCCAGAAACCTCCGATGAGAATGAGGTATTTTTTAAAATTTCAATCTTCCTCATCGAAATTTTTTCAAAGACCGGAACTGTCGAGAAAAATAAGCAGGTCGAAAAGGAAACGCACGTTGGTTCGACAGTTTCTCAGTTTCTGGTGCGGTTTCCTTAGAAATTGATCATTCTTATGAATTGAAACCAGGAAGACGTTGGAATTCGTCATAATACTTCTGTCATGCCGAGCGATGCTGACGTTTCCACGAGTCCTCCGTCGGAGAAAAACGAAAATAACATTGGAGAATCGGTATTTCTTGAATCAACCAAGCCGTTTTCTTCATTATTTGTAAACAAAATAGTTTGATGTTTTGAAATCTCTACTCTTCAAACAAAAAGCTCAGTTTTAGACAGGTAAGCCAAAGAAATCATCAAAATTTTTTCGTTTTCTTATATTATTGAAATTTCATGAAAAACTCGAACGTCACGTTATCACTACAGACGCCGAAGGAAAGCGTCTCTTCCATTTTTTTGTTTTGGTCCTTTTATTCTAATCACACAATCCATTCACAAGAACCTTTTAAAGAAATGAAATAAAAAATATTCGAGATATCTTAGAAAATCAATAAAAGAAGAGTTATATCTTTTTTTATTATGGTATGATGGAATGAAACAAACTAGATGTGCAAAAATTAATATTTTATAGATCTTGGATATCCTTCTTTCTAAATCTCTTGCTGAAGAACAAAGATCGAAAGACGAAAAGAAGGAAGATTTTCCGACGAAGAATGGAGCAGACGATGTTAAAGTGAGCGTATTTAAGCATTTTAAAACAAATTCGTAAGAAGTTGATTTACGATAAAACTGAAATATCGATCAAGTCACGTCGATGATGTCATGATATATATTTGACAGGAGGATGTGGAGACTGGAGACGACTGCCCCGGCGGAGTAACCGAGGAAGAGCCGAAACAAAGGGACATCATAGAGAGCGAATCAGGAGGGACAGCTCCCGAATTCGCGGTGATTCTCAATTAATACACAAATAACCCACTCATTCATCGAAAAATTTTGAAGAACTTGTGAAATTCAGAATCATCGTGAAGAAGACCCCGAACAAAGTATCAAATCAGAGAACGAAACCGAAAAATCAGAGGTACTTTTCTAATTTGAGTTCATAAGTAGTCCAAAACTTTCATTTAAAAGTCATTTGAAGAGATTTTTTGAAAATTCAGAATCTTCTAGAAGCAGATCCCGAACGAAGTTTCCACACAATCCACAAACCCGATGGGAAAAATCGCAAATCAGAGGTACCTGATATCATAAGAAGAACGCGAAGGAAATCTATTAACATTGTAATTCAGAATCGTTCTTCTAAGTATGACCAGTTGCCAGCCCACAACAAGAGTCGTAGCAAGAGTAAGAAGAAAAGACATTGATAATGATCTTGCGGAGCCCTTATTGCAATTGTTTTTTGACCCCGATTTTTTTTTTGTTTTGTTATTTATAATTGTTAGCCAGATGTTAATAAGCAAATATCTGTATTTCAAAGGAAAAATAAACAAATAAATATGGAGAGGAATATCATACATTGACCCAGCCTCAAAGCGTTTTTGTTGACTCAAGCGACCTCAGTGGCTGCTATCTGAAAAGAATCTGTTAGAAATTCGTCTGATAATATGAAAAATTGTTTTGAAAAAAACAAACTTTGGACTGAAGACCGTCGATCCTTTTCACCATTGCTCTAATGATCGTATTGTAATTGCTTTTGAATTCCTCGAGTTCTGCATTTTCTCTGAAAAAATGAATTAGCGTCTTTATCGATTAATATCATTATGTCTAAAATTCTTGTTGATTTTTTTTCGAAGACGGAAGCGCAAATCTTCAAGAAAAATAAAAAAAGATTCTTGTACAAATTTACCTGCGTCTCCTAGAATCAAGCGAGAAGTTCCGAAAAGAACATAAATACGAAAAAGATAATTAACAACTAACTTTCTCCATTTTTCGCTCAAGACTTTTATCTCTCCAACTGTTTTGGTTAGAGTTTCAGTGTACGAATCGAGGTTCGCGATCGCATCTCCTTCGTCCTCAATAACTTTCTGAAGAAGTTAAGGTAAATGTCTACTTTGATGAAAAAAAAATTGTCAACCTCAAAATTTTCTTGAAATTCCTGTAGAAGGTCAACCCTTTGTTTCACGATTTCTTCTGAATCAGCCACGATTTCTAATCTTTCATTCAACGGAACCTGGCTCGTATCAGCCTAAACATATTTAGTCTCTGAAAAATAGTAGAAAAAGAAACCTGAAGTGCAAACTCGTTCAGCTTTTGCAACTTCCCCACTGGGATTTTCAAAAGTTGGTGGGCACCACCAACAGTTTTTAATCGCTTTTGAATATCTTCAATTTGCTGAGGCACTGGTTTAACCTAAACAAAAAAAGCGTTTGATAATAAAAACTCCAAAAAACCTCTCCGGCTAAATGACTGATACCGACTGCGTCTTCTAAGGCACGAATGCGTTTTTCCAGCAATTCAAGATCCATTTATAAAAATGAAAAATTTTGAGGTTTTGAACAAAAAGTCGTGAAATGCGTTGTTTGGTGTAGGCGCACATCCCTGGCTACAGTATTGCGAGAAATTTTAACGCCGTGTTCATCGAATTCGAAGAACGGAACATATTTCGCGAAAGAACGGAACATATTTCAAAACACAGAAGAGAGGTCATCGGCGCCTCGAATTTGCTCCTAAGCAATAGCTTTGTTTCGAAGCAATTTTTTGTTTCACGGAATTTTTCGTTTTGTTCGAGGAACATGCAATAAAGTTTTGCCCTTCACTAAGCCCCAGGGCATTCACGGCGTTCTTGGCAGTGAAAGAAAATGCAGAAAAAAATATCAAGGGCGGGCGCCGTAAATCGTACGGCAGCAGCAATTTTTCCTGTGCAGGACCCGTTTTCTTATGATCAGACTCACTAACCATAGATTTATCACTAACCATAGATTAATTGAACATGACAGACTCACTAACCATAGATTAATTGAACATGGTAGTTTGAAGTTTTCTTTTATAATTAATTCAAATTACATTATTGTTTCTAGTTTTTTGATGGTTTTTCGAACTATATTAAACATTTCGCTCTCCAAGGTTTTAAATTTTTGATTTCTATCCATTATTCGACTTTTTGAGGCGGAATTTCCAAGGTAAAAAAAATTATTAATTTTTACGGGGCTCTTCTCAAATTTTTGTTTATTTGAAGTTTTTCATGTTTTTATTGATTTTCGGACGCGAGGCAACCTATAGACGATTCACGGCTAGCTTGGGACGCAAAAAGGCGTGGCCTGTCTGCACTCTCCACTAACCAGGGCACTGTCTCGTCTCTTTTCGTGGCAGGACCCTTTTCTCGATGGCTCAAGCCAGCCGTGAATCAGCTATACCAGAACAATATTTTCTGTTTTTCTTTCGTTATCCGCAATTTAGAGTTTTTACCTTTTATGATCGCTGCTATACATTTTATATGATGTTCAAATGTTTTTTAACATCATACTCTTCAAATAGAGAAGATTTCGTAAAGTTCGGAAGCCATTAGCTTATTATTCCAAACTTTAAAATTGAAAAACATTTTTGAAGTATGCGATAATGCGTCCCGGTGTGTATACACCGTAACTACCATATTTCACGGAACGTTTCGACCGACGTACCGAAAAAACGCCGTGAATTGGAAAAAAAGTTCACTTCAACTTTTATTATTTCGCGGCTTCGGCTGGATTGCTTTTTTCAAACGTTTAACTATTCATTTAGGTTTATAAATCACAAAGAAAAGGGACGAAGACAACCTACGTTCTTGTGCTCTTAGGAAAGTAAAGCATTATAAACCATTTATTCGATAGATTTGACTGAAACTTTAACAATGTGGACCAAGTGAGCATAGCCGATTGCCATTCACCGCTTTGTCCTATAAGATAGTTTTAATTTTGAAAACGAAAGCCTACAAACTGTTTGGTCTTCTTCTGTTGAGAAGGCCGATGTCTGCCCACTTTTTTCACCAACTTGAACTGGTTACTTGTGGATTTACTTTTGCGCAAAGGAGTTTTCGGTGGCCCCATTTTCGGTTGTTTCGTCGGCTTAGGCGGTTCGACTTCTGGAACGCTTTCTGGAGCGGCCACTGTATCGTCCGTTTCTGACACCGAGGATGGAATATCGAAAAGTTCCACCACCACCGTCAGTCGCTGAGAACGCAACTTTAGATAAATTTAGAGATTCACCCACGTTTTCTGTGATCTCTCGAGCCTGCTGTGGGAGGTTCAAAATCTTCAGCAGTTCCACGGGACCTTCAGTCGAAGATGGCTTATGACTGTGGGCGAACGTTTTTATGGGTTCTCTGTGGTTCTTGCCTGATATGATGAAAAGACTCTTCATGTTTGCCTCCAGCTTGCCAGTCAAGCTTCATCTCCCAGGTGAATTTGTTCTTGAAGAAAATGCTGGCTAGCGTTTCTCGAATTTCCTCGTACACTGTAACTGACAAATGGGAAAAAAAGACAAATTGAGAGACGGACATGGTGCCTTGTTGATGGCAAGGGCGTCGAGGTGGCCTCTGATGAAGCGCAACTCCTCCGGACACTTCTCTAGAAGCTCGTCCTGTCCCAAATAATTTTGTACAGTTTTAAACTTTTCAGCCACACGAGGGGAGTTTAGAAAAACAAATAAATTACCTAAGCAGTGATCTTTTACTAAGTGCTACTATTTTTTGATTTTATTAGATCTGTAGGTTACATTTATATAGATTACTTGTCTTGTATCATGAAACATGTGTTTTAAGGACCAAAGTCAGCCGTACTTGTCGAGCGGCTTTTGCCAGACGCGTCTGTTCTTGCTCTAGACCATGCCACGGTAAGTCGCCGAGTAGGAGTTCCACCGTCGTGTAGAGCCAAGACCAAAGGTCGTCGTGAGGCCCTTGGTCCACTCGATTGTGCACGTTCAGCGAGCAGTACTGCATTGTCCCCCTGTCAAATCATCACTATTCTGTCAAACTGCGAAAGAAGCACCTGAAAGGAACTCGTTTTCTTGGTTTTCGAAGCTGTTTCGCTCCATCTGTGATTTTCTGAAGACTTCCAATCTTTTTCAAATGCGTTAACTGTCAAAACTCACGTAAATATTTCGACTAATACCAAAATCGATAATGTGGACAATAATTTCTTTGGAACTTCCTAGCAATCCTATAGCAAAGTTAGAAGGTTTTACGTCGCGGTGTACATATCTAAAAATTTTCCGAAGTTAAGACTAGACGGAATTTGAACAAAACCCAACGTCATGAATTTCACGAATCGCGTCGAACATCTGGATGGCGACGACGGTCGTCGAAAAAAGCGTGAGCGTCTAGAGCAATCCATGAGGTGATCTCTTGAAGGAAGGAAGGGTTACCCTTGATGTGGTCCGCCTTCGGAGATCAGACAGCGTAGGACCCAGGAGATCCATCACGATAAAATTGACGCCGACATGTCTTCCGATCTCGACGCCTTGAAGCGCGTGTTTGGAACCTTTTTCCTTCAGAATGCTCATCAGTTTCCACTCTACTTGAAGACTATTTTTGTTATCCATCTTTTCGGCCTGAACAAGCGGATGGTTCGGTCATGCGACACTAGACACCTTGCAAGCAAATCGTTGTTTTGGGTCCTCTATTAACGCGACCTCGTAGACGACCCCATAGCCACCTCTGCCCATCAGTCTTAATGCCTGTAATTGTTTTTGCTTATTTTTTTAGCAATCATGAAACTTACTTTGTCAAGTGTTGACAAAGTCACCGAAACGGTCACTGTCAAATTGAACGTAAAAAATGAGCGAAAAAAAAAATCGTTTTTTTAAAAGCTGTGGAGAACCAGTATAAATTTTTGTCTTGATCTATATGTATAATTTCTGTTTTTCAACTCCGGGAAAAATCCAACAATTCACGTTTAAGCTCAAAAATTTTCCCTAGAATATTCATGAAAGCACAACAGTTCCCTTCAAGTTTGGAAATCTTATCATAATCTTAAAACTAACAATATATTTTTGAGCGATAATGGACGATATTTTGAGCGGAGGCTTCTCTTGCTTGGCCATATTAGAAATGTGTGTTGCGACCAACTTCGAATAGCGTTGAACAAGTATTTATTTACGTGCAAAATAAGTTTACCCGTAACGAAAAGGGCTTTTTTTTTGAATGAGTAATGAGGAAAAGGTCGGAGGCTCTGCTAGCGGATCCGTGAACAAACTATCAGTGAAAAACAACTTGGGAACTGGAAATGAGGAGATCAATTGTTTACGGACTCGTCGAGAGTCTGGAATGAATTGGGAAGCTCGTTGACGTCAGTCGTTCTCAGCTGAATGTAGCCTTCGCCTTCATCGAATGGAGCGGCCAACGGATTGTCGAAGCTCGTCGGTAACTGCAGAAACCATTTTAAGGTCAAACATAAAAAAGAAGTCTTACTTCGGCTGAAGTCGTCGTGGCGGGACCAGGATTCAAATTGATCAACAGGATTATCGTCAAATAGTGAGCTGCAATCCCGCCTATTATTATTTTTTCATTTTCTTATGGCTTGCCATAAAAGGATACGAAGTCGACAAAAACGTGGATGTCCCATGCAAAGGGAAGGTCTTCGCCAGTGTCGCGGTAGTCGATCTGAGTGATGATGTCGAGGCCGACGACAGCTGAGAGGAACAAGAGCGAGGTGGAGAAGAGGGGATGTTCGGAGACGTGCTCGCTGACGAGAACTTGGAAGAGAGCGTAGGAAACGATGCCAATGGCCAGGACGACGTGGTACAGCTCGACGTAGAGAGTGATGATTGGATGTACCGATTCCGCTGAGAGAAACTCGACGACGGCGGCGAACAGGACGGCGAAAGCTCCTATAAGCATCACCACGCCGAGATTCCGGATCCGGCCGTTCGTTTGCAACTTTTCCGATTCGCTCATTGATAACGTCGTCTCCGGCCGCTCACTCACTATTTCTGGCTGCGGTCGGTGCTTTCTAAATTCACTAGTTCAGCAGAAACTCAGAAGTTAGGATATGTTTTCGTTTTATCATTCTAAAAATTAAATTTTTAGTGTAACTGACCTAACTTTATTTTTGTTAAAGTTCTGTGTACCAAATAGATGACAAAAATTAGGCTCAGTGTATTTTCAGAGTGAAAATATAACGTTCATTGAATAACTTATATAACTAGATGTTCGACAAAAAAAAAGAACCTTGCGATGTGCATCGCAAACGCACAGTAGCAGAAAGTGAGAAGCAGGGCGATCAAATTACAAATAGTGTCGGTTTTTTGAGTCTCTAACAGTCCATACTTGTCTGTAAATGAATTAATTTGAATTAAAAGAAAACATTTTCAAACGAACCGATAGCATAACCGACAGTTGCGCTTTTGTTGAGATTGTAGTAAAGGTGGGGAGAATCCTTAGCCGATTTCAAGTTCCATCGAAGATAGAAAAAGGAAAGGATCTGCATGTAAGTCGTGTTGCTTGTCAGCACGCCGACGACCAGGCTGGCAGCGATGGAAATGTAGGCGTACTGAGGCAACGTGCTTAACGAAGTGAACAACGCCATGAAGGCAAGGAGGAAAGTGATCTGAAGTCTGGAGTCAGTCCATAACAATTAACGTTTCAAGGAACCTTGAGTTCGCTTCCTTGCAAGACCCTGTAGTACTGTTTCTTATAGACGGCCAAAAAGTCAAGGTCTGCCATGAAGACGGCGAGGAAGAAGAAGGCCAGGGCGAATCCAATGACTATCTTCCGAGAGAGGCCTTGTAAGCTCAACTGAGCACTTTCCCTGTGCGTCATCTGGAATGAACAATAACTCAATACTGATTAGTCGTATTTTTAGGTTCAAATTGGCCCATCAGCCAGTTTTTTATTTCGAATAACTTTCAAATTTGTGTCTTAATTTAATCTCAAAATATGTGCTCTACAACTTTCAAGAACAGGCTTTTCGAGATGCTGTTAATAAAGCAAGAAAAAGGCGAATAATCCTCAAATCAATCTTTCAACTGTTTGAAATTTCGCACAATACTTGAAAAGCTGGATAAATGTTGATTGTATAACACTCACAACTGATGTGAAATGGAGGAAAACTACGAGGAGACAGGCGATGTGCGGAAAAGACAACGCCATTGAAATGAGAGCTTTCGTCGTTAGGAACTCTGTGTGCGAAGCCGACATTATCCTAAAGGATATTGAAAAAGCAAAAAAAGTCAGTGGTTAGATTTCCGAAACGGTAAGAAAGTTTTTTCTTTCACTTACCGGAAGTTTAGCCAGCTGTAAAAGAAGGATGGGTAGATGCAAATGCCCGAGAGAGTGTATGCACACGAATTGATCAGCCTCGATCCACGAGAACTTAGGATCACAATAACCGCTGAAAAAAGAGCAATTTATTTCATTTCTAGAAAGTCTACCTGTTGCCAAGTTGATAACGAGCCAGGAGAACTCGTCGACAGTGTACATGTCGATGTAGACCGCCTGCTTCATTTTGACTAACATACGTCTGAAAATTTTTTCATCGAGATTTGGATGTCACCACGAAGAGACATGAATAAAAAAAGCTGAAAAGAAGCAAATATAAGTCTCCAACCTCTCATAAACATGATTTGCGACACGAAGCGATGAAAGTATCGTCAGTCCCAGTCCAAAACCCATCAAACGTTTTCCATTATTCTGAAGGAAAATCGGAAAATCAGAAAATCCATGAATCTTCTGAAAATACCACATGGGAAGTCGGGAAAGCGGTCAGCCTCGTCCTGACTATGACGAAGGAGATGACGGCTCCGACGGCGCAGAGGATCATGTCGATGGTGTTGTAGACGGCGAGCCTCTCGCGCTGCAATCTGCGTCGATTGGAAGAGAGAGCCAACGAAAAAAAGCGAATGAGCTCACCGTTTTAGTTTCATCCTCAGCGATGAAAATCCGGATGAACGAAGCGCCGACCGTCTCTCTCATGTTGACGATGGCGATGTTCAGAAGATCAGCCAAGAAGCAGGCCACGCAGATGCACATGCTCAGAACGTTCACTACTACCACTACCGTCTCGCTTCTGGGTTCAAAAAAAAGTTCTTGCCGTGCAAGGAAGATCATTTTAATGTGATATTTATATTGTTCTATAAATTCGCTCACCCACAAGGCAGAAGTCCCTTATAGTTGCTAGCTGCGCGAAACCTCTAGTTTTTACACATTCAAAATAAGGAAGTATGGATTTTAGGTCGTGTTTGTGTTTTGAAAAAAAAAACCCCCCACTTTATTGTTTTATGACGAAGAAGGAGTGGCGCGAGGCCAGCCGCGATGATGATGGTGGAAATCCAGTGGACATTGATCACTTCCGGATGGCTGCAACGGAGTTATCGTGACAGCTATTCAGATCCAAACCGACCGAAAGTAGGAAAAAGGCTTGGTTAGGGTGGCGTAGAGCGCGTTGGCCGTCGACACTGCGCCAACGGCCAGGAGCCCCAGGCTGAGGTTTCGGCCCTCGGTTAGCATCGGCCTGCAGACCGCTAAGTCTGAAATACATCTTCTACCTCTCTTCATTCTAATCATTTCTACTTTACCCGAGAGTGAAACAATTCTCCAGTACGAAAATAATAAATTCGTGACTCAAAAAGTGACTCGACTGACTCGAATTCTCAAATTTTAGGAAAAAAAATGATTGAAATCATTTTCAACAGTTTAATATAATTCGTGTAGTTTTCCGCGGAAATTGAAAAATTTAGGCTTTTCTTAGTTCTCCACTCTATCACTCGGGTGTTAATTGAGAAATATGTTTAGCACGTAGAAGAAAAAGGAGAAAGCAAAGACAAGAATGTTTCAAATTGTGGCAAATGAAGAAGATAAAAAACGAGAGATGATTCATCAAGAATCGCGGCAAAAAAAGAACGTTGGGTTTTTTTTTATTGGATGATAAAATGCTTTTTAGAAATATGAATGTTAAAACATGTCTATAGAAAGCAAACTATCGAGGATGGGAGGCTATAAAAAAACGATGAAAAAAATGTTTTTTTCTATATTTAAAAATCTATCATAAACTGCCGGGAGTTTTCAAAACCGACTCAAAAAAATCAGAAATTGAAGTTGAAAAAGTTTTCATTTTAATGATGGAAAGATTTAAAAAAAGGTTGATAACTTTTTTTACTTTCAGGCGCGAAGAGAAGGTATTAAAAAGTGTTCCTTTCAAGAAATCAAAGCCGCCCAAAGTCTGAGGTTTTTTTCTCGAACATGACTGTGGTTTTTTTACAAAAAAATTAATTTATCAAAAAGACGGAAAAAAATAATAATCTTTAGAGATGCAGGCTCTGAACAGGAGAATATTGAAAAAGTGTAAACAACTTGATATTTTTTTGCAAATCAGAAAAAAATTTTTTTAGCAAACAAATTGCATGGAAAAAAATTAAAAAAACATTAATTTCTAACATATATTTGCAGGTGTTATAATTTTTCGAAATAAGGGGAAAATGAGGTTTGAAATGAAACGTTGGAGGAAAGAGTGGATCAGTTGCGCATACATTTTCGATCGGAATGCCTCACGGCTGTTTGCGCCATCGGACAAAAGAGGAGTTTGTTGTCTACAGTCGAGAGTGTTTCTTCGTGTTTTTTTTCTATTCTGTCGTCATCCAAAAACTCTTTCTCTCTCTCAACCTAAGCATCAAACCTTTAGTAGGACGAACTAAGGAAAGATTTAGGGCTTTTTTTTGAAAAATAATATTCATAGACAGAGAGAGAAAAAGAATATAATATTATGGAGAACAAATTTTGAATTCCGAGATTGGAGTGAGATAGAAGTTTTCTTTCCAAAATTTTCAAAAAGCACAGCGAACAAAGAACAGAAAAGGAACACTCTTTAAGTAATGCAGAGAGAAAAAAAGGAAAGATTGGCGCTTTGGTCACTGACCCCAGAAGACAGAAACATACAAGTGCGCAAACGAGACCCGAATCAATGGAAACTGTGTTGATGGAACGCTGAGAACTGGTTGGCACACGACAGAACGTGTTGGCACTGATTCGTCACGACTCTCGAATGGCACAATAACTCCAGTAACTCAGACAGAGTTGAAATCTTGCTTTTTGCGGGATCGAAGCTTAATTTAAGTTTACTAGCCTAGTAGTAATACTGGGGAACGTTTTTTACCCCCCGGTTGAAATTTTGCTGAAACTTTGCTGAAGTGTACCTTAGGGCCCCCTGATTCCAGAGCAAGCGGAACATTTCTCGCAATAGATCTCGTTTTCGAGTTAGGACACTTCAAAAGCCCGAAATAGCGCTTTTTTGCCCAATTTGCGTATTTTGCACACTTTGAAGCTCCATAACTTGGATACAAGATCTATTGCGAGAAATTTTTTTCTTGAAACGTTCCTTGGTTAGAGAAAATATTATATGAAAGGTTAGAGAAAATATTATATGAAAAATCTCATCGTCAAGAAAGTATGAGGATTCGAAGAGGAAAGTGATATAAACAAGAGATGAAAACGTCAGAAACTAGTTCAGGGATATATAAATGAACTAACTCATCGTCATGAGTAATACTTTCTAAAAACGGACAGGAAGAGCGTTTTGTACGGTTAGGGCCCGTGTGCCATTCAAATGGCCGTTGCGCAATGCCAACATTTTGAAATGGTCATTTCCAGCTCGTTGGTTTTTATGGTAGGAGGGCAGCCTATAGGCCATTCGGCACTTCTGATTCTGTGTCAGTTTGAATATATCAATGGTTTCGCAACGTTGAAAGATTTGACCAGAACAATGTCAGAAATTTTTGAGATAATCAAAAATAATCATAAATAAATCAATCAATCAATCAATAAATCAATCATTTATTCATTTCTCAACACTTTCCTCAGGGCCTTTAGGCTGCTTATAAGGAAATTAAACAAAAAATAATTAAAAATAGAATTTGAGTAAAAACAGGTGCAAATCGAAAGTTTGAACGAGTTTTCAAAAAAGCATTATACAATTATAAATTAGCAAGTATTCTTTTTTTGAAGACCCTGGAAAAACGTGAATCGTCAAAATAAGAGCTAGGAATAAAGTTCCATAAGTTGACTACACGTTGGTTGAAAAGGCGATAAATAATTATATAAAGAACCTGCCTCCTCATAGTTTTTACTCAAGCCAGACACTGCCCAATTTCAGCGGAACCATGGAAAAAAACGTATCAGAAATTGTATCGAAAGTATTGAAACATAGTCTGGATGTATAATCAAGATTTGATGCAGTTTTTTTTTCACTGACCTTAATCTTTGATCAGAAAAGCGACTTTCGCAAGTTCGGTTATCAAAAAGCTGTCAAAAAGGAAAAGCGATTTGCCGAACAAGCTTTTGATGAAAGTATAAGAATTTTTTCGATAGAATGAAAATCAATGTCATGGGCGGGGGCTTTTCAAAACTATCGGAAACTTCGAATTACAAAAACTAATAATTTGAACTTTGAATAGGCGATTGTAGACTTAAGAAAAGAAAACTGAATCAGAAATAATATATGAAGTAGTGAGAACATAATTTCATCTTGTATCCTACTGGAATTGTATCCTAAAAACAATTTTTTTGTTTTACTTCAAAAAGTTTGAGCTAAATCAAGCAGTCCATGAGAACCCCAGCAGCCAATAACAACCGGAGAGCGAAAACAAGGATCCCGAATGGGGAAATTCAGAAAGGGCGCTCTTATCGGGTTATCACATCAAATCAGCGCCGGAGGCAACTGTAAACAAATCTTTTTTCTGTGAATCGACCAGTATTACATGCAAATATTGACGATTTAGTGCAATCTCCGTGTAAACTCCTCTATCAGTTATATTTATCATGGAAAAATGAGGAACAACAACTTTTATTTTTAACTTTTAACAACTTTTAACTTTTATTTTATACAAAAAATGTTCCACATATATTGCTCGAATAATCAATTAGATTTTTGAAGTCTGCTATTTTAGAGGCGAACTTTCAAGGAACCGCATGAACTGTGAACCCATCGAAGGAAACAGTTTGAAGATGAAATTTCCGAAAAGTAAGAGATGATAAGAATGAAGTTTTAGTTGATTTATCTAGGTATATGAAAAGTTTTCAGCAACAATCACAAAAATAGATTTTTCAAAAAATGCTTGAAATAAACTTAGGCTATCAAGAGAACACATTTTCAGTCTTTTAATTTTAAAACTGTACTCTGTAAGAAAATCAGGACCTTTTTGACAGTCCAAGACTGCAAAAAGGCAAACAAACCCAAAATTTCTATCAATTGACATGAATTTTTTAGCTGAAAAGTTTCGTACGCGGCCGAAAAACAAGCAAACATGTCAAGGCGGCGGACGGATTGGCTGGCGGCTTCCGGCCAAGGATATAAGCAATGGCGGCGGTGCCGATGCCGAACTAAGACGGCAGCCGAAGCCAAACTCCTCAGATGCATCCACTTCTTCCGATCCTCGCACTGTGCTCCGTCGCCTTTCTGTATGAAGTACAGGTGAAACAGGGAGCATCAAAGGGTAAATCTACTATCAGCTCGTCTTCAGGGAGCACCTCTCGTCGTTGCAAAGAATGAGATCGACTTGCCGACTGAGACGCGAGTGAAGCGAAACGGAGGCTGCGGGTGTTGTGGATGTTGCGGAGGAGGCTGCGGTGGCTGTTGCGGTGGCTGCGGAGGAGGCTGCTGTGGTGGCTGCGGCGGTGGCTGCGGCGGAGGCTGCTGTGGTGGCTGCTGCTGCTGCCGTCCGTGAGTTTTATGTCTCAATCCTAAAATCAGAGCTTTACTCTTTTCGCATCTTTTTTTCAGGTCTTTCTTTATTACCGAAAGCTCTAAAATTTAGAGTGTCTAAAAACCAGAGTTTAGAAAAGCATATTTTTCGCTAGCTCTTCGATTTCCAGAAAATGCTGCTGTACATGCTGTCGCACCTGCTGCTGCACGAGATGCTGTACTTGTTGTCAACCGTGCTGCTGCGGCTGTGAGTTTTCGCTTCGTGTCGGAAACTATGTGTAGCTTGTTTCAGGTGGATGCGGATGCTGTGGATGCTGCGGCGGAAGAAAGAGACGAGCCCTGCAGGCCCTCTCGGCCAAGCTGTTCTCCAAACGACAGGCAGAACGGAACAGCTCTGAATCTTCAGAATACGCTTCGGAACAGCCTGTGCCACCTGTTGCCGACTACACAAAGCCTGTAAAGGTCGAAGATTACAGAAAACCGAAGAAACGCCGATTTTCAGGCGGTGGGAGTGATTTCTCAGACGTCCATCGGATCTATAGTCAATGCACCTGAGATGCCCAACGCCTACGGATTCTACTAGATAACACAAAAAAATTATTAATAAATTATTAAATATTATTTCATGAGTATGAAGAACAAAAAAATGTATAAGAAAAATAGATTTAGAGAAAATCTAATCAGAGAGCGCTTTGAACTCTCTCTAAGTTTGAAAAATTAAAAAAATCAGATGCCGTTTTTTTCACTCATTCTAAAACTGAGCTAAGAAAACGTACAATAAATCCTAAAGTTTGAGCAGTCTTCGCACGGAAACTAGTGAATATCAGTAATGAGTCCCAAAAAAATTAAATACAGTTTCACCCAAAATTCCCCTGTGATTTCAGCTCAGACAAGCTTCGTTACCATTCCTGAGCTTTACAAGAAAGTTTTAAACGACATTCTTCCCATCTCAATAATACCATTTGTGCACGCAACTTCATATGCAAGATGTGAATGAAAAAAAGAACAAAAGCGAATTTATGTATTACTTCGCTCCATTTGGCTTTTGTTGCCTGCGTTTATACGCAAATTTAGTTCGTCGAGCCGCTCGCGCAATTTCTCAGAAGTCGGTCGTTTGTTGGGGTCGTGATGCCAGGCGTCGTTCAGGATCTGCTCCATCTCCTTGGGCATGCTGGCGTGAGGTCGCATCCTGTATCCCTGACGCACCTTTTGCTGAAAAATCGAGAAAAATCGACGTCAGATACTTTTTTGTCTGACCTTGACAGTGTATGCTTTCCACTCGCTGTATGGAGAACGGTAGGGATTCTCGAACATTTCCCAGATCATCACACCAAACGCGTAGATGTCCGTGTTGACACGGGTTTCGCCTTTCTCCCATACCTGCAAGCCTCCAGACTTTCGACGTCTTTACAAAAAGGACTTACCTCAGGCGCCAGCCAGCGTACGTTCTGCGGCTTGCTCAAGTCCACTTTGTACACGGACGTCGCTCTTCAATTAGTTTTTTTTTTTTCGAGAATTTTCGTTTTTAATTTCCACCTGCACATTCCAAAATCGGCCATCTTCACGATTTCCTTGTGGATTAGGCAGTTCCTCGTGGCAATGTCCCGATGGATGCAACTGAAGCCTCTCAATGGACCAAAATCCCAGGAAAGTAAAAAACTTCTTCTGATGAAGATATTCCATCCCACGGGCCGCCTGAGCAGTCATGTTCACTCTTTTCGCCACCGAAGTTTTCTGAAGACTTTCCGAGTAAATATTTTTTTTTCAGCCGCCGATGTTACTTTTGCTTTCTCTCTTAGGCGATCTTCTACCGAGCCGCCATCGCAATATTCCAACACGAGCAAATACGGTTGGTCGTCCAGAATGTAACCGAAAAATCTTTAAACAAAACTTTCAAATGAAACAACGAAGAAGATTAAACTTCACAATATTGATGTGATCGTACAGTTGCATCACGCGCGCTTCCTTCATCATTTCAGCCAACCCTAAAGGACAGAAAAGCATTTTTCAACTTGGAAAAGATGAAGACCTTCTTCGTCAGTGCCCTCTGTGTCGAGTTTCTTCACGGCCACCACCACGTTGTCCTTGACCAGTCGCCCGCGATAAACAGTTCCATAAGCCCCGCTTCCAATCTCAAACAACTCTTATATATATATACGTCTTTTTTTTGAGACCTTCTTTTTAAAGTTGACGTCGCGGTGCATAAGCTGGAACTTCCCTTTGGGTATAGCACGTTTCAAGGTTACTTGCTCGTCTGGATTGATTCAAGACTCAAATCGAATGAATAAAGTATACCTGGCAACTGTATCGGTGACGTCTTAAAGAACTCGATGAGCTTTGCGAGGGTGGGACATGTTTTTTGCTGAAAACTTTTTGTGCGCCAAATATTGACATTTTCCGATCAAGTTGAGAGACGTTGATCATATTAATAACGCTTATAAAAGAATAATAACTCAATCGTAAGTCTAGGGAGCGCTTCATAATTCGAAAAGGAGATCTATTGTGAAAAAAAAAATGTAAGAATTCTTATTCTGCAATCGGGAGGTCCTAAAATACTCTTCAGCGAAGTTTCATCGGAACTTAAACCCGGGCGGGGGGCCACTCTAGTTAATGATTTCATAAAAAATGCTTCTGAAAGAAGCTGTGTAATAGTAACAAAGGAACTTCTCGTAATTATTCAAAAAGCAAGTGGAAAAAATTACATTCAGGCGGGCACCGGAAGCGTTTCTTTTGATTTCCAAGCGTCGAACACCTTTTTTTGTTCTGACCGCGAGGTAGAAGATCTTTAAATTTCCATAATCAACCTCTCACCTTTTTTTTTACTCACCGTCCTATTGATTTCCATCGAAAACTTTGTCACTATCATGAAATCTCCTTCGTTCTTCAAGATTTTTGAAACTTTTTGCTCTCAAAGTTCTCACAAACCACCAACAAACTTTCGGAATCTTGATCCATGAGTGCGCCGTGGAAATATGGAAGGACCACATCCTCTTCTGGCAGCCTTGAAAAATCGGAACTTCTTTTTAATAGCTAATCAGTACTTTGACGACGACGAAGACATCTTGCTGTAATTGTAGATTTAGAAATGCTTCATGATTTATATTCATCGCACGTTTTTATAAAAGTTTGAACTTTAAAAAGCTCTACTTTTTCTCTCTCCACTAGCTCTACCTCTTGCGCCGTATGAATTTTTCAGAATAATAATTTCATTCTCTGCAAAAAAAAAACGTGAACTTTATGGCAAGGTCATTTTCTTCGAAAAAAAAAATAACACGTACAAAAAACCACGTGGCAACGTGTCATTTTTCTTTTTTCATGACCTGGTTTGTCATTCTTGCTTCCCTCACGAGTCGTCTTCTTCTGAATTCAACGTCAAGATGAGTTTTAAACTTCCATAAAACTTTTAACTTCCGAAATAAGTTTCTGAGTTGAAAGCGCTAGTAGATTAGGCCCGCGGGACTCCCGGAGTGCCGATCCTTTTTGCTTGCAAATTGGATACGCAAAGTCACGCCGAAGCCCATTCCGGTGGCCGAAGCACAAACTGTTGGCAGCGCGATGCTGACAAAGCGATGATGGGACCCCCGCGGAAAATGCCGTCACGGCTTTCGGCGTCTAGGATTCTTAGTTCTAACAAGGCCGAGCGGAGCTCTAGCGCACCGCCTAGTTAGTTCT